ATCAACAGGCTTTGCTCCTGAACAATAGTCGGGGTGCCATGCTGGGCACAAAAAAAAAGGTATCAAGACTGCACCTCTGGCTTGTATTTTCGTTCAACGCTTTCGGGGTTTTCATGTGCAGTGCGTCTCCCGTACATACATGAATGCATTACATACACGTGTATAAATGCACATGCATCGATATCGGGCTGAGATTATCACCGGAACCGGGGGTGGGAGACCCAGGAAATAAAAATGTCATAGCAAAAGGAAACCCATAACCATATACACGGTGAATCCCTGGAGACAACACTATCCATCCGCGAATCGGGTTATTCTTTTTCGCCTTGTCTATTACCACGTAGGTGCAAGCATATTGCAGGATCTTGAGTACGAAGAGAGAGGGAGAGAGGAAAGCAATGCGCTTTGCCATGATACTCTGTACGTCAGACGAAAGGAAGAGAGCAAACAGCCAAGTTTCCGGGCCAAAATACAGATCCCGCCGCTGTGGACCAAGAGTCTGCCGGCGAGACAATGTTGAACGCTTTTTCTTCCTCACGTCGGGAGGGCACAGCCGGACGGTCGAATAATTTCAAATGATCTTTCTCGGAGCAGCGGCAACACAAGAGACGCCGTGTCACTCTCTTGTCATTCCCGGATCTCGTCGATCATCAAACGAGCGAGAGGGAGGGGCCATGATTGCACACCAAAAAACAAAAAAGTCACAACGACAGGCAGCATCTTGTGCTGAGTGAGACTTCCTGCTCCTCCATCTCTTTGGCCTGCTCCCCCAAGTCGGCACGTCACCTGCGTACGTCAAAAGGTCAACACGGTGAGTATGTCAGCATGACCAATTCATACATCTTCATCCCTTGCCAGCCCCCTATTGCACATCCCTAGTCGTTTGTGGCTGCTTCTTGACCGTTGGCTATTTTAGACTTTAGAGCCGCATGCCAATTCGGACTAATTGCGAGAATAAAAACTGTCTCCCTCGCATCGACTTGCCCATGGAAAGATATCGTGGATACCATTTTGTACACCGAGTTAACTCATTCGGAAGCCTGATAGTCTTGTGACAATGAACAGCACAGCTGCGGCAGCACTAGGACTTTTGGTCATTGTCACTAGCATGATGAAGATAGTCCTCTTCTTCTACCTCAAATGAGTATTGATCGACACGAAAAAGAGAATAACTTCATGAATAAGTGTTCCATGCAATAAATGTAATACCATGGTTCTTGTTTGCTCGTTGTGCCGCACCAGCCAAACTCTATTTGCCACGCGGTTCTTTGCCCACTCGGACATCTTTCCGACCCGGTCAAGTTATTCATCTTGTATACATTATAGTTTGTTTCTCCAGTCTTGTTGTAGACAAATGACTCGAACAAACAAACGAACAAACAAATAACCAAGAAGTATCTTGATTCAAATCATGCAAGGCATGTACCTACTGAAAACTTTGTTTCTTGTCACGAAGCAGGCTTGATTCGGGCCTGGCAGTTGCTCCGTATCCGTTGTTGGGCTACCGGATCTCATGATTGCACCGACTGCGCGGCGTGGCGACGATCGACTTGCCTTTTTATTCATTGAGTACCTAGTCACCTGGAGTGAAAAGACCCATATTTTGAGACCATTGAAAAATTGAGAAAAAAAAGACGTTTGTTGCTGAAAGTGTGTTTGATTGCTTTTTCTTAAAATATCATTGCTCGCATCTTTTTATGTGGACCTGCTCCGGGTGGATCCCCGGTCTGTATAATTGCTTTTTTTCATATCTCTCTCAGTTGGAAAAGGTTTTTTTTCTTGGCGCTTGGCTCTCTTTTTACTTCTTTACCCCTCCCTCTGCTGCTTGCATGCGTCTGAGCCCAGATCGTCGTTGAACTCTGTTAGATTGCATCTGTGCCTGGAACCAAGGAGGAGCACAGATGAGGATACGACCAGCACAAGGCGACGAGTAATAGGCGAGCTGTCACTGTCGAGAGATTGAGCAAGGATCCAGGGAGTAGAGAATCCAGGCCAGAAAAGCATGGATCATCCCATGGTTGACGACTTCTGATTTTGCATATTGTTTTCTTTTTTTTATCCCCTTCTCTCCTCCCGGTGTACCTGTCATGAGCGCTTTACCGAAGGCAAGGGGGAACGGTGCCTGCAAAGTGGGATGGCGCAGGGTTGCTAGACAAAATGGGGAGGGGAGATGGAGTCGGCATTGTGATTTCGAAAATGATGTATAATTTATAAAAGAGATCCATCATCTCAAATCCAACGTCATGAGACAAGCCGCCCTGGCAACGGACAAACAGATAGGCAAAGATTCTGTGGTCTTCTGTTTTAGCTCCCTTATCTTTTCCTACCCTTTTCGAGGTATGCGTAGCACTTAAGCGCACACTTCTCTTTTGGCAGGACAGGAAAGCAATGCTGGGCTGCAACGGAAGAGGCGCAACCCGAATCAATGTTGGCAGCCGCCCGCCGCAACCCAAAACCTTAGATTCTTTAGGCGACCGTTCAAACCGTTGACGGCGGCTTACGCAGCCCGCATATCAAGTCCAGACTCTATATGAGAAGAGAAAAACGAATGTGGGGTTTTCCCTCCTCGTAGGCTATTCCGGGGTAACACGAGATCTTGTTTCGCCGTTCAGGGCTGCTTTTCTCCCTGCCGATCACTTGAGTGGCAGATATGTACATGTATGAAAAACAGAAGTTGTAAGAGAAGGCTCTCCTTACAGCGGGCTTGTTTTTTTNTTTTTTTTTTTTTACCCTCGGGGACCTTTTGGTGTTGTTTTGTTTCTTTTGTTTCCCTTTTCATGTTGCCCTATATCCAACCCCCCCCGCTCCGGCTGTCTGTGCCCACTTCACGGCACGAGAACCTTGTTCCGGGACTTCAGGTATAGTAATGACTTATATTCTCACACACGTTCAACATCGAGGAAGAAAAGAAATAATTCAGCCGCCTACAAAACGGTATCTACCGTAGGCAAGTGCGGATCTCAGTACCCAAAAAGGTAAACGGTGTGGCAACGCAACGTGGGTTCTCAAGAAAACAACATGTTTAGCCGCCCGAGTCTGTGTGTATTTTTTTGCTTTTTTCACTTCCTCCCCTCCAAAGTAGCCAGGTTGTGATTCCCTCACCCTTCCCCCAAAGTGCAAAAAGGGCTCCATGCCCAACCCACCGGGAAGAGCTAAGAGTGGGAGCTTTGACGGACCCCTTATCTTTATATGGCCAGAATGACGCAATGTTTTGTGACAATTCACTTTTTTACTCAAATAGACAGACTTTAGAGTGTGTCCCTTCGGCTGTCAGGCTCTGCGGTAGGGAAGGGGAGGGGAGGGGAGGGGGAAAAGCGGATATCAGCTGCAAAGCCTGTGCATATTCTCGTCACCTTTTTATAGTAACTTCACGGTAACTATATTATTATCTGGCGAACAGACTCGGGGTCACGGCAGTGTATCCTTGTCTAGCCCGCGGCTCTCCGGGGAGGGTGCAAAAGGGAGGGAGAAAAAACGGGACTTGCCGAAAAGGCATCGGAGGTTCATGCATACATTCGTTTGCTTTCAACATATCTGAGGCAAGAACCACGGTCTTTTTGTATTGTGGTTCAAGACTGTTTCTCCCATATGATCATGGGATTTCTTTTTGGTTCTCCCACCGGATGCTTCGATCATGATTTTCGTATTTCGGAGCTTCATTTCTACTCTTGGTTCAATCATTTTTGTTCCTTGTTACGAAAGGAAGGCAATCGGAGCCCCGGCCGCCTGCAGCTCCCCAATAACAGAATGCTGATACCCGTCACTGCTGTTCCCCGGTAGCAACGAATTAGCGGGGCGTCACTGTTGCAGAGCGCTAGCTCCCCGATTTGCCCCTAGAGGGCGTTGCAGGCGGTTCGCCGATCATGTAGTGTAGCTGAGTACTATGTAGCTAAGTAGAGTGCGGTCTGACACCTCACACCATGGGAATTGCATCATCGAATGAATGGAGGGAGGCTTCAAGGGGCAATGAACACATGACTGACCGAGTCCTGTGGGCCGGATGCAGTGCACCTGAATGCGGAGGCTGTGCGGCCTACGACACGATAAATGGCACATTCATTTCTCGCGGAGAGGCAAAAACCAACCTCACGCGTGTCACTGTACACCTATGATATCGTCCTGTCTCATCCAATCGCCGACTGACTGCATGTACATCCTTGGCTGCCCCCGTGCATTAGGTGACAGCGCTTACCATGCCGACCGGAAGTATGATGTTGTGCATTGCAATATGAATTATTCCAGTCAAGACCGGAAGCAGATGTCATCTACTTCTCCGAAGAGAATCACCACCTTCATGATTGCGAAGTTGCTAGTCTTCCACGCCTACATGGCCAAGGCAGACCTGCAGGAATTTCGGCTTGAGGTGAGGCTGGACACGGGTAGATGCGCGCGTCTCCAGATCTCCTCCGACATACCAATAGTAATAATTATCAATACCGATGCAGATGAAAACGCTCGGTACAGCCGCTGTCGCCGCTCTATTCATGCCAGATCCCATAGTGAAGAAAACACTGCCGCGGCTCGATATTATGATGCTGATGAACTATCTCCACAGTGTCGAAACCCCCACGGGCTACCTCTCTACATCCCGACCAGTAATCGATATATGGAACCTAATAACAATTTGGAGGCGCACAAGTCATAACATATATTGAATCATGCTTGAATTAGTAGTCATGCTCCGGTAGGAATATGACACCTGTCACAGTCGATCACCACGATTATTGGCGTGTCTTCTACAATTCCTCGGGCGAAGTGCATGATTTGAGGATCTGATTTGCTGCCTTGTTCAAATTAGTAATGATAGGACAATTTGAGCCTCTATTTGTTTCATTGGTTTCCATAGTGACCTAAGAGGAATGGTTCTCGCATGATTCTGTTGGGATATGAATCTGAGACCACAAATATCAATGTATTATGTGCATCAATCTATGAAGAGACCTTCAATGGAAGTTTCGAAGCATCAAGTTTCCTGACTGCTGTATCCCCAGTCTTGTTTCTCAAGTGTCGTGATGATCTTGGCGCTCATCGTTGGGCCGTGTGATCAAAATGGGCGAGATATGCGAACGATGTATGACAGTCGTGCCATTTCCGTGGTCACCAGGGCGATGATCAACACCGGTGAGGTTCTGATTCTGAAATCCGTCATTGCTCGCATCAGTCATTGCGTACATGGGGGAACGGTGCCTCACGGGGATACGGTTTTCTGACCCAGTACCCCCATCTGCAGACGATTGATTCTCTTCTTCGAGTACTGCCTGACCCACGAAGCAGTCTCGCTCCACAAATGGGGTACCTGGCCTGCTTGAGTGATTTCGAACATGTCCAGTCGGAGTACATGCCTCGCGAGGTGGTAAACCTGATGCTTCCCACTCCACTGAAGAAGCCTCACTGTTCTTGCTGCGCATACTTCTCTTGCTGGCTTTGCGTACCAGATCCGTCATCATGACACTACCGCGGTAGATATCATCAAGGACTTCCTGGCTTCTGTGTCCGAGCTCTTCGCGAGCGATCTCAAGAGCACGACGATTGAGATGTGAATGCGCACCCTGATCTACCAAGCGATTTGCCTTGCGAATCTCGGTCCAGCGTGTCAGTGCTCCGAGTTCCAGAATGTTGACACGGCGATGCTTTTCTAGAGGGTTACCAATGATCAATGGCCTCTAACCAATGTCGAATTCGGGAATACTGCTGAGGTCTCTCCGGCCAGCAGCTTTTGCATCGGCAATCACCGTTGCCCGTCTGCGAAATGTCTCATTTCGTTCAGCAATCCACCTGTCCATCTCCAGGGTCTTTGACCTCGGGATGATTTCAACTTGTTTGAATCTCGTAAGGACGCAAAGAAGAAGGAATGTAAGTGCGAGCAGAATGGAGGCAACAACAGCAGTTGCAGTCCGTTGGCCCAGATTTCGTTGCGCCATGCCGCCAACCACTGTTGCTACCGCCGCAAGGATGAAACCTAGACTATGGATGACAGCAAATCCTGCTTGAACCCGAGGAAATGAAGAGTAGTTGATCCTCTTACCGGAATCTTTCTTGTTCCTGTAGTGGCCGGTAGTTCCCGGTTGCAAATCAGAGCAATCCCAAGTCTCCATGAGTATACCATTGCATTCTGCGATTGCGAGGCATGAAAGAAACCCCACCATGGCGGTAAACAGACACGGGAAGGCGACATGCACAGGAGGACCAAAGGAGAGAACTGTATACATGACGCCTGCAAATGGTAGCGTAATCGTGAAAATGGCACGGCGAACCAAATGAGACGTCCACGTCACCTTGCGATCGATTGTTGAGGCGTTGGATTTCGAGGGCTGGTATCTGGCGCGCGAGAACAGATTGGCTTTCTGGAAGGGAACAGCTGCAAGTGCGCCGATGGAGATGGACGAAACAGCAGTGCCTACAAACGTAGATCTGAAACGGTAGTATCTCGACGTAAGTGAACCAAGAAGCTAGCCGTGATTAGTGGGATGTGCGAGCATAAGGGCAAATCATCTGTACTCACCACAATCATCAGAATGACTTGGGCATAGATCCAAGCACAATACAATGCCATGATGGCGAATCCAGGTTGGCGAAGCATCTCTAAACAGAGAAGCACGCCATGCCAAACTTCTTGGCCCCACCATTTTGGCCCATCCTTCACTCGATGCATCATGACTTCACCCCTTGCGACTCGTCTGGAGATTCGATTACCAGTTCGGACCTCGGCCAAAGATCGTCGCCAGGCGGAGCGGCGAACCTCTGGAATCAAGACCGCCAGTAACAGGGCAACGGCAACCAGTATGATACTGACGTAAAAGCCCCAGGCAGGAGACGCTCGATCAATCACAGCCGCACCAACCAAGAAGCCGACACCAAGTGACCCAATGAAGCACCAGGTCCAAATACCGAGCCAAACACCAAGACCACCCCCATGTCTCCTCACATCGTCATGATCGGCCAGTTCTTGATGCGGGTTGCTACACATCAGTGAGGCACCGAACAGATCGGTCAGTGTCGCTTGAAAATTCATGTTCGCAAACCCCAAAGAGACACCCATTAAGCCTCGGGGTAGAAGCAGTGCCCAATTCCAGACGCTGGTCTGTGACGAGCGATGCATACTCACCGTTATTGCTTGCGGGAAAAGGAGTGGCATTGCCAAAGTTAGACCAAACAGTATGTACTGTCGGCGTCCGTGAAGTAGCGGAAGTGGCCAGCAGAAGAATGTTGGCAAGGCCATACCAAGATACATGCCCACGTTACCGAGAATGGCAATGTGATTGTCGTCGGCAATGTAATACTGGACAGCAGGAACAATACCGGCATAGATGCCGATGAGCAACCCGATGACGGCCGTTCCAAAGCAAGAGACCATTGCGACAAACCTCTTCCTCGCTAGTGACTAGTCGCGGGCGATTGGCTGTCGACGATGTGACTTCGTCAAACTGAAATTGGCATTTTGAATACTAATATGAGACCGTCCATTAAGGCTAATATTGTGCAAGGTCTCTGAGCGTTTTGACTTGGATGAGATGCGAGCTTCTGCGGGAACTTTTGTAACGCCGTGAGTTTTCAAGTGTCTGGCGAAACCGTTACGTTTCCTCGGTGCTGAGCTTTCTTGGACGTGTTGAGTTGGAGGCGAGAAATCGGCAATGTCGTCAGACCCACCATCTAAGCTATACATCTCCGTTGACCTTCGTCTGGCAGCTATATCATCCCGAACAGCGCAAGTGGTTGCTATAACTTGCGGGAAAGTGTGGTTCTGTATACCTTGTGACCCCACACGCGGTGTGATGGGCGGCGAGTGGAAGATGCGTATGTATTCCCGGACTTCACGACTGTTTGGCACCGCCCCTTTTCGATGGCGAGTGATTGTTCCTGAATCATCCTCATCGTATGCAAGCCTAGAGGAATTTTTGCAATCCCTTTTCAAGTCTCGGTCGGGCGGTGGGAGAGGTAACGATGGGTCTTCGCAGGACGTTTTGTTTTGTCGTGTCAGACTTGATGGTTTTGATGAGAGTACAGGGCCTCGAACGTTGCCGCTGTGTGCATACAGCCTTGAAGGAATATCGTCAGCTGATGAGTGCTGGGGAAGGCTTTCATGAACACTCGAGGCCTGAGAGTCCTCTGCAATGGGTGATTCGGGGATAGGAGGCTCGAGAAAACTATCATCAAGATGCGCATGGTCGTGCTCAGCTACTTCGTTGGCGAGTTCAAGTGCCTCGCTTAGAAGACGCTCGAGGTTCTCCATGGCCTGTTCCATGGCGTCTGCATCTGCAGCATTTTGATCAGAGAATGTAGTCACTCTGCTCATTGGCGAACCTCTGCCATGATATGGATAATCATGATGAGACTGTTGAAGAGGATGGTGTTTCTTTGGAGATTGGGTTAGCGCCGTGCTGGATCTTCTCGACTTGAGGAGATCACGAATCCATTCTGTGGTGCGTTTTGGATCCCAGGCCTGAGGGTGCGATCGATGCTCAGAATCCTCTAATAGTTGGGTTGTCAGCGATCGTGTGAGGCTTTCGTGAGTCCTACTGCGCTGTGGTAGATTCACACTGTTGGTTGGGTGTGGCTCCTGCATATCAACAGAGTCTAGTTGAGCGCCGGGCTCGACAAAGGAGACTGACGAAGCCTGATGCAACTTTCCCCTTTGTGGACTATCTTTCGGGGTTTCCGTGACTCCAGGCAGGAATCCCTAATATGAAGTAGCTTGAGATTGTCCCACCTCTGCCTGTGAGTCATCCTCTGTGATCTCGGAAAATGCAAGATGAGGAATCGATTGCAGTCTCTTGCTAACCACCGGTCTCGATGACGCATTGTGGAAAGACTGAACCTTCCCAACCCAGCTATGACCGCCATGGGCATCCCCGTGGCCGAGAATTGAATCGTCCGATGAGAGAATAGTCTCGTCAGACAATGCACGAACTTTTGATTCATACTGAGGGCGCCCATAACGACTAGGTCTCGTGTCAAAGGAAGGCATTATTGAGCGAACACTGGGTGTGCCTAGGGAGTTCTCTTGTTCAACGATATCCGCGGGACGGACCTTGGAGGCCCCCTTGTATCCGTTTTGGTTCTCAGAAAGGGTATTGTGGTGGTTTTTATTGATGTTTGGCACTTCAGGAGGCTCCATGGCGGCCGGTCGGACTTTGGATGCACCGTAGTAGCCTTGATCAGCATCAATATCTGCAGCACGAACTTTTGATGCCCTATGGTGCTCAATGTGATCATCCTTCTTCAAGGCCATTGGAGTAATTGTATCTGTCGAGTTCATTCGAGTGAGGATAGGCGGTACAGGCATATCAGAGGAGTCCAAGCGAGCTTTCCCACCTTCCAGCAAAGAGTGTCTAACAGATCCGGTTCGGGCCCTGTCAGAGTGGTATGATGGCGTGCGATTGCTGACAACTCTAAGGGAAGGGTTGGACTCTCTTGAGTAGAGGCTCGGCCGCGAGGAAGAGAAGACCTCTTGTGCCAGATCTGATTGCTGCATTGTGAAATTTGACTCACCGAGGTATGGCCTCAGTGCATAGAGAGATGTAAAGAATATTTCATCGGTAGGGTTTAGGGATGAAGAGGTAGGGAATGTGTGATAATGAGGATGGTGAAAAAAGACAGAAGCCAGTTGAGGATATGAGTTTTGTTAAGAGGTTGTATCTTCTAGAGTCATTACTGATTTTACCAAAGAAGTTCCACGGCCGTCCTTGCCATTCATGTGTTCAAGGACTGTGTTGTTGTCATTGTCGACATGCCTCGTAGTTTCCTGCTTATGCGTAGGCCGAACTCTAGAGCGAAATCGTCTTGTCAGTCATGTCGACGATGCGCTTGCCGCAATGATGGTAGATTTAATTATTCCTTGACACAAGAAACAAGACCTAGTATATGACGACTCAATATCCCGTTGATGCCGTCCATCTTCTACCGAACCCACAAAAACAGGTTCGCAATAATACCTAATGCATCAGCCTTTGCACAAGTACATTGCCATCGCTGAAATCGTAGGCAGGGCATATCTACTGCAAGTATACAGGTAGATAGTGATTCAGTCACATACGTATCAGCCATACATTACATACCCACCTAGGTAGGTGTTCAGGTGTTTAGGTGTAATAATTGTGTTGGGGCATTTAGACCTGATTGACCTGGTGGGAGAGCTCATGTGGGGGTACTCGGCGGCTCGGGTAGCGGGCCTGTGCTCAGTCTTTATTCAGTGGAACCCAGCTTTGCACACTCATCTATTGATTGAGCAAACAAGCAAGGAACTTTGCATTCAAAAGGTGTTTTCACTCGCCCTATTTCATGAACTGTCTTACCGTGCGCCCGAGGTTCTTGAAGTCTGGGTTTCTAAGCAAAACAAACGAGCTTTATTTTGTTTCTGCCATGGTCAGGAACATGTCGCATTCCCAACATTGAACTATGCTGGGTATTCAGGTGGTTTAGCTAGTTTACTGCACTGGCCAAGTGGGCAGTTTCCCACAGTCCCGATTGGGAAAGAGATGACGACATAAACACCAACTCGATGCCCAGCCAGCAGGGTTCAACGCAGTCAAAGAAGCACCGAGACATGAATAGAAGTCGAACCAAGGCCCGGCGACCATCGAGACAAACCATTCAAGTGGGACTGGGACAAGGCACATGTTTGTTTGCGACCCATACGGCATTTCCCTGGTTTTCAATGTTACTCTCACTGTCCCATGTGTGATCGTGGTCAAGCACGCTGCGCAACCGCCAGGATTGTCGCCGGGCCTAGTCATCCAGTTCGTAGCCTGTCAGCAGCCCCGGCCTTGGGGGCAGCCATCTGACTGTTCTATTCCGCCAATTATGCAAGCCAGTACCGCAGATGACCTACGGACTACCTCCCAACCAGCCAGCAGCTTCGCGAAAGAGCCAGAGTCTTTTGTTTAAAATCAGCTTTCTGGACTTCTCACCGTATTGGGGGCTTAGACTAGGCAGCTGTCAGAATCAAATAGAAGAAAGAGTAGGTCAGGTAGGCAGGATAGCGTGTGGGCGCTCCCGTCCACCCCGTCGGGTTTTGACTCCAAGACTACAACGGGAAGTGTGTGAAAGCTGCGCCACGCGTAACAAGACCGCCAATATTATTAGTTTTGTTGCTGGGCATGAATGGATTCTTCCCCATGAACATCAGAGATGAAATACAGCTAGGCGATAATTAGAACCTTTGGCATAAGTAGTAGTGATGGGGACCGTGGACTCCCTCACCTGTTTCAGACCGGTTCCTGCTGATAGCGAGGCTGGATTGCCTGTTGTATCCTGTGTAAATTAAACATGGCGCGGCAGTCGCCCATACAATTGAGGAGGAGGAGGAGGAGGAGGAGGAGGAGTGGGGGATTACCTGATGTATTGCGCCCCGTCCGTTAGGAAGATGGTGACCTGGTAGTAGATGGTAGAGCCCACGCACCGTTTGTATCACCAGTATCACTGCACACTGCCCTCGCTGGTCGATGAGAAAGAGATTCGTTTGATGTGAAATGAATTCCTATGCTCTTTTCCATAAATGGTTTATATCCTCACCCAAGGCACACATGGCTTCTTAAGTTTCATGAGCCATGCTCACGCCCATGCCCAACCGAGCCCCGCTGATGAAGGCCAAAAAGATGCATGCATGACATCCCCCCCCCCTCCAAAATGCCCCGCCCTGCCGCATGCCGCCGTCGTTCCCATGCTAGCATCAGTCACTCACTCACTGCGCTGCTCTGCCAGCCTTCCCAGATATAATCCTGCATTCCCAGTACAACTTTTGCAGCCCGGTTCTTGTTCCTTGCTGTCATTCTGCTTAGTACTGTCCCCTCGCTTTTCCTGCCTGTTTTTGCCGCGCAAATCGTTTGGTTTTGTTTCGGTGCAACAAGTTTCCCCCCGACGGCGGGAGTAGCGCATCATGGCCTACTACGAGAAAGAATACCGGTCCACCCGGTATAAAGAAGACGATTCCGATGACGACAAGTACAAGAGCACAACGGTCCGCCGATACAAGGTGGGCGGCAACGGCGGAGGCGCTTCCACCACCACCACTAGAGTCGACCGTGTCAAGCGATATGACGACTTTGACGATGATCGCAGATCTACCTTTTCATACCGAGACGATTATCGAGACTCCCACTCGCACGTTGGTCGTCCCGCTGCGGAAGTCGTAGAGGTTGACAAGCGAGTGGAGAAGACTTACCTTCCCGAGCGCCCCAGATCGGCCTTTGACCCTCCTGTGCAGCGCACCGTTGTGGAGAAGAGGGTTATTGAACGCGACGGATCCGATTTCCGGGACCGTGATCGCGATCGCGACGACCGGTACCGCTATGAAGAGAGGGATGTTGAATACTCTCGTGGAGTTGCGGAACGCCGCGAACGTGATATAGTCATTGAGAGGGAGCGTGAGCCTGAGCGCCGCGATAGAGTCGTTCGCGAGACTCGAGAGACGGTGACTGAACAGCGGGACACACCTTTGTCCCCACGAGAGAGAGATTGGGACCGTCGCTCGCGCATGCCCTGGGAAGATGACCGCGACGATGTCCGTGTGGAAAAACGAGTCGAGCACAGAACCGAGGAGCACGGCGACCACGTCGACGACGTCCGTGTCGAAAAACGGGTCGAGCGTAGATCTGATGACCACGTCGACGACGTCAAGGTCGAAAAGCGTATTGAGCGCTACCACGAGGACAACCACGATCACCACCACCATCATCATGGCGGGGACATTGAGCGCTATCGCAAGGAGGTGGAATATTATGCTCCGGCTGATCCACCGCCTCAACCAATTGTCATTCGCCAGAAGGCTCCCGAACCCCAGCAAATCATTGTCCAGGAGGCACCAGCACCACCTCCTGTCATCATTGACAGACAGGCAGAACCTGGATACGTTGTGCTGAGGGAAAACAATCGTGAGATCGCTCGCCGTGATCCACGAGATGAGGAGTACTATTACCGCAGAGAGGAGCGGCGCAACGATGACTATGCCATGGAAAGGTATGATCGCCGTCGCCGCGACTATCCATCAGAAGACGAGGATGTCTACGTTAAAAGGACCATCATCCGGCGAGAGCGCAGCACAAGCTCTGATCACCACAGAAAGAGACATCTAGCCGAAGGCGCTCTCGCAGGAGCCGGAATCTCTGCCTTGGTCTCCAGTCGACGTGGTCGCGAGGGTGACCTCCAAGACAATCGTGGCAAGAAGGTTCTTGCTGGTGCTGCACTCGGTGCTCTGGGTACTGAAGTGATTAGAAGGGCTCGCAGCGCCTACGAGGAGCATTATGACGACCGATACTACGATGACGACGATTATCACCGTCGTCACAGAAGTCGCTCAAAGTCGCGGTCCAGATTAACCACTGGTCTGGCTATTGTAAGGCCTCCTGAATACCCAAATTCCGATCTATCACTAACCCAGGATATGTGTAGGGCGCTGCCGCACTCGCTGTTGCTGGTGGACTCAAGTACATGCAGAGCAACAAAATCGAAAAGGAGGAAGCGACAAGAGGCCGCAGCAGAGGGCGACGGTATTCTGGAGATTATTCGGTTTCCCGAAGTCGTTCTGGCGGCCGATCCCGCAGCAGAGCAAGTATGGCCAAGGCGGCCGCTGCAACTGGGTGAGTCTTTTGTTCTTACACACTCAAAATCTGTGTGCTGTAATTTGCGTTGCAAACATTTTATGCCTTGGTCAGGAGCGTCTACAGATGTGTAAGGTGCTTAAAAAGTTGTGCAGATCAGCTAATTCTCTCGTGACAGCGCCATTGCCGGGCTTGTACAGCATTATCGTAGCAAATCCCGGAAAGGCTCCCGAAGCAAGTCTAGGATCAGAACTGGTGCGTAAAGCCTGCGGCAACTCTGAAATACAACTTCCACTGATATGATCCAGGAGCTGAAATTGCGGCGGCTAGTCTGACTGGAGCAGCAGCCAGCAAGCTGTGGGAGCGTCACAAGGAGAAGAAAGATCAAGCACGCGACCACGATAGAGACATCGACGATGAGTACTATTCCGACAGAAGCCAAAGATACGGTCGCTCGCGTAGCCGTAGCCACAGCCGCAGCAGGTCGAGGGCACGAAGCTTCACCTCACGAGATGCCGCTAATCCAGAGTTAGGCCTCGTTGAATACGGCGCCACTCCTCTTCCACCCTCGCATTATGAAGACCCACCACGAGAGCGACGCCATCGTCACCGTCACCGCTCAGCATCAGTGAGTCCGGAGAGGGATGTGAAACAAAAGAGGAGTAAAAGCCGCCTTCGTGAAGCTGCGGCTGGGGTTCTTGGTGCCGGCGCTGCAGCAATTGGCATCAAGAAGTATAACGACGTCAAGAAAGAGCGCGAGAGATCTCGTGACCGATCACGGGATCGGCCCAGAGACCAGTCTCGAGATAGATCCCGAGACAGATCGATTGAGAGGAGAGAGTCGGAGGAAAGGAGAGCTGAGCGTAAACGCAACAGAAAGTCCAGAGAACGTGACCGACGGCGTAAGTCTCCGACGCAGGAAAGTCATGGAGGAGGAAGATACTAACCGACGTCTCAGGTTATGATGAAGAGTCTGCTGTTGGTGGCTATTATTCGGGAGGCGAATACGATCCTCAAGCGCCTCCTTCACCACCAACCGCATCCGGAGGGGCATATTACCCACAGGAACCTCCCACAGCCGCTGGTCCTAGTGGGTTCACTCAACACGGGAACAACTCCTCCATGAACGTCAACGCCTACCCACCCCCACCGGGGCAATACAACCCTCAAGATTATGCCAACATGCCTCCTCATCCATCTCATTATAATCCACAGGACTTCACCAACATGCCACCGCCGCCTGCTGGCCCACCACCAAACATTGGACCAACAGGGCGCCCGATAAACCCCTACCCTCCCACCGGGCCAGAGAATGTGAGTCGTCAGCCGCCTGCGGATGATATTCCAACTTCCATTCCCCACGATGACCCGAGTATGAGGGGCGCTAGTGCACAAGGTGCGTAGTACCAGTACCTCAGAGAAGGAGTCTATTGTTTTAGTTTCCTTCGTTTGGTCGTCTTTATCCCCGCAAGTTAATGCTAACGAAACATGGCAGATGGTGTAAGAAGGTCTCGAGATCGACATCATGTCCCTAGGCGTTCTTCGTCCCGTTCATCATCTATCAGCACCACTGTCGAGAACCCCACTCCATCTACCACAAAGTCTGTTTGCTTTATTCCGCTCTCTCCCCAATCAAGCCGCACTCTGAGAAAGCACCACGCCGACCATGAGGAACGAGCCGCCACGCCAAATAATGAGAACCAACATGACTCTGACTCGGAGACCCAAACAATTCGACCTAGACGGCCAGGCATGCACAGACGACGATCGGGCTCGGACCCCTCGTCCGACCGACCATTGGTGCAACGTCGCCGTCGCAGCGGCCGGGATGGCTCGCCACTGTCTGACGAGGACGACGTCGAGGTTCTCCCAGACCGCTTCGACTCGGCCGGGCGCCCCGTCGACGCCAACAACCCCCGGCGCTGGCACTCCCGGACTGGCGACTTTGAGTATCGCCCGCGCACCCGCGACGGTCCGCACGTGCAAGGCGCTTGGGGCGTCCACGGTACCGATCCCGAAATGGTCAATAGGATGGCACAGGGTGTCGGCAGTCTACTGCAAGGCCGACAAGGATGGATGGGCATGATTGGTAATCTACTTACAAGCTTGCCATCTTCCTCGGGCGGGGATGGCGGGGATGGCGGCGGCGGGCACGGGCACGGGCACGGGATGATTGAGGATCGGGACCATGTCAATGATGACGGCGATGCACGACGGCGGAGGCGTCAACAGCAACGGAGACATAGGAGGGATGATGAGGAATATTGATCATGTTTTTGCTTGTTACGATTATGTGATGGAGGGAAACTGGACGTGACATTTTTGTTTCATGGGTACGAACGATGACGGTTTTCAGAGACGAAGTAACGATTTTTCACGATTCAATGATCTCCTTGGTTGGGCTTATGTATAGAAAGATTTTGGATCCTAATTTTACGATATGAAAGCGGCAATGGACGATCTATTTTCTTCACATGTCAGGAGAAGTTGATGACAGAAATTTCTAATAGCAATTACATATCATGATTATCCTTGCACGGTGCTTGCACGTGACATAAGCCATTTGCTTTGCTTAGAGTAAACTGTGGGGTGCATTTTTCAAGAATGACAACAGGAATGGCCAGGATCAAAGAATTAATATGTTCTTATCAAAATGTATTTTTTAATTCCAGGACGAGATGTACAAATCCTGCCTCTATCACCTCATTATGTATGTCGCCTAAATCCATGGCACGACACTGCATGCCAGCCGCAGCTTATCCATTACGACTATGATGATGTTTTTTTTATCATCTTGGTGGACTTCCTGTCCTACCAAGTTCACCTGAGGAGAATGCACCTCATTCATGAGACCTCGCCTTGAGACCTGAATCGAAAGCTTGCTGAATATCATTTACCCAAACGCCCACTGTGCCAGATTGAATCTAATGTCTCTCGCTCCTTACAGCAGCAGAGTACCGACCAGGGTAAACATACCCACAACACCAGTCACAGCAAAGAAGCTGAGGTCCATGGGCGGTGCCGGACGACCACCGTCGCTCTTACCCGATGAGGTGGCAGACACGGAGCCGGAACCGGCCTCTGCAGTACCTGTCGACGTAGAACCAGCGTTTTGCGATCCATCGCCAGACAGGCCGGGACCATCACCAGCACCGTTGGTCATGTACTAGGGCAATCAGTTAGCAAACCAGTTCGAAGGACATCTGTTATGCTTTGGAGGTTTTCACTTACGTCCTTGGCCTCGTCAGGAATAGCGGGGAGCGCATCCGAATCAACCTGCCAGTCATCGTCGGTAGATGGGCAAGTGGCGGCAGAGGTGCTTGACACGGCACCACCGCTACCAGTAGGAGCAGGGTACTTGGACAGAGCAGACTTGAGGTTATCGTACTCGTCCGTCTCGGTCACGTCGCTGTCGTCGCCATTAAGTTCGACAATACCGTAGCCGTTACCCTCCTTGCTGTACTCGTAGACAAGACCACCAGAGTAGACGGCCGTCATGTCATCACTCATGAGAGAACCAAGCTCCTCGAATGAACGGGGAGGGTTGGCGATACAACCCCACTCGGACAGGAAGATGGGAAGACCGTAATCAGTGAAGTTCTTAACCTTCTGATCCCAGCCAGATGTTGTAAAGCTCGAGGGAGAGCACCACGAGTAGTCGTTGAATGCGAAGAAGTCGCTGCGGGCGTCGTCAGAGCCGCAGTTGAAGTAGTCGGCAGTCTGGGCACGGTTTGACGAGACATCGGCAGCAGAGTATCCGACAGGAATGGCACGAAGACCGCGAGAGCCAAGGTACTGCTTGATGTCTCGGGTTGTGGCCTTGACGTATGGGGCGGCAAGGGTTGAGTTGGCCTGCTCGTTGATAACCTCGTTTCCGGAGAAGAAAGCCAGAGTGTTGTCGTACTTGGCAAACTCCTCGACGGTGGCGAAGACGCTCTGAAGGTAGACGGCGTTGTATGAGGCGGCGGGTTCATAACGGTTGATCGAGTACTTGGGGTTGTTGACATCGAGAACAAGGTAGATGCCAGCATCGGACAGCTCTTGCATACACTCGTCGTGGCTCTGGGAGTTGTCGATCATGTAGACACGGATGGTGTTGACACCAAGATCCTTGAACTTGGCAATATCACGCTTGCAAGTGGTAGTATCAGCGAGAGGATCCGAGTTTCCAGAGGAACCACCGGGCTGGTAGTCAATTCCTCGCATGTAGAAACGATCACTGCCAGTCCAAAAAGCCTTGCCCGACGCAGTGACAGTAGGAAGAGAGTCGGCGCGCTTTGGAAGCTCCTTCTCGGTGCGTGTGGGTGTGGCGCTGACGATGCTGGCAGCTGCCAGAGTAAGAAGAGCGAACGACTTCATTGTGAATAGATTCGAAAGCCTCTCGAATGCGTAGAAAGTTTAATTGGTTCGAGGTTTCAATTGGTACCACAAGACGTAGGAGATACGATATGTGCGAAGCTCGAGTATCGACAACGAATGGATGGTAGTGGCAATTAAAAGGCGTCTTGATTCTATGATGAAATGAAGAAGGAAAAAAAGGCAACAAAGCGAGAGAGTTGCCGTGTGAGAAATCACCAAAAGTGAAGAAAGTGATTGTATGGTGGAGAGAGCGAGATCAATGAGAAGAAAGAGAAAGAGTGTCGAGAAGTTGAGAACCCGAATATTTTAGGTTTTCTAGAAAGAAAGGCCAGGAGCGATGCACTCGGGACAAGTGCCAAGAGCAAGCAAGCATGAATTTTGGCACAGTTCAATGTCTACACACCCCCCATCATCACCTCCGTCCCCTCTCTGGATCGCCTGATTGGCAGCAATGGTGTGTGTGCTAAAAGTATGAGGTAGGTACCGTATGCAACCAAACTTGGATCTCCATGGGTTTAGTGGAGTGTAAAAGATGGTGGTGACCGTAATGACGGAGGGGTGTGTCCACCATTCAAGCCTATTGCTAAGGTTATTCCTTAGCTGCCAAGCACAGAGCTGGATTCAAGATTGGGCGTGCGGATACGAAACACTGGAGCAAAAAGCCAGACCTGAGCGCGTCGTTCTGTGATATGCCAACTCCGGCCGTGTCAATCGACTTTGGACAAATCTCCCCTTGCATATAAACATCGGGTCATTCCCAAAGGAACGATCAAAAATAATTTGGTAGTATTATAAGAGGTCAAGCAAGGCTATTGTGGGCCGACTGTGAGGGACTGGAAATGAATTTGCAACAGTATCAGGTCATGACACACACAGTTGGCCATGCCATTGCCGTGGGCGCGGCTCACAGTACGAACATGGTCATCATTTACCCCATTGCTGGGATTGTGCCTAGTGGAGGGTAGCAGGGGGGTGGCCCCGGGGGAAGCGAGCGATTCTCCCGCATCCTGTTCCCAAGCGCCAAGGCAAAAATATGCGTGCTTGGGCTTGCTTGGGTGGGCGCTATGGCGGCAGGGTGCGGATATCAGGCAAGGAGGAAACTTGGAATTTTTTCTAGCATTTCTAGCAGACAACCATCGCGCCCATGGTGGGCTGCTGATCCAGCCACTAAATCTCTGCTATGCACAATTCAGGGATGAGGCGAGCAAACGACTGGAAATCATCATCTCCCCTTCATCTAATCAAGGCCGGGAAGACGTCCCAGCTCTTCTTGGCTTACAACACTGCCTCAGTCTACCTGTTTCAACTCGTATACCACACACACTACTACTGAGCTCCGCAAGGCGTGTGTCTATGTGTGGGATTCTTCGGAATCTTGGAAACGAACACTTTTTGTTTACTCCGCTATGCAAAACATGTTGTCAGGTTCCAGACGAGGGGGATGAGTGGTGCCAGAGATCAATGAGATGTGGGCTTTTGTCGCTTGTCGTGGTCCCATGTGATTCGAACAGACTACGTACTACTGGTCTACGATAATGCCAATGCAAGATGCGCGCGGGTATGTAATGTAGTGTAGTGTAATGTGTTGTAGACATTTTTTTTGCACTGCCTCCTTGACTGCCAAATAACCAACCACTGCACTCACACATACATGCCTACCAACAGCGTCATTAACCGGCCGAGCAACTTTCATTCTCTCACAGTGTTTCAATATAACATTCCTGCCGATCTTCCCATTGACTCGTGCCGAGTTCGTCTCAAGAAAAGATTGGAAACAACCAGCCGTCCTTCCGAATCAGCTGGCCATGTCCGTGATGAAGTCATAATGGATACCGGAGGACCCAACTTCCCCATCGGCAAAACTGCTGCCAAGCAACCGAAGCAGAGCCCTGGTCAAGCTTGCACGGCTTCCAAATCCCCAGTGCTTCCCCTGGGCGGGTGTGCAAGATGCAGTCAATGCACTCCAGCATGCCCTTTTCTTTGATTGAGACTTGTCGCCGCCATCTCCGATGCTGACTGACCTCATCAGTATTCGTTTCTTACAGGCAACGTTGATTTCTTGAAAATTGTTTTCATGCAAATGTTCAATGTTGTGGTGCTGAAAACTCCATTCATTTACACCAGGGTAACGCCCAGAACATTCCAACCGGCCCTGAGGGGAGAGGGTTGGAGGGGCTTCTGGCCCAGGCCTAGACCAGCAATATTCAATGGATTTCCCCTGGATTCACTGCTAAAATTGCCCGAGCCTCTCCCCGCTGTCAGGGCCTAGTGTGCCCTTTTTGGGCGCGCTAAAGTGGAAGCGAAATTCAATCCCGGTCGATCTCGGCGCGGATCTGAGCTGTTGGGAAGCGTTGGAATCGTTGAAGAAAACACGCCTGCAAGATCTGATCCTCCAAATGAATCATCCCGTCCAAAGTCCCACTACGCTTCTGACCCTTGGAAGTTGGAACCGATGCCGTATTGAGAAACAACACGCCGCATATCAACATGTATGTTTTCCAGGTGAAGTGCGGCTCTTCAGAAGCACTCCTTGAAAAAGTACGCAAAGGAGCTGCTGCACTTTGATTAGCTAGTCGCTGATCGTCATGTGGCCTGGCACAACCTCCAGTCACGTCTCGCATTTAGTAATCTTTCGACTTGGACGATCCCCAGATCGTTTGGTGCTGATCCAGATATGTACCACGGAAGCACTCTCAAAAATAACCGGTATGGAAATAACACGGCAGCCGAACCTTACTTGCTCAGAGGATACATCCTGCGTTTATTTTTATGCAATGTAGGTAGAAGTGCATCTTCAATGTGTTTCAGCGGCGGACATAAACATAATAAGTCTGGCGTGCATGGGATATAGCAATCAGATGTACGTGGAAACCTTTGGCGTCATCTTTATTCTACTCTATTTGGGTATCAAACAATACTCGGATGAAATGAAGCGTCAATCGCAAATCACTTCGAACTCTATCAAAACTCTAACATGAACGAACACCCCACCCCCAAAAGGCTAAACGTGAATCCTACCTCTATCGCAAACAAATATCTTTCCTGTTAGCACACGACCAGGCTGCCAAGCTATGGTCCAGACGAGGCCAACAATCGTGCAAATCTTCAACGACTTTTATGCTATTCTTGGAGTACAGAGTACGGATAGGATGAGCGTACGTTGTTGAGGATCGCTCGTCAAAGGCGACTCTCGAGGCTTTATTGGTGGACATCTCTTCACGTTAGGATATCCTGCTTCTGAAACTCCTCACAAATTTCCAGGCTGTTGTTGCTTCCGGTCGTGCTGCTGACATGAGCCCCCGATCGTGTATGGGCTATGCTCGACACAGGTGGGTGCTGGCTATGTATATATGCGATTTGCTCAATGGCGATCTGTTTTTGCCGCGAGCGTCTCATTGCTGGAGTTGATAGCCTCCCTCCGTTCCGGCCTCCAGCGACTTTCGACTACTAGTTGAAATGATCTTGCTGGGATGCCATACGTTCAACAAAAGCATGGCAATGAACATCAGCGTCGCATCAAAGCCGTACAGCCAGCCCTCGGAGTGCTGCAGGGACCCGCCAAAGCCCTGACCGTACTCAATGGCACGGAAGAGGGACCGCACGAGGATGAGGGCCGAGACGGCGTACAGGACGAACATGAACCGCTGCCAGGGCACCGCCACGGTGCTGGACGCGGCCGTCGGGTGTCGCACTGTCCGCACGTGGAAGATGGACGCGACAATGACAAAGACGGAGAAGCCAATGAGCTGGACGGCCAGACCGCCGATGATGACGTTTTCGCCCGTCTGGAGGCCAGATGAGTCTTTGGCAGCTGAGAGCAGACCACCTCCACTGATAATCGACACTATTAGCTATACGTTTTCCTCCAACTTGGGGTTTAGGAATGGCAAGAAAGAGACATACGCTCCCTGCATCAAGAACGAAATCACGTCCACCGTGACAAATATCTTCGTGAGCCATCGGATTGGGATGATCGAGTTGCGTGCACCGTCCACGAGCCGGACGATGCGACCAAGGATCATATACACCGAGGCTGCGAACAGTGCTGGGGCGACTAGCAGGAGAAGCGTCTGTACGATGTATGGGCTGAGTGTCCAGTTAGGCGTCTGGAGAGCCGATCCTATGCGACCGCCGTATCCTATCGTCTCGAAAATGCCGCCGATAACAAACGGTATGAAATACCATGTCCGTGCTCGTGTCAATTGAAAGAGGTGCAACAAAGTTGAAATGGCGAACAAGGTCACGAATACTGCCGCGGCTGCCTTTGAAGGATCGTAATAATAGTACCTGAATTCGTCGATGTGCCGCGACTCGAGCATTGTTGCGTTTGGAATATTGGGTTAAAGAAGGAGTCGTTGGGAAATCTACGATAATTCCAATGTCGGTTACGTCTTCGATCGTGGTGAATATCGGGTTTGCGAGCTTGCAGTGATGTTATTGATTTCGAGAGCCATGATGGAATCCGGAATATCGTCAGCTTATATCAAATTTGGGATATTTGAAAATTGGTAACCGAGTTCAGAGTTTCTCTGGCCCAATACGCGTATGGGGCGTATTCGCAAACAGAGCATTTTAGTAGCGGAATATATGGCGGCTATGCCCGATCCACAATATACGAAGGCAATGCGAGAAAAATGCGAAGTGTACGAGGAGGATCCAACAGCTTGGGAGGATCCCGCCGTTGATGCTAAGCCAATCTGGGCCCAATGGTCAGCAAACGCCGCGCGGCTGAAGACATATATCTACGGGGTCTCGGATCTTTACACCTTGCGGCACTGCCACCACATCTCACCTCTATTTCCCCCCTGGGTTCCAACATGCATATGCAACTTGAATATCGCAGCAGGCAGCAGAATTAATCAGGCTCAGAAAAAGTCCTAGTCAAGGACGCTAATTGCGCAAAAACTGTGGCTTTGTCAGATAAGATCAATCCGCTCGGGCATAATGTCCGAATTTGCTCGGAGCGGCTGCCATGACAAGCGCAAAGGCTTTACGAACCTATACTATTGTCCGAGACCCAGGCCATATATGATAAATGTATTTGTCACCGCAGGCGGTTGTGATCCTATAAAAGAATCGTGCACGTTCATTCGGAACGTGCCTGGCCCGTAACCAAAAGGATTACCTAGTCACGACTTGTCTTCACAGCCATATCGGGTCCTGTTCATTCGTATTGTTACGAGAACTGAGAATACTTGTACATGACCTCTGTTGACTGCAAGCATAAGCGGAGATCGATATTTCCCTCACCTCAGTCCAAATGCAGCCAGTAAAGGGACATCGTAAAGGCCCAGTGTCATAGTACCAAAACACGTATCATGACAAAGATCCAGGATAAAACAGCGGTACCTTTAGAGTTGTTCGGAATAACGACATGGTTGTGTCATTGAATATGAACAGTGTACACCAGGTCCTTCATATCCGTGCGATTCAGATCCATTTCCCAACGGACTCTCTCAGCACGCTGCTCTCGTGTCTTCATGTACCCATGGGCCCCCGCGAATGCAAATTCCGTTCCTGGATTTTGGATTACCTCTGTACAGCGTGGTAGGCCTTGACGGGCTGCTATATGTTGCATGAGAGGCGTTCTAGAGGTGGTATGGCGCCCAGGCATGCCTGCAAACGTTAAGGTACCCAACCTAACATGGGCCACATGCCCCTGAGCCGAGGGTACCTGCCAAAGGATGAGGCCATGAATCTCCTCCGTCACGAGGCTCATGTTCACCATAAAGAAGCAGAGCTCCCGGGGCTGTGCAGCGTCTCCTGGCCACTCTGACACGTTCCAGTCAAAAGTGCCCCCCAGGGAAAACAGCGGTTCGAGTCCCGGAGATTCCAAGGGACGAGATAACAGGACCTTGTCCTCGTATCGACCCGAGCCAAAGGGATCGTGATTTTGAAGAGTCCCAAAGAGCGCAATGCCTGTGAGACTTAAAGGACCGTCGGTTGTCGTGATTATGCCGTCATCTTCAGCTTGAACCCATGGTATCCGATACTTACCCCACGGGTTGTTGTAGGCATCGTCTTGCTGCACTTTTCCGTCAAGGTTCAGCCAAGACCATGTCGGGGCAATGGACCTATCCAATTGTTTTGGCTTGGATTCGGAAAAGTGACTGGTCCAACAGAGCTGCCGGTGAAAATCGCGACTCCAAAGACCCTGGACATACAAGTTACCGGTATGGTGCCTTGTCCGTTGGAGGTGATCAGCGAGGCCCGACAGAGCAATGACCTTGTCCGTCTTCTTGGTGAGCGCGCACCCCGAATATTGTTCCACGATATTAGACCAAATGCGCCTAAAGTCTTCCTCACTCGTAGGAACCAGCCTCTTCCTCCACATAGAGAGAGATTGCTGCCTCGTCCAGAGATTGTCGGTGAGGCCGCTTGGGCACTGCTCATTGGCCACAAGCTCGGGACATTCCCAGTACGCCTGACTGGCTGTGAAGCTCAATTGCCTCCGTGCGAGATAGCGCTCCTGCGACACCCAAGCTCGGGTGTTCAGCGGCGCATTGACAACGTCGTTCTCGAATGAAGAGATGCGCGAGAATTGGTACATTGGACAACCGTGAAACTCGAAGCCGAGATTGATATAGGTTGCGTCCTTGAGAGCCGCGTCGCTGGTACTAAAGAGGCCCCCTGAACTTCCCGTCGACCAGCTAGCAGCAATGTTGCAGTCCGCATAGGTGTAGACTGATCTCATCAACGACGACTGCTCCCTCCAATCCTCCTGATCATCTTGGATGATGCAAAGAGAGTCGATCCAAATATAGTAGATTCCGAGCGACTTGGCCACATCAATCGCGTCCACAAAGGTTTTTGGAAGCTCCGACACTAGATTTCTCTCCTTGAACCTAGGAAGATCTTCTTTCATCAAGCGTCTGGGTTGAGATGCTCCCCAGCAATGACTTAGAGTTGCATAAGGTTCAACAATGCCCATCGTCTCATCTACCAGACTCCAAACCTCGGAGTCCTTTTCATATACTTGGATGAGCCTCTTGGGTCTAAAGGTACTATTTTGTTCCGACAAACGACAATTATGATGAGTCTGTTTGCATATAGTGTACCATTTTCGCCATAGCGAGACCGAATCTTTTGTTGAAGTATGCAACTCACTGACTGGTGACTCGACATGATTGTCGAATTCAATCGGGTCCAGTCTTGACATGAAGTACTTGATGCCATTAGAACCCCAGTCTCCATGATCGGAAAACTCGACTATTATGGAATCATGTCGGGTCTCGAGGGTCATTTGTGTGATCGCCTGGCCTTCTGCCCGAAAGACGGTTGTGATATGCTCGAGCAATGGAAGATTGATGCGTCCGTCTTTGCCCTGGAGGCTGGGCCTTTCGTACAAGCGACGAACCCACAAGTTTCGGCAGAACAAACAGCCTGTCGCGATTGAGCTATGCAGACCTTCAATGCTACTATGCAGCTGAACCACTACTTGGGTGTCTCCTGTGACTCTCTCGTAGCCACTCGTGCCCTCCAGGTGGGACTTCTTTGGCGTTTCTTCCAGGCGAAGAGCTGCATCTCTAATACCTGCTTCGCAAATTTGGCACAGCATGATTATTGTCGTACCATTTGTTTGTGGTGGCGCCGTAAGATACAGTCCATACAGAGGCTAGTCTGCGGCTGGGTTGGTGATGACACCAGCCAGAGTGCGGATGAGAGGGCATCACCAAGGAGTAGCACTTGTCGAGTCCACTACGAGCATGGGTTTGGATCCCAAATGTGCGTGTTTTATCGCGTTGGAATTCATTGTCACGTGATTATGAAGATGGGGACAAAAAAGTATGTGTCTTCATCAGAGCCAATCTTCTTTGCGAACAAATATGCAGTATAACAAATTATCTAATTTCTACACAGCGTGATGGTGCTTGCTATGCGAAATTCAAGGGACTTTATGTGGTTGTTCCCGTCAGTGCTAAATCGAAGACCTGGCGTGTGCGCCCGTGTGGGTTATGAGTCTACTACCTACCTAGAAGGTAAACTTGGGGGCTGTAGATCACAGGTGGATCTGACTCAAAATGATGCTCGCTGAACGCTGCTAATTGAGGGCCGTCGAGTTCTTGACTTGATAGCTCTATGGTGGAACTCAAGTCTCTTCTGACCAGTGCTGACAGGTTTTGTAAAATAACAATAATACTGTACATGTTCAATTGCGGCTTGTGCTCCACGCTTATCTATCTCGTGTGTTGCACTCAGATCGTCCATCTTCTTCGGAGGAAAAATACTTCCCCACAATTAATAACCATGTAACACTGCATAGTATGTACCTACATTATATACCTACCTAATTAGTATTCATAACTAATAAGTGTTATTATTAAGAGCGATTTAGGCGAACAGATTTCTCTCTAGTGATTACCATTATAATTTGAGCTCGTGAGCTCGGTTTTCGTTTATAGACTGAAACAAATTTATTCACTTTCTACCCTCTCAACATGTAACTGTGACAACCAGCATAACTCCAAGCCTAACATTACATATAAGCGCTTTTCGCAGCCTCTAAACTCCCGAGTCTTCTTGCACCACTCCTTTCGATGTTTTAAACGAGTTCCATGCGTTGCACTGGTCTTCGATATACTGAGTGTTTGTAAAGCTTGCAATCTCGCTGATACGCTCGGCAAACTGTAACGCGAACCCTTCGGAAGTGTGCCATCCAATCTGTCAATTAGACTTGTTAGCCAGTCTTGCATGGAGTCAGAAATAATGGGTATGAGGATACATACATGGCAGTGCATAAGCCAGATTCCGGGGTTGTCCGTCTTCCATGCCATCACAATATAACCACCGGATGGTAGCATGGCGACATCTCGTCTCATTGGGTTAGTTGTCTTCAACGTCACGTCGCTGGTGAAATTGCCTGTCCCCTGGGCGAGAACATAAAAGTCGTGACCATGAAGATGCAGAGGATGCGTGACACCAATCTGGGTTTCCACGACAATGTAAAACCAGTCGTCCTTGTTGGGGAGCGTGATGATGTTGTCCTGAGCATTGAAAACAGTGTCGCCGGAGAGAACGCGGCCCAAGGTGGGCGCGCCCCAGTCGGTCAACAGCGTAGTGCTGTTCAAGGTCCACTTGAAGAGGTTGCCTAGCACGCCGATTGAAACGTCCTCGCTGGTCTGGATGTCGGCACTTTCTACATTCTGCGCAAAGTGCGGCACAAGATCCATGGTCTCATCATCGCAACCATCGGTATAGTCCCAGGCAGTTGTAGTCGGGTCTTGAACGGTGCCATACGTTACAATACCCAAGATGTCGTCCGCGTTGGCATTAGACGAGCATGCCTCTTGAGGGATGGCCCTCATCCAAAAGTTTTGGGCTGTTGAAGCTTGGTTTGCTGTGACGATGACGTCGTAACGTTGCCCTGAATGACGAATGACGATTAGCAAAGCTGTGTATGAATGGAGCTGGAATAGATCAAGTACATACCCATTCCAATGTTGATGTAGTTTGTAGTATACGGCACGATGGGAACAAAATCTGCTGCAATAACCTGCAAGGTGTGGCCGTCAATGGAGAATTTCCAGTGAGTATCGATGGCGCTGTTGATTATCCGAAGACGGTAGGATGTTCCTGAAACGAATGATGTAGTAAACCGCGTTCCACTACCATCAAACGTGTTGGTTCCGTTGATTAATCCGTTGTCCAATGTAGGTGGTCCAACGGTCTGCGCGTAATCGTAGAGTGAGTTAGAAGTTGCGTGACTCCAGTCACTCAGAATAATAGTGCCCTTGTCCACATCGTAGTTTGCCGTCGCAGGCCCGTTGATGATCAACCCACCAAAGACACCTTCCCAAGCCTGAAGGGCAAAGTGAGAATGATACCACGAAGTACCATACTGTGTCGCCCGCCAAGTGTAGGTTATGGTCTCGCCTGGGGCCGTTGGGCATTGGGTAATGGAAGGTACTCCATCATACTCATTAGTATAGTTCTGACGGATTCCATGCCAGTGGATAGAACTTCCGTTTGTAGACGTCTGCAGGCCGTTGGTGACATGAATAACCATTGTGTCACCCCAGTCACCAATGATCGTGGGTCCTGGAACGGTGCCATTAACGGCCATGACAGGGCGAGCTGGCAGAGACATGTAAGTAAGTTACTAGCACTTGAATCCACAATGATGCACTCACCGAACCCGTCAGGCGAAGCGGTGATCTCAGTAATGGTCAACCAATACTCTCGCGTGCGGCCCGTGTTGGGTACCACATTGGTGTAGTCGGTATCTACCGAGTAATTGCACCATTGAGACCTAGAGTTGGCAGTATTTCCAGCGCATGGCGCGACGGGACCGGATGGCGGGGCTGGTTGGTTTGTCGAGGGAGGGAGAGACCCGAGAGTTCGAGTTGGACTTGGACCTGGGGCCAGAGTCGGTCTGCCTCCCGGAAAACCTGGCAAGGTAGGGTTCTGGGTCGGAGGGACCATTGTGACGCCATTGCCGTTGGTAGGAGACGGCGGCGGCCCTCCCTGCCGCTTCTCTAATGCGGCATTCTCAAGCCCAAGCAACGGTGAAGCCACCGAGCAAGTAACGAGGAGTTGGAGACAAGAGATGAACCTCATTGTGCAAAAACTAAACAGTATACACAAGGACTGCTGATTGGACCTATCATTGTGCGCGCCATTGAAACGAATATATACAAATATATACACGTTACTGCAACTGTAACACCGAGCGCAATACCGAGCGCCGAACGATGGTTCACAACCACGTGCCCGTTATAACCTTTGGTATACAAATATTAATAGAAGTATTTTTTCCGACATGCAACGTCAAGACCCTACCTACCTATATAGGCTACTAGGCGCTATCTATACTCACTACTAATCTCGGTAAATGAGTAACGCGTAAACAAAGATGCACGATCTTAGCGCCTAGACCAAATCCACACGATCATATGTCTTAACTTTATGCTTAAAACACTATTCAATTGTGCAAAAGCCGCGTACGTGCAATCAAGGAGATAGGAGGTATGGACTGTCAAGGACTCTTATCACGGGCACAATGGATGGAATGGGAGACTTAGCTGCAGGAACCATAGAGAGTTGCGAACCAGGGATAAATACGCTAACGATAAAAGGAAAGAGGGGCTCGTCACGAAGCGCATAGCCTTAGACTTATACCTCACCAATTCAGACCTGAACACCCACTTCACAGGTACTGTATCTATAGCAAAAGCCACGCTACCAGTCATCTGGAAATCCTGACGGGATGAACATGTCATTTCCCCCCCTCTTGTTCCTGCATGTCTTTAATACTCCGGCGCGATGGTAACCCGGGTTGCCAACCCGACCGAGGCTGTCCACATTATTGACTTTACCGCTATGAGCGCTACGTACATTTTTTTTTCTTCTGCCGCGCCCTCAAGTCCCGAGGCATCGACCGCGCCTTGTCCTTTGGTACCTTCCCTCTCCGTGCACCATTTATAGAACAATGCAAAGTCCTGTCGAGGGTCTACATGCGCCTGCTAGTGGCTTCTGATTGTCAGATAAGCACCTATAGTACACACAAGAACGTTTAATAATATATTGTGGTATAGTGGTGAAAGCACCACCTTTGAGACTTGTAAACCTTTTCATCTCCGAGAAGGATTCTTCAGTACGATTGAGCAAGATAGAAAATAGTGTCGAGTCATGGCAGCGATTGCATCCCTGGTCAGACATGGGTAACTTACTGCTACACCACCCTCAGACGTCCCCGTGGGCGATATGCACATTTGGAGGCTATATCCAGAGAGTGGAAGACACGGGAGACCGTCAGATCAGAGCTTGTAATGACTCTGAAAGACTTTTGTGAAGAGATTAGACTAGAAGGGGATTTTGCTCGTCAGGCGAGTCCTGAGAAGCGTGCGATGGCTTTGAAGCTTTCCGGAATTTCGAAAACTAGATGTTGGATAAAGGCGAGATCAAACATCAATCAGTAAAGGTAGTCGGTATCAGTTTTGCAAATATTCTCAAGTATTACAATGTCGTACCGACGTAGCCAGTACCCACCGCGGATCGCCTGCTCGGGTATATAAGAAAGCTCTTTAGCACCTCTCTATTGTAGACAAGAGATCAACTCGAATATCTTTCAATGCTTCGCTCGATCATCTCGTCTTCTTCTCCCCCTTCACAGATTAGCTCAGGTGTGATATGACAAGTACAGTCAGACTTTGCATCAGGATAAAAACTGGTCGTTTGCATCGATGCACAATAGAGATATCCATCTTTTCCATCTCCTGATTGCAGTGTTGCGGAACTAGAATAATTGAATCATGGTGACGAGACATATCCTGGATTGTTCAATTAGTACGTGCATTGTCTTCAATAAGACAAAGACCCACTGTCTGGTTGCGACATTTGTCTAGTGACTGGATGTAGCCCAAGCTAGAGCTACTTCAGTATCGTTTGCAAAGTCGAACTTCAGGATGTGCAAAAAGGTTAAGCTCATATGAGAGCAATTCATTCCATTCCTCCGGCTATCTTCGTCCAAATATGAACCTTACAGAGATACAAATTCAATGAGACTGTTAGAATAGAAGTGCATGAATCTGTCACATCCTCGTCGTGTAAAGTAATTATTGACTCCCACTTTCCGCTCAACCTAAGTTTCGTGAGATCGGACGGATGCGGGTCCCTTGGCAGCGGCTTGTGCGCCACGCTCATCCATCTCGTGTGCTGCAGGCTCAGACCGTCTTCTTCGGAGGAAGAAGAAAGCAAACAATGCTACAATCCCCAGAGATCCAACAATAGTTCCGACAGCAATTCCTGCCTTGGCCCCGGTAGAAATTCCAGAGGAAGAGGTAGAGGACGAGGAGGAATCAGTCTGGCTGGTAGATGTAGCACTGGGAGAACTTCCAGCTGTCGTTGTCGAGCTTCCCGAGTCGAACTCTGAAGCAGTGACGTTGAAACATGGTACGGATAGATCAAAGTCGGCATCTTCGACAAATGTCTGTATTAATACGAGGTCAGTGATGGTGTTCATTGTAAATGGTTGTTGTTGTTGTCTCTCAAACACTCACAATATCTGCGCAGGCATAGAAGGTTTCATTCTTGCCATTATTCTCGTCTTCGTACGTGGACCAGTATGCCAGTTGGATAGTTGCATTGGTACCAGCGGTCACAGTACTCGGGATACTCGCAATCTTGTAACATTGGTGGCCAGGGACAATCTCAGTGATATTACTGACGACCTGCTCTGTGAACTCGCTCTCCTCATCAGGATCTGATGCGATAAGTTGTTAGTCAAAGACAAGTCACGGAATCGATGGAACTAATGCTGACCGTTGTCAAATGCAATGTAAAATGCGACCTTGTAGGCCTCGTCGGCAATAGTGAGCGCCACCTCTCCCTGCGCTGGGATCAAGTCAGCTTCAAATGCATAAAGTGAAATCTTTGAAGTGTAATACTCACACAGAGGATAGATGGTCCTGTTGCCGACGCTTGTGGAACTTCCACAAGGACCGATGTTGTCGTAGGCGGCGCTCCATGGACGATCATCCGGCCACAAGAATGCGACAGGACCCATGACCGAGCCCTCGGCGCCTTCGCCGTGCGTGGCAGCCATGGCTAGCCGGGCCAGGCCGACAGCAAACAAGGACTTGAGCATAGCTTGAACCATGTTGTACTTGGAACAAAGATTTAGGAGAACGAAATTAAAATCGTGTAACCTATGTGTGAAGTCAAATCCGACCGAGAACTTAATCTGGAGTGCACTGGGGGGTTGAAGTAATCTCGGCAAGGAGGGGAAAGTTCCCTCTTATCCCCAACATGCGACGCCCTCGGACATATCAAACATTCTGTCGGACCAGCAACATTCGACTTGACTCATTGTGAGGGGTCTCTGCTTGAGGCAATAAGCATTCTAACCGCCATTTACAATCTACTCGCTTAAACCATCGATCGTATATGATTTGACACCTCGTCCAATGCACCGAAGCCAAGACTGTCAGGCCCACCGCTGAGCTCCACTGAAAACAGCCTAGAAATGCTTGAACTGCCACTCCATTGATGAAAAATTTCACACTGGAACAAGGACAAGATCTTGGCACACCTGAATGTATTGGATTTCACGATTTCAGCCGAGCCGATCCGGGGAATCACTTGATCAAAATAACCTATGAGGGTCCTGGAACCACCACCATTGCTTATCAGATCCGCCCAGAATCACACCCACACCCGGGCCCGGCCTATGCGACCAGGATTTTTATCTTATCAGATCCGAATCAGCCCCACATGAAGCCTCCGGACTGGCCGGGGATATTGGCTCACAACCTGTTCAGTGCCTTGTCGGCAGGCATATGGGTGTGAGTGTTGGCTCGTCAACTTTCCTCGAAGGGGTTGGTAGTATGCGCCAAGCTCGAAGAACTAGACTCGGCCGAACTCATGCGCGAATCCATTTTTCAGATCCGAGTCTATTTCATTCATTCATTCACCACCCGCTCACGCCAACATTGCCTGACTGTTAGCAAATTCAAACCATATCCACCGCCCGACATCGGATGGATTTAGCCGGCGGTGGCTAGCTTGGGAAATGCACCCCGTTTTCCATGTGGAACTCGCCCAAACCATTGGGACTATACCGATCATATCAAATATTCTTCCTTGTAGTTAATTAAGCGACGTTGCAAGCATTAAAAGTCGTTCGATTCACTGACTGACTAGGTATATATTAAGACCAGCTCGCCAGTGATACTTGCATCAACATCCAATCATTCATTCTTCTGCATCTTTCACTACTCTACAGCACAAAACGCCTTAAAAAATCAAAACCAACATCACAATGCACTTCGCTGGAGTTCTTGCGGCTTCTCTCGCCGTCGTCGCTGCTTCTTCTTTGGAGCTGGTCGACCGAGAAGTTGGTACAGCGTCATACAACTGCCACGATAACTGCGGTAAGAACAATTTCCAAGATCATTATTTTCATCGTATGTACGTACTGACAAGACAATCGTCTCGAACCAGGCCAGGCAATGTTGGAAGCCGAAAATGGCGATGTTTGTAGCGACTCCATCTTCCTGACCGACTACGCCGCTTGCCTGTCGTGCTCTGGAGAGGACAACCTCGACATCTGGAAGTACTATGGCCCGTCCTTGACGAGCGCCGCCGCTGAATGTGGACTTGAGACGACCCCCGCCGCCGGAGCGCAGAGCACCACGGTGCAGTCCGCCATTGCCGCCGAGACGGGGGCTGCTGAGACGACTGCTGCCGCCTCCACGGCTGAGGTCGCGACTTCATCTGTTGCTACATCCGCTACTACGTCTGCCACCGCCCAGGCGACAGCCGCTGGATCCGCCGTGGCGACTTCGACTGGCAATGCGGTACGTTTCCTGTTCACAACAAACCTTCCTTCGTCTGAGATATGACCTTCTTTTGCTGATCATATGAATAATAATATAGACTTCGACCGCCCCCACAAGTGTTGTGACGGCCGGTAGCTGGGCACAATTCGTTGTGAATATGCCGCTGTTGAGTGCAGTTCTTGCTTTCTCGGCTGTTCGGGCCATGGCGAGCTTGTAAATCTGCAGGAAGATTTCGGATGAAAAAGATCCCGACACGACGCTTTGAAGAAAGCGTGAGATATATGTAATCCACTATCATTCTTGTAATTAGGCTGAATATATTAATGCATTATTTGTTGATTACTGCTACTGCACCATGATCATTATATGTGTTAATTTCGCGATACAAATTGGCCTTCTGTTGCTGAGTGCTAGTTGCCAGTCCGGTTGTCAGTCGCCAGTGTTCTATAGCGAGTTCTACAGCCCATACGACCCGGGTATCCCCTATCGATTTAGGAATAGATGAATGTGACAATCTGGTTGCTGTTGATGCCACGCCAAGACGTGCAGCAGTATTGTTGTCTTGAGAATAAAGAGTGAAGATATGTATGCTTGACAGAAAGAATAAAATTTGAATCCATCTATTTGTTACCAAGCTCGCTCAAGATGATGTCCGCTGCCTTTTCTCCAATCGCGCAAGCAGTATTCATTGGGTTACCAGACACACTACCAGGGACGATGCTCAGATCAACGACCTTGAGTCTGTCAACACCATATACGCTGAGGCTCGCATCCACAGCGCCCTCTTTCTCACGTGGCGCCATTTTGCAAGTACCAAGCGGATGCCAGCTAAGACCGACCATTTCTTTCAGCCACGCTTCAAGCACAGCATCATCCTCGGCCGAATACTCAATGTCGGTAATGTCGGCAGGCAGAGGCCCTTCGAGTCCTTCAGGCTTATCGATGCCAAAAAGCGCTGCCTTGGATCCAGGGGAGAAAGGCGGATGGCCTGCGGGTAGCTCACCCCGAAAGAGGGACATTCGACGCACGATCTCCCGATGCTTCTTGTATGTCCATTTCATCATTTCGAGATCTAAGTCCTCAGGGTCGGTGAAAATATTAGCCTTGAAATCTATCGCGTCGCCCGGCTTTGGTCCAGCAATGTGGATATGTCCTCGCGAGTAAGGGTGAAGGATGAAGGTCGATATACCAAGGTATTGTAGAGGAGCCAAGGTCGCAGGATCTCCCGGGAATCCACCAATCGTTGCCATAACGCTCACAGGCTTGCTTGGGACGTTCTTGAAGTCTCGGTCCCAGGCCTTCTGGAATGCCGGGCTAAGACTTGCAATATCTGCATCGCTGGGTCTAATCTTGCCATGAATGTCTTGAGCATTCCATCCCATAACCTTGTCCTTGGTTTCAAGGAGGTGCTCGAGGGTGACTCGTCCTGCCTGTACACTGTCGACAGTCTCTTCGGGGGTCAAGCTTGACTTGTATGGGTACAAGATCATGTTGTGGTCATTGAAGTTCTCGCCCACACCGACATTTTCAGCGACGATGTTGTCAATACCAGCATTGCGCAAAATTTCAGCGCGACCGACTCCAGATCTTTCCAGAACTTGTGGAGTTCCAAAGACACCACATGACACAATCACCTGTTTCTTGGCTTTGACAGTGCGCACAGGTCCATCGGATCCTCGGGCCTGATACTCCACACCGATCGCCCTTTTGTTGTCATTAAATATAACGCGCACAACCTCAGACTCCACAACTACATGTAGGTTGTCATGTTTTCCATCTTGTAGTAGAGGATGGATGTATCGATGAGCCGTGTCTTGACGCTTGCCATCTGGACCGATGAAGCGCATTGCTCGTTGCACACCATTTGTAACGTCAAGGTCGTACAGAGTCTGGAGCTCACTGTACCCAACTTTTTGGGCAGCAGAAATGAAGTCATCTTCGCATCTTGGGACATTGAACGGCCCCGAAGTCACCTGCATGGGGCCATCATGACCGTGTTTGGCTTTGTCGCCCGGGCCGAAGTAGGACTCCAGCTATTGAGTTCTCATTAGCGATTGCAGCAACGAGGGTTAATAGTCGATGATTTTCTCCTTACCTTATTCAAGTATGGCAGCATTTCCTCGGCTGACCATCCAGGCATGTTCCACTCGTCATAGTCGGACCTTTGAGCGCGGCTGTAGACCATCATGTTGATAGATGAGCCGCCGCCCAAAACACTACCGACAGGTTCGAAGAGTTGACGGTTGCCCAGTTGCTCTTCCTTTTCACCAAGGTAGAACTTGGTCATTTTGTTCTTGGGAAGATAGTGGGTAATGAACATGAGCGGATGAATGATGCTCGGGTCATTGTAGTTGTTGGGGCCGCCCTCAATCACCAACACTGATACGCCAGCTTGGGCAAGTCGTCCGGCGACGACACATCCAGCCGTACCACCTAAAAGCACATTAGCAGTACGTTTGTAGAAATGCGTAAATAGGAGAATTCATTATTACCCCCTGCGATGATAACATCCACCTCGTTAACATTATCGGGCAGCTTGGAGTAGAGACCCATGATGTGACTAGACTGATTGGACGCACAAAAGGACTTGTGTTATCGAAAAATTTAGGATTTTATTATCTTTCTGATATCTTGAGAGCGACATGAGTTTTGAGAGATAAATAGTCGCTCAGTAATCAGTCGGAGCGTCTAATTTAGGCTGGAGCCCTCTTTGTTACAGAGCCGCACGTTTCCGATACGTAGCACTTGGAGGTTGGCTGCTTTGTTCTGTGCCAATTACAGTTGAATATGCGACTGTATCGTTGGACCGGCTCGGCACCAATGAGACCTACTTGGGATATGTAGATCAGTTAAGGTGGGGGTCTGGGGGCGGTTTTCAACCCGCAAATGACACGCAGGGCTGAGCCAGTGAAGCTATCTCGGGTGACGACACTGAATGCGCATGTTTTGTTGGTGTGACAGTGTGAGACAGAACCAAAGGTCTCTGCAGAACACTAGGACCGTCTGCAGGTTGGACGCAACTCTTCAATATTTGTTGCCGCATTTTAGAGTTATATGTGACTTTCAGTCGTCTTCCGAGCGTATCGTCGCCATACAGCCCCCATTTCCGCGCCGATGCGACCACCCCTCCCTCTGTGACGCCACCTCTTGCTCTTTCCCATTTGTCCGTTGCTGTTGTTACCATCACTGGAATCATGCAGAATCACTCCGTCCACGGCCCAATTCCCGCTCACCGGGTCGGACCGCGTAGCATCAATACCCCGTTGACGTTCTAATGTCAGCCCACAAGTTGCAGCCTTGTAGAAACCCCTGCCCTGCCTTGCCTGAAATGCCTTCAATTGGCCGCATGGTGCCCCAACTTTAGACAAATCATAAGGATCGCCGACAAAACACCGTGATTAGAACATGCAACCCCTGACTTCGTGGCAACAAGCAAGTTGCATATGGACCTCTGAGGAGGCGAATGTAATGCCGAATGGGATGAAAATATATCCAAAAAGTGAACCCCGGGCAAGGTGGAAGCCTCATTTTGATAGAAGCGTTGCATGAAGTAAGTAGTAATCAATACATATATGTATGTACATTATGGGGCGGTCTCGTTGGTGCAGCCTTACTGCGTACCGAGAGAGGGGATCGATGATGCGCCCTGGACACAACGGATGGTCGCAAAGAAAGATGTGTTCGATTAAGGTAAGCGCTCTCATGGGGGCTAGCCCCCCAGGAATTCCTGTTGTAGCAACCCCGCCCACTACCCTACACGACAGACGAGCAGCAACAGCCCCAGCAGTTATCAGTGTTAGTGTCCTTCCCACCATGACCTCAGCCTCTCAATACCGTAGCAAGCCCAGTAGTACAGGCCGTATGGCATTGCCCTGGTCCAGTGTTGTTGGTACCACTTTCCCCACCAGGTAGCCTGGGTGGAATGCAGGTGCGCGTATCGCACTACTCTAGTCTCCCACTGCTGCAAGGAGATCCTTCCCGCGGCCAAATCCTCCAAGCTCAATGCGTCGAAAGCGGCCTGGCTCACGCCCGATCCAACGTGGGGGCGAGAGAGGCACAGCGCATCGCCAACAAGCAGAACCTTGCCGTCCTCAAATGCCGCTTGAGATGAAAACATCTCTGTGACAGCTTGGAGGAAAGGCTGTCGTATCTTGAAGATTACATCAAGACATGGGGAGGGGAATCCAGCCGCCCGAGCCTGCTTTTTCTGTGCAACCCATACCTCCTCTTGAACATGTCCCGAGGGTACCGTCGTTGCGTGCTTGTGTCCATCAAGTCTGTCTAACATGATGCGATTCAAATCTTCGACTGACTGGTTCGTGTACCAGGCAAGGTTGAGTAGCCGCTGACCAGGCTCGAGCGAGCCGTCCTTTCCCGGGATAATGTATGCCATGCAGTATTGTCGCTGTGAGGCACAGATCGTCAGGCTGTCCTTGAAAGACTCCAACAGAGCAGGCGAAACCTCGCCCTCGGGCACAGTGCCCCGCCAGATCACATAGCCCACATATTGACGCTGGACTTTGGGCAAATACCGTCGCCTGATGAAAGAGTTTGGGCCATCTGCACCAATGACCATGTCTGCTTCGATCTCGAATGTTTTGTGTCCATCGAGATCCCTTACTTCCAAGATCATTTGCTGACCAGATGTACTTCGGGAAAAATCAAATACTTCATGACGTGAAAGAAGCTTTGCAGAACCATCTGTAGTTAATGGAGTGGGATGTGATGGATAGTATGAGCTTATGTAGCCATCGAAGCAGGACCGCAAGCGATAGTATAGAGCATCCCACGCCGTAACCTCACGGGTCACCGTTGCAAGTGACTTTGTAGACCCGTCTTCTGTTAAGAGGGACTGGATTTTGTAACTGGGAGAACAAAATGGACTATTCTGGCGATCATGGCGTGCCAAATATTCAACCGTGTCAGGACCAAGGACTACACCGGCCATATGGCTCTGACGTTGGTCATTGTCCTGTTCGATTATGGTCACGTCATGGCCGCCATGCTTGAGTGCAATCCCAGACATAAGGCCAGAGATTGATCCTCCAACCTACTCCTGTTAGATAAACTCAGCAGCATTCGGCATATAACTCACAATAACGACCTTCATGGCCGACTTTTCAAAGATATTATCCGGTTTGCAAGCCATTGTTGTTCGATGAGAATTCCAAGAATTCGGATTGTGGATGGGCTCCAAAATGAGTAGGCTTAGTGATCCCTACCGAGATCATGGAAAGCTGTATGATTGATGTAAAGCAGCTGAGCATGTACATATATGCCAGTCTGTCCGCGTGGGGTACGGCGGGGTCTGTTTCTCCCAAATCTACGCCCCAAGCACCTGATTAGCCTTGGATACTTATCCACGTCTATAAGTTTTCCAACAAGTAGCCGAGTACAGTCTTGAGTTTGTTCTATCATCTTTCCAACATCTTTGTATGCATATCACAACCAATGGAGTGTCGCTTCCCCTTAGAGAATGCCCCGGATGCTACAGTGCGGCAGTCGATTGATGCTGCACTGGCTAGCATGAACCTCGACCATTCAAACACATCATTCCTAGACGACAATGAGCGCTCTTTTGTAGGCCCATATGGAACTCTGAGGTATAAGCACATCACTTGCCCAGAATTTCTTTGTATCATTTTGTGTTTAGATTTAACTGACGTGGTCGCCGAAATAGTTACTCACCCGAAATGGTTGAGCCACTATTTCAAGCTGGAAGAGCCTTGTTCAACCCCCGAATCTGCAAACCACGTAATCGAGAACTAGCATTGTTGGGACTCACTTCTATTCGAAAGGTCCCGCTTATTGTTCATTGTCATCGTTCTGTTTGTCAGAGCATTGGCATCACCACTGAACAGTATGAGGACGGTCTGGCTGGCAGGTTTCCGCAAGGGCTAAGCGAGGAGGAGATCATGGCCTACAAACTAGGACGGGTCTTCACCAAGATCGAGTCACGATTAGATGATGCGATCTGGAAAGAGGCAACAGAGAAGATGACAAAGTCCGAGGCGGCGGGAATTGCTCACGTGGTTGGAGGATACCTCTGGATGACGTTGTTGGCGAACATCAATGGATAGAATGTTGATCTAATCTCTAGTACCATTTTGCGACTGTAGGAAACAACCGCCTTTTTGAGCTTTGGAGATGTGATGTCTTATAATAAACCACTTATATGAAGTCCAACAATAAAAGTTCATGTACCTAAACGACCATCAAGACCTCTTTAAACATTGAGTAGCCTAATAATTAACATCAACCGTTCTGTCAACCTGAATACCTGCTTGAACATGATTCTGGCTTTCCAACTCGATCGCATCATCTCCGGTGGCACTATGTATGTGATGGAGACGTTGAGTGGACAAGTTCATATCCTCGTCATGGCGTGATGGTACGGTCTGTGTGCCAACAACAGTTTGATTCGTGTAGGGAAAGGGTTCATGAAAGCCATCGGCACGCAAGCTTCCCGAATCTGCTGCTGCCCCTCGGTAGAGCTTTTTGTTGCCCGTCCTGGAAGATGAATAGGACTGACTCCCACGAGATGCCCACACGGAAGACAGCTTAATCCACAGAGGCGAGAAGTACGAACCAGCCAGTTTCCGTCCAAGCGGCAACATGGCAGGGAGACAGACACAAAGGATGCAAATTGCTGGCTCGGTTTCAAACCAGTAGAATAATGACACTGCCTCATCTGCAATGGCGTTAGTCTCTTGACATACACACCACCATAGGCCAAAAATCTCAGAGATCATCACTTACAAGTAATATCCGTGTTGAGTGCCTCTGTGGACTTGAGGAGAGTGACTGTGCGACCAATAGATACAACAATGACACTTGGCTTTTAGTCAGTAAAAAATAATTATCTTCAATGTGGCCTTGATGCATTACCTATATCCCAAGAAGAATATTACCATGAGTCCACCTTTCCGTGCGAGGCCGAGTTTGATGTTCCAAATTTTTGGCAATGGCAGAAGCAAGATGATGAGATCCATGACAACGCTTGCAACAGCGCTACCAATGTAAACTCGGTTTGAATTGACACAGTCTCCATCGATTGTCGGGTACCAGTTCTTTTCCATAGGGATGCAATCAAAGAATGTCGCAACAACAATTCCTACCCACCAAGCAACGTTGAGTGCTTGTGCAGTGTACAAAGATATGTTATACCACTTAGCGTTAACACCCTTTGGGAATAAGCGAACTAGGAAAAGTAGAGCAGATGCCCTAGATAGGAAGATCGCGGTATCGAAACAATAGTTTCCTGTGAAGAAGAGTTTGAGAATAAGGGTGATATCGTTAAGTTGTAAAGTTTCGAGATGACGGCCGAATCCATTATTGATCATGACGAATGTTAGAGCGAATTGAAGAAGGAGGAAGGGCTGCCGAATTCATCAGACATGCAAAGAATTGACAAAATCACTGCCCCGGGGGGGGGGGGGGGGGGGGCATACCAGAGCGCACAGAACCAGCCAGTCATCCCACCAAAAGCTTGCAGTGCGATCCCACGCCGTCGCATTTGATCGAAGGCCTCGAGAAACAAAGCGTAAACCAACAGCGATTGTTGTCGCAATGGATAGGAATATGAGATATCCTTGCAGTGAGCCTCCACGGTCGTCCTCGCTGCTTACTCTTTGAAGTAGTCGAAGGGTGCTTGGCGACATACTGAGGGAGAAATGCCAGAAATGTCGGGTTAATCTGCTGACTGGTTTTTTCTTTTCTTTTCTTGAATTACGCAAGATGATGGCTGTCGAAATGAAAGGTTGATTCAACTTTTCTCCATAAACATAACATGGTAACGGGCTTGCTCATAACTGACCGGCGTGCGTAGGTCCATGGACCCCATTCTGATCTCAGTTACACGATAAGGAATTACCACCAGAAGTGCTATGCAGCCTTGCTGCTGCTGACAGCATGTTTCATGTGCATGACTGAACCAGTCACCACATCCCGTTGGTGATACTGGTTTTGGATGTTGCAGTGGTAGTGCATATTTAGTGGAGAAAATTGGAATATAGGTAGCCAGGAAGCCAATGATTTTGATCGCTTGAGCATTGAAGGGTGGTTGGTCGTGTAAGTACTATGTACTTGCACAGTAGGTACATATGTACCTATGTTTGAATACAACGTTTAAAAGGCTGGCGACCATATGCGACTTGAGAGCGCAACGAGAGGTAACTATCGGTATGAAGTTCGTTGCACCAACCAATCGATGAGCCACAGCCGGAATGCGACGCTGCCATTATCACACACAGCCCGCGGTGAATACTACACTGTGCTAGCATGTACATCTTTAAAATATACTAGGTACCGTACCTAGGTAACGACTTGATTCTGAGGATCAGCGGCCCCGGCATGGCCCTTATCACAGTAAGGTTGGTGATTTAGTTACCTAGGTAGGTATGTACGTACCTATGCAGATGCGGGTCAAGCCCTACCGGAGCGGCCCGAGGCCCTGTGAGCCGCGAGTATCGCTTCCGTCTAGGGGCCTAGCGCTCAGAAGGAATTTGCGCGTAGGTTCCAGGTTGGTATAGCAGGAGACATGACATGGCATCCGGCAGGCTGAGCAGCTGCAGGACAGGCCGGTCAAAATAACCTGCAGTCTGCAGCCAATGCCTACTAGGCAATTGAGCGACCAACAACTTATGTGTATGTGGACAGTGATTGAGAATGCCCGAGGTATGACCGTCACAATGCAATGCATTGCGAGACCACAAAAGTCAAGTTTTTGGAAGCAAAAGCCTCATTCACCAACAGTGTTCTTAGGTGTGAGCCTGGTAGACACCTCTTATCACAACCAACAAATCGCAACGAAATATATGGCTCGACGAGTGGCATAGTTGGAGTAGACTTAGACAATAATGAAGCTATCTATATCTATACTTCCCACCATATCAAAATCTCCTGTTCTTTAAGTGCCAACACATTGTACTATTTGAGCCATGGGATTATTGCTATTAGCAGGCGAGTCATTGCAGACGATTGAGCATTTTCTGTGGCCATAAAGATTGAGGGAACGGCCAAGGAACTTCTGAATTTTTCCCAATAGTAGTTGATTCAGATATGAAGCCGGCAATCACATGTCAAAAATATATAGGTACCTACCTAGTCTACAAACAAGTGGACAGCCTTACCCTCTACGGTATTACTTTTGCGAACCCATTTGAGCCCCCGAAGTCCATTGAGACATGCACTCGAGGGCACCTATATTTTCAATCCATTTTAGGAATTATTCGACACACAGTTGCTTGAGGTAGGGACGAAAACAGGTTTATGAGTTACACAGCGATGGACGCTCACTGCCAACAAAGCCTTTACTCTATGACTCAAATTGAAAATCATGTCTCCAACGAGAGCCCACCTGATGAGGTCACGAGCTCTTCGGTAGTTGCACTTTGAGTCGTCATTCGTCTGATGTGGTCGCAGCGACGTGCTGAGCCTTTGCCCTACAGCCAAGTAAGCATACTTCCACTACCTCCAGCCCATTTAAATATTATTGCCGAGGTTGTTGTCAGTACAAAAGCCAGTGCGAACATCATCGAGAAACCCACAGTTAATATCTGGGGCCGGAACAAATCCACCGCATTATCAGGTGTTGACGATCTGTGCCGCGTTTGTTGGTTAGAATTGAGCCTGGGCTAGTCGTTGGTGCGGATGGTCCAGTAGATTCGCAATAGACCATGGCGAATTCCATGTTCGCAATAGACCATGGCGAATTCCATGTCTGCAATGACCCCAGGGTGCGAATAACCTGAAATATCTACATTTTATGGACAAGTCATATGTACAAGTCATGTGTTCATGTCAACGTCCACAGGGTCATATTTGGTATACAGATGTACTCTTGACTCAATAATCTCGTTTTGAACTGGATTTGTAAACGAAGCAACAAAAAGCTCGCATTGTCACACTGCGTTTACACACCGAAAAGCCAATGATTGAATACCAAGCATTGTATTTCATTATGAACAAGATCAATTGCACACATCTCGAAACTTGAGTCAAAATTCAGTATAAATGCCATTGCTGGTAGAGCCTAGAAGATCGGATCACAGCAGCCCCTTCAACGATAATCTTGCGCCCTGAAACCCATCCCAGCAGCACTTTTCAAGGCGACAGTGACATGGAGGTCCGAAACCCAGCTTTGGCTTCCGAGCTTATATCACTAAAAGCTCCAATACCGCAGTTGCGGGGCGAAATGCCAAATGAAGGCGAGTCTCAGTATGACTTTCCAAAATCAGATACCGGCTCTTTTGACTCAGAGCTCGATGGTATTGATGGGGAAGATCCTGTTGTTGTGTGCGGATTCTCTATCAAATTACCACAAGATGCAACCAATGCAGACAGCTTCTGGAAAGTCATGATGGACAGGCGCTGTGCGATGACAGAGTTTCCTCATGATCGAATGAATGTCAACGGCTTCTTCCAGCAAGAACCAGGCCAGAGTACGGTACGTCTGTTGAGGCTCCTGTCTTGCCACTAAAAGAGGAAGGGAATTTCGCTCTTGCCTATGGAGTCTGACTTGGATCAGATACCTGTTCGTGGGGGCCACTTCTTGAAAGAAGATGTTAAAGCATTCGACGCTGGCTTCTTTTCGATTTCTGCTGCGGAGGCTGCTTCAATGGATCCAATGCAGAGAATGCTGCTTGAAGTATCATATGCAGCACTTGAAAACGGTACGCAAAAATAACCTCTACGGGTAAATCATCGCTTACATGATTGATAAAGCTGGTATTACAATGCATGACATATCCGGCTCGCGCACCGGTGTCTATACAGGCAGTTTTGGCATCCAAGATCACACGCTGCAATTGGCTCGAGATCCGGAATGTTCTCCAATCCATGCAGCTGTCGGCTCTGGGTTGAGCATGCTGGCGAATCGCATCAGCTGGTTCTACAATCTACACGGTCCCAGCATTGGTGTTGATTCCGCGTGTTCTAGTGCGACAATGGCCATCGATATAGCATCCCAGGCACTAATCACTGGATCCTGCGACATGGTACGTCCCATCGCCTGGCCAAGCCACATGAGATGAATCCGTACTAACTCATCCCAAGGCCATGGTGACGGGCTGCAATATGGCCATGTCGCCTGAGTTCTACACTTGGCTAAGCAATATGGATTTTCTGTCGCCTGACGGTCGGTGTCATTCCTTCGATCACCGTGCGAATGGGTACGCCCGAGGTGAGGGAATAGGCGTGGTCATTCTAAGCAGGCTTTCACGTGCACTCGCAAATCAATACACAATCCGTGCCATCATCCGATCAACAGGGTCCAACGAGGACGGCCGAACCCCGAGCATTACGTACCCCAGTCGAACTGCCCAAGAACGTCTTATCACAGAGACCTACAGCAAAGCCAGACTTTCCATGAAATACACAAGATTTTTCGAGGCACATGGCACGGGTACTGCTGTTGGCGACCCTCTTGAAGCAGAGGCTATTGGCTCTGTGTTTCGAAAATATCGCAGCGTTGAAGAACCACTCTACGTGTAGGTCAATGATCAAAGACCAGCTGCTCTGCTTCTTTGAAAAATGACACTGGGCTAACTTTAATATCAGCGGTGCCGTCAAGTCAAACATCGGTCATCTTGAAGGTGCGGCTGGTCTGGCTGCCCTTGTGAAAACGATTATGGTCCTTGAAAGAGGCATCATACCACCCAACACCAACTTCGAAAAGCTCAATCCAAAAATTGACGCGGATTTCCTCAGACTCAAGGTAAAGAATCACCCAGATGCAACTTTTAAGATTTTTTGGTATCTTTCAATTGGATGTACTGACAAATTGCTTCGTACTAGTTCCCATTGGAGTGTCACAGTTGGCCTTCCACAGGCGTAAGGAGAGCTTCGATTAACTCGTTCGGTTACGGAGGCGCCAACTCACACATTGTCGTTGACGATGCTGGTAGCTACCTTCGACTCCGAGGACTTGAAGGAAGACACTGCACGCATTTGTGCCCGGATCAAACAAGTAGCCCGATGTCCCAAAAGACTCACAATTCGGTCGTGGTAGATAAACACTCAACAAAACTTGTTGTGCTTTCTGCAAGCGACGAGAATGGCATCGCAAGAATCAGTCAAGGGTATCAGGAATGGAGATCCTCAAGTCAGAAAGACCCTCAATTTCTTGATAATCTAGTATTTACACTTGATAGTCATCGCACTCACTTACAGTGGAGATCATTTGCTCTACTTCGATCGTCGTCGGAGTTACAAGAGCTTTCTACACACTTGTCAGAACCGAACCGAGTTCGGACATCACCCCCGCGACTTGGATTCATTTTCAGTGGACAGGGCGCTCAGTGGGCTACCATGGGGAAAGACCTGATGAATTATCCCTCTTTCTTGGCAGATCTTGAGCAGGCAAGCAGCTTTCTGAAAAGCGTAGGATGTCATTGGGAAGTTGTCGGTAAGCATATTTTAACCCAGACCCTTGATGAAATCCACTTGAAGCACTTGACTGACTTTCTTGATCCTACAAGAGGAGCTTCTCAAACCTGCGACTGCATCAAATATTGATAATGTAGAATTCAGTCAGACGCTCTGCACAGTTCTGCAAATTGCTCTTGTGAATCTACTACGAAAGTTCCATGTTCTACCTTCAGCATCAGTGGGGCATTCTTCTGGAGAAATAGCAGCCGCGTACGTTGGTTCTCATACCCTCAAAGCCTATCTTGTATTTCAGTGCTGATGAAAGTAGGTATTGCGCTGGGTATATAACCCAGGAATCGGCGTGGAAACTGGCCTATTTCAGAGGGCTTTGCTCTGCCAAGATGCAAAGCCAGTCTGTAACAAAAGGCGCCATGATGGCAGTCGCATTACCAGAGCAAGAAGCTGGCGATTTGATCAGCTTGTTCAACGAGAGAAGCCACTCATTTGGTTTATCAATCGCCTGTATCAACAGCCCACACAATGTCACAATATCGGGTGAAGAAGTGCTGATTGATGAGCTTAAAGCTCTTATGGACGAGCGTCAAGTATTTTCGCGCAAGCTTCGAGTGTCGGTTGCATACCATTCGCCTCAAGTCAACATTGTCGCAGCTGAGTACGAGTCTATGATTGGATCAATACAAGAAGGGGCAAGATCTGATCATATACCAATGATCTCGAGCGTCACAGGAGAATCAATAGATCCTCAGAGTGCTAGCAACGCAAAGTACTGGGTCAAAAACATGGTTTCCCCTGTACGTTTTGCGCACGCTGTGACCTTCCTCTGTCAAGAACCAACATCGTGTCTCGTGGAGAAGGGAGATGGAAGTCACACGCACAAAACCGTGGTGGATCATCTTATTGAGATAGGCCCCCACTCTGTGCTGCAAGGGCCTCTACAGGAGATTCTCAAGACCGTACCACGTGGCAAGGGTGTCGGTTACAGCTCAGTGATGCGGAGAGGTAGCTCGGCTGAAAATTCGATGCTCAAATGCATGGGAGAGCTACACTGCATGGGTCTTGGCGTGAACTTGAGGGCTGTCAATGCCTTTCAGTTTGACTGCCCCAAGAAGAACCGGTATGCATTACTTGTCGACTTACCTGAGTATCCTTTCGACCATTCCAGAAAGTACTGCAGTGAAAGCCGTGTAAGCCGCGAGTATCGCCTACGCAAAAATGCACCGCTCAGGCTCCTTGGCGTCCGTTCTCAAGAATGCGACCCCTCTTGCAGCCGTTGGAGGAATTTCATCCGTACCTCCGAAGTTCCGTGGGCAGAACACCATGTAATTGAGGGCAAGGTCTTATATCCGGCTTCTGGCATGCTTGTGATGGCAATTGAGGCGTCAAGACAGCTTCTGGAGACCTCAGAAAGGTCTATCGATGGCTACGCCCTCAGAAATGTTCGATTTGAGGCTCCTATGGATCTAAGCGAGAACCATGGTGTACTGGAGGTCCAGACCTCTCTCAAGCGTGTCACAGATGAGAACAGTATGCCATCATTCCATTTCACCATACATTCTTACTCAGCTTCAGACTGGATCCTGAATTGTTCTGGCTGGATCGATGTTGGACTGTCCAGCCGGACAAATGACACATGGGCAGGCCAAAGATCTGCACAACAGCAAATGGATATTGTTGCGGAGCTTACAATTTTGGCAGATACTTGTCGGGCCTCTGTCGAGCCCCAAACGATGTTTGACGCTTTAAGAGACTCCGGCTTAGAATATGGGCTAAAGTTCCAAGAATTGCAGCAAGGTCCTATCTTCTTCGACAATGAAAACAAACAAGCTTTCTCAGAGCTCAAAGCATTCGAGGACAGTGATGACAAGCACGGCTACATTGTCCATCCTGTCACCTTGGATGCAATACTGCGTCTCTCTTACACAAGCTTCACGTCTGGCGGCTCGCGAAAAATGCCAACCAGTATTCCTACTGGCATCGGCTTTATGTGGCTATCTCACCGAAAGTCGCTGGGACACCTTGAAATGAAGGCCATGAAAGCCTGCAGTCAAATCACTGATGTCACGAGAAGAGGCTTTTCATGCAGTGGTGGGGTCCTAACCACCCAGCGCGAGTCTGCAACGGAGCTGGTGTTGCGTTTTCATACACTGCAGATGACAAACATCGCCAACTCTCCACCAGCTGATCCCGTTTTGTCCAATGGTAATCCGAGGCAGTGCTGTATGGAGATCGAATGCAAGGTCTCCCTTGATAAAACCGATTGCTCCAAGCTACAGGCACTCCTTGACAACTTGCACCCAGCCCAGAACCAACTAGCCAGTCAGAATGGCGAGCTTTCTTTACTGACAGAATTGTCTCTGGTTCTCTTAGAGAAACAGTTTGATCCATCAATACTTGATGGAACTCATGAGCTCTGGAAACGAAGGTACTGGCAGTGGGCAAGTCATCACCTTGGAATTGTTCATCACAAACGGTCTTGGAGTGAAGCTGAGGTTTCTTCATTGTTTGAAGAACTCCGCCAGCGTCTGCTGAGCAGAGATCACGCCGGGCGGCTGTATGCGACTGTTGCTTCCAAGCTCACCGGCTTCTTGCAGGGATCTGCAAACCCACTTGAGGAGCTCTTGCACACTGGTCTGCTCAGAAATTGCTATGAAGAGTGGTCACGATATAGATGCTCTCTCCAGGCTGCATCATACATGGACCTTTTGGCCCACCAGCGCCCCGGAATCACCATCCTTGAAGTTGGAGGCGGCACTGCCGCAACCACGAGAAACTTCCTGGGCACACTTGGTAATGGAAGCAGCCTTCGCTGTAAGCGATATGACTTCACAGACATATCATCGGCTTTCTTCGCTCACGCCCGTGAAGAGTTCTCCCAGTATCAGTCACAGATGTCATTCAAGACATTGGACTTGGAGAAGGATCTCACCAGCCAGGGGTTTGAAGAAAATAGTTACGACGTTGTAGTAGCTGACAATGTTCTACATGTTCCCGAGAGCTTAGCTACAACGCTCAAGACTGTACGCAAAGCCCTCAAACCCAATGGCAAGCTCATCATGCAAGAGATCATGAAGCCGGATGGATGGACAGCTGGTTTTGTATTTGGATTATTTCCTGGTTGGTGGCTCGGTGTCGACGATGGCCGCCAGTTGTCCCCCAATATTGGTGTCTCTGACTGGGATACGCTTCTTCAAAGTCATGGCTTCTCCGGTGTTGACTTTTTATTTCGGGACACGGATGACGAAGAAGCACACCATATGGGATGGATCATATCCACGGCGGTGGCTGACACTCCTGCTCCACAACCTTCGCTGGCAGCAAGGCAGCATTCTATGATCGTTATCCTAGACAAGATGGACCCCCTCCAGTATTTATTGGCTGAGGGTATTGAACGCCAACTGATGTGTTCCTCCGAGCCCAGGCCGACTATTCTTTCCCTCGATGAAGCAGCAGATGCTCTCGGAAGCAACGCATTTGATGGGCTGGTGATCCTTCTGGACTGCGGAACTCGATCGTTGTTGGCTTCAGTCGACCTTGGAACAACGTGGAGTTCCTTGAAACAACTGATTATGTCATGCCAAGATCTGCTCTGGGTAACTGGTGGCGGGGGCAAAAGCCATAACGTCAGCCCCAGCCATGGAATGCTAGATGGTTTCGCCCGGACCTTGCGCTCCGAGAACTATCTCCTCCATTTAGTTACTTTGGAATTGGATCTTGGAGAAGAAGCGTCAGAGTGCTTATCGGAGCATCAAGCCAATCATCTGTCTGCTGTGGTGTACGAGATGCTTTCCAGAAAACATGATGGAAGATACGAACAGGAATATGTCGAGATCGATGGACTGTTGCACACGCGCCGAGTAGTCGAGGCACCATCGTTAAAAGGTCAGATCGAATCGCGATTGATGCCTTACCAAACGATCCAAGCAAGACCAGATGGTCAAATTCGCTTTGAGGCAACAACCACAGGAGCTGAACACAGGTTGCAGTATGTTCAATCCATCGATGACCAGGAAGAAGAAGAAGAAAGACTGAACGCGGATGCTGTTGAGATCCAAGTCAAGGCTGTTCGACTACAGCATCGAGACAAAACCAGCTTGATGGAAGCCGAAGACAAGCCAGACCTTGGCAGCTATTGTTCAGGAACCATTACACATGTCGGTCTCAACGTTTCGAAGTTCAAGACAGGGGATCGCGTGATAGCATCGCAACATGGGTCTTTTCGTTCTCACGTCCGGGCGCAAGCCCCGTTAGTTGCGAAGCTCCCGTCTGATTGGACATTCACTGATGCTTGTCAGATGATCCCACAGATGGTGGTCGCTTACCATGCCCTCGTTGAGATAGGCCAAGTCAAGGCCAGCGACTCAATACTGATTCATAATGGCGCAAATCCAATAGGCAGAGCAGCTCTGCAGCTTCTAGTCAGATCGCGTGTTGACCCCAGTGGACTCTGCGTCTCTGTTGGGAATGAAGATGAGGCTGCAAAAATCATGGGAGACTCAAGCCTTCCATTCGACAACATTGTGCCTCAAAGCTGGTTCGGAACTGACCTATTACTGGCACTGTCAAAATTTGCAAACAGATTCGACATTATTTTCGATACTTGCCCGGAGAGATCGCTGTTATCCGTACTCATGAGCTTTCTCAAGCCGAATGGTCACATCATTCAGCTTCGCCCAGACACGAAATCTCGGTTGCAGTCACTACATGGAGCAATAGCAGCTTCCAACATTTCTCATTCCTTCATAGACGTCAATCGAGATCCGTCTGAGGAGGCTCTTGATTACGCGACGACCAGTTCAAAGATTCTCGACTCAAACTGGACTACAATGCTCGCGGCACATCGCACAGACGAAATCTCGAATGGCCTTCGGACACTGGACCATCAAACCTGCTTAGTGGTCTGCCTTGATGATCAAGAACTCAATGTCAGTTTACATATCTTTACATACTTACATATCGTGCTGACCATATTTTCAGTTGAGAAAACCTAGAATTCCCACATTCGTCGCGAGGTCTGATGCGACCTATCTGATATCTGGCGGCCTTGGCGGCCTCGGACGAGAGATCGCCAGATGGCTCGTTAGTTGTGGTGCTCGCTATTTGATATTGCTCTCTAGATCTGGTCCGGAAACAGAAGAAGCCAAAGAGCTCATGAATGAACTGACTGCGAATAATGTTCTGGTAGAGGCCAAAGGCTGCAACGTGGCCGATGCGGTGGCGCTTGCATCGGTTCTAGCTCAATGCACATTGAGAGGGTTCCCTCCTATCAGAGGTTGTATACAGGCTGCCATGGTCATGAAAGTACGTTTATTATCCGTATTTTCTGCGAATTATGCTTACTCTGCGCACCTTTCTTCTAGGAGAGAGTGTTCACCGATCTTTCCTTCGAAGATTGGAAGAATGCTACAAGTCCCAAAGTCCACGGGTCGTGGAATTTGCATGCTCAACTTCCTCAAGAACTCGACTTTTTCGTTCTCATCTCATCGAGCATGGGCGTTCTTGGAACAGGATCCTTGGCCGGTTACAATGCTGGTAACACATATCAGGATGCATTGGCTCGCCTCCGCGTAGCTCAGGGGGAACATGCGGTCTCCGTCAATCTAGGAGCAATTTACGATGGTGGCTATCTAAAAGAGCGCACCCATCAATTGCTAGGGCCTAAGAAACTTGAAAGATACGTGTTGATGAGCACACAGGAGCTCTTGGCGCTCATGGACTGGTGCTGTACCAGCGATATAACGACAATCGCAGACGACCATCCAACGGCTAAATCCTCCAAATCTCAGGCTATAGTTGGTATCAGCCCTCCGGCACATTGGAGACACATTGAAGAAATCCCTGCTGTCATGGAGATGCCCTTCTGGGGACATCTGCATCATATGCCTGCCCCTGTTGCCAGTGGTACAGAAAAAGCAGCAGTGCATTCTAAGCTCAAGCACGCCAGTGTCGGTCTAGAACAACGTCTGACATCAGTCGAATCTCTGGCTGGTTGCACCGATGTGACCACTGAAATGCTTCTACAACGCGTTTCCACAATTCTAGGTACCTCGATTGAGCGACTAGATGTACAGAGTGCTATCCACTCGTACGGCATCGACTCGCTGTCAGCTATTGAGTTACGGAATTGGGTTCTCAAGACATTCCGGGTAGATTTACCCGTTTTCAAGATCATGGGGGGAGCGACATTTGAGGCAGTTGGATTCGAGATAGCTCAGGTCCTCCATGAAAGGAACAAACCGGAAACGTCGAAATAGAGCAAATATACTCTCACCTGAGCCGATGTGTGAAGGGGGAACTGAAGACGAGATGATCGAGGAAGCATTGAAAGTTGTCTGAGTTGATCTCTAGTCTACAAAAGAGAGGTGCTGAAGAGCGACTATATACCCAAGCAGGTGATCTGCGGTGGGTACTGACTACGTCAGTACGACATATACATACATTGTTGAATGCCGTACTAGATACAGCAGTATTTGCGTAGTAAAGTTGCTCTCGTCACTTCTGTGAGCCTTGTCATGCAAAAGTCCCAAAGGTACAGATAAACATTCACACGCCTCTGGTTTGAAGTTCATTCTTCAAATATTGGTTTTTGTTATGTGCTAGGCACCGGGCACCAGCGCTACGTACTAGTACCTTACTTTCCCCACGGCTGCTACAACTTTCCGCCTAGTCTTTTCATCATTTTTGCTACGTCTTGCCACAATTCAGATTGAGAGGATCACCAACGCCTAATCATCATCAGTCTCGTGGCCTGTAGCTAGATTGCCTAATCGTTCCCATCCAGACCTTCGTTTTCTGTCATTTCCATGAAGTCACTGCTACTTATCATCTAGGCATTGGCCTTACAAGGATGCGACTTTCAGTGGCCTTGATAGCGGATCGCCGCTATACTGCCCTTGTTTCCGCACTGATGGGATCATCCCTTCCTCTGTCACTTATCCGTTGCAAACGCGAAGCAACAGTCCTTCCGGCAGCCATTACGATATAGTATCTTTCATACTATGATCTGAGCCTCTCAACACCGTAACAAGCCCAATGGTAGTACATGCCCTACGGTATTGATGGTCCCTTGTTGCTGGCACCACTTTTACCCACCCCGTAGCCTGGGGGTGGGATGCAGGATGCACGTATCGCACTACACCTTTTGTCGCCCTTTGCTGCAGGGAGTAGAGGATCCTTTCCACCGTGAAAACATCCAAATTCAAAGCGTCAAGACCCACCTGGGTGGTGACGATCTGTGCCGCTTTGTTGGTCAGATATGGGCCTGAGGGAGTTGCTGATGCGGGCGGTCCACTCGATTTGTAGCGGATCACGGCGAATATGGATCTGCACATAGAATGGATAAGTCATGTCTTCCTGTATCAACGGTCGCAAACTCATATTTGGTATCAGTAGTTTTAATCCGATAATCTCGTTTTGATTTGAATTTGTACACACGAATGGCACTGGATCTAGGGACCGCAGGGTTAGCCCAATCATTTAGGAAGATAGATGCCACCAGCTGCTTCTTATGCAGAAATCAAATTGTCCTTGAATGGATTCGGGCATGTATATAGTAGATTGATTTACAAGTAGAGGCATTGCTGCATGAGATCTTCTAGTTCATGGAACTGAGCTTGTCCGACATGTCCGACCCGTGAGAGGCGACAGAACGGAGGTGAACTGATTCTCCGCAATAGATTACTAAGATCAACGAAAACAAAAGAAAAACAAAGAAGAAAAGAAAATAAATCAGACGAAAATAAAAGGGAGGGAAAGGCAAAGTGGCAATTTTTGATGGCTTGATGAAAGATCGTCACTTCGGTCAGCCATAAGCCGAGCACCCGAGGAAACCTTGAAATTAGACCACGACACCGCCTGTCCGTAGCATGTCATTTTTTTGCAAGACGTCTTTGTGTGTCTTTTCAAATTGTCCTTGCGCGAAAAAGTCTTGCCACAACCACGGCAATCCACTCGAATCTTGTCGTGCACGGTGTGAAAGTGCCGTCGCAAATCCCGCTTTTCCCTGAAAGAGCGGAAGCAGTCTGAACAAATGTGATTTTTCGCTGGTAACTCAGACGAAACAAGATTTTCTAGAGCGTCTTTGTTGCTCGGGGAATCTTCAGACTGCGACACGCGATACTGTGACTGAGTCGAGGAGTCGTTGTTCCATGGATTGGTGCCGATCGAAGAGCTGGTACCCAGACCAATGGAGTCAGCGGCCATCGAGTATGACGGATCCAGAAAGGTCATGCAGGATTGAGGTGGTCCATGATTGATATCATCTGCGGGCTGCAGTCCCATCCCCGCATCTGGAAACCAATCAGATAAGTCGATGTCGTCGAGTGTGGCGTCTTCCACAGTTGGAAACCGATCATCTTTGCCTTCTGAAAGAGCCTCTTGTACTATTCCCTCACCCCAAACCTCCTTCCACCACCCGTCCCCCACGTAACCGAAGTCGTAAGGTGCTGACAGGGGTCCAACACTATCGGGATGCTCTTCCAGTTCCGCAAAAGAGCCCTCAAGACCGAAGAGGGTCGGATCACACCAGTCAGCACTCTCTGCTTGATTACTGTGCCATTGATCCGAGATTGGGTGTCGGGGAGGACTGGTAGCGTCCTCCCCGGGACAGACCCGTGGTTTTCAAGGGTTTAGGTTGAGCTATTTCCGCGCGTCAATGAAGGTTTCTCGAGTCGGTCATGGATGCTACTCACTTTTCAACACCTCTTCACGGCTGCAAAGATGCTTTTTAGCACCGAGGCGCGTTGCTTGTAGGAGAGATGGACGGCATGTAAAGATGCGGGTGTCACTCGTTTATATCTTGGAGCCCGAAAAGTCCTACGGAGGCGCAATCGTGCCTCATGGACAGGGATCGGGCACTGGGAGGCACCACCTGCATGTGCCTCATTTTCTTTGCCAATCACGATGAGCCAAGACTGCTGTCGGCGGGGTCCGTCTGCAAGACTCTTAAAGCCGATGTGTGCCTCAATTTCTGGCCAATCAACTCATTTCAAGCTTTCAGGACGAGGCTGCAGAGACTTATGGCTGATCTGGCGCGTCGAGACTTTGGATGTCACGAGAAGACCATCCTCGATTGGAGACAATGAATTCACGACGATCTTCAGTGGCTCATCCGGATAGTCTCCGTAATCTCCACGCATCCGTCAATGCCTCAACGCGCCATCCTGGTACATCCTCCTTGTCGCTGTTAATGACAGGCTAGTAAAATATTCTGGAGTGAAGAACTCGTTCTCAAGCTTGACAAATCGTCGCTGACATTCTGCCTAATTCCAATTGCCAGTGGCTGGCACATATATAAAATCTAATCTGAGCCAATGTGTGAAGTGGAAGGTGAAAACGAGATGATCGAGGAAGCGTAGAAAAACATCTGAGTTGATCTCTGATAGAGAAAAGAGAGGTGCTGAAGAGCTATCTTATATACCCGAGCAGGTGATCTGCCGTAGGTACTGACCACGTCAATGCAACAAAAAAGAAACTTCCCGTCGCGTAAATGCACTCTGCTCCCGCTCACTCTCTACTAAAACATATGCACCCGTTTAGAAGAGTGGAACATGGCTGGCAGAAAACCCTTGTTCTCGTCCACGCCTTCCACCGCCGCCTGAAGGCTCTTGGGAGTTCTCTTCAGAACTGAAGTGGCCAAGTGCTTTTCCATGTGTCTGGCATGCAGCTCGCAGAGCTTCTCATATGCCGCCATGACAGTGTATTCGCCCAAGGCCATTGCAGCTTCTTTGCCCTGGTCAAGAATGTCATCAAAGAGATGATTTCCCGAGCTCTGATCGTCGTCGTCTTCAGAGTCCACATCCACCAAGGCTTTGTCGTCGTTTGTGCTGCCAGAGAAGGGGAACTTGAGCATAGAAGATGCCCCAGTGCCCGTGCTCATGACCCTCTCTAGACTCTCGTTTCCTGCATCAACAAGTCTCCCATAGTTCTGATTTACAATGCTTGAGGTTCTGCTCAACATTTCCTGGCCCTTGGTAGCACTCTCAAAACTCTTGATGTAGGTATTCAAGATGTTGCACATCTTTCTCTTCTTTCGGCCCATGTAGGTCTGCCACGTCTTGACCAGCCCGGGCTCAATGGCCGAGTTGGCAAAATCAATGTCCGTAGTTGCGATACGATGGCCGTAGAACTGATGCGTGGAGCCCAACTCGAGACGACAGAGAAACCATTTAGCTCCTCGCGCTCCAGAGAATCGCGCCAGTACCCATTCACCGGCGACGAGTTGGAGCTGCGGTTCCTGGATGAAGTCGATAATCCTTACAATAGTGTTCTCCTCCTGGGAAGGTTTGAGACTTGACCCTACTTCTCCGTCACCGTCGTCTGCAGCACCGGATTGAAGATTCGTAGTCGACCAAGGATTCTCCAAGTGAACATTTGCAGTTCCCTTAATCTCCATGTCGCTGTGGAGCTTCTTCGCCCTATCCTCCTTGATTATCTTATCCTCGACTGCTTGCCCGACCTCGAGTTGCTTTCGCAGAATATGCTGCTCACAGGCGAAGTTGACTACCACTCTGGCGAATCCGGTACTGATGGTGCACCAGCCGGAGATATTTTGCTGTGGGCTGCCTGCTCTGGCAACCTGCCTCTGAAGCTTCTCTGTGTCAACCATGGTCACAATGACGCGTTGAATATCAAAGACGCCTTCAATACCAGAGTTGTTGACAATGATTGGGTTCGGGCAAATGAGATCTCCGAGACTGCTATTTTCATTGTCCTCGCCATTTCTGGTTGCTCCTTCTGGCTCATCTGTCTCGACCTTGAGGTCCTGGATCTGACTTGGTAGAGAACGCCCCTCCTTGTGCATCTCGTCTGGCGACCCAAGGATCTTCAGATACTGCTTGACCTCGTGATCCAGCGACATCCATTTGGGTTCGTCCGGCAGCACTGGCTCTGCATGAGGAGGCAGGGTGGGTGATTCCTCCTCCGGTGGCTCGGGATCCTTTTCAGACGATGATTTGCCGAATCTAGCGGCTCCGAAGCTGGGAAGCTTTTTAGTTTTCAAGGTAGAAGAGATGTTCAAGCTTGGAAGAGACGGCTTGTAGGAAGACCAACTAGCTTTCTCGTGAGAAGTTGGCGATGTAGTCATTTCGACAGGTTGCGGCTTTTCGACTGGTGGCGCGGAGAGGACGGGTTGAACGCAGTAATCCTTGATATAAACAAGAATCTTGCCAATGTTTTCAAGCTCAGGCCGAATTTTGTCAAAGGTGGAGTTGCGAATGAAGGCAGATATCTCTCGGACCCATTCCAAGGGCAGGTCCTTTGAGTCCTTGGTTTTGATGCAGTCAATAAAATCACGGAGCATCTTGATGATTCCACGATAGGTGATCATGACTTCGCTGCGCTTCCTCTGAACTTCGGCCGAGATCAGCATATTGTAGCGCTGGCCGCTGTCCTTGTTTGTCTCATATGCCCTATGAGAAGCAGGATACATTGATCGCCCACGCACTGGACTTCCCATCTCTACACCTGCCCAATTGAAGACGGAAACATCATTATGAGTTATGATGACCTCGTCGAGAAGGCGAGATAAAGCTTTTGGATAGCCCTCGGCATGGAAAGACTGGAATCGCACACCTAGAATTCCCATGAGAGAGTAGACATGGTCAATAGGCACGGTTGCCTTGCGTCGGCATGACAACTGTAGAACACGTCCTGCCGGAAATCCGCTACGCGCGATCCCCTGCTTCCAGGTGACGAGCTGGTCGACTTGACCAAATTTGGCAATGAACTCTCGGTCGGATACGACCAGGTTCTTTGTCTCAGAAACAAGGCACACCAATAGGAAATTGATCGCATTCTGGATTTCTGCCTCACCATCTGAGCCCTCTGCTCTGGTTGTGGCAGGAAGGTGGTGTTTTTGGAGCACCTGGAATAGCTCTCCTGCGCGTTCTCTTGGGCCATCGTTCTCATTTCTGACCAAGTTCCAAGCTGCAAGATATACAGACTGTGTCATCTCAGAGACGGCTGTCTCGGTTGTCATTGTGGTTGGGAGTCTGTACCCTAATCCCTGAAGGATCAAGACGAGTCGCACCGCCATTTTGACACTGTCTGACGCTGCAAGATCCCCATCATCACTTTCAACGACCTCAATGCTCTCTTTCCCGAGACATGAATCGATGGCCTCAGAGTCCCTGATTCCGTGCAAAATCTTTGTCAATAGCTCTTCGTTTTCAAAGACCCGTACATAGATGTTGGTTATGTCTCCATGAGTGTACAAATCAATGAATGGAATCAGGGGATATACATATCCCAAGCTTTCAATAGGACGACTAAGTGAAACCCAGCCCGCGTTGGTGAAATAGGCCATCTTGCTCATGACAAGCTCTTGCAGTGTCCATGCACGGTTTGCCCATTCAGGACTTGAGTCCTTGATAGCCTTGAAGCTGGCAATGCCAGCTTGACCGGGCTCTTGCACATCGGACTTGCCCTTGACTTCTTTCACAAACTGTTTCCAGTCGTTGATGGCGTCCGATACTCGCCAATCCGTATCGAGATGAACCAAGCAGAAGTCGGCATTCTCATACCACTCCCCCATGAGCGAGAGCGACTGGGACAATTCTCCATAGTTGAGCTTGTCGATGCAGCATGTATCGGACCAGATGTAGCGAGCACCGCGTTTGGGAAATATCCTTTTTTCGAAAATGTTGCGCGCCTCTTTCATTGCGCGATGGAGCTTGGTGGCTGACTTCCATCGTTGTAGGTGACTAATCAATTCATCCACTGCATTTCCCAACCGGTAGTTGCGCTGAAAGAACTCCTCATCTTCTTTTGTCTGCTGGCGGGTGTCGATCGCGCCAAGTAGCCTCTGCTGGGCAGCTGCGTATTCGTTGTGTGCTTCATCCACCACTGTGGTTGCGATAGGTCCAGCATGAACGCTGCCGCTCGGAGAAACTGCTTCAGCACCCATAGTCCCTTCCACCCCTTCGTTGATATCCTGACTGATGCGCCGTACAAGATGGTCAAAGATGCTTGTTTCAAGTCTATAGCGCTCGACTTTGGACTTTTCATCGTCTAGGTTTTGTCGTGCCCAATTGACTTGGGCTTTCGCGTCGTTTGCCTTGATTCTCTTCTCTAGAAGCTCACCAACGTCCCCGATGTTTGAGTCGCCGTCCAATAGAGACAAGACGATATCTTCTTGCTCGAGAATGTCTTGCCTGGACTGCTTGAGAACAAGTTCAATGTCGTTATCGCGGTCTGCTGTTTGTCCGTCCTGAGTTTTCTTCAGTGCTATTTCCCTTGCGCGCTTGATGTGAGCCAATGTGATTTCATCTCCTTTCCAGCGATGTGAGAGCATGCAATACGAGTCCAGAGGACTGGTGTTCCACGCTTCCACAAGATTTCCCGTCTCCAGGTCAATCAGACGCAGCGGTCGAATCGCGTTCTCCGTGCTTGGCATACTGAGAAAATCGATATCTTGAAGACCGATGGATTCATGATTCTGCGGCTCGACAAAGGTCGGCTTGAAATCTGGAACGAACCAAAGATTCAGGATGGCGCGGAGCTTCTCTGGGCTGCCGCCAATCTCTTCGAATAGTTTCTTGAGATACTCTGGGGTGATATCAGTGTAGCTGCCGAGGCCAGCGGCTTTCACTATTTTTTCCGTGAAATTATCCATTTTGCAAATGGGCAAATGTTTCGGCTGGATCTCGAGTCGTGTCTCTGCTTTTTTGTTGTTTCGCTTGAAGTTATCGATTGAAAAAATCTTTTAGCGACACGAAGTTGATCGATATGAGGTCTTGCCCCAAAAAGCCAGAAAAGGCGGTCCTCTTCTTCTGGGATTGCTAATCGTCAAATTCGTGTAACGTTTGTTTCCAATACTAGACCTGAACCTTCCAATGCATCGTATTCTACAATAGGCAATAGATCTTCAAACCCTATTCAATGCCTAGAGACACATACCCAATAAGCCCATTACGAGCCTAGATACCCATGCATCGACCAGGGCCTGCATCAGCTGAGCCCTTGACCCAGCTGCCAACACCACTATCGGGAGTGTGTGGCAATCGGATTTTGAACTTCATTTCACTTCTCGGCTGTTCAAACGAGATCGGCGACACATGAGTTTGCGTGATTGGCTATCACCTTCGAATCATTGAACAGAGCGGATAGTGAAGCCCGGCAACTCGGGCTATCAAATCATATCGCGCTTTGAAGCACATATTATGATGTATATTGCGTGCAAATCTTCCATTTCTTCCCCATCCCCCAACTTCTGAAAGCTTCTTACGGCTCTCACCCCCAAATTGATCATGGCTTCGTATCACCGGGTTCTCGCCACGTTCGATCGGTCAGTCAGCCTAAAGAGTGTGGAATGTGACTAGTAAGTATGCTGCCAACTTCTTTGGTGAGGTTTTAACTGTTATATTATCAGTGACATTCATCCGTGGGATATCCTTGTTGATGGCTCACGATGGGACGGCAAGATTCGATTGATAGGCTTCGTGGATGTATTCTTCCTCATTTGCTACTCAGGCGAGTCTCGCTTTGAGAAGGGAATAATCATATACAGTAAGACCCCTCAGCTTATAGTAAGGCCAAGACTAAACATCAGCAGAGGACGATGTTATCATCCGCGACATTCTGCGGGAGGCAGCTTTGCCAGCCGGAGAGCTAGGCCTTGAGGTCATCAACGAGGATGAAATAGAAGCCGCCAAAGCAAAGGGTCGAGGTATGGATACTCCAGATCAGGAAAAGAATCCGAATTTGCTTCCTATTCATACCTGCTTGCAGAACCGATTCTCGAAAGGTACTTCAAATTACAGAGCATCCGCGGTGGTCTTGATTACACCATCACCAGCCTGGGGCACGAGGTTGGAGTCAAGACACGATATCAGAAGACGGATCTGAGAAAGTATGAAATCAAGATTCGAAAAGGCAAGGACTTGAATGTGAAAAGTGAGTTGAAATTGACTAAACTATCCTTTTACGCCATCGGATGACTGACCGCGGTGAAATCGTAGAGCGAATTCGTCGTGGGGTCTCGCAGCACGACCTCTTCGACTTGATGCATGATGCCATTCGATTAGGCATTATCACACATGCTGAACTTATTGGTCACATTGTTGGAAAGACAATCGGTGGCAGCACGATGGAAGATGTTAGCTCCAAATATCTAGAAGCTATTATGGGTACGAAGAACTCGAAGAATCTTGCACTAGCGGCGGATAGATGACAAGTATAACCGTGATGCATCCAGGAATTGACCAATCTATCTTGTAATGAAGTCTTTTGAATAACGGGCGTTTCAAGCATGTAGTTGGAAATGACCTCATCGTGTCTTATCTCGCGTCTTGCTGATCATGACACGCGTTCGACTTCCCTTGTCAATTGTTCATGGTGACTCGCATAATGCTGCAAACGATTGATACAAGCACGGTAACAATCGCTTTCAAGCTGCGTACGTTCATCTGACACGTCAGAGGCGGACTTTGATCGTCCAGAGCGGCCCAGTTGTTAGTATTCGTCCCGGTGCATACAGAGTCGGCGATTCCTCAAGATCTGGATTCGAGTGCCGAGTTGAACCTCCTTCAGGTATGAATGCCGAATCGGATCCAGGCCAATCAGAGGGTTACTATGTGCCACAACATCTCGATGTCGGATTCGCCGTCCGTACCATCACAAGTGTTCATGATGCTATTTGGTCAGTTTTCCACTAGCACAATGTACCCCGGTCATGTTTCAAGGACCTCTACTCATGACTGGACACCACCCTTCCCGTATCAGCGCCCATGCCTTATGCAGTGAATACCTTAAGTACTGGTTGTCGACTCTTCTGGAGAGCGAGGCGCCAGTTTCCTTTTTCTTACCTCCTTAATTCATCAACACAACCCAATATGGATATCACGCCCATTGTCATTGCCATCATCTCTCTCGTCGCGTCCATAACGGTAGCTGGATTCGGCGCCTACCTAAATTATTCTACGGTTGAGCGCAAAGCACGGCGAGAAGCTGAACAGCTGTTGCAAAAGTACCGGGATCCGCTGCTCTTTGCAGCCGAGGATCTACAGTCACGCCTCTGGGGCATCTTTCATACCGATGTTCTCAGTTTCTCTGGACGGTCCGTCCATCATGATGATGCACTTTACATATACACGGCCTTTGTACTAGGCCAGTTCTTGGCCTGGACGCACATTCTGCGAAGTCAAACACAGCTGCTCCCATTCTCCTTGGAAGAAGACCAGCGACTGCAAAAGTTCCTCATCACTCTGCACAACATCCAGGGAGTCTTGTTACTAAGTGGCACTACCGAAAGTACCGCCTTCACCCTGTGGCGAGGGAATCAAATGGCCATTGGCGAATTCATGACCGAGGTGCGCGACTCGGAGAAAATGTGCATGGGGTTTCACGATTTCACCAAAATCTGGAAGGGTGCTTCGAACGACGCCCATGATGATCTGCACTATTGGTTCGACCCGGTGGTGGTGGGGTTAAAGACGTTGGCAGAAAAGGGACCGGATGTTGCGGAAGGGAACAAGCTCAGGCGACTGCAGCATTTACTGGTCGATCTCATAGAGGTCCTGGACCCCCAAAAGCGTCGTCTGCAGAAGGGTCCCATCGGACCTTGTGGCGCGGCATCTGATTGTCCATGTACGAGGTGCAGACCGTTGGTTCACGAGCCCAAGGCAAAGAAATTGGGGGGCAGATCCTCTTGGTGGACAAAGAACAGCGAAATTGTTTAATCAGATTGTGCGAGCCAGTCGTGGAGGCCATTACGCTGCACACAACTACTTCTAGTCGAGCACAGTAGTCCGCAGCCCTTTTGATTCGGCGGCAACATGGAAATAGAGAGTATCGCGATATCGCACCTGCAAGTCACGTCGCACTTCAGCAAAGTCTCTTCCATCCATACTGCCAAATTTGATCTTGGCTTAGCGCTCCCGTTACACTGCTCTCTTTCTCACCCTTGTAATAATTTAAAGTGTATTGAATCGAGTGCTTGATTGGTCTGACTGTTTGTTGGTCGGCGAGCGCTTTTGGGGCATCCTTCAATATTCTCAGTATCAATGCCAGCTGAACTGACTATAACGAGTAAAAGATGTTCGGAATGTATATTACCGGCATATGCGAGCGCAAATAAGATATGGACTTGCTTGATTGCAATTCGTGTGGGGCTCGGGCTATGCACGAACCCGCCTGGTTGTAACCGCTTGGGGTTTAGCGAGCTACCTAGCGCGAGCCCTGACGGACGGGGCACCTTGGCCTACCTCAGTCGCCAGGTCGCCGTTCTGAATCCTGATGGCTGCTGAATGACCGGCCTCAGGGTTTCAACGTTGACTGTCTTGGTCACGCACAGCAGCAATCACGGAAAACAAGCCGAGTAGGATCTGACCACCCTCCAATATGCTAAATGTCTCGTAATCTAGCCAGTTGTCGTGAGAATAACTGGTTCCCTATCGTTGCTACAGCATTCCGGGTGCTTATTTCGTGGTTAGGGATTCGTATCTCGACTTTTTGTCGCATTTGGGGTCAAGACATGCATGCATCAACTCACTCGGAATAGCTTTCCGCCAATAGCCAAGGCTGTCCAATTGAAGCTCAACAGTTTCCGCCTCCGGGGTCCAGCATACCCGTGACGATGCTCCATAGATTACCCTGACGGAATGAGAACAATCGCTCTCAGGAAGGAACACTCGTGCCTATGTACTGACTCGTTGACCTCAGTCGGTCTGGATGCTGCTGGAAAATGCTACCGATAGAGTTCCTGCGCAACAGAATGGTGTCCATGTTGACATATCTGCAACTTCCGTAGATCTGTCCAGTCGCAAATTATCCTCAGGTAAGTAGTATTGCTCTAAATCCGCAGCATGTATACTGGATAAGGCTTCACCAACATTTGTAGATAGCTGAGAATAGAAATGTTCACTCGATCATCAATTGATTACCACCGCCATTTCTCCTACATAATGTGATCTAATTATTATTTCATGTGCCTGCCATGCCAATAGGTGCTGCTCTCGGGCGACTTGTAACATCCCATCACATTTCTCAGAGCGCAGGAATATTACTGTCAGTGTCACACCCTAGGTTCGTCCAAACCCGTACCGAACTCGCAGACAAAGAATAAACCCTAGTCAGAATGCAGCTGGCCCACGTTCGCTTGAGTGCCCTCGACCCGCATTGTTGCAATCATCGCAATAGCGTGTCCAACGACGAGGACGACAGACGAGGGCATTCGGACAGTTCTGATCATCGCACACAACTTCACATATGCCTGCGACCAGACTATGACCAGCAACGTAGGCACAGGGTTCCGCTACCGCTCGAATTCATTAGTTTAATGGAATCACCCCAAGGAACGAGGAGTGTACCGACCGGGCCATGCTTTATGGCATGCTTCAATTTGAGGCCAAGCCCTGGCTAGTACTGAAAACGCCAAGATTCCTGGAAAGCACAGGACGCAGCGGAGAAGCCTAAAATGTTGGTAAATGAGCGTCTTGGAGCATTCACGGGCTTGGTCGGAACTGACATTGTACGGGTCGTGTATTGCCAACTTAATTGCATGTACGCAGAGCCCTGGCCAGTAATGAAATTTGGAAGGGTAAAGATAAATAACTGGTTGACCTGGTTGAAAATGAGAGATGGCCAGTCTTCAGAGGTGAACCTGCTGAGGCGCTCAGATGGGTTGAATTGCCTACTTATACGTTTTGGTTGTGATATTGATTTGAAATGACACAGTGCAGGACCGACCTCTACTATCATAGTACGCAGTATTCACCTTGTCTCTTCTGATGCATTATAATGAAAACTCATGAGCTGATTCGTGTTTCAATCGCCTTGGCAATGAAAGGTTCTTGGGGATGGAAAAACCTTTCAGCTCGAGTAAAGTATGAAAATCCTACTAGATTCAGACTTCACCTGCTCAATCTGTCGACATTCAGCTGAGGTGTATTGCTGTTCGAACCCCTGAGATACTCCCTGCACAGCTCACGCCTGCGGCGTAACCAGAGTCTATGCCGCCGGTGCAATTTCTAGGTCACACTTGTCACACTCATCACCCAGGAGCGCCGCATTCGGCAGAGATATTCGAGATGCAGGTCATTCATCTCGGGGTTATGTTACTTCCCAAGTTCTTCGGGTCATCAAGTGTGAAAGCGCATATGCAAGGTTACAAATTCCTGCCATCTTACGGAAGATGTGCCAGCTGTGCAAACTCAGTACCACTCAACCGTGGCACCGGAGTTGTCGCAGATCGTCAGTACGGACGCATGATATGCGCGCTAGGCCCAAGGTAGGCATCGAAACCCTTTACGAGAACTCACTTTATTAGTACATTGTTATTTTTTTTTTCTCCATTAGCTTCCGTAAAAACTATGAAAGAACTTAATACACTTGACTGCGAGCGTTGTAATCGGTTCACAAATCAAGATTCCATGCTACGACCTATAATCTAACTATAGTTTGCGTCGCTGAGGATAGTTACTCATAAATGAAAGCATTCGTCCTCAATCTACAGAAGTGCATTATAGCATGTCGCCATCGATTCCTCGTATGAACTTGCAATTTATTTCGCTTAGTCATAGGTTTTCGCGGTTATAAGGTGGTATTCCGTATTTGGCGGACAATAGTGGACATGTCCCCAAGCATCATTCAAACTAGTTGGTAGAAGCAGCAGCTGAATACAATCTTTCGCGGTGTAAATGCATGCTCGCAGCTGCAGCCAATAATCAGCCATGCATCACATTCATCAAGAACGCAATATGCAATTAGCGAATAACATTAACCAAATGTTTTTAACGCTGATTCCTACTCCTTTCTTGAAAGACGACTTTTCAAATGACTCGACAAAGTTTTAATTTTATTATCCTTATCCATATACGCATTCATAATAACCTTTAATAATTAAATGCTTATGTATTTATATTAAAGGTGCAATTCTTAATAAGCGAGGAGTGTATACTAGCTTTTGCAATAATTTCATTAAATGAATTTTCTTTTTTTGTGCATTCAGGCTGGAAGCCGACCTTGGGGAATTTCCGACCCCGCATTCCTCCTTTTACCGACGTCGCCCTATCTAAATACTTTCAGTATAACAATCAAAGTTAGTGCTGGCTGTTCCTAATGCCAGTTGAGTCCATATATTTAAATTGTCGATGTTTCGCATCATGCTGTGCGAACCTTGCCAGTACGTCGTGGGTGAGATTCAGAAGAACCCGCCGGGCAAAAGCACATTTCGCCATCATGCCTCAATCGGTGATTGGGAAAGAGCTGTGCAGCAGAATTGTCTCCTTTGCCGGCGATTGGAGCATTATGAGGTTAAAGTCGGAGCCCAGAAAAGCCTTGTCGCGGAGACCTTCCCTCGGTATTTGTATCGCGGAGACAGTCTTGTATCATTCGCCATTCGCACCGACGAAGATTTCCCGTGTCAGCTCAACGGGTTGTTCTGCTTACATCGCATCAAGGCTGAAACGGGTTGGTAGTAGAGACTATAACGCCCCTCGAGCTAATACTAATGATCTTTTAGACCGCCTAACGATTCCAAATTATGTACCTACCAACGCTGTCGGCTCGCCCCAGAGCATGGCCCTCGCTCGTCAATGGATTAGTGAATGTATAAAACATCATTCTAAGTGTCGACGCACAGAAGTTGCCTCGAAATCTGTTTGGGCCCCAGATCGGCTTATTTATATTGACGATGAGAATTCGCGCCTGAGGCTCGTCCGTGGCGCTGATGTTCCATCTGATATTCCTTACACAACCTTGTCCCATTGCTGGGGTCGGGTCAAGGACAAGCTCGTGTTGACCCGGGCAAACATTGAAGAGTGGCATGATCAATTGCCGTCGTTGGGGAAGTGGAAGACATTTGTGGATGCTGTAGAGATCAGCCGTCAGCTACAAATTCGATACATGTGGATCGACTCACTTTGCATCATCCAAGATTCGAAAGAGGACTGGCAGCAACAATACCCCCAGATGTGTAATATATACAAACGGTCCTATTGCAACATTGCAGCTACTTCGGCAGTCGACGATACCGAGGGCTGCTTGTTTGAAAGAGATATTACCATGGACCTTCCGTTGCGCTTATGTTTTGCTACCGAGGGATATCAGTCTACAGCTGTCGAAAGTATGGTAATTCCAGCTATAGACATTGGCAAAGATTCTCTACTTGGACAATACGATTTATGCAGGCAGAATACGTGGGTTCATGACATTACCTACTCCCCGCTAAATTCTCGAGGCTGGGTATTACAAGAGGTAGGAGGCCAGACTACGAGTCCATACTCATTGGCTAATGGGAACCACAGCGCCAACTCTCACCACGAGTGCTCAACTTCACCAAGACACAAATGTACTGGGAATGCGATGAGATGCAGGCCTCCGAATCACACCCGTATGGTCTAGCAGAATCCGGTGACTCGAACCTGAAAAGCAAGGCTATAAATCCATTCAGGCTCAAAAATGCGAATATCGAGGAAGATGCTCCAGTCGGTACTGGAACTAGCCCGTTGATGAAAAGGGCATTCGATATCTGGGCCAATGCAGTGTCAGCCTACACTGTCGGTAATTCTGATCCTAGATTGAGTGATGGGTCACCAGGATTCAATAAGAACCTGACGAATCCGGCGGACAAGTTAGTAGCTATCTCGGCTATTGCGCATGAGCTTCAACCCTACATGAACTGCCGCTATCTGGCTGGCCACTGGGAAACTGATCTCGTCAGGCAGCTTGCTTGGACCGGCTCGAACGGCAGTCAGCGAGTATCAACATATCGCGCACCATCGTGGTCTTGGGCAAGCGTCGATGCACCGATTCATGTTTTTCACTCTCTCTATGAGACGGGAGAGGAATTTCATCCCCTGGCAGAGGTTTTGAACGTCGAAGTGGAATTATTGACCGATGATCCAATGGGCCAGGTGACTTCAGGATCTTTGACTTTAAGATGCTATCTCATTGAGCTGGAAGTTCAATGTCTCCTGACTTCACGTTACGGACTTTTTCTAGAGACAGAGACTGAAACCATTATGGTCAATGGAGAACAAACACGCTTGCATATACAGCTTGATGACGAGCACTCCCGACCAACAGTTCCCTGGAGTGTGTATTGTGTTCCAATCAGTCTTCTTATTGATTGGATGACGTCGCCTAGTCATCCCAAAGGAGCATGGACCTTGGACTTCCGATCGATTCTCTTGGAAAAGACCGAAATTGAAGGGAAATATCAGAGGGTTGGATTCCTAGGTTCTCGGTTCGCGAGTGATGTTCTAATGGAAGACTTTGTGAACGATCCGATACTTCGAGCGATCGGGTCATTCGATTCAAGCAAAGAGGATGACTTGTTTTCACTTGATACTCAAGGATTACAGGAAATAAAAATAGTTTGAATAACTTCTTCATTGTGATTTAATGTCACGGCTCTATACTGCCATTATACGATGATAAGTAAAAGAGTATGCTTAAATGTATGAACCTTGCTATGTAGCTCTTAAAAGCTTAAGTCGATGAGCTCGTGTCCCACGTCGGTTTGATACCCAAGGCACCGTGACCTAGGCCCTGATCATGAAAAAGGTCTAGCCCATCAGCCTACATTGCATCGCAGCCCTAAGGAAAGATTGCCTTATTGATTGGGAAAAGAAATCTTAACGGCCGCTGCCTCACAAAGCTTGACTCTTCTTTCTGGATGACGTACATGATGCTGCATAAGGGAGGCCCACCAGTGTCACTTCTCACATGAGACGTTTGTGGGTGCCATAACTTTAGATCATTTCCACTTTCTGCACATCGGATTGGGACAACATAGTTTGATACTGCATATTTCGAACTTTGACGTGGCATATTGATGGTGGCAGCAAGACTCCCCGTGAAGGGATTTCTCCTATACCGATGACACGCCACTGCTTCGGAGAATGATAACTACATCAAGTTCTGCGCGTGCAATTGGCCTTATGCATTAGGATATGCATGATTTAAAGCTCAGCCTGTAATGAGAGAGCCATGATACATGGTACAATTGCCACCTTGGGAGTTGTGCAACCTCCTCCGCATAAATCGATGGGCGCCCAATTTCATGCGGGGCACACCCAATTACAATCACTGTTTGCCAAGATACCTACATATATGGACTGATATTCTTATCATGGCACCCCCGACCGGTATGGAAAAAAGAAACTTCAATGGTAAAATGCCAGATGCTCGAACGTGGTGCTCAAAAACCGGGTTCGTTCAACACGTCACAGGACGCGAGGCACAATTCTCAAATCCACCACATGGCCACGATGGCAGTCATATTATCCATAAATACGTTCCTGCTCTTGTCTTTGATTCAACTTTCACTACTTCGCATGAACGCAACAGAACATCAAAATCAACCCTTGAACAAATAACTATTGAATCATCGTCATCTTCATTAGTGGGTGTAAAGTTGATCTAGCAGGTTCTCGAGGCATTCATACTGACGCGTGTTAGTGGCACCAATCCAAAGCGCCCTCATGAGAGTTGAGCAAGACAATCTTACTCGACTCTATCAGCCCATTTTGCTGGAGAAGGCATTGACCATCATTCACCAACCATACCCGCAATTCACTGAAGATGGCCCAGCACTGCAGGAAGACCCCTTGCTGTCATCGCAACAAGCCTTTCAGGCTTTTGTCAACAAGTTGGCTCAAGCTTGTGACTCAAGACCAGGCGGCGATACTGTGACGGCAGTAACCATATTGCGTGATGCCGATAATTTTCCATGGTATGTTGTCGCATGCAACTTCCGGAGTAAGGAAGCGCTACAGGGTACGAAAGCCTTCCTCGATTCACTTCTTCGCATGATTCGAGACGAACAGGACATGGGACGAAGGCCTCTACTGAAGCAGATCTTGTGGCAACTACTGAGCTTCAGCTTCCCCAGGGTCAAGTTATACTTGAACAATCTGGTACGTTGCTTGACCGAATGTCTGGAGAAGTGCACGTTGGAACAACCTCCGGAAGTCGGAAGCTCAGGCAAGTCATCATATCTAAAAGTAAATTCTGGTCGAGGCTGATGATTGCAAAGTCCCAAATATTGCAATGCAGCTTTCACACTTGAGAGAAAGGGCGATGTTTCCACGAGACATCACCAACCGCAATGCAAAAGCAAAATGTGAGTACATACAAGGGCATGACAAACCATTTGTTCTAGCCACTCATTCGAATAGTTCTGAGTGACTGTGAAACTTGTATCAACGTGATACATGGGGCTAGAGGGAAAGAAGTTGACGAGGCTATCCGAAGCCAATCAAGGGACAATGAGATGGAGATTGCGCAAGTTTGGCATGAGCTTCGCCATTACCTCGGACGATTGCTATCCTATCGGCAGGCAGCCGAGATTCTTCTTGGCGCCTTTGACCGCTGGCCATCACTATTCAGAGACTTCACAATTGACACAATTCCATCCAATGGGAGGGCTAGTAGGCCGTTGCCAAAGTCGAAGCTAACGGCCGAAGAGATCATCGTCAACATGTCAGAAAATGCTTCCGAGGCCAAGACCTATCTTCAGCAAGCCTACGACTTGCAGAACATGGCTCTGGATGAAAGAATCCAGCAGCAAGTCGAGAAGTCATTTCGGCCCGTGCTTCATGCAGAAGTAGCTCTCCACGAACATCTCTTGCGTGTCGGTATTGAACATCCGGAAAGATACTGGAATAACAACAAATACATTGGATCCAGTAAACCAACTTGTAGGTTGTGTTCTTACTATTTCTTCACTCACCGGGACAAAGTTGCGGTTCGGGCTGGTCATGACAATTTGTACGCAAATTGGCAATTCCCGCCCGCTCCGGAACAAGAAGGTCGGATGGGTCTCCAAGCCAACCTGGAACTATTGGGGATCATTACAGTGCTGGTTCGAAATGACGCGAAGCGTACATTGGATGAGAGACGACCAAGGGGGAAGAGACATGACTCAAACACGGCGTCCTCAATGCCGGCCTACTTCGACCTCGGGAGTCATGGAACATCATCACAGACGAGTAACTCTCGCCGACCGGACAGGGATAAAGGTCTACAGCGAAAGGATGGTAGTGGTGCATACAAAGGAGATGACTGGGATTCATACGAGTTGATCGCCAGCGGAGGGGATGATGAGCCAGGAAACGATGGCGCCTCTATCTCGGGGGAGAGGTATTGAGGGCATCAATAATGGCTCTAAGATCGGGTCTAGTATTGTACCAACATGGTAGATTTAGCAATGAACATTGTGGTCAACCATCAAACAGCTGTTGTGACATGACTGAAGCATGCTCAATACAGAACAGTCTCCGTTGACCCACGGCGATGCTGGCAACGTCAAATCCTTTTGATCTGATGTGTTTGCAAAAGTACCGTCCGGGCTGCAAGAATCGTCAGGACTCTCATCGTCTTTACCCTGGAGAATTGCCACTAGAAGACAATGGGATATGACAAATTGATGAATACAGGAGTCTCAACGGAGATCAATCCTACCGTCCAATAAGAATTACTTGGATCATCGCCTTCTCCGTAAGTGGTGATAAAGAGGGACCAGTACCAGGCCACTTTCTATTGAATGCCAAAACTTGTTTTCAATAGACGAGCGATCGCTGAGCTCATGTTCCAATACTTCAATAAGATATCCATGCTAGTCTTCGAGGCTTTCACCGGCCCTTTTCAGTATTAGTGCAGAATAGGTTTACTATCGCGAGTCTTTTCGACTTCAGTGTCAGAGTTGTCTTGCAGTAGAGTGAAGGGTTGAAGTATAGGGGTGTATTGGTGACGAAACTGAACTCTGACCTGCTAGAAGTAAGAGGCGGGAGCCCCTACTTATAGCCGGTCAACTGCTAATAACTCTAAAAGCAGGGCTGACTAGCTGGTCTCCTTTTAGCACCTGACATTCAGTTTCCGGTAATATAGGACTCATGCTGGCCAGGGCTAGGCATGAGCAGTTGGTAAGTGCCTGGATGACGGCGTGTTTCTACCTCTGCCAAGACCTCTGTGTTACATCTGTTGGAACTTTGGTCCATAAATACGCACAAATTGTTGTGATTGGGCTGCTGAATGAGGCTCCACCAGTTTGAAAGAGAGCAGCAATCCGTCAGCTTCCGGAGTACAGGAGCTGACGCACATATGATAGAAGTTCTCTTTTCGTACAATGCATTGGGGCTTTCATCTTTTTCAGAAAAAAAGCCCTAGAATGAGAGTATCGAAACGAATCTTCTAGATCTTGTAATCCCGATGCTAACTCACTAGCCACATGTTTTTGACGCCTAACATGCCATATCACTCACATCAAATTTCGAACATGTACAAACACATCACAATTTATTGTAACGAATTAGAGCATCTAGCAATGTCGTCCGTTGAGTAAAGAGCATGACCACTGCCGCCACGCGGATGTTCTGAATCGGCTTATAATATTATTGTGTAACATGTAACTCTTTGACGGCATGCTCGGAACTCATCTGGGAATCTTTTGAGCTTCGAAGTTGGCGCAAAGTGGATCGGAAATCATTGGCAAACTGAATTCTACAAGAATTCTCCTCACGGGTCTGATCAGGTAAGCAGCCACCGAATGATTTCAAAACACGTCCCGTCCCGTCTCTCACCCTCAGCTGATTGTCGATCTTGACTACTTTTGACTTGTTCCCGACTTTTATGTCCGGAGTGTATTGCCAATGTCTTATTTCCTGAGAGTTGAGAATCTTCAGGTTACACAACAGATGTTGTGATCGTATAATCATTTCCAGGTTCCACAATCCAAGTCTGGGTTCGCGTAATCCAGCGTGTCAACGAAGACCAATAAGCTTATATCACACCGGTGGTTGAGATGTACCATTTACCATAAGTAGAAATATATGAGAGTAATTAGAAACACGACGATTCACACATCATGGAATGTGGGGTGGCGTTTATGGGCAATATCTCAATTGGGCCCGCGTCTACTGTACAAATCGTAAGACCTGCTCAATGTGTCCAAGAATGCTGTCCTGGCGGGCCCAACCGCTGCCTCAATACTCCGTGGCCTAGTGCTGACTTGAAAACAGAGACTCTATCTGTTCTAGGGCGAAATGTTGCAAAGGAAGTTGCAGAGCACAACATTAGAGTGACAGTAGCTCAAGAAGTACACCCAAGCAAAGCTGTTTGGGCGCACCACAAAAAGCTATATAAACCGTGAAACCTGCTGCTCCAAGTTTCGAAAAGAATATTCAGATAGCATCAACCTCCAGCAGCCTTCTCATTCGGACAAAATATCCAGACCCAGCTTCCAAGAAACCCCTAAAAAGGAAAACCTTCTAGCCAAAATGCAGTTCTCCACCTCCACTGTTCTCGCCCTCTTCGCCGCCGCCGGCGCTCTTGCCCTGCCTGAGGCCCAGACCCAGAACGCTGAGCGATGCGTTGCTAACCTGCCCAACTGCGCTGGCTCCTCCCACATCGGTGGTGACAAGTGCCGCTGTTCGGGCCAAGTCGCCCCTTGCGGCAACTGGAAGTGTGGCTGGGACGGACCTCACTCCATCGTACGCACTTGAATAGAAAATCTTTAAGACGTTTTGGATACCAGCATGCTAATAATACTCTGTAGCTGAACTGCGGCTCCCATGGAAGCGGTTGCCACTGGATCAACTAAGCAATGAGATTTCATCTACATTGTTGCCTTCCAAATGGAGAGTCTCCGTACGTCATCTACCGGGCCCCCTTTTAACGATTGTTATAGATCTGATAGCTAACGAAATCGCCGATCATAGCCGTTTGAAAAGAGACCAGACACGTAGTCCAGACTCTCCGTCTTCTTGAACCTTTCCAGAACAAGAAGAAATAAATGGCATCATGGCAAAGAGGTTGTGGAGCAAATGGTCAAGTCCGAGAGTCGGCACGGGGACCCCTGCTCTGATTTCGCAGCTGGTGGTTGTTGTTTCTGCCCCCCTATTTACTTGCTTTCAGCACTTCATGTGCCAGTCACTCATTGAATACACTCCAAATTGCCTGGGCCCGGGCTCTAAATATGATTTGGCTTCCTTCAGTCTCCCTGTGATTGACAGTGATGTCCATTAAGAGACACTCATCAATGGACTTGCTGTGCTACGATGGCAGCCAGATAAGTGATAGTTGAGTTTTGAATCTTTTTTGCAAGCTTTGGTGCCATGCTGCGGCCCTGAGATTTTCTGGTTTCTCCAGAGCTTGAAGAAAATTGGAGGCTGGGAATCGTTGGACTTTAAGTCTATTTCTCTTCGTGGCGTCGAGGCCTAGAGTCTATGGAAGAGTCTACCAGTACCGAGCGAAAACTCCCTGCGGCTGTGAAAATAGCCGCGCCAAAGCCGAGGCCCATGATTCCATGCCGGGGCCGGAAAGCTGAACCCGATCATCACCAGTCATCGTCCAACTTATTCCATGGTTAGAGTACAATTGCCTCAATTCGTTTGCATTCATGGTTTCCCCCATATGGGGCCATGCCCTTTGGCGGTAAAACCTCATCATGACGGTTTGAGCGCCCCATACGGATAGAAGCTGTGGATCGCTAGTCCAAGTTCCCAAGGCGGGGATTTCGATGGTTGCCAGTGGCCAAGGCTCCTCGGGGTCTCTTCCAATCTGGTGACATATCATCAGATACATCGGGTTTGGAGGGAGTGTACTGTCGTTAGAATGGTCGATGTACAGGGCATACCAGAGGTGCCTGGCCGCAGCTTCAAGACACTGTTGTTTCTGAAAGCCGTATCTTTCGATGAGAGCCTCATTACTAATGCATGACATGAGCGCAAAAGCGGTGCCAGCCTCCCAGTGGCTCTGGCGCCGCTCGCAATCGCTTGCTCCCAACCATAGAGAAGCGCAAGCGTATTCCAAAGACTTGCCCAACAATGAGAGCATGTATGCCTCTGGGAGCATGCCCCTCTTTGAGGATTCAAACCGCCTACTTATCATCAAGTTGACAGCGTGCGAAAATGAGGACACCAAATGCATTATGATGGCCCTCATCGTGGCGGTTTGCTGATGGGGTGGAAGGGAGCCGACTGTCGCAAGACCACTCCCTAGGCCATGCTCCAATATGCATGCACCGGTGTCAAAGTAGTACATGGCCTCGCTGTGGTCAGACTCGCCGAGATGATACTCTCCCATCTTCTGAAACTCGAGACCAAACTCGAGGTAATCGACATCGCAACGAAGAGGCGATTGCATCTTGGAAACGAGAGCATCTAGTGCATTGCTGCAGCCAGACGAGGAAGCTTGTGCGGCGTTGCGGATCGTGAACAAGCCTTTGATAATTCTCTCGAATGCACGGCTATGTTGAAAAAAGTCAGCTTATGTTATCTGGCAAGTATAATAGACATTGGAAGGGCAATCGAAGAGTTCCATTGTTGCTTGGCAAAGACTTGCCAAAAGAAGCCGGCGGAGCCGCGTGATGAAAGGCATGGGAATAGAAATTCCGAACATGACCAAATGAATGATGAGGGAGAGAAACATACCCAGAAATGCTAGTATCCTGAAGCACGTTGTTTCTGCAGGTGATATGGATACTATTTGAGCTCGCTGATTCACCTATGGCGTCGATGAGGTGAGGCCACTGAGACGACTGGTATGGAATCAATAACGATAAGCCTCTAAAGTCGTGCTCGAGAAGCTTGTCTTTGGCCTTTATGCCAGAACTGTCACCCAGACACACGGTGATGACTGAAGATTCTTTGAGTCGACGAACACTGTCCCGGGAGTAACCATATGTCGTGAATACCTGTGAAGGGTACCTTTTTCCATTTTCATCGCGACGGACTACCTCTCTCAATATACTTTGAAAGAGGCTAGGCGGTCCACAAAGTCGTACTTGGATCCAGATATTTCCATTTGCAAGCATTTCCCAAGCCTCTTTGCGGACTGTTCGGCTGACGCTGAGGATATTCAGTCCGGGAAAGGTCTTTTCACTAGGGTAATCCGAGCCAAGGTCGTTAAAATTCTGGCTGACAGTGACGACTTCTTTGTACACCTTGTCCCTAAGCTCTCTCGGGAGCTGGAGAAAGGGAAAGGGTGGCTTTCTCAAGGAAGAAGCGAGCACCTCAGGACACAAGGGAAACTCGCCAAAGTCTTCAATGCTGTTTTCCGCCCGTGATCTCCAGGTGGACAGTGCTGGATTGACTTCGGTAGCCGGGATAAAGACCGTCGATCCTCCGGCAGTCATCGAGATATCTTGCCATAAACCTGAAATCGTAAATGTTAGCAATTGTTTGAGGACTGTCATCTCAAGGTGGGCGGGCTTACCTGTTCGTACGAGCTTATGACGTGCGAAAGGTGGTTGCAATTGCTACTCGGCTTTGCGCTTTCTGCTGGGCGGCATCCATGCTGAAGCCATCATGGCGAGAAACTTTTCTTCAGTGTTCTTAGCAATTGGTGTGGACGATCGTGAGCCAGTTCTCGATGGAGGTCGATGGAAATGAAGGTGTCGGCGACCTTGTCCTGGGAAAGAGTAGGTGAATAAAGGTCTGAACAAAATCTTGACAGGAACAAGAAAGGTGTTTTGATCCGTTTGCAGTGGTGTTCAACCCCTCACTGGCTTTTGAATCCAGACGGCTGCAAAATCCAAAGGCGGCCTGGGAAACGCGCCGCAAATTTTACAACCGTGAATGCTGTGCTGTGGTGGGTGACCAGCTCCAGAGGCCTGAACAGCAAACGGCGAAATTTTATCTCTGATTGCGTTTGATTCTACCTGGCCGTGCCTTTCATTACTCACCTGCATAACTACAAAACAACACTTCCCAAGAGCTACGTCTATTACTTGTGTAATGCTAAGGGCTAAGGTACGCCTAACACGTTGAGAAGATTGCAGCAGCAAGCTGTGATGTTTGGCATTTTTCAGAGAGGAATAGCAGATTGAGCATGCCAGTATTTGGTGATCGTGCAACATTATACAGTATAGTACTTGCAGTGAGGCCCGAGATTCCTTTCCTCTGCATAGTTAAATTGCATTGAAGGTATTCTAAGCATCCTGTCCTCCACGATCATCTTCCTCAGTAGCTTGTTTGGCAATTGATATGATAATTATTGAATTATCAAGTAGTCTTGAATGACTTACCATAGTGCGTTCCCCGGGGGAGTCTACATTGATTTCGTGCTACAATGGACGTGCTGTAACTGGCTACGTATCTCGCTGCATTGATCATCAATATTGAGCCAAGACGTTCTTGTTCATCATGCATCATGCATAGGTAAGCATTGGAAAATCATGCGATCCCCTGCGCTACATTGGGCATGGAGAAACTCCGAATCACGACTCAAACACGCGGTAGCTACAGGGATGCGATGATGGCAATTCATTCTCTACTTGATCGGTGTTGAGTGGATGATATCGACCTAGTATAGCGCGACACGATATGCGCCTATTATAGTGCTTATTGGGTGCAATCTGGCCGCCACCGCTTGATAGCCAAACCCCGCCGCCAACGATGGAAGATGAAGGAAGGAAATGGATGAATACAGTCTTTAAACTTTTATTTATTCACCCTATATCCACTCAAAACTTCCAAGCTTTAGAATAGATGAGCTCATCAAACTACAAACACAAGACAAAATGAAGACGATTGGCATCATTGGTGGGAGCACCGACATTGCCACGGTCGAGTACTACAACTTGATCAACAAGCATGTCCGGGAAGAGCTAGGCGGGCTGCACACGGCCGAAATCATCATCAACTCCATGGACCTGGCCAACAGCGCGCACTACGTCAATCACGAGCTCTGGGACGAGGGCGCCGAGTACCTCCGCACCAAGGCCCAGAGTCTCGCGCGCGCCGGCGCCGACTTCATCATTTGCGTCTCCAACACGTGGCACCGCGTCTCGGACCAGTTCATGGCCGGCGTCGCCGACACGGTGCCCCTGTTGCACATTGCCGAGCCCACGGCCGAGGCCATCAAGGGCAAGGGATTGCGCAAGGTTGCGCTCCTGGGGACGAAAGCGACCATGTCGTCGCCGTATCTGCCCGACTTATTTGCAAAGGACCACGGGCTGGAGATCATTGTCCCCACGGACAAGGACCAGGAATTAATCAACACTGTCATCTTTGCCGAGCTGTCCTATAACCAGTTCACCGATGCGTCCCGGAATGCATATCTCGAAATTATTGACGAGTTGGCGTCGCGTGGTGCTCAGGGTGTCATTCTAGGGTGCACGGAGATTGGGCTCTTGGTATCGCAGTCGGACCGCCCAGACATTCCGATGTTTGATACTTTGCGATTACATGCCAAGGCCGCGGCAATGAAAGCCGTCCACGGCTAGCAAGAAGAGTTTCAATTAATCTTAAATAATATACTTTTTCTTCTCAGGTGTCTAAGCGAAATGCAATGAAAGTGCTGTATCACAAGGGGTTGACCACAGGATTTTAGTATTTGTCAACCATCGTCAACGAACCTTGATTCATTGTCGATCAATTAAAAGCCAGCCTCGCAACCTTACTCGAAATGAGAAGATCATTGGGCGAGAAAGAATATGCATCTCATGCGAATTTCCTGTCATCAACATTACACAGTGCCAGGCCTTCGTGGGCCGACATCGACCACGATACTCGCGCCAGTGACAGTGGGATCCTTTCCTGGGTCGTACTTATCGATGCCGTCAAGAGGAGCGTACTTTTCGCAAAGGTAGCACATGTGGTTGTAGGCTCTAAATTTTGTTTAGCGGACATTGCCATGAACTGGAATCCAACGGGAGCCCTGGCTTACGTGCGTCTAAGAACAGAATTCGGATGTCCGGCGGACCAGTTTAGATTTCCTTTGAGGCAGTACAGGCGGTTGCGATCATCAAATTCCTCACGGGGCTCTGCAGCAGGGTACTGGCGAAGATACTGCTCCAGGTAGACTTTTGAACGAAGGTGGGAGCAGAATTCGTTCCTCCAGTGGCCCAGATCCATTTCGTTGTGCGCATAGTAGGACCCAACATCGTACATGATCAGGCGGCCTGTTTTCTTATCGACCCCCAAGTTGGGCTCCCAAAGATCACCGTGTAGGAGGCTGGGTTTGATTGGTTTACCGTCTTGCTTGAGGTCACCAAGCAACCGTGGCACGACGAAGTCAAGGACCTGCTTGGTAGCCCGCTCCATCTCAGGCCAAGGACCATTGGCTTCGGTATCAAGCTTGGAAACTCCCAACAGAAGTTTACAGAAGAACTTGGGCCAGCTGTCTTCCCAGTCCACAGTGTGAGGCATTCTGCCGTCACAGGTGGTGACGTGGAATCCAAACTTGCCCGTGGGCGATCGACTAGTTTTGTGCAACTCTGCTACTTGTCGAGCAAGTTCAGTTGGGTCCGGAACAGTAGTTGTATCCATTTCAATAAAGTCAGAGAGGTAGTAATAAGTGACTGGCGACTCGACTTTGAACTGGCCAAAGGCACGTGGCTGCGGAATAAGATCGGGCATGAGTCTGACCACTTCCCTGGCAGACTCATACTCACCTTGCAGCATGACTCCCCCGTGGTTTCCGTATGATATCTGCGCCGATATTAATCAAGTGTACTATTTTTGAAACAATACAATCTTCACCTTCAAGAAGAAGGGTTTCTCAGAGCCATCCGATCGCTTGGTCGTGACCTTGGCTGTATGTGTCCAAGCACTTCTCCCATAATTTTCGACAGAGATAAATGTGTATCTCTTTGGTAATACTACACATATAAACATGGTCAATTTTGTTTCCAGTATAACAGCCCATCAGTTCGAATTTAGGGGATCTGATGGCGGCCAACCTTCTGTTAAAACTTCATCCGTTAGAAAGCCTTCTTCAGTGAGGTCCAGCACATTTTTGATGGCGATAGGGGGGTCGTCAAACACCACGGCAGTGGGCGAAGCTGAAATCCCAGCTGACACCATTTTGCTCTTGTCGGAATTAGAACTAAGAAGAACATTGCAATGATAGAGAATAGACAAACTTGACAATCAGCATACAGGATTATGGAGGGGTCATGTAGAGACAGGGAGCTGCCCGGAATTGCGGGTACTGGACTCCCTTATCATGTTCACATGTCCTAACGTCTGGCCATTGATTCGTTAAGCGCTCCGATAAAATGCACGAGAGATGTTGGTCGGTGTTCTGGTGTTGTTGCATCCCATCATGCATTCCAGATATAAGTGGGGATGTTTCTGGCAGTTGCGTGAGCATCCAAGAATAACGGGTTGCCAAATATGATGTCGTATTTATACTCATCCATCATGTCTCATCAACCGATAGTTTTGCTATCTATCCGCATTCATTTGTCTCCATCTCTTCTATGAGGACTCTGGGCACATGGTTCTACTCTAATTCCCTTGGTCAGTCCTAGTTTACATGTACAAACTTGCAACAGCAGTAATATCTCGCTTAATCATTTCCTGCGCTTCCTGCATTTTCTGATACAAAGCAGGGTCGCCAATGATTCTTGCTGCGTTCTTGACTTCACGGCATGTCTCATCAAGTCGCGTAATGGTTCGAACAATGGTTCCCTCCAAAACGTCGGTCAAGTCTGTAATATTTCGGAAACTCATGCCTCTCGCCCATTCGTAGACGACCTCGACAAGTCCGAATCTTGGTCGAACAACAAAGTCATTGCTCTCCTCTGAAGACTGGATGACCTGGTGCAAGGTTTGCACGTTGTTGACCTTTTCCGAAATCTCGACAATAGTCTTGATTCCTTGCTCCAGCTTGCCGGGCAGATTGGGCACACTATCAGTCTTTTCTTGGAAGACAAAGGCAGATAGCAGCGCAGCAATTTCAGCAGGCTCGTAGTCGGCCAGAACGTTGTCAAGGATAAGTTCAGTAAGGACAAGTTCATCTGCACTGTGGATCTCGCATGCCACTTTGCCCTTGAGCTGAATTCGCGTTTCATTATCAATAAATGAGAGATCCTTAAGGACTTGGATACGTTGCTCATAATCGGGAAGCAGTTGTAAGTTCTGGTCGGCCATGGTAGCCAGCAGCGTCGAGATATGCTCCTTGATGAGCCATTGGTCGTGGCACATGGCAAACTGTCAAAAGTTAGCCATTGTCAGAAGGCTTGATCTCATGCGTGGTATGATAGAAAGTCTCCAAGGGGGTTCTGAGAAGTTTGGACCTACATGTTTCAAGAAGCTCTCGCAGTGGATTGGCGCTGTATCCACTGCTCTTCTGGCTTCCTGGTGTCGCTTGCCAATCAGTTCCTGCAGTTGCATGCTCTTGATCTTGCTGAGATCAATCTCCTCCCAAATGTCTGCTTCCCAACTCTTGCAAATTTGGAAAATGCGATCCTTGGCCTTGGCATGACTCTCGTTTCCTTGAAAGATATCTGGCAGGATGCCTTTGGTGACAGTCTTGGTGAGGTATTCTACATCGCCCACTGCAATGTGCTGGGTCTTGAAGTAAATGAGTCTCTTGGATTGCGGTAGTTGCGTGAACAAGGACCGGAAAGCAGGTAGGAATGGTAGGAGGTCGGTTGAATCTCGTGTCTCTCTCATGGACCGAATCTCAAAGACGTGAATGCTAGGCTGTCCACCGGTAGTCTTCGTGCTGATGCCATCGGATAGCAGAATACCAGGGGTGCGCACACCGTCCTTACTGAACACAATAAGCCGCCCTTGGGAAAACATCTTGCGGCCAATGGGTATGGAGAGCATTCCCTTGTGAAGTTCTTGGGTCAACTCCCGGTACTTCATCGAGGCGTCATGGCAGTCATCCAGTGTCGCATCGCACTTTTCACAAGCTTCACGCTTAATCTTTGCCAAGTCGGCTTCGGCAATCTTGACTCCCTTTTCGTGCTCTGGTAAAAGCTGCTGTGTCGCATGTTCGGAGAAACTGCGCTTAATCATTTCCTCGATCTTGAGAGCTTCCACACGCAGTAGATTCAAGATCATGTTGTACGTGAGTCGGAACTGTGACTTCAGCTTGTTAGGCTGCCCAGTAATCATGTTCTGCAAATCGACAACGGGAGGCGCCTCGTCACCACCACCAGGTGGCACAATGATAACCGTGCCAACAGTATCAAGACCACGACGACCAGCTCGACCAGCCATCTGGGTGTATTCTCCTGGCAGGAGATTTCGGAATGTATGCCCGTCATGCTTGCGGTAACCAGAGAATACGACGGTACGAGTGGGCAGGTTCAGGCCCATTGCAAATGTCTCAGTAGCGAAAAGCACCTTGACCAATGTTTGCGCAAACAGGAGCTCAACCAATTCCTTCACGATGGGCAGAAGTCCACCGTGATGGACGGCTATTCCTCTGGAGAGCAGTTCCCGAATGCGAATAATCTGTGGTAGTGCTCGGTCTTCAGGTCTGAGTCGTGCTACCGACTTTTCAACAATCATGTGGATGTGACTCTTCTCGTGAGCCGTGCAAAAGTCTTGGTTGCTGAGGGCATCTGCGTTCTCTTCGCAACGTTTCTTTGAGAACACAAAAATACAAGCGGGAAGCAAGGTGGACTTTTTCAAGTACTGCACCATATGTACCCACAAGTTCTTGTCTTGGTTCAACGAAGTGAACCCTCCCGGGCGACCGGCTCTGCCCATATGCCCAGGGGCATGACTTGCTCGAGGAGGACCACCGCGGCCACGTCCTTGACTGTTGCCGCCTCTTCCTCCGCGTCCCTGGGGGCCACCTCGCTGGGGGCCACCCCGTTGGTTGCCTCGCTGATTGGCACCCCCTCGGGCTGCTGGCGCCGGGGCTGGAAGAGCCTTGTCTTTGCCCTTTAAAGCCAGATCAGCTTCCTTCCAGCCCTTCTCGTTGAATTTCTTATCAGCGTCAACAATCTTGTGAATGTTCTTGCCGGCCCATAGATAATGCTCAAGCGGCACGGGACGTTTGGGAGTCGAGATGACGTAAATATCCTTCTGCTTTGTTCGTCCTACCCATTGAGCAAACTCTTTGGTGTTGGGAACCGTTGCTGATAGCAAAATAAGCGACACGTGCTCGGGAAGCATGATGATGACCTCTTCCCACACGACACCTCGCTCAAAGTCATTGACGTAATGCACCTCATCAAAGATGACAAATTCCACATCTCTAATCAGATCAGCTCCTCTGTACAGCATGCTGCGAAGAATCTCAGTGGTCATGATGAGACAGCTGGCTTCGGGGTTGATCTGGACATCGCCGGTCAAGATACCCACTTCATCGAAAGTTTCTCTGAAATCTCGGAACTTTTGATTACTGAGAGCCTTGATGGGGGAAGTATAGATGGCCTTGGTCATGTGTCTTGCTGCTAGAGCAATAGCGTACTCGGCAACCACAGTCTTTCCTGCCGAAGTGTGGGCAGCGACGAAGACGGAATCGCCATTTTCAAGATGGTAAATAGCCTCTTTCTGAAAGTTGTCGAGTTCAAAAGGCCATTCTCTTGCCATGTCCGGAACCAATTCTCTGAAGTTCGGGATACCTCGGTTGATGTCGACCATGTGCGCCCATTCTTTGCCAGCCTTTCTAGCACTCGACGCAGCAAGAGCACTGTGTGGTTCTAGAGCAGGAAATTCGACGGGCAGTAGAGCGTCAATATCCTCACCGTCTTCTCCGTCCAGTTCTTCTTCCGTGGGTTGTGGTGCTGGGATGCCGTCAACACCGTCAGCATTCGGAGCATCCTCTGGCTCCTGGTCGAGCACCTCTTCGACAGCCTTGGCATCTGAATCGTCAACCTTGGCCTTCTTCTTGCTGAAATCGATACCTCGCTCAAGTCCAGGCGCAACTTCGAGCAAGCCACCTTCGGCACCGAGCTTAATGACCCGTTCGAGCTTGTTGCCAGTTCCATTTGGAGCTGCAGCACCAGGTCTAAGCATTTGGTCCTCGCTAGCAGCAATGGAGTCGACACCCTCGAGACCACCAGGCGCAAAGGGGAAAAATCCAGCTGCACCTCTGACGAAATCCGCGCGACTAGCGGGCTTTCGCGAGAAGCTTGTTGAGTTCTTTGCAGTTGCGCTGTTTGCCGGCACGGTGACATTTTTGTAGCCAGTGACCTTGCCTTCAAGGCCTTGTCTGGTGAAGCGTGTGACGGTTCTTGTCTGCGTCGGCGCAATGCGGAACAGCTCGGTCAAGTCGGTCGGGCAGTCCCATCGCTGTTGCAGTCGGTTCAGCCATTCGTTGGAGAACTTGTTGGATGGATTGAGGTAGTCGTTCTCGAGTTGAGCCTTGAGCGCGGCGGGATCTTGCTTCTGGCGCTTTCGGGGGCCTTGCTGGAACAGGATGTCGTCAATGTTGACATTGTCTGCTGCCGCAGTAATTTGAAGGTTCGCGAGCGACTGCGCGAGGTCGGGAGGTCCCATCGCGGCTGGCTCAGGGTAACAGAATGCTTTGGCAGTCCTTGGGTGAAGCTCTTGCAAGGTTGCAAGGTCATGACGTTGCTATTCTAGTCTTTGTTGTAGGCAGTTCAGTGGCCTAGGTTAGAATATTGGTGGGGTTTGTGGAGCGTTTGCAGCAGAGTGGACACTGGTTGAGCGGCGGGGTTGAACTGGCTTTATATAACACAACAAAAGCTAAATTGGCAACTGGACAACTCAAGATACCACCGAAGGATACCTTGATGTACATAAACCTAGTATGCATCGCGGTACGTGTCAATCGAAAACTAAAACAATTCAGCAAAAAAAAAAGTCTCAAAGTAATAAATTTAAATCAACCTGTGTGTTTTGCTTGAGTTGCCCTACTGACTTAATCCACGTCCTCCCTAAGACCGGATAGCAGCCAAAAACAACCGGCATTGCCACGCTATTATTTGGGTTATAGCATCTTCTTTGCGTTCAAATAGCAGGTTTGCACAATGCCAAGGCTCCCATTGCAAAAAACATCTATCATAATGTCTACATTAAGACAGTGTCTCGTTGAGCCAACATTCGCACGTAATCATTATCATAGATCACCATAGACCGTCCATCTCCGCCATAGCCTCCTCATCATCAGCATTAGCGTCTTTTGACGATTTCTCTGTACCGGGGGTTTTGCTGGATTTTGAACCTGGTATAGACCCTTGAGCTTCTGCCTCCGCCATTAAAGCATCAAGATCGTCATCCTCCTCAGCATCATTACGTGCTGGTAGTTGCGGCTTGGGTCTTTCGTTGGTAGCCGCCTCTGCTTCGGCCATGAGGGCATCGAGATCGTCTTCATCAGGAGCCGACGGTGGTGGTGCACGTCTTGACGGTAACTGTCCATTGCCAAATATTGATGTCGGTGCTTGTCTCTGGGCCTCCTCCTCGGCCATGAGAGCATCCAAATCGTCTTCCTCGTCGGGTGCATTGCTGCCTAAACCTTGATTTGTGGCCGCACTAGCATTATTCGTCCGCGAGGCTTTTGGCGTGGCGTCATATAGATCATCGTCCCCAAATAAGTCGTCTAGCGAGGGTGTTTTTGGCCTCTCAGCAGGTCTGTTGCTCTTCTCAAAGATGGGGGCGACTCTGGCAGGGAATATGGCAGGTTCCCGCCCATGATCCAGACCACGAAGATCAGAATCGTCATTCTCGTCAATTTGCGTTGCGCTTCTTGGCTTCCCTTCGTTGATCCAATCCATTCGCGCCAATCGCATGGATCGAGTATGGCCAGCCTTCTCAACCATGGTAAGCGCGTCAAGGAACTTGGCTTTGGGATACAGGTCATCTAGCCACAGCTGATAAAACGAAAGCAGACGCGCTGTATCTGAGAACTGGTTTGAGAATTAGTATAGATGAACCTATGTAACAGATGCGAGTACGAACCTCGTGGCCTTTGCCTTTGAATTTGAGATCTCCTGCCTTCTTCCTCAACTTGGGAATACCTTTATCTGATAGAAGTTTCTTGTCGTCAAGTTTGACCCTCGGCACTCTAACCTTCTTCGACACTGCAACTGCTTCATCAATTCCTAGACCCGAGGCGTCTTTCCGCTTCTTGGATTGTGAATCTGCTTTGTTGGCATTGTCATCGCCTGACTCGGCAAAGGGGTCCGAGCCAAAATCGTCGGCTCCATAATTCTCCAAATCATCATTGACAACTGCTCCGGGCGCCATATTGGGCTTTTGTGTGTTTGAAAATAGAATGGCGCGATGAAATGTGGTTGAGCGCAAGTAAACTTCTACACAACACTCAGTATGATGCTGGGAGACGCGTCCATTAACGATTGCAGCGCGTCTCAATTAAGCATGGTCCCTTAGCGTGGACCCACCCGAAAGAGTGCCGGGATCCTTGTGTTTGGGCCATGGCTTTCAGATTAACCGATATTGAGCCGCTTAGCTAAGCAACCAATTGGAACTTCGCGATTTCAAGCTTCAAGTGCAACCTCCGCTGGAATCGAGTGAGAGCTTCAGTAGCTCAGCCATTGGACAATCCCCATTGAGTCCGCCACCATGTCGACGCCGACGCCCCAACAGACTTATATTCCCAGCAAGGTCCTCAAGACCGAGTACCCGGTGAGAAGGATCCAATTGAACTAGTTTGGTCTCGTGAATTCTGGCTAATGTGCTGCAGCTCATTGACAATGACCCGTACGTTTACGACTCGCCGCGACACACCTCTCGATACTTGGGCTTTGGAGCCTGTTGAATGGAGGACTGATATGATGATAGGCACTTCAACCGAGTGATCGCCTACGCGAGACCCTCCGACTATGTCCACGGCGCCGTGGCAGCCGCTTCCGGTCCCGGTCTTCTCTACGCCATGGAGCGCTTTGCGCCATCACACGTCGGACGCGGCGGTTTCGCACGAGCCATGAGACTGGGCGGCGCTGTTGGTGCCATCGGTGGCTTCCTCTACTTTTACACAAGATCGACATGTACGCATATCGCCCAAGAAGCCCTCGAGGAGGAGGGCTATGAGACGTAAAACAACATACTAATCCAGCCTTTGACAGACCGATTCTACGGAATGACGGAGAACGCCCGCGAGGTTGATATGGACATGAAGGAGATGGTTGCCAAGGTCAAGGCCGGAGAGACCCTGTACGGCGAGAGCAAGTTGACTCCCCACATGCAGGGTGTGGCCGCGCGACAGGGCAGATACTCGGCTCTGTTCATGTACGGCATCCCGTGGTTCAACTTTGTCAACCACAACCAGCACGGTGTCGACACCGCAAAGTACTTCATCGAGGCCGAGAGGCAGTTGGAGGCGGAGCGAACAGGCAATGCACAGAGCGATGTTGCCAGGCTGGGTTAGAAGACAAAACAAGATCCGGAAGGAATGCGTTGCGGTTTGTACATATGTTTACATTAGAAGCTACGCCCGGACCGGTGGACTCCTGGGCGACGGCTAAGCAAGAAATCTGCAGTCAAAATTTTGTTTGTTCCTTTATTATGCGACTTGGAACGTGGCTGGTTTACATTATCCAGCCGATATTCCTATCCCGGCAGTTTGCAATTACCATGCCGACGTATTAAAAGTCGAAAGATCCTCTTCAACCAAGCCCATGATATGGTTTCCACCAGAAAACCAGTCGCCCAGTTGTGCAGTCTGCAGCATATCCCTCGTTAGATCTCGACCAAGCCCGCCAGCGCCCGCCGCCGTCTCGTCCATGGGCATGAAGCCCAGCTGGCTGAGGTACATGTCGAACTCGTTGCCCACAGGTACCATGTCCTGGTCCAGGCTTTGTTGGGTCTTTGCTTCTACATAGAGCAGAGCGACATTATACAACACCTTGGACAGCTGATGCAGCTTGTCTATAGCTGCCGAAACCTCCCGTGATGCTTGCAATGATTGGACAAACTTGTCGAGTAGCGGTAAATCTGCCCCCGAAGACGTCTCAATGACATGACAGAATATGACAATGAATGGGATGAACGGGGCGTACAAAATTGTCCTAGACCACGTCAGATGATTGGAAACCAAAAGTCAGTAACTGTTATCACTTACCAGTGCATGTAGACAATCTGCAAACTGATGTCATCCATCATCGCTATTGCTTCTTCATGCGTAGTCATGGCCAGTCTCGCCGACTCCAAGCACTCATCCGCAAACGTGCGACTTCTTCCCGTGCCGCTTGGGGGCAGAGCGCGTTGCGCGAGCGCCAGACTGGAATAGTAGCTCACCACGTCGCTCTTGAGGATGATTACAAACATCTTGGAGTCTTTGCTCTGGCTATTGATGCGCACATCTTCCAGCAGCTTCAGCGTCTCTTGCAGCAGGAATTGCGTGTCCCTTACCACAAGCTGTACCTGCTGACTGCGGCCCTGCTCGCTCTGTCGGAGGGCCCCCGGCGAGTATAGTCGCTGGTAGATCTTGCCCTGCACCTCGGCGTGCTTGATCCACAGGCTCAAAATGGCCTGGCTGGGCACCTCGCCAAAGGTAGCCTCGAGAACACTCGGAATGCTGATGTCGTAATCCTGTAGCACGCTCGCCCTTCCCAGCCTCAGACTCAAGCCCTTGTCCAACATGTATGTGCTCCAAAACATCAACATCTTGGCCGACCGCAGCTCTGGCTTGTCGTTGCGTATGCTGTTATCCTGGTGCAGACCCAAGGAACGGCACATGTGCGCCGCCCGACTGGTCAGCATCCATGCCATGCTCGGCCGGGACAAGTCAATCGACAAGCTGGCCGCCATCAGCAGCGCCTCAATGTTCTCCATGGTTGCCGGCATCAGCAGTGGGATGTGAGCAAGTGCCATCTCGACATTGTTCTGGCACATTGTACAAAACTGCTGAAGGTCGGCCTTTTCAGAGGTGTTTGCTGGCGCCATGATTGAGGCTTCAAAGAAAAGGTACATGAGCCCGGCGTTGACAATGATGAATAATGACTCTGACACGTCCCCGTCGTCGGTACTGAAATACAGACGTCTGCATCTGTCTGTAAACTGGTCGATGTCGGTAAAGCATAACACCACCAACAGCATCATGGGACCGGGGGCGCTTTTCAGTGCCCTTAGCTTTTCTATCACAAATTCCATGGGCGGCATGGGGAGGTCGCGCAAGCGGCCCCGATGTACGTTTCTGCTGTGTTGAGAGCCTGTTTCGACGCCAGTGGAGCCCCCACGATTTGTTTGAAGATTCACCATTTGCCGAAGAGATGAAAGAGCTGCTTCTATCCTGGGATCGGGAGTAGAAAAGGGAGCCGAGCCGAGCATGCTGGTTTGTACCGCGCGTGACACGAGCTCAGAGGCAAATGCGGCATGAGCTGCAAGCGAGGAGTTACCTTCAAATGACTCAACGTCTTCAGGGTCGGCTACTGTAGAGATATCATCATGAGCTGCCGATGACGACGGCGTGGGCTTTGACCCTGACGGTGTGCTCCCGACTGATGCCCGGGTCAGTACGGAGTGTGTTGGGTTCGGATTCACGCCGACTGACGTATTTGATGTCGTCAATTTTTGTAGCAGAGATTCGATACCGGCAAGACGATCTTGCATGTCATCTATTTTTCTCTCACTATATGGATGATCAGTTATTCTAGTTGGCTAGGTGTGTAAAACCAGGTACAAGTGTGCCTCAACGGACGAGCCCAGGGTAATATCATACTATTGGCTTGAGATCAAGACGCGCTGCTTTGGTTCCTTTGGCTTTTGTCCAAGGCCGGTCGAGCTGCACGACCTCTTGGCACTTTTGCAGTTTGAGCATGGTGATTCCTTATCACATCTAATCTTTTGGGAGTATTAGTGCACGATTGTGCATGGTATAGTCGTCCAAAAACGGCGACACTACTCCGAGCGCCCAGTGGGGCGGACAAGACGTGATATATGGTTTAGATAACTGACCTTTCGGAGTCTACATTGGTCACACTACATGTTGATAATCAGTCTATGTGGTCACTAGTAAAGAATGCAGAGGTCGGCGTCTGTATGCCTCGACCGAGAATTGGAACCCGGACCTCCCAGTATGACAAAGCTTACCGCTCGCCGAATGCCGCCAGGAGAAGTACCGCCGCCCGCCACTTCTGCCGCCTCGGAATCCATCTCATGGGACTCCATCATACCATGGGGGAGTTCCGCAGTATATGATTGAATGATTCGATGATTCGCCGCCGGGCCTCGTAGTGAGTTGCAGACTGCTGCATTCGGCCAACTCTGACAACGTGCCACTGCTACCTTAGGCGCCCGAGAGGCTTAGCCAATTGAATCCCGTACCCGCTTTCGGACACGGCGCCCGCGCGTTCCGAACGCAGCACTACTACGGTCCCTTGAAGAGTAAGGTAGCCAGTGTCATCCATCCAGATGAGAGGCTGTTAGGGGAAGAAGAGTTATATACGTCACTTGTTAGTTGAGAGGAAAGAAAATTTATGGGTAAAATAGATTGTCTCGTTATCATTTCGTTCAGACGCCGTTTATGAACAGTGTCGATGAAAACCCTCTCGGAGCTTGAGACCGCATTAACTCTAGCCTCGAAGTAGTTTCTTAAGTTCATGTAAATGGCCATGAATGTTCATCCAGAACAACCGATGCAACAAGACTATATACTCGGATTGAAAAGGTAATAAAGCAATCATTTTCGCGCTGGTGAATCACGAGGTCACTTTCGCTTCCAAATGAAATGGTCGGCATTGATTGATCCGACCGTCTTTGGCCAGGGCAGAATTGTTGCATACTTGCGTCCTTGCTACATACACAGCCAGAAAGTTCGTCAAGAGTTAACATCACAGAATGCCGGCACTCGCTTGTCTTGATTCTTATTCAAGTCTCTTGGCTTGGGAAAGCTAGTCAATATAATGGTGGATTCATGTTTGTAAGAGAAATATCATGTGCCGGCTCTCGTGCTTCTCGGGCGACTTTGTCCCATTGAAAGATTTGTACTCGGCCGGGTGGTTTCGAGGCAGTGTAAATGGGATCTACAGAGTACAACTACAAGTGTGCGCTACAACTCTAAATTCTCTAGCATTGTATACCAGTCAGTTGGCTCCGAGGCTTCTCAGATCATAGATCCATTGGTATACGAGCCATGAATGTTACATTGTTATTATCGAGTATCCTAAAAAGAATTGAGGCTCGAAAAAAAGAAATTGAAGCTTTTCACAGAGTAGCATTCGCCTTTATCCTTCGGAAACTGGCCGGTGGACCAGGGGGGTTGCTCTCTTGGCAGCAGACTCTGGTGGAGCCAGCAGCGTTATTTATAATGCTTACATACCGCGACTCGCAGCAAAGCTCTTCATGCTGATAGATATGCTTCTGACACGCCAAGTATGTGCAGAAAACCAGAGAGTTGCGATCCCGCGAAATCTCGCCGGCGGTGGAGACCATGGCTTAATGACCTGCTTAATCAAAACGCTGTTACCGATCACGGCGCTCTTGGTATGCTCCACTATGCATCGTATAATGGTCTTGTCCCAGCAAAAATGTTGTATTTGCCCCGAATCGCGTCACTTAAGTCTGGAGCCTTTTACAAGTTGGATATCCTACAATCACGATTGAGAATCCAACATCGTGAGAAAAATGGCAGGGTACCGTCGCAGCGGAAATGAGTCCAAGAGTTTTTCTTCCCCATAATGGCAAATGCGATGACGGCTGAGCCGCCGGCCTATTGAGGATAACTCCGGACGTGATGTATATAGAGGACGGAGTCATCTTTTGCGTTTGTGCGTATTTCTGTGTTGAAGTCGGAGTCACGAAAAATTCAAGTCTTTCTCTGGGAATTGTCAAGTCCGTTCCTTGAATATGCACTCATTCCTTTGCCTTGGTTTCGTTGCCGCGGCTCTCGCTGCAGAGCCTTGGATCAACGCCCCGGACACTGGCCTTGAGGATTACTTGTACAGCACCAACTACACCGAGGGCTCATTGCCTCTTCTCAAGGATATCCGCGGTGTCCCAGACTTTGACTGGGCTGCAGAACAGCATCTCGATCTGCAGCAGTATTCATTCTACCGAACAGGGTCAGCTGGCGAATGGAGTAAGATGGTCAATCCATGTCATGATATTAAGCTACTAAAATGTCGGATCCAGGCTACCGTAATAACTTGGATATCTGGTCCAAAATCAAGTTCAGAGCTCGCATGTTGACTGATGTCTCTGGTGTTAACAAGACATTGCCGTAGGTGGGCTTGCTTTTTGACCGCAAAATCATTTACTAATGAAAATAGGACCACCTTCTTGGGCTACAATTTTAGTGCTCCCATCTTTATTGCTCCTGCGGCCAGGGCAGTCTATGGTGACGAGAGGGCCGAGTTGAACTTTGTTGATGCAGCAGCAAACGAAGATATCTTGTACACTGTAAGTGAGATTCGATTCCTGGAGCCATCTATACTCTTGATGAAACAATATGATCAAGACGATCTAACTTGCCATGACAGGCAGCCTTGTACGCATCAAAGACGATCGAGGAGATTGGTGTTCAGAAGCAGACACACAACGACACACTCAACGGTCCGCAGGTCACTTTCCAGCAGGTACGTCCATACTTCCAACAGCTTTCCAGGGTCGCACTGACTAGAAATTATAGATCTATACCAACGCCAATCTTTCCGTCACTTGGGACAACATTGCGCGTGCCGAGGCATACGGAGTAAAAGCAATTGTCTGGACTATTGATGCTCCAGCGGACTCGGTCAGACACCGCGCCGCTCGCTATGACACCACCAACGCGTATGTTATGCTTTGTCCCGTGTGTGTCTTTGTTATTGTAGCACTAATTTTATGTCCAGAAACTCGGTAACATCAGCTCTGACTGTAAGTTCTCAACATGATCATCAATATCCATTTCCCCTGCCCATATATGTCTCCCAAGCACACGTACTGATCAGTGCACTAATTCATAACTCTATAGTGGGACCTCTATGACGAAATTCGAAACCGAACCTCACTGCCCGTGATCCCCAAGGGTATCAGCACAGTAGAGGACGCGCTGATGGCGGTCGAGAAGGGCGCCCCGGCCATTTACATTTCCAACCACGGCGGGCGCCAGCTCGACCACTCGCCCTCGCCTGTTGAGATTGCCTACGAGATCTACCGCAATGCGCCACAGGTGTTTGACCAGGTAGAGGTCATGGCCGACAGCGGTGTGCGCTATGGCTCTGATGTCGTCAAGCTACTCGCGCTCGGCGTCAAGATGGTCGGATTGGGAAGATCGTTCGTGCCCCCGTCAGCCTGAGTTCAAAGTTGTTCACCGACATTGCAGAAACTGACAGAAATACTAGGTTCATGTTTGCAAACTGCTTTGGTTTGGATGGTGTCACCAAGCTGATCCAGATCATGAAGCAGGAGATTATCCGGGACGCTGCCCAGGCTGGCGTGCCTGATCTGAGAAATGTCAGCCGCAGTGTAGTGAGTAACCACATTTCCCCTCCTTGTAAAGATCAGAAAGGACTGACAATGTGTTAGATCAACACTCGGGCTCTGAATGAAACCGTTTTCTTGCTCGATAACTAAGTCGGGAGCCAGTTATTTTTAAGCATTCAGAAGATGCTCGTCATCATGTATTAGTTTTGGACATGTGAAATAGGCCGGCATTACTCTGCATGTAACCGATAGACTTGTCATTTACACTTTCTTCTCTGTACATATCACTTGTAGCAATTTAGCTTTTCTTCAAAGGTCGGAAACCATAACATTATTGATTGTCTAGCTAATGACCAAAAAACAATGTCAAATGTCCAGAACACCTCCGAGCGAGTGATGCAAAGAGAGCAGAAAATCTTGAAACGCCTTGATAACTCCATTGTACCCGTCGTAATGTCCACAAATTTATCAATCGCTGCTATCGTATGTGCTGTGGGCCTCTGCAAGTAGGCTTGGTCATTGCGCGGCTCGTGAAAGCGCATCTCTTCCTTCATTCCTCATAGTCTAATCGGCCAAGTCTTCGTGATGGACAGCGGGGTGTGTCTCGATCCATTTTCCGGCAGCCTCCTAGGCGCGCAGTGCCCTAAGTCTCTGCTGCAAAGCGTCTTCCTCCTCTGCAGTGGGCTCATTCGTCTGCGGTCCGACGGGCTCTGCCTTGCTCGGCTGCGCCTCGTTGAACTGAGAGCTCAGCTGGACACCGGCATCGTCGGCCAGCTTGCCCAGCAGTTCGTGTACGGCATCTTCGCTGACAGTGGCGCTCGTGCTCTGGGAGATGGCATCCTGGTAGATGCCGTTGCTCATGGCATACTCTTCGTTCTGCTGCTTGAATTGCTCAAGGGTCGTGAGCGTCCGCTCGGGGTTCATGGTACGCTGAGCAATGCCCATTGTCTTGCTGGACTGGCCCATCATGTGCGTCATGCGGTTCATGGCATTGTTGGCCTGTATCTGGGATGCCGAGAGCTCAGCCATGTCGGCCATTTGGTCCATCTGAGCAGCGAGGGCCTGCTTTGACAGCAGGATCTTGGCCTTTTGGTAGGCCTTGGCGGTCTCGCCCTTCTTGAGGAGTTCTTGAATCTGTTTTCGGAGGAGAGGGTCTTGTTTCGCGGCCTTCTGGGCCTCTTTGCGCGCCTGCTTGGCTTGGAACTGTGGAGCGATGGAATTAGTCGGCGACGCTCAAGGGACTGGTGTGGTGTCGCGGTGATCATGGGAGACGTACCCGAGCCTGGAACTCGACCTGCATGTCGCGGGCGATCTGTCTGTTCGACATGGTGAAAGAGAAAACGATCGCGAATTGCTAGAAGTGGCAAAAGGTGGTGAGAATCGTGATGCGCGCAGTTGCGAAGATGCGCGGCTGAAATGCGAAGCGAAGCGTTGGTGGGTGCCTGATGCGGACTTTCAAGGTGATGTATCGGTGAGTGATGGATGCCCAAGGAACTGGATTAGGTGAAATGTTCGCAGGTTTTCGGTTGGTGCCTGTATTGGTTGCGAAAATTGAGTTGACCTTGCAGGTGGTTCTAGTTTGACAGAGTTTGGCCAGATGTTGGAGCAGTCTGGGATCTGTAGGTGTCAGGTGGTGGCAGAGGAAATGGCTGATCCGTTTCGGCGGTTCCGCTGATGCACGACTAAAGGGCAATCAATGGGATGGTGTTTGGGCGTCCAACAACCGCCCATGGCTTAGTGGGGTTCGCGGGGGGACTCTGCAGAAACCGCGCCACAAGATGACGCAGCTAGCGGCTGTCGGTCTTGATTCAGCCACTGCAACCACTGAAGGCATGCCTACTGCATGTACATGAAATTCCCCCGGGCTGTCTCTGGTACCTTATCCAGTGCCAAGTGCTTCTTTGATTGGCATCCATATTTGTTATCCAGGCGAATGTTGCCGGAAGGGTCTACTCTTTGCAGCCCCTTCATGTCTACCTCAGTAATGGATGCTATCCAAGGACACTTTCCATATTAATGTTATGAAATACACATCTTGAACAAATTCGGGTTTCGCGACAAATTGTCAGGAAAGTAGTCAGGAAAGTATGCGGAAACAAAGAATACATGTTACGGCCACACAAGGCCGATTGTTGGCACTCAAGCGGCCGAATGTGGGGCCGGGTCATGACGCACTATAAGTTGGCGCACACATAGCGGCCGTACTTTCCAGTTATACACCATGATGGACTTGTTATCCTCAATCTTTCATGACCTCGAATGGTATAAAAGCAGGGCTCATGAGAAATACGGCATTCATAAGGTTTTACAGTATGACATCGAAAGCAAAACTCAACGTACAGTCCTTTCCCCGACCTCCACTGCTGGAGCGCACACCTCGTCATTTACAGATCAAATGGGGTGACAAGTTAATCGCCGACACCAAGGAGTCCTTTTGGGTTCTCGAAACCCATCACCCTCCCAGTACGACTCAATTCCCTCGCTCACTTGCAAGGCTCTTTCTGACATCTAACCTCACCAGCCTATTATCTTCCGCCGTCCTCGGTCAAGCTTCCCCTGACTCGGACACCTCGGTCGTCGTATTGTGAATGGAAAGGAAGGGCAACGTACTATTCCATTGAGTTGGATGGCAACAAAGTATCAAACCGTATATGGTCATATGACAACCCCACGCGAGGTTTCGAGCCACTCAAGGACTTTTTGTCCTTTTACGCTGGACCGTGGGACTGTGTCGTGGACGGCGAAAAGGTCGAGGCACAGCCTGGCGACTTTTATGGTGGTTGGGTCACTAGTGATATCGACGGGATTGTTAAGGGCAAGAATGGCAATTTTGATCCAGTGATTTAGATGTACGAGTTCAGTATAAAAGTTTCGGCTTTCTTATAACCTATAGACAATGGTTCAGGCCGAGTGACATAGTGAATCTACCTAGACATACTTGTATCGAATATTCTCAATAGCCTCTGTTTCTAGTGAACATCTTTGAATGAATAAAACGGCTGCGACTTCGTAACATCTTGACTAACATCAACATTCCCAACAGAAATGTATCGATTTTCGGTTTAAGCTCGTCCAGACTGTTGGGAAATCGCTTCTACTTGCTCCACTCCCGCCTCGTCCCCAGCGATATCCTTGGTCATTTTGGTATGTTCCCTCTGAACGTCCGTCTCGTCCACCAGGACAACCTTGTCGCCAAAGTCCCTGGCGATTTCCTCCAACGTCTTCCTCCGCGTCTCGGGAAAGTAGAACCACGCCAAAACGAGGAAGAAGAGCGTGCACGCGACAAAGACGTAGTAATAGTTTTCCTTGATATTGGCAAACGCGCTGGGCCCAGCTTCCGTCACGGCCACGTTGACAATAAAGTGGCTAGCCGCGGCGAGGCCCATAATTTTGCTCCGCAGCGTAATGGGGAGAACCTCGGCCCCGTATAGCCAGGTCGTGCTGTTGAGCATGCCGTAGTAGCACACGACAAAGAGATAGATGCCCAGCACGGCGAAACCCTTGCCGACTCTGTTGGACGAGTTTTGGAATGCCCGTTGCATGACAGCGGCGTAGATCTCAATGACAATGATGCCGGCAAGCCCAGCAATGATCATCTTCCTGCGACCCCACTGGTCGGTCAGATATCGAGTGGTGAGTGCGTTGGAGGCGAATGCAATAGTTCCATACACAGCCGCAAGAGCCAGGATGGTGTTTCTCTCAATGCCCAGAGACTGGTACAATATGGTCTGGTAGTACTGGATGACGTTGACGCCAGTCAGACTCGTCATGGTCTGCACGGCTATAGAGACGAGGGCGCGGTGACGATACAGCTTAAATGCCTCGCGCACCGACTTGATCTCTCGAGACATTTCGTATTCAATCTGTGCCCTCATGAAAGCAAATTCTTCTTGCGCCTCGTGTGACTGCAAGTCTCTTCGGATCTTGATAAACTCTCTGCGAGCGTAATCAATCTGTCCCGCCCTGATGAGCTGCCTCGGAGAGTTGGGCATAAAGGTGGAAAGGCCAATGAACATGACGACGCCCCATGGGATCTGGATGCCCAAGGGCAACCGCCACTGCGTCGCACCGTAGGGAGCAAAGCCGCAAGCAAACCCGACCCAATTGGACATCATGGTGCCGAAAGAGATGCCACATCCAGAGATGCCTCCAATAAGACCTCTCTGCTCGGGGGCCGAGATTTCGCTGAGGTAGATGGGCACAGTTGCGACCAGTCCGCCCACCGCATATCCCGCCAGTGCGCGGCCAGCCAAGAAGACGCCGATATTGACTGACGCGGTCTGAATTACGGTGCCAATAGTGACAATGACACACATGAGCTGCATGAAGCGGATGCGGCCAAGCTTGTCACCAATAAAGGTTTGTGTCAGGGCGCCCAGGGCTTCGCCTGCAATATAGACGGCCACGACTGCTCCTGTCAGGCCATTGGAGGGGTGATGCATATACTCGATCCAGCTCTGATGTGCAATAGCTTATGATTGTTAATTTCAGATAAACAATCGCGGTCCGTGGTACTCACTTGTTGTTGCTATGCCAGTATCGAATCCCTAGAGCTCGTAAGCAACTGCTTATGAAATCGTGGAGAGATGGCCACTTACAAACAAGAATGTACCAATAGATGCGAAGAGCGCAATTCCGATAGTATACCAACCAGCCATCTCGATGCTTCAGTTTCGGGTTTCCAATGTGAAAACTCGTTGTATTCCATCGCTGCAAAGGAACAAGTCCTTTGCCAAACTTTACCAGAACATAGCAGAGTACAAATACTCCTACCAGAACAGACGACGATCCCCTGAAGGGTGATTCTAAGCGCCCGTTCCCCCACATAACGGGAGGGGATCTGCACAGAAAGTTGGAGGAGGTCGGGGAACAATGTCGCGGGGATTGCGGGGGTGGTCCTCCCCCATGATTTTAGCTCCCCAGTTGAGGTGGAACGTTAATGAGGAGAGCACCGTGACGGGGACCATATGACGGCACTTGGGCCGGAGCAGGATCGTACGGTTGGGGGTCAAGACTTATCAGTGCTGAAAGATCGGTACAGCATTGGTGAGTATTATCATGTCATGGACTATAGTATTGGAGGTCCTAGAGCTCTCAATCGCGTTAGTTGAATCGAAATGGAAAAGGTTCTTGAATACAGTCTATCAAGTTTCTACATCTATTCATTCTGGTCCATAGTACTAATCCATGGCTACCACTGTATAGCAACGCTTTGACAGTGGAGATCCCATGGTCATGCATACCTTGTAAGACAACAAATGCTTTTCCCAATATGCATTCTTGATTTCCACTCCTTCTTTATAGGTATCCGCTCAGATGCTTCGGACTTTTGATGAATAATGTCGTCACATCATTTCAAACCGGCGCGCCTCAGGCTATGTGGGCTTCTGCTTCTAATCGTCTCACCCTGTCGTGGTAAAGCCAGAGACCCATTTGTCGATTCTTTATCAATATTTTTCGGCTCCTTTGGTTCCTCTTCAATTTCACTGTCAGAGTCGTCCAGGCTATCCAACTGGAACGATTGCTCCTCGTCAAGCTCTCGTCTTCCCCGGGATGAACCACTCATCGTCTCTGCATCGTTGTTTTTCTCGTTTTGGTAGAGCTTCATATTCACAAACATGGCGTAGAGTCCAAGGTCGTAAGCCAGGCGACAGCTGCCAGCCACGACAAAGGCGATCCAAAATCTGTCGCCAGAGGCCAGAATACCCGTAAGAGTCGGCCCAGTCATGGCCGCGAGCGTCCGTAGCATGGCAGTGACACCCATGACGGCGGTCCGCTCCTCCGACTTGACGACAGCGGCGATAAAGGCCGTGCGGGGAGCCTGGTCCATGTTGTTGAGGCCCGCTCGGAGGAAGAGCAGAGCCGCTGCCAACCAAAAGACGGGAGGGAATGGGAACAGCAACACTGCGGCCGACGATGGGACATGGGTGAAAACCATGGTGTTGATCAAGCCGATGCGCCGCGCCAGCGGACCTGCAAACACCGAGGAAATGGCCCCCAAGAAATAGGCCACCGAATTGATATCGCCCAGAGTGGCCTTGCTAGGGTGAAAGGTCTGATCCAAATAATAGTTTGTCATCGAGTACGGGACCATGCCGTCGGCGAGGGAGTCCACGGCCAATAGAAACCAGAGTTTATACATGACAGACCTCGTCGGCGCCGATATGTCCGCCAGCCGAGTCGAAAACCAAGTCACGGACCGCATAAACCAGTTGCGGGCTGGTCTGGTCTCCTCGGGCCTGGGTAATTGTACATGGCTGGGATCCGCAACATGTTGCCCCTCGCTTTGTGGCACTTGGACATAGTCCTTTTCAGTCTCGAGCTCGCAAGCTTCCGTCAATAGAAAAGTCAAGAGCGCATTGACGATGCCCATGACGGCGTATATCCAGAATATCGCGTGGTAAGCATCAATCGTCGTCCAGCCGTCTCTGACTTCCAGCACACGGATGATTCGGCCTGAGGCCTCGCTGCCGAATGCAGACCCCAGTGTGGACGTTGTGACATACCACGCGAGGACATCGGATCTCGTCTCAGGTGTGGTAAGTTGAGACAGGATGGACCTGGTAGATGGTGTAAGTGTACCGGAAACTCTAATTCGAATGACGATGATTACGCTTACTCTTCGATACTGCGAAAAGGACCAAAGTCTCCGCCGGTAATGCTTATGACGCCAAGTATAGCAGCCAATAGAAGGATCCAAAAGTTCTCAAACACGGCAAAGACCAGGCCACTGAAGACCATCAGGAAGGAACCAGCCAACAAGACCTTTCGTCTGCCGAGTTTGTCGGCAACAAGAGTAAGGAACGTGCCGAGAAACACATCTCCGAGTAAAGTCAGGGTCATGAATAACCCAATCTGATGATCTGAAAAATTCAGAGCCGAGAAGAAGATTGCTACGTAAAATATTAGCATCAGGTTTTTTTTTTTTTAATTGGCGTTGGCTGCCAAGGTTCATCGTTTCTCGTACCAAGTATTAGTGAGTTTGCGCCATAGGCAATCATCCGAAAAGACCGAGCCAAGATGATGAAATAGGCATTTCTGCCAGTCTCATGGATCGAAGCGATGCCGAACTCATGGTAGAACCATTTGATCGGCCCAAGGACTGCAGACATCCTCTGTATGTCAAAATAATATCACTTTTGTTTGTTGTACGGAATACAGCAATAGAAAGAGTCTGGGCAGACGGCCCGGGCCCAACATTGAAAAAAACAGTCTGGAGAAGCGGGGCGTTCGGCTCTGAGGCGGGCGCCTTGCCGGTGTCGGCACCGATGACATCGCTAATAACGCCCGAGATGGGATGGCGGTGGGTGGTGGCTGGTGGGAATGGCCTCTGAATGAAGCTAGTCTTTTAGTGATCTGAGCTATGAGATATGAGGGAAATTGTGTGATTCGGTGAACGTCTTGAGTCATGGATCTCTGCAAATCGGTAGGATTGCAGCTGGGCCAATCGGCTCTACACCAAGATACTCACTTGCAAGGTTCAGCAGCAGTCACGCGACCATCAGTAGATGATCGATCACTGCGTAAGAATTGGGCTAAAAAGATTGGACCAAAATGATTGCAATGTCATGAAGTCGCCACTATAGTCCAAATTTAACATGAATACAACGCCATTTTTGTGCTGGCATGATTATACTATAAACAAATTCACATTCTTCTTGGCATTACCCACATAATACCCCCACAACCTATTATACAGACTGCGACTGGTGCTGTACAGAGTACTCCTCAGACCCAAACCTTACAACTTACACGGGCAGAGGATATGCCAGGTAATCATCAACGTATTTCGAGTTTAATAATAAATTTTGCTTAGAAGGGAGTTCTCATCATTATGCATATGAACCTCTGCCAGAAATAGGGCAATGCCATTACATATAAACATGATCTGAACTCGCCTTCGCTTCCTGCTTTCAATTGTGGTATTTCCATGGCTTTAAGGGAGGGGCGCCAAGATCCATTGCCAGGTGGTAAGTCGCTGTGGAACTTGTCAAGAGAAGTGACTGGAGAGGGGGAAACCAGTCAAGTTCAATCGCCCAGAATGTTAAAGTGAAGGGGGGAAAAGAAAGAAAACAAAAAGAACTGAATAATAGGCCAATAGCTTGCAAATTATAGAGAGAAATGCGGGAAACATAAACCACTGGGAACTGCACCAACGGGGCACAGCGCGGGAATTGGACCAGGCTACTACAAGCTGACCAAAAAGCGTTTACGGGACGTGATCCCGCCCCGCCTCGCTGTAGAGCCCAGACCATGACAAAGATATGTAGTAACAATCATTCTACTGCCAATCAGCATAAAGGTAAAATCATCCATGCTACTGCCAGCTCTTCGGATTTCTGCTCAAATGTGTCCCGGTTGCATCGAATGAAGAAAGGCTCTATTCAACCCTTGGTGCATTACCTTTTTCGTCCCACCCTTGGTTGTTGAACGACATTGTCATGGCTCAGCTTGGGGCGACCACTGTGGTCGCAACAGCGGTTACTTTGCTCGCTCTGTTTGTATCCAGATTCCTCACGAACCGAAGACATGTGAGGAAGCTGCAGGAAGCCAAAGCAGTGAGTTGAAGTCTCCACGCGCCGGGCAAGGTTCTTTTGATCAGGCTGATACGTGATTCGGCCTCAGCCAATGCCGGCGTACCATCCAGTCTTTGGTCACTTGGTCGCGGTAAAGAAAGCCATGCAGAATCTGCCACGAAATGTCACCACGCACGTCATGGTGCGGGTGATAGCAAAGCAGTTTCCCAAGGGCATCTTCTATCTCAATCTATGGCCTTTTAACAAGACTCTCATGGTTGTCGCCAATCCATACACCGCAGCCCAGATTGAGGCTGCCTTTCTCGACAAGCCGCAAGTCATAACTGACACATTGGAGGTTATTATGGGCGGGCCTTCACTGATGACGATGCATGGAGGCACCTGGAAAAAATGGCGTGCACTCTTCAACCCAGGATTTGCCCCCAACTACATTACGAGGCTTGCTCCAGCGATTGCGGACGAAACCGCAGTCTTGTGCCAGTTGCTGCATGATGCTGCGAGGCAGGGGGATATGTTCCAGCTGGAAGAATATACATTACGCCTAACATTTGACATAATCAGCCAGGTAACTCTGTAAGTGGTTTCTCGCCGCCATCAGTCTTAACCTTCCTATCAAGGGCTCATACTAATCGTTACTTCCGCATAAAGCGGTTCTCGCCTGCACTACCAGACTCAAGGAAGTGTTCTAGCGGATGGCGTGCGGCGACAGGTTTATTGGACGCCGTTTGCAACGTCATTCAATCCATTTCGCCGCTTTCTCAGTCCTCGCCCCTTGATACAAAAATATACCAGTTTCTGCATAGATCGCTACCTCAGCGGTGAGATCGACAAGAGGTTTGATGAGCTAGTACAGTCTCGTCGAGACCCTGCAAAGCATATACAAGCTAGATCTGTGCTTTCCTTAGTCATGGATGAGTATCTGAAGGACGTGAGTGATACAAAAGAGCTTTCAAGAGAAGCCTTTAAACAACTCGTAATACCACAACTTCGTTTGTTCCTTTACGCTGGACATGATACGACTAGCAGTACCCTGTTGTACTGCTACTATCTCCTCTTCCAGCATCCGGATATCCTGGAAAAGGTCCGAAGTGAGCACGATACCGTCTTTGGATCCGACTTTTCCATAGAGCATATTCAACAGGAAGTGACCAGAGATGCAACTCAGTTTAACAAAATCCCATACACCCAAGCAGTCATCAAAGAAGTGCTTCGCCTTTTCCCGCCCGGCGCAAGCATTCGCGACGGTCGCTCTGACCTGATATTGACAGATGAGGATGGTAAACAATACCCCACTGAAGATTGTTACATATGGACTCTCAATCTAGTCATGCACCACAGCCCCGAGGTCTTTGCAAAGCCTGATGAGTTTATACCAGATCGATGGCTAGTAGAGCCTCACGATCCTCTTTACCCCAAAAAGGGATCTTGGAGAGCATTTGAATGGGGCCCACGTGCCTGCATCGGACAGACACTTGCACAGTTGGAACTCAAGGTGGTGCTAGTCATGACGCTCAGGATGTTTGACATCAATGTTGCGTACGCTGAATGGGACAAGAAGCATGCAAAGAAGGGCATCACCACCGTGGAAGGAAACCGAGTATACCAGGCGGAGATGGGAGGTGCTGGCTCTCATCCCGTTGACGGGTTTCCAGTAAAGATTACATTGAGGGCATAGTAACACAATATTCACTCTGTAGAAAGGGATCAAGATTTCTCCTCGACAGACGTTTCCTTTGCAATAGGTGCCTACGACTATCTATTGATCACCGCACATTGTATTATTACTAATGATCAATCCGTACCAACAAATCGACGCCGAGAAAGCGGGCCTGTCCGCAGCGTAACCCGGCACCTACTAGTACCTACCTTGTAGTCCCAACGGCGAGAGGAATCTCCTAGCAGTCACAAGGAATCATACAAAGCAATAAACTCCTTGCGTCTCACCATACAGTCATCCCGTACCACAACCCAACGCACCTGCAAGCCACTCGCCTCGAGCGCCCGCACATCAGAAAGACTCTGCCTAGCCGCATCCATGATCATGGCCGTAAGCCCGCCGTGCATCTCCTGCTCGCGGCCGGCGTGTCCACCCACGGCCATCATGACCAAGCCAGTGGGCTCGCCGACATCATCATCATCATCGTCTCGACTGCTGCTGGGAGGTTGAAGCAGCCGGACCGGCAGGAGCGTGTCCTCAGCCGAGCGGGCCTCGATCATGACCACCTCGGTCCACCGCCGTCCGAAGCCCAGGTAGAGCGTGCGCAGGTTGGGCGCGAAGCGAAAAGGTTGGTCATTGCCGGTCCTCTCGGCCTGGCGGAGGAGCACGCGGAAGGTATGGTGGTCCAAAAGGAGATTCTCCAGCCAATCCAAATGCAGCCGTCCGTTCTCAACTTGACCCAGAGTACTCCCGTCATCATGTACTGGTCGCTCTTCGGAAAGTAGCAGGAGCATCGAGGCCACCTCGGGCCCGACGTAAAAGACGGTCCCGCGGGGCATCGGACGCTGACCCATGTCACGGTGCCGCTCGGGCGTCGACCGCGTGAGGCCTTGGTTAATCAAGTACCGATGGGAACCCGGATCCGTCAGCTGGCGCACGGGCAAAAGCGCCGGACAGCAGCGCCTCTCGACCTCGGCGCGCACGAGACGATTGCCCGTGTGCCATAGGCCGCGGTCTTTGCTCTTGATGCCGCGCGTCAGGACGTGAGGCTCTGGCTCCTGGCCATTGTCGTGTGCCATGATGGTGAGGGTCTGTATCGGCGGGATTAGTTCTTCGTCTAGGCGCTCTTGCAGAACCATGGTGCGGAGCTCGGCTGGGAGTTCTTGGAATCTAGGAAAAGCCGCTGGGGCAGCTTCTTGAACCTCGTCACCTGGCTGCTCACCACCATGGTACTCATGGGAGGAAACTGAAATGTAAGGTGGGTTATCTCCATCCGAGGTATGTTGTCTGTATGATGACATTTTGCATAACGATATGGCAACGTGTTGATATCGTCTTCTAAAAATAACATATTTATTTATTAGAGTCCAACCTTTTTGCCTCTCATGATGTCCCTTTTATTATTTTGAGATAACATGATATCTAACCCTTTGATTCATGGCAAATTGAAGCCAGTTCATATTGCTCATGGCGAGGACTTTATTGAATATGAAAAGTACTTGTGAATCGGAGGTGAGTTGAAACAGTAATCGTGCCTATGCCAGTCATCAAGCTTGTATCACGATGAGTAGTCAAATATCGGCAAGGTTTAAAGAATGTAGGTAGGTTCTGGGTGTCCAAACATTAAATTCAATCCTCATGAGACCTAAGATACTGATTTCTAATCCGTCAGTCTATTGAGCCCACATAACAAGACGACGTAGACACAAGTGGGAGACGATAGACGTGTTGAGCGCCGATTGGCAACAAGTGCATACAATCCAAGTTAGCAAGGCGACACGTGAACAGGATAAATAAACTGAAAAGTTATTGAATGGAGATGAATTTCCTTGCTTTCTATTATCTGTCATGGTGATCACGATCTTTCCTAGCCAACAAGGCCGAGGGGTATTATATCCGTGGTCATTCCTTGTAGAATAACTGCATCATCAGAAATCCTGCGCACAACCTGTGCCAGTCATCCATGGACATCTCTATGGAACTAATTCAGAAAAGTGGTATCAACAAGAGTGAGAGTGAGAGTTCCTTCCATAGTATGCGCCATCGCAGTGGACTGTTCCAAGTCACTGTCGTTACGCCCCCAAAAATCATTCACAAACCTACTCGTCTTCAACGAGTTTCAAAAAATCGCTATGAGCAAGGACCAAACGCCATATATGTGGTGATCCCAGGAGTGGGATACCTGCCAGGGAAGAGAAACGGTCATGTCGAGACCAAATCACCTATCTCGATCCGCAGTTGAATCACGGGATCTTGAGCGCCTTGGGTTGGACACTTCTCTGAGGCTTCTGGACAGAGTAGAAAACCAACTCTCTTGGGGCTGGCTTCTCCGCGAAGTAGATGAGAGAATTCCTTGCTCCACATCAGAATCATTATCATCGGCCGATCGTTCAGCTGAATTATTCAACGACGTGGACGCTTCGGCACCGAAATCGTCATCACTATCGTCACGATACGGCTCGTAGCGTGGACTAGAAGGCGAGCCTCGCGCAAGTGACCGGACGACATCTCCTTTGCAGATAGGGCACGTGCGACGACGAGTGGTCAACCAAGGTGTGCTGCATATCATTAGTGACAAAACTTGGATCATTCGTGTGGGGTTTGACTCACATGCACTCAACGTGGAATTCATGGCCGCAAGGGAGGCTCATGACCTGACTCACGCCATCGACATATTCTTCAAGACACACAACGCATTCGACTTGCCTTCCCATATACTTTTTCCACTCACTTGGTTTCTCCTGCGGTGGCGATCTGGGGACCTGTAGAGAAGAATTGACCTGTAGTAAATCGCTTGCAATACCAGTAGTTGTCCTAGAACGAGGTCTGGGTCGCGAAGTGCTCTGCTGACCTTGCAACAAGGGGGTCGTTGGCGAGGGCGGCGAAGGTGAGGGCGGTCGAGTGACTCTAGGCGATTGACTTGGAGTCGATGCCACTGTGTGGAATGTCCTGACAGGCAATCTCTCCACTACTGACTTGGGAGCCCTCCACCTGCGACGGCGAATGCGCGCGCGCAAGATCAAGAGTGCATAGACGACAGTCAAAGTAATCAGCGGGCTAATGACAAGAACCAGAAGCGTATCGAAAAACGGGCTTGCACCACTAGTGGGCGTGATGATAACCCAAAGACCATCATGTTCCGGCGGGGTTAGCTCGCCAGGAGCTGGCTTTTCAGCAATTGGGGTCTTGATGGGAGGTGGATGAGGATGTGTTTCAGGAACTTCTTCTTCTTCTCCATGACCTCCAAACAGTTTCGACAGGAATCCATGATGCTCGTCAGCGTCTGGCCTTGGCTTCTCTGCCTTGAATGCAGGAGCTTTTACCCGTGAGGCACCATCAGGCGAATATTCTCCACTGCCGGGAGTAATGCTGCCGCCATTGGGTCGATTGGCATCTTTGGTCTTCTTCTCATCCACTTTATTCGAGTTGGCCTTGTTTCCAGATGGCGATTTGGTGCCGTCCTTGCTGATACCCTTGGAGTCCTCATCCTCTTGGAGAGAAGAGCCAAGCAGATCAGGATCCCTCCAGTCCTCGACACCGATGCGGAATCCATCGCCCGAGGGCTTGTCCATTTTGGTATCGGGATGCTTTCCAGCTTTGGCTGCCTTCTCTCGGCTGCTTTTGATGGCTTCGTCCTGGCTATCAGAAAATTCGTCAACGAGGACCCAATCATGCTGGCCACTGCTTGGTGGGCGACTCCTCTCTGCAGTGTTTGCACCCGAGTCCCAACGGAAGATGCTCGAAAGCCAGCCACGGCTCGAGACCTCGGGCTTGTTGCCCTCCCCGGTAGTGGCGCCAGCTGTCTTCTTCAGAGCTGGTGTCTTCATCCCAGAAGCATCAGTCGCCCTCGGGAGTTCAGTGGTTGTTGCAGTTTGCAGGCGGGCTTTCCTTCGAGCCTTGTCAGAGTTTTGGACTTGGTACGAAGACTTGCCGTTCTCGTCGATAATGTCCTCGATAAAACTTCCAGGCTGCATCAGAGATGACAGCAAGTATGCCGTGGTTCGTGATGTGAAGATAGAAGGAATCGTCACATTTGAAGTGTCGCCCCGCGCGTACATCTGGATCAATGGTCCTCCGCGCTGGTTGTCTCCCACGATCAGAGCAATGGCACCGCGTCTTTGCGCCCATTTCACCTTTTCGAGGAAACCACAGCCACCGCGACTGAGCAGCACGATCTTGCCAGCAATTTCGGCTCCTTCTTGTATCGACTGGATATCGGCGTGGGCTGGCATTGACAAGGCAGCTGCATCATTCTGCATTCTAGAACTGTCCAAGCCCGCGTGAAGGTAGTCGTCGGTGCCATCATTGACAGCCTTGTTCTTGGAGGTTGATTCGGTCTTTGAGGACGAGAAACGGTCGAGCATGGGCGTTTTCAATCCAGCATCTCGCTTGCCGTTCTTGCTACTGCCGGCGGAAGCTCCCGGTTTTGTCTTGTCATTCATCTTCTTGACCGAGCTCTTCAAGGCAGCGATACTTCCGCCATCCCATCCGGGTACGTCGCTGCAGCCCTGTTCGCCATCACTCTCCTCGCCATCCTGAAGGCTCTCCTCGGTGAAACCACTACCAATCCATAGCTGACCGCTCAGGCCTTTGCTCGGCAGAGGGGGGCCAAACGCGGCTGGGCGTGCAGCAAGGGAGGTGCTATTGTCGTCTGCGATGGTAATGATTGCATTTGGGGAAAATAGCGAAAACGGTGCCGACCATGAGAAGAACGACCGGAAGCCAGAATCCCGTGTAGAAGGCGGTGCTGAAATTGCAGTAGATGTTCGGGCGGCCGCGGCGATAGAGCGACAGAGAAGGAAGAGACAGGCGGCGAAGAAGAGGGATAGAATGGCGATTCTCGGAGGACGCATGATTGCGACTTTTGGAAGGCCAGAGCGTGGTAACAGTACCTAGCCCCCGTCCTCAAATGGCCACAACGGGGCCTGATGCTCTGATTGATTTTTTTTTTCCTTTAAATAAAGTGAAGAAGAGGTTGATCGTAGCACCGGGCTTGCGTCGTTGTGAAAAGTTTGGAAAATGTGCTGTTCGTGTCTAACGTAGATGCAGCGCTCAATTCACCATGTCGTTTCTGAACCACCCCATTCGGGCCTCCGGGAGAGCAACTGGGGGGGGTTGACTGGCACAAGACCAGGGATATCGCACGAGGAAGGGGAGGCAAAAAGAGAAGAGGTTGTCAAGATGGACGCGGCGGGAAACGGAATAAAAGATGAAGGAGAAAAGTGAACCTCGAAATGGAGGCGCAAGCAAGCGAAGGAGAAGTGAGGGAGTCACGAGGCCGAAAAAGGATTGGCAAGGACAAGAAAAATCGAGGAGGCAGGAGGTGATGAGGCGTGCCGGTGACACGATGAATGGGGTGAGATGGTGGACCGTGGAGGATGGTGGGTGATGTTACAGTGGGTTCGTGCGGCGGGACGGAGCTCTGGAACTGGAGCTGGGACGACTGGGGCTGGGGACTCACCTGTCAGGGTTGGTGGTGATGCCCAACCTGCTGAGCTAGCCTCTGTGCCTCTCCTTCTGGGGGAGGGGGCCTTGTGCTGTCGGGAGCCCGGGTTTAGAGGGGCTACAGCCTATTGCGTAAATCTAAGGTTCACTAACATGATCGAGCGAGTCTACTTAGTTGCTAAGATCTTTGTTTGCTGCCTCACCATGGCGGAGTTCAAGTGAACTAGGGAGTTAGACAGTGGTCTGCCGGCGGGGTGTGCATGTTTAGACGCTTTAGTCTGGTAGATAAGAGATTTTAGTGCTGGGCGATGATGATGATGTGAATGACTTTTTACTATTGTCACCATGTCTTAGTCTTTTGGCGAACGAATATCAGAAGGGAGCGGAACCGTCCGGAAGCAGTGGGAGATGTTGCAACTGTGCATCGCCAACCGCTTTGGTTTTGCCCTGCATTGATGATGTATGTGTCTTCTGCCCAGTCGCGCGTCTCTTTGCTGCCAAGAAATGCGTTGGACAGAACCGATTTGGGGGGGTCAGTCGAGGTCCCCTCGTGCTTGACGCGCTTGATCGATCCAACGGGTACACGGCGTCAGTCAGGCGCAAGGATCAGTGGGTCATTCACTTGATCAATCCATGAGCAGTCAATTGTGTGTACGTAGGCGGTGGGGGGGGGGGGGGGGGGGGGGGGGGTTCATGGAGTTGTTTTAAAAAGGAATCGAAACATTGAACAACCCCTGCCCATAGATTCAATAAACATGGAGTCACACAGACATTAAGCTAGGTAGTATGTTTCTTTGCTGGGGACAGATGCAGATGCTCTCTCTCTCTCTTTCTATGTGTGTGTTTAAGTGTCTGTGCTGGGATCCCTCCGTCTACTGCGACGCACGTTTCGTTTGCATCAGCTACCATCGTGGACCCTGGCATACGTTTCCGCCATCACATGCATATGGACGTCGCATTTGTTTCGTCTCTTCCCTTCTCACGAATGCCAAGAGTCACACTTCGTGCCCCTTGTTAGGTAAGCTGTCGCTGCTGATCTTATCATTTCCGTCTCATTTTCCAGTGCGCCCACAGATGTTAAGATGCAAACAATGGACGATTTCAAATGCACAAAATGAGGGTTGCATTCCAGAAAGGGAACAAGCATATCGCTCCGCACTCGCAGCACTTGATCATCATGCAGTGCCGGCAAAGTTCTAGACCTTGGCAAAGTGATTTGATAGGCAAGCCACGGGTCAGGCCAGGCTGGATTTGGTCAAGTTCTCGAGGTAGTCATCACTATCACTTTATTTAGTTACATCTAAAAGACAATTCAGGACGACATGTTTGTCTGGTGCTTAATCACAATCGCAATATTGGGAGATTGAAGTACAATTGGTACTATAAGAAGTTGAAATGATAGCAGTGACAACAAGAGATTCTTTTCTTAATAAAAAATAAAAATAAAATAAAGTGATGGGAAATTTGCACCCCAGTTCAGTTCAACGACGTTGTATCCGTACCTTTAGCCCAGTCTGGCGCACAAAGAAACTATTCACCACATTCCACTCCTTCTTCGGATCATCAAGCTCGAATCGAAACTGGGAGATGAGGCTCGGTATAACCTTCAAGACCTCCATAGTGCTAATGTGCTTTCCAATGCACACCCGACTACCAGCGCCAAACGTCAGGTCGGCCTGGTTCATCCGGCGTAGTCGACTCTGGTACGCATCCTCAGTCTCGCCCCGGGCGTCATCTCGCAGCCAGCGCTCCGGCTTAAACATGTCCGGGTCCGCGCCAAAGACGGCCGGGTTCCGGTGGACTACCCATGGGTTGATCCCGACGACGGATCCGGCCGGAACGTATTGCCCGTTGGGAAGGCGCAGACCCTCTGGCGGCACGTAGCGCTCCAAGCTCATGCCCACGCCCGGGTGGATGCGCATAGCCTCTCGTATGACGGCATCTAGGTAAGGGAGTCGTCGGGCATCTTTGAGGGACAGCGGGGTTGCGTCATGGTGGTGGTGGTGGTGCTGCTGGGGCGAGCCGAGGACTTCGTCTTCCAGCCGGGTCCAGATGGCGGGGTCCTTGAGAGCATAGTAGAACACGGCGCGCATCGTGATGGCTGTCGTGTCGGCTCCGGCAATCATGTTGATCATGAGATACCTAGAACAGTTAGAGTAAGCATTGTGGTTCTCAATGGACATGAGGTATGCAAGAGAAAGGTGACTAGATTTTCAAGTCGGTACGCACGAGATGATCTGGGCGTCGTCTACAATGTCTGGATGAAGTTTCTTTGCCTCGATAAAATGATCCAAGTAGTCCGGCTGGGACGCGTCGTGGTAGCTACCGTCCTTGCCGGCGTAGCGATCCAGCAGATGCCTGATGGAAATCTGCGTAATGGTAGCAAAGCCCGGCGGGCCAAAGAATTTACAGACGGGGTTCTTGTCAAAGATGTAATCGAGAAATGGCATCTGGGCAACCATGGCGAAATAGTCCATGGTCTGGTCCGCATTGGCCAAGGTTCCGTCAAAGTCGTGACCCTTGTCGAGATAGCCGATGGGTTGGCTGAATGTGATCTCGCCAACAAGATCCCAGGCGACTAAGTGTTTCCATGTGAGCGTGGTATAGACACAGAGTATGATGGTAATCAACTTACAATAGAGCAGCCATTCTCCAAGATCTAGTACTTTCCCCTCTCCAGTCTTGTCACTTGATTGAGTTGCCAATACTTCGCACAGCTTCTGAATCATTTGGTCCATATGAGTCTCCAAAGCCAATACCCCAGTGGCAGAATACAGCTTTGCGATAGGTCTCTTCTGTCGACTGTGTTCGTGTTGGTTGGTCTCACTGAACAGATTGTAGATGATTTTCCCTTCCGCCTTGGCTGAACTGCCGTGATACATTTCTGTCTATGAGAGTTAATTTGCAAGTCACCCATTTTTTCTTCTTTTGTATGCTCACTTTCTTCCAGTTCCCTTGGATATTATATATAGTCTTGATCAGCTCGGGATAGTCAAGGTCGAGCAGGTTCGGACCCAGTCTAACGATAGGCCCGTACTTCTTATGTAAGTCATGAAAGACTTGATGTGAGTTTCCAGTTGAAACATGGTATAGGCGCCACAGGTTTGTCCATTCTAACCAGACAGAAGTTTAGCACTGACCACTACACCAATCGTATAATGCTGGAGATTTGACTAACTCGCAAGTAGCGGTCCGGGATATTGTCTCAACGGGGATCTGAAGGCAGTCCATAAATACCAGAATAGTAGTATTAGAGGTAAAGACAGGAGTACCAGACTGAAATTCTCCCTCACCACGGCAAGGACTTGAAATTGATAAGACATCGTAGGCGCAGTCATAAAATCAAATTGTCAAACCAGGGAAAAGGTTTATCAGGTGGGCGAAAGAGAGCATTAAAAGCACAGAGCATCATGGCAGAGGCATCGTCATCTAAGGTGTAGACCAACATGAATCAGATTGGTGGCCTTACACTCCATACCAAGGGTATGCCGAGTATTGACGGGAATAAATCTGGCGTCATGCCCGGGCCCAGCGTAGATCTGATTCGCTATAAATGTGACGATATCAGGGTGTGTAGCGTAGCGGGCCCAATGATCTATCGCATTGACTTCTTCAGCTGCCCACCCAAAGCATCAACTGTGTTACACAAGTGATGCTGCATGATAAGTATAAGCGAGGAGCTATTCCACAACTGTCCCCCATTCTTGCTACGCGGAGAACTATTCCGGACTTCAACTCCCAGTCACTCGAGGTTCAAAGGGATGACGCACGTAAGAGCTCCTTGCCTACATCGCAAAACATTTCTTGAAAAGGTTGCATAGTAGTCGCGTTGACCAAATCATTACTGGATGAGTTTGATCCACCAGAAGATAGTTCTCCAAGAACCATGGTATCGATGATACAGAAGGATCACACTAAGCCACTGGTTCGGCGGGGCTACTGAAGAATAAGAAAATTTCTATTTTCTTTTTCCAAAAATCTTTATCAATAAACTAATGCTAAAAGCAATACTTGGTATCCACTATTACGTTACATCCCGTCTTATGCGATGTCACGGTGCTCGTGCTCATCGACGACAGCATTCTTCTCGCCATAGGCATTCTGTTGCTCTGCAAAAGTGGTCTGAGGCACCCACTTTGTGCTCTTGCGGGCTGATGTGACCTCATTGTACATTTGGTCAACTTCCTCGAGGGAGTATGACTTTGTCTCGTAGATGAAAAAGTAGACAAAGGCAATACAGACGAAGCAGAAGGCAAACCAGACGAAGAAGATCTTGGATTGCAAGTTGGCGTAGCCTTCACCGTAGTTGACCAGGTAGGGGGTTGCGTAGGCAATGGCCCAGTTGAGAAGCCACTATCACATGTTAGTCTATTGAGCCATCTGATAAGTGTCAAGGTACAGCAAACTTACGTTGGTGGCAGTGGTGATTGACAAGCTCTTGGCACGGGTCTTGAGCGGGAAGATCTCGCCAGTAACAACCCAGGCAAGAGGTCCCCACGTGGAGGCGAAGAAGAAGATGTAGATGCACACGAAAGCGATACTGGCCTTCTGGGCTGCGAGGTTGTAGACCAGGACGTTACCCTGAGCGTCTTGACCGGTCGTGGTTGTACCAAGCACAGCGACGAGGAGCTGACTGATGCACATGCCCACAGCACCCCAGAGAAGCAGAGGTCGACGACCAAACTTTTCAACTCCCCAGAGACCAGGAAGGGTTGAGGCGACGTTGATGCAGGAGGTAATCATGGAGATGGTAAAGGGGTCCTGAATGCCAGAGTTCTTGAAGTACTGAGTACCGTAATAGAAGATAAAGTTGACTCCAGTAAGCTGTTGCAGTGCTTGGATACCGCAACCCGTGAGTTGACGCTTCAGCATTGGGCCGCGGAAGCAATCAAGGTAGCTCGACTTTCCATGGCTCATCTCGAAATCATGGTTGGCCTTGATCTCGGTCAGCTCGCTTGCAATAGCTGGAGAGTCGTGAGGCAATCTTCGGAGCCTGCTCAATGATCGGGCGGCACGATCCATGTGCCCCTTCTTGATGAGGTAACGGGGCGTTTCAGGCAGTAGGAGCATGCCAACAATCAGAATGATTGCCCATGCGAATTGGACGGCGACAGGAATACGGTAGGAGCCCGTGTCGTTTCTGTTTTGGGTGGCGTAGTCAACAATGGCAGCAAGGAGGAGGCCAATGGTGATGGCAAGCTGGTAAGCACCAACGATGGCACCTCGAATCCACTTGGGAGCCGTCTCGGACTGGTAAAGTGGCACGATAGCTGAGAGAAGACCAACGCCCAGACCGGCGAAGAATCGGCCAGCCAGGAAGAGCGGCAAAGCAACGGCAATTGTCTGAAGAATGACGCCGAGAATAAAGACGATGCAAGCTCCAATCAAACCCCATCGACGACCCATGTTGTCAGCCAGGAGAGGAGAGGCAAGAGCGCCGAAAAAGGTACCAGCAGACAAGATGGAGACAATAGCAGATGATTGATCGGGCGACACGTCCAAGTGTCCCTTGCTGTTCTTGTAACCAGTCGAGAAAAGGTCTTGCCAGTACGGCATGGCAAGAATACCACCAATAGTACCCGTGTCATAACTGTAGAATACTTTGTTTAGTGGAGGGAAATCTTCACATTACAATATAATCGACATACCCGAAAAGAACACCACCAAAAGCCACAAACATGCCAATGCAAATGGCAGGCCAGGCTTTGCCCTCCTCACCAGGAGGCTTGGCCACGAGAGAAACCATGGTGTTGGGTATAGATATGGCCAATGAGTAACGACAAAATGCACCTGGCAACAACCAGTGTGTGTCGAACAAAGAAGGAAATGTGAGATATCCAAGGTATGCTCGAAACGTGCAGATGAAAGGGACAATGCAAGGTATATATATATCCAACAGACATACGATCGGCAAATATGGCAGGCCGTGTCTTTACGGGGCAAAACAAGGTCAATGAGTCGGTCGACCTTGCAAGCACCGGGGCAGAGACGCCCGTATGAGCATAGTCAACTTTCGTCGACCGTGAATGAAATGCGCCCCGGACTTGGCTAGTGTATGGGGGAGAAAACCCCCTGGACAGGACTCCAAGCTGGGGCCCCATAGTCTCAGGTTTGAACCAGGCCTTGATGGAAGCCAAAAGGCGCCAAGGCTAGAATCACGAGTGAGCGAAACGACGGCCGGGCCGAATCTAGCGCACTCTATCCAGGATAAGCTCTGCATGGGGGTGGATATGCTTGTTCTGTAGCTTGGGGATTTTGAGATTCCAGACCAATGATGAGCATAAATTTAAGGATGAATTTCTCGGTCATTTTGAAGTAGCGCAGTCTCTAGCAGCGTCAACCACCCCGTGTTAAGGCGCACCACTGTCTTGCTGTAAAGCCAACAACTTATGTAAAAGTGCTCAGTGGCAATTCCCCCCCTCCCCAAAGCACCAAGAGAGGTTAGATGGGCAATAGGATGAATTTCAATTGGATGTTAGCCATCAAAAGTAAGCGGGCACTGTCTAGAAGGAGAGACATTCTGTATATCACTTCGATATCCTTGCTTGATCTGAGAGGTTTCTTCAAGACGCCTAGAGAAAAAAGGACCGAGGAGGAAAAGGACGGTGAAAGAGAAACCACATGATCTCATACTCGCAACGCCTGGGGAAAAGGATCGAACCAGTCTATTTCAGGGTAGCAGTCGCTGATCTCGGCAGAGCATGGGGCCCATGGAAAATAAGCTTGCGGCCAGAAATCGCCATGGCAAGATGGTGTAAAATGTCGAGTCCAGTAATAGAGCGACAGTAGAGGACCAGTTGCAGAATGCAACCTACAGTCGCCATGGATCGGTCAAACCGTCCGACTTGAGAGGCAGTAGCTTGATCCGACTGGTCTGTATAAGTGTGTGCAAGCTTGACAAAGATCCAGCAGCCTGGAACCTCGGGCACTTGTCGAGATCGCCTGAGTGACAGGCCCAACCATATCAGCTTAGAGGCAACATTAAGTTGGTATGGGTGACAAGATTCCGCCGTTTTGGAAGTGCGCGTGTGTATAACGAGCAAGGATATCGCCGCAATTGGCTACAGCGGAACGTGCGAAGAATACTGGCTGCCATGATCGTCGCCTACTACATTCAAAACTGTTGCATATTCTAACGGCTGCCCCTAACGATCCAAGCCCACCCAAAGCTGCCGTCTGGATATCAGCAAAATCATTGTTTTGCCATGGGAATGGGTGCGGGCTATAGTAGCCAAATATTCAGAATAGCTTCTAGACCCCGTGCCCAATTTGACTGACTCTTTGGCGGCAGAATGGTGCTGTGAGGAATAGATGTGACGCTGTCAGGACTAAACGCGGTGCCTGTAGCGGCAATCAATGATTCCGCACTAAGCTCATCCCGTTGTCGCGACATGACTGACTGAGCAGAGCACGCGTTGGGAAAATTTCTAAGCGCCGGAGAGATGCTCATACATAGTAGTTTCGCGATTACCGCCGCCAGCGGCTGGATATGGTAATGCTCATAACAGCTCATGTTATGAGAACCGGGGCATAGATTATTAAGTTTTCCAGTGTCCACATTCTCCAGGGCTCCAGGCCTCGAGATCCAATATTCCCCTCGTCACGACAGCCGGCTCCACTGAAGTCTTCGCGGAGGGGGGGACTTTGGAGGGCCCCTCCCCGCAACTTTGGGGGAGATGGGCCCATCCTTTAGGAGGCACCTCGGCGAGACTGTGGACTGAGTCGCGACGTAGCTTGTACTGGCTCAGTGATAGCGTGAGAAACAGACGACGAGAGTAGCGCAGGTTCGTGGAGGTATTCCGTTGCAACGACGAGGAAGACTTCCGGCTAGAGGTTGTCAAAGTGTATTGCGTCCCGTCTGCCTGTGTCTTGGATGGGATCGCGATTATTTTCGCGGGTGTCCCCATGTCTTGTAAGCATGCACGAATACTACTATGTAGACAAGCCCTTGAAGCACGCGTGATATGCAGTACAACCCCGGCCTGATTGCGTGTTTTTCAGCGAGATATTTTTGATCATGTTTCGTGCTGATGGTCAAGTACGGCAAGCCCGATGTGCGCTCATTTTATGGCCTTGGCGTTCCATTGGCAGACGGCTCATTGACATCATCCTCGTTAACGAGACCGGGGTAGGTGTATGCTAAAGTGGCTCGTTGAGCTGAGTGCACAGGAGTATTTACTATTTGCTGTCAAGCCCCTGTTTGACTCGGGCAGGATTGTCGAGGCCAAGACACGGGAGTTGACTTCTTAGCAATACTACCAAGCATCGCTGGCATGTCGGCATTATTTCCCCGCCCGCACGCCAGCTTTGAGCCTCATCAGAGGGCTTTTGAAGGGTGGCTTCCGGCACGCCACTCTGTATGACTACTCTGTGCTAGCTGAGCAAGTAGGGCTACAGTTCAGACTGGACTAGACCGAAAACCAAGAATTTTTTAGTCGCGACGACGAAGTGAAGCCATGACAACTTCATTTGGATGATTGCCAAAAGTAACAATAGGTAAAAGGTGTATTTGCATCCATTAGCCAAAACCATTCAGCTGGGATTGAAGGCGAACAACCAAGATGAGAGCGATCAAAGCACACACACAGTGCACACCCTTAATTTTCAGGAGCTAATGCAATTCCCACAGACTTGTGATGCCCCACTACCGAAATATGCAGCAAAGCTAGAGCCTAGGCCCAGTCAAGCTGGCCTCAACGTTTATACTCACAACTCGTAAATCAGCTTCCATCCTCATTCGGAAAGCGTTTGGCTGAAATCACGCCTGGGGGACAATCGAGGCAGAGAAGAACATTACTGCAAGGACCGGTCGCCGGATGTACTCTCCGCCATGACTGTGGCATCACCAGCACAAGGCTCCGCGGTGCGCGGCGCATCCCTGTTGATCATCCTCCAGATCGTTTCCCGCGCCATAACCTTCATAGCCAACCAGCTGCTCCTGAGGTTTTTGACTGCCCAGCTCCTCGGCGTCTCGACCCAACTCGAGGTCTACTACCTTTCCGTGCTCTTTTTCGCACGCGAGAGTCTGCGCGTTGCCATTCAACGCCAGGCAAGCACCACTACTACCGCTGCTACCCCTGAGAAGTCTGCCGATCCCGCAGCCAAGCCATCCGGCAGCAACGAGAGTCAGTCTGTTGTCAATGTCGGACATCTGGCTCTCGTTCTCGGCGTACTAGCCGCCGTAGCTTTCGGCGGATTGTATCTGCATTATGTCGACCCCGCCACGGCCTCGGTAGCCTATTTGAGCTCCTCATTGTACATATTTGGCCTCGCTGCCATCATCGAGCTCTTGTCAGAACCAGCCTTTGTTATCCTCCAGCACCGATTGCGTTTCGGCCCGCGTGCAGCGGCCGAGGCTATAGCCACTTTTCTCCGATGTTTTGTTACATTCGGAGCTGCCAATTGGGCATGGAGGAGCGGCCGTGAGATGGGCGTTCTTCCATTTGCCCTCGGTCAATTGGGCTACGGTACTGGCCTCTTGGCCGTATACCTATGGTATGGGTGGCGTTTGGCCTGGTCAGAAGGGTTCTCTCTCCTTCCAAAGAGGGTCACGAAGATTGAAAACAAGGCAACCACAAGTCAACCTATAGTACCTGAGCCTTATACTCTTGGATACTTTTATACCCCGACTCTTCATCTCGCCTCTAGTCTTACAGCTCAGTCTGTCGTCAAGCACATTCTCACTCAAGGAGACACGTTTCTGGTCTCGATCCTTTCAAGTCCCCAGTCGCAAGGCGTGTATGCTTTGGCCAACAACTATGGTAGTCTACTGGCGCGGCTTCTGTTCCAGCCCGTAGAGGAGAGCAGCAGAAACTACTTTAGCAAATTACTTTCGACAAGAACCGAAGATGCTAAAGAGAAATCTGCATCCGACGAGCCCGTCAAGGCAAACGTTACACAGGCGAGGGCTGATCTGCAGTCTCTCTTCAAATCTTACATTCTACTCAGTATCCTTGTCGTGTCTCTGGGCCCATTCGGTGCTCCTCTTTTGGTGCAAATCATAGCAGGCAAAGCTTGGGCAGAGAGTGGTGCAGGCGACGTACTGGCTCAATACTGTCTGTACATACCCCTCCTGGCCATGAACGGCATCAGCGAGGCCTTTGTCTCGTCGGTAGCGACAAAGAGCGAGGTTCATCGCCAAAGTGTTTGGATGGGCGCCTTTAGTGTCATGTTTGGCGTTGCAGGGTTCGTCTTCATGCGTTTGCTGAATCTGGGGGCAGTCGGGCTGGTTTATGCCAATGCAATCAACATGCTCTGCCGAATCTTGTGGAGTAGCCGCTTCATCTCGAGCTACTTTGACAGACATGGCGCCGAGTTCACCTGGTCAGGCGCCTTGCCCAACGCTTCCGCCGTTTATGTCCTTGGTACAGCCGTGCTATGGCAAGTCTTGTATCAAGTAGCTGGCGTATCTGTTGGGGGAGTTTCCAACCACGTGTACAAGGATGTAGTCAAAGTGGTAGGCTGCGCACTCCCCTACGTGGCACTGATGGCATATCTGGAGAGACGGCTGCTTATTGACAGCGTGCAATCCTTCCGCAGGTCTAGATAGGGACAGACTGATTTCGCAGAAATATGAATACACTCTTGTTCCTCAGAGAGCAGGAGATTCATGCACTGTAACAACACAGATTTGGTAAAAGTGTCCATTGAAATTTATCAATAAACCCCAGTGTGATCAATGCTGCGTTTGCATTGCTCCATTAGGTTGGTCTATATACGCCATACGCCTTGGAAAATACGTCAAGTGTGATGGTGCTGTATGGTATCTACAATCTAGTCGTCAAAGGTGATCTTGGTTCCCTTCTTACTCATGTCAACGTCCTTGAAGAAAGCACCATATGTGCCGTGCGGCTTCTTCTTGACTGTGGTTCCAAACTTCATCAATTCATCGGGAATGGGCTGGTTGGCAGCCCTGAGGATGTTGATAAGAGTGCCGGAGTGTGCCTTGTCGTGTTCAGTGAACAAGGTGATGGCCTGGCCAGTCTTGCCGGCACGACCAGTACGACCAATACGGTGGACGTAGTCCTCGATGGTGAGAGGGAACTGAGTATTGTCAGATAACAGTCAAGGCACTAGAAAGAATTGGTACTCACGGTAACATTGACAACCAACTTCACCTCGGGAATATCCAGACCTCTGGCGGCAACGTCGGTTGCGACCAAAACTGGGGTCTCGCCCTTCTTGAAAGCGTCCAAGCTTCGTGTTCTCTGCTCCTGTCTCAGATCACCGTGGATGCCAACAACCTGAATGCCTCTTTGCTGCAGGAAACCTTCGACACGTGTGGCCTCTTTCTTGTACAGGCAGAAAACCAGGACTCTCTCATTTCTTGGCTGAGCCTTGAGGATCTGCAAGAGTCTCTGCTCCTTGTTGCGAGGATCAACAACCTCGACAGTCTGGGAAATACGAGAGTTGGCCTTGAGGTCACCGCTCTCGTTGTTGCCAATGGCGATGCGGACAGGGGACACCATGAAAGTCAGGGCAAGCGCCTGCACGCTCTGAGGCCATGTAGCAGTAAACATGAGAGTCTGTCTCTCCTCCTTCTTGGGACACGAGCCGAGAATGAGCTTGATATCTTCCTCGAAACCCTTGTCAAGCATGCGGTCGGCCTCGTCCAGCACGGCGAATTTGGCATTGTCGAGTTTAATGGAGCCCTCCTCGAGGAAGTCCTTGAGACGACCGGGAGTTGCCACAATAATGTCGGCCTTCTTGAGCTGCACCCTCTGCTCATCCTTGGAAGCACCTCCATAGACACAGACGGTCTTAAGGCCCACGAGATTAGTCAGTCTGGACAACTCATCGTTGGTCTGCATGGCAAGTTCACGAGTGGGCGAGACGACCACGGCGCGAATGCGGCCAGCACCCTTTGTGGGCTTGTCGAAAGACAGCACAGCTTCGACCAGTGGCAGACCAAAGGCGATGGTCTTTCCAGATCCGGTCTCGGCTACACCAACAATGTCACGGCCACTCAAGCCAAATGGCCATGAAGCAGCTTGGATTGGAGTCGGGGCTTTGAAAGACTTGAAAGGGTTCTTTGAAACGAGTGTCGTGTTGGGCAAGTGTGTGAATTGCAAAATGGGGCGCAGGTTCGTAGACGACAGCGGATCGGTGACCGTGATCTCGTTGGTTGTGAGGAAAGATGTGATCTCGGACTCGGGCAGAGAAGACAGAGCTGCATTCTGGCTATATTTGCCTGATGTGCTCGTGGGCGCGGTGGCGGAACCATTTGAAGCACCATTTGTGGTCTCTTTGGCCTCCTTTTCTGGCTCTTCGGATTCCTCGGTCTTGCGCTTCTTCTCTTTCTTCTCCTTCTTGGACTTCTTCTCCTTGGCTGGCTCTACCTCTCCGTCGGCGCTTTCTCCAGCCTCCTCGGCGGAGCGCTTCTTCTCCTTCTTCTCCTTTTTGTCCTTCTTCTTCTTGTCCCTCTTCACTTCGCTGTCGACATCCATGGCATCGGTGACAGGAGTGGTTGCGGAAGATTCCTCTTCCTGCAGCTTCTCCTTCTTGGCTTTCTTGTCCTTCTTGTCCTTCTTTGACTTCTTGCGCGGCAAGTCAACCTCGACTTCGTCTTCTAGTGTGTGCTTCGACATGGTCGCAAACTGGTGTGGTCTATCCAGAACAAAAAAATAATTGAGAAGGATTGAAAAATTGAGAAAGGACAATTGGTCCTTGGCAAATGGCGGCAGCAACCAAGGAAATCGGACTGCGACGGAATCGAGACCGAAAATAAATTATCAGGGACTTTTTGCGACACGATAAGCGATAAACGATAAGCGACAAGTCGATAAGACTAGCCCCGCACACGCTTCACTTCTTCATTACATGCATACTCTTTCCATCAAGCGCCCCGGTAGTTACAAATAACTGCTCTCCTTGACCAGCAAGACGGGAGTCTCGAGATAAGAATTGTACCTTGAAGTTGCATCCATCTTTCGTCACCCTGCCAAACCGCCCCCCCTCCGAAAGTAAATAAACCATTACCAGCTACAAAAGCGCCAGCTACGAGTTCGAGAAAGTCGACTACGATCACTTCATCACCGTCAAAATGGCCGACAAGAAGACTGAAAAGGACAAATCAAAGGTCCACAAGCTGTCTTTGAAAGGCAGCGCCAAATTGGTGGCCGAATTTGTGAGTTGTCGCATGAGCCAGGCCCAATGACTGCAAGGTAATCCTGACCAGCTATTTGCCTGCAGTTTCAATACTCTATTCATACCATCCTCTTTCAACGAGGTGTCTACCCAGCCGAAGACTTTACTGCTGTCAAGAAATATGGTCTCAACATGCTGGTCTCGGCCGACGACCAGGTCAAAGCCTACATCAAGAAGATCATGTCGCAACTCGACAAGTGGATGCAGCATGGCAAGATTAGCAAGCTGGTCATCGTCATAACCGACAAGGACACGGGCGAGCATGTCGAAAGATGGCAGTTTGACGTTCAGATCTTTGGCAGCACCAAAAAGTCCAGCAAGTCAAAGTCGAAAGAATCTGCCGGCGCCGACGAGAACGCCGATGGCGCGGCAAAGGGCAGCACCGTCCCAGATACGAACAAGACCGAAACCGAGATCCAGGCCGAGATCGCTGCCCTATTCCGGCAAATCACCGCTAGTGTCACATTCCTACCGCAGCTGCAGGGCGATTGTACCTTCAATGTCCTGGTATACGCAGATGCCGATAGCGATGTGCCTGTCGAGTGGGGCGATTCCGACGCCAAGGAAATTGTCAATGGCGAAAAAGTGCAACTGAGAGGTTTCAGCACGAGTAACCACAGAGTGGAAACTCTTGTCAGTTATCGTCTGGGCGAATAGTCTTGGGCTGCGGTGATATGTGGAGTCCTGCGCAACAAGAACGAGTGTGTATGATAATGAGAAAGACATGACGAAGCAAGCCGGCCCAAATATAAAGTTGGAGCCATTTAGGAGAGCATGTTTCGGCAAAGGCGTTACGGATACCAAAGTATGGGATGATAAACATGAGTACGGAGCATCCGCACTACAGAAGCTTTAAGCCTGGAGTTACAAAGTATGTATAATCAATATTGGCAGTATCGTAGACCAGAAGAAGACCTTCCGCGTCACGCAATGTTATGATTGCCGGTGACCTTATGAAGTTCTTTATAATTCTCGATGCCCATGACGAAGAGCAACCCCTCCCCTACCGTATGACATAGTTGGCCAGATCTGAGTGACGGCAAGTTGGAGTCTCTCATCAGATGTTATCAGACTGGCCGGATGGGCAGCGACAAGTGGAACGGGGGTTTTCTGGTATAAGGATTCTGTAACGGACGTAAGCAAGTACAACGATAGGGCCATTTGGTGGGAAGGGATTTATTTTCAAGATACCACACATACCCGAGACACATGATTTGTTTATACTTGAGACAGCTGTGCATGTCATGACGAACAAGACGAAATCCGGGTTTTTCAATGTGATAGAGAAAAACTTCCAATGTTTTGCTAGCAGACTTATAGATATAATCAGGGACGCTCCGACTTATAGGAGAAATGTGGTTTGATGACTTGAGTCTGTAAAATTTTCTAGAAAAGTCAGACCCCGCCGCAGTGACTGCCGCAGTCATAATGAAGCAAGAGACATCAAGGACCAATGATAGTCATAGCTCTGATCAAATAACACTTCCAGAGTGATTTCTCGATTTCGCATTCGATCTAGGCAGACACTAGACCTCGAAAAGGTTGCGCCACTCGATAGTAATATGGGACCTAAACCCAAATACTTGATCTCCACGTACTTGCCTCAGAGAATGCCAATAACAAAGAAAGAGAGGGCAAAACAAGGAGAAGAATTGAAAAGAAGAGAAAGAGTTTGTGCGTATCAGTATAAGTTTGTATGTGCGTGTGTTTGTGGGCATTATTGAGGATTCCTTGAAACCTGTTTGACTTCTAGGGAGGAACGAACCTCCACCTCATGCTCTTCTGTGCGATCGGGCTTCCCGTTTTGCTCACTTTTGGGGCTTCGCGTCTCTTCACCACCACTCATTTGAACTAACGGCAAATCCGTGCCATGAACGGCCATGGATGGAAGCTCTCCACCCAATGCCTCTGCTGGGTTTGTGTCATCACAGACAAGATCTCTTGAAAGTGGCCTACCTTCCGAAACTGTTGAAAACGGCGCATGGCCGGGGACTGCCGTTTCACCAGAGTGATCGCTCTCCTGACCTGATTCATGGTCCAGGGACGTTGGATGGGAGCCGGAGAAGCTTCTGTTTGGAGATATCGCTGCCACTAAGATTCTAGGTGATTGAAGTACCCGTGCAAACTTTGAGTCTTCCGGTTCAATTTGTGACAAAGCCGAGTTTGCAGCAATTCTCCGCCCAAACATGGCGTTCTGCAGATACTCGAGGTCGTTATGCCTCTTTTCCTTGCTACTCAGGTTCCCTGAATTGTGGTGCGAAATCTTGGCAGCGTGGATTATCCAGTCAACCTTGCCATCCGGCACAGAAATCTCCTTGATCTTGGTCTTGTGCTGCCTTACAAAGAGCTGGTAGCGAATTGCTGCCCACATGGTCAAGACTGCCAGCAGCACAGCCACTACCAAAAATGGGAGTGACAGCTCAACAGTTTGAACCCTTGAACTGAGAGCAGTGGTTGTGGGGTCGCTGTAGTACGTATTGGTGGTGGCCATGTAGATCTGGTAGAATCTAATGAGGCTTTCTGCTGTAGGTGTTTCTATCGTTCGCTGCATTGACCCGGGAGCCTGGAATGGGGTGTAATACCATGATTCGTAGCTTCCAATGATTTCCATTGTATCATTTGTCCACGGCCAAGGGATTCGATTCTCATCCGGCACGCTTGCTTTGCGGGTAATGAAGCACTCAGCTCGAGAATAGCTCGCTCGTTCCACTGCTCCAACTGGAATCCAGTCCGAGCCTCCCGAGGTGGCTGTGGTGTCATTTGATGCACAGCTAAAGTTTTGTGCGTGGAATAATGTAATCGACAAAGTGAGCGTTTCGTTGTTATGATCCATGCGATCATGGACTTCCGGATTCGACTGGACGAGTACGAAAAAGAGAGCCTCTGACCATTTATGCTCTGTCCAGTTCACCAGACCAGTGAAGCCTGTGGAAAATCTGTATTCCGACGAATCTAGCCAAGCACCGCTATATGTCTTGTTGAAAGCTGGGAATGCGGCCAGGGGTTGCCTCATGGGAGAATCACCCGATGCTGTCACATTGGGTAGATTGACATTGCTGGTGTAATTGCAGTGAAGTGTCCAGGTGGGATCCCACTCGGTCTCAGCATATATCCACGGATCTGGTGATGATAGTGGCAGTTTGTCGAGTAGTTGAGTCAAAGGGAAACCCGCAATATCTAGGGCAGAGCCGGTCTGATTCCACAAGACAGTTGCGCCTAGAGTACTACCAGTGCCTCCATCGCCTTTGACAGCTTGTAACACCAGACGATCTTTTTGTAGGGTGGTGGAGCCGTGTCTCAACGCACCCTTTGCGATTGGACCAGACAGCGCAGATGCCAATGTGATGCACAGGACGACGAAAGTTTGTGTAAGGAGCGGCCAGTTACCCCTGGTGAACAGACGTCGACCAAGGACAGTCACCACATCCCAACCCTCTCCAGGCCCTGTCACGAGAAGGAGTTGAGGCAATGGTACGCCTGAATCTTTGTGGACGACACGGGCGCTGACTCGCTGCCACCAGAAACGTGACCACGCCCACAGGATGATAGTGCTCAGAACAGAGATCAAAACGTTGAGTGCAGCCTGAATACTGCTGAGATCCCAGCTTGTTGAAAGCAAAAGCCAGGAATATGTCATCTTGGGAGGTATCGCAAGAGACGGTAGGTCGGTGTACTTGGATTAAACAGACGCTTTAGCCATGAAACCTGGAAGAATCAAGTCTATCACTGCACCGCTCAGGCCTATGGCATACATTATCTACTCTCCACTTCCGCGTCACTTCAACGAATAATTGTGATACTCATGATACCCTGCATCGATAGTAAGTTTTCATCTTCAAAAGCTCTCTGAGCCGTTCGCCTCTTGGTGATGTTTCGTAGTTGCGAAGTGCCACAAAGCATAAACGTTGACCTGAGCTGCCCAAACTGAGGAGTTTGGTCATACTCCGCAGCAGCTTAGTTCACGTCAGCACAAAATACACGCTTTATATTGGCTCTAGATCAAGCCATCTAACCATTGTCCCGTCCCGCAAAAACATGTTGCCATGAGGAGTGAGTATGCCGTGCAAAGGCGTGTCATGCTGTTCGAGACTCTTGCAGGATAGTGGTCAGTGTCAACTTGTAAGGCAGACCGGTTGACATGTCTCAAGTCAGCTGCAGATTTCTTGCCATCGGCCGTTCCAGAAGCTCTGTTCTCAGGGGCAGTCAATGTTATCTTTCTTTCCCTCCTTTTCTCACTCTATTTTTGATCCCTCGAAGACAAAATCCTTGAAGCTCGGTTAGAAAAAAGAGGCAAGAGTATTGCTTATTCTTGTTTGACTTGGGCTGCGACAAATATAATCTACGGTGGGCTCTATTAGATCAATGCTACTTCCATCCTGCCAAGCTCGGCAGCCGTGTTGATACGTGCCAATGAGTTATCGAGCCCGGCGGTTTATTAATCATTACTGCCATGTGGCAGAATCTGATTGCCCAAATATTGTGCCTCTACACGCTTTAGATCACGAAATACTGTTCTGGACGCCTTCGTATCCAGTTCAGGCCAATACAGTGAATTTGGCCTCACCACACCCCACGATAAAAGATTCAAGCAATAGGGCAAGCCTTTTTGTGATATAGTCCTGACCGAGGTTAAATAGAAAAATAATCCTTGGGCTGCAGTATTGCCATGTAGCGATCCTTCTAGGGCAAAGCCAGCCCGTCCTGCGCCGAGCGGAATTGGATCCACAAACACGGTGCCAATTGATTTAGTCTTGGCCCCTGCATATTTACACTCTTTGCCGGTCACTCTGCCGTTTGAATGTTCTGTCGCCGTTCTGACCTACTCACCGGCCCCTCTTATTCCCAATGAGATCGTATGCCCCTCCCCCTCCGGGAATTCCGGGACCCCTCATTGAACTAGGAAACCCTATGTACGGAAGGATCCGGCAGGGTAAACTAGAGTTTTGTTTTTATTCATGTCCTCGGTTTTCTTGAAGGATGAAATGTGAAGGGACGAAATTGACACAATACATTCAGACATCCGAGACAGACTTTTATCAATTGGAGGAGACTTTCACACCTCGATATTTCGAGACGACGACAATGCTTAAGCCTCAAGTATCCTCTACAAGGCAAATATGCCCGCTAGATGGAATATGGAACTTTGCTGTTCACAAGGAGCCTGACTTGGAAGATGATAAGCTGTGGACTCAGACAATCTCATCACAGCTACAAGTTCCAGTCCCTTCGAGTTACAATGACATTTTCGTCGACGCAAAGATTCGAGACCACGTTGGGTGGGTAGTCTATCAGAGAGATGCCATTGTTCCTCACACATGGAGCCTTGAGCGTTATTGCCTACGATTTGATGCTGCTACTCACGTGGCCCGTGTCTACGTCAATGAGCACTTTGTTCTGGCACACAGTGGCGGCTACACGCCATTCGAATGCGACATCACAGATATAGTCAAGCCTGGCCAAAGATTCCGTCTCACAGTTGCCGTCAGTAATGAACTGACATGGGAATCGATTCCGCCAGGGAAAATCGAGGTCATGGCAAATGGTGACCGCAAGCAGACTTATTATCATGACTTTTTCAATTATGCCGGCCTCGCACGGTCGGTTTACCTCTACTCGAAACCACAAATCTCGATACAAGACATTTTTATCACTACCAATTTTCAAGAAAATACTGGCCTTGTTGACTATGTCATCGAAACGAGCCATCCTCTTGAAGGGGCGGATGTCCGAGTGCGCCTCATAGACGAAAATGAACAATGCGTATACGATGGACGGGGACAAAAGTCTCGAGCTGTCATTGGCAATGTGCGTCTCTGGCAGCCTGGTGGTGCCTACCTCTATCAGCTACGCGCTGAATTGATCTCATCAAGCGACCCGAATACAGTCATAGACTCGTACGAGCTACCTATCGGGATTCGGACAGTAGAGGTGGTTGGTAATCGATTTCTCATCAACGGAAACCCTTTCTACTTTACAGGTTTCGGCAAACATGAGGATTCCTTGATTCGCGGCAAAGGTCATGACAATGCGACCATGATTCATGATTTCCATTTGATGGACTGGATTGGGGCCAATTCCTTTCGCACTGCGCACTATCCATATGCAGAGGAAGTCTATGAGTTTGCTGATAGACATGGCATTGTGGTGATCGATGAGACGGCAGCCGTCGGCATCAACCTGGGTATAATCGCAGGTGTGTTTGGGTTTAAAGCACCGCCCACCTTTTCTGCCGAGTCAGCAAATGAAAAGACTCAACACACGCATCTTCAAGCCATACGCGAGTTGGTTTCCCGGGACAAGAACCATCCATCGGTTGTCATGTGGTGCATTGCCAACGAGATTGCCTCTGCGGAAGCTGGTGCGCGAGAGTACATGGAGCCGCTAGTGAAGCTGACGAGGGAGCTCGACCCTACACGTCCAGTCTGCTTTACTAACATGGCATTTTCAAAAGTTGATAAGGAGGTCGTCACGGATTTGTTCGATGTACTATGCCTGAATCGATACTATGGCTGGTATAGTCAGATGGGCGATCTGGACGCTGCGGAGCAGATCCTTGAAAAGGAACTACGCGGTTGGCAAGAGGCTCATGATAAACCCATTATCATCGCGGAATACGGAGCCGATGCACACGCAGGGCTGCATTCGGTTCTGGATGTTGCCTGGAGCGAGGATTACCAGTCTAGATTTCTTGCCATGTACCATCGTGTCTTTGATAGGGTTGACAACATTGTGGGCGAGCACGTCTGGAATTTTGCAGATTTCCACTGCACTTCCAGCATGACTCGAGTTGATGGAAATAAAAAGGGCATCTTTACTCGTGAGAGAAGACCAAAGGCTGCGGCGCAGGTCCTGCGAAGGCGTTGGAAGGAAGACGGGATTGCCGCTCGCAAGGCAACACTTACAAACGAGACAGGTATGGGTGTTTAAACGCAGCCGGAGTAGACCGACAGGAGTCGGTATCACACGAATAATAAAGCATTTGGTCATTTGCGTCAAATTGCAGCAAGATAAATGTTTACTGTATGTCAAGGTGGAAAGTTCAAAGACAGTGAATATTGACAACATCCAAGCTCTGACGGATTCAACAGCTGATTTCTGCTCAAACTCAAGTCCAGCTAGCAAATTTGTAAAATATCTTCATGATTGAAGCACAGTCGTCCATGAGAAAGCGACAGATCACAACGTGGCGGGCGAAAAGGATGGAGTGTCATCCCTTATGCAGTGTCACAGTCAGATCGATCTGGCAGGGTTACCGAGTCCATACCTAATGTACAGGTAGGCGAGCTGGGTCCGATGTCTTGGTATTGGAGATGCGGCAAGATGGGGGTAAGATACAGAGGCTGGGGAAACGCGGGGAAAGGGGGGCGCCGGGTTAGGTGGAGGATATGGGGAAGATACCTGGTCGGCAAGCAGCCAAAAGGCCAAGATTCCGGAACTGTGGAGCGGAAGTAAGTACCCTGGATAGACCTTTAAAGAGGTCCCAAAGATATAACTCAGCTGCGTGATACATAATGTGTAGTCTCTTTCTACCGTCCTATATTCTAAGCAAGACGAAAATGGACACAAAATCTGACTCGCAGCATGTTGAAACCATGCAGCCAGCAGTGGCTAAAAGGCGTTGTACCTGGCAAGTCATCTTGTTTTCCATGCTTGCCAACATTGGCCCCTTGATGTTTGGGTATAATCTCGTCATTATTGGTGCAGTCACTGCATTACCTACTTTTCAGTGAGTGATATGCCACGTACCCTGTTCATGAAAAAAGTACCATGAGCCGAGTTGACAATAGCCTTGCACATAACCCAGACATGACTATGGACAACCGAACGCTGCCGGGAAATACACGCTTCCTGCCTTGTGGGTGGGTCTTTGGGCTGGTTTAGTCCAGCTTGGTGTGAGTGGTGGCTCAGTCATTGCTGGTTGGTTTCAAGATCGCTTCGGACGTCGGCCATCTTTCCTCCTAGGCGGCTTGCTTGGTGCTGCTGGGACTGCCATATCCTATAGCTCGGCCTTTCCGAGCGACACTGACCATCGGCGTATCATGTTCCTCCTTGCAAAGATTATCATTGGAATTGCATGTGGCATACTGCTCTCGACATGCCAGACCTATATTTCAGAAATCGCACCGATAGGTGTTCGAGCCATTGTTCTTGGATTTTATGCCTTCAATATCGTAAGTTTATAACTTGGAGGTATTTTCAGCTTTGAGAAGCTAACCATTATCGAAAGTCTGTTGGTCATTTATTCGCAACTGTCGCGGTATTCACGCAAACGCAAAATCAAACATCGAGCGCCTATCAAGTACCCTTTGCAACACAATGGGCATTTGCTGCTTTTGCTGTCATTTTGGTCTTCATACTTCCCGAAAGTCCCGTCTGGTTGTTGCTACAAGAACGGTACGACGAGGCTCATCAAGTGATTAAAAGACTAGGCGAAAAGAACAGCGAACAAGTACTTCAAGGCATGCAAGCAACGTTGATAAACGAGAGAGCAACCGAGGCTCACGGTTCAGAGAATCCGACGTACAAGGAGTGTTTCCAAGGCACAAACCTTCGCCGAACCCGTATTATCATCATCCTCAATCTTATCCAGCAATTTGTAGGCATTGCCATTGTGACGAATGGCGCCTATTTCTTGACCGTGGCTGGTATGAGCAGCACCAATGCTCTTATGGTCAACCTAATCGGCATAGCCTCCAGCATTGTGGCAAATATGGCTTCATGGTGGACGGTCTCCAAATTCGGTCGACGTACCATGACACTGATCAGCATCGGCCTTGACTTTTTGGCTTGGGTGTCAATGGGTATCGCCGGGTGCTTCTCATCTTCTGCGGCAAAATGGTGAGTCTAAACTATTCCCTTCACAATCCAATCATCCCCTGACAAGACAACAGGTACGTCGGTGTTGCACTTCTTCTTTTCGGATTCTTCAATAGTCTTGGTGTGGCTAGCGCGATTCCCGTCATCAGCGCTGAGATCTCAACGGTTCGACTTCGTTCAAAGAGCCAAGGCATTGGCCTCACGGCTCAATGCATTGGTGCTTGGGCTTTCAATTTCTTTGCCCCTTACCTCTACAACAGTGATCAGGCCAACTGGGGAGGCAAAATCGGATTCTTTTTTGCCGGATTATCTACAATAGCCTTTGCAGTCACATGGTGGGATGTGCCCGAGACATTGGGAAGATCGTTTGCACAATTGGATGAATTATTTGGGGAAAACATTCCGGCTCGAAAGTTCAAGAAAACGCAGCTTTCCGTTGAGCCGAGTCAGGACACAAAGCTTGGAGCGGAGATGTTTTGATGTAACAAGGCGCTTATAGAACCTGACAGAAATGGATTGCCTCGCAGCATATTACTCGGTACAGAATAATGGACGCAAAGTTCAGTCCCGGCCTGAATATTATAACACGGACTGTTCACAGCTCGAATAGATAATATGCACATTTAGTCAGCTTTTAAATTGTTCCCTTTGCCAAAAGCGGAAGCTCCGTTTTTAAGATTAGGCTAGGCGCATATTCATCGCAAGGCAACAGAACTACCAACACGCCACAAACACAATCACTGGTTGCAGCTGAATTTGACTTCAGCATGAAGCATCGGGAACAAAGTTTACCGGCTTGTAGCCGTCAGTCGCGTCTGTTCTGTCATATTTCAACCGAAAGCATGTGCTATGTGCTATAGCCTTGGTTAGATAGCCCTCGTTCGAGCGGTGAAAAGCATGATCTTTTCCCGTCCTTTTTCCAAAGGCCTAGATTGCTGAATCGTCGAGGGGCAGTGCATCACGAAAGTTTATGCGGCCAATCAACGAATCCAGCCTTCCAATCATTTGCAGCAACTTCAACCATGTCTGTCTTGTAGCTGTTCACTGGCTTTGGGACGTAGCTCCGGAAGTGCGGACTTCCTCGTCTTCAAACTTTGTACTTGTGCCCTGCCTTCGTTGTGGTGTGAACGTTCTACCATTACTGAGAAAGGAATCACTTACCGAATACCGTTGAACCTTTTGAAATCATGCGATTTTTGGCAGTTGATGAGCTGAATATTTGAGCTGCAAGAAAATGTAGCACTGGATATCCTTGATGGATCACATGAAATCTCGTGAAACTCCAATCGCCAAAAAGCCCCCTCTTTGACGCTAGACTATTCATTCAAGTAGTGTGGACTCTTTGTTAGTCTAGTAAAGCCCAGGAAGCAACGTAAATTAGGCAGTTCTAACAATTGCTTAGCCCTACCAATGAATGTAAGTACCAAGCAAGCCATTATTTGGACGGAAGTACTACTAAATAGCCTCCCATACCGGTATAACGCACGGAAAAACTTTCATTGATGGAGGGATCGGCATTTTATGCCTTAAGTAAATTCATGGGAAACCATATATCTCAGCCACACAAAATCTATATTTACACGTTAATGGTTCCTCACTATAATGAAATCGTCACATTTTATTTGGACATATGGGTAAAGCAACTATATATATAAGCACCGTTTATTTGATTATCACAGATTGACTGGAATTTCTTTATGCTTTCTTCTTATTATTATTAAAAATCAATTGTCGTTGAATTTCACCTCTCAATTTATCGGTCACACCAAAAGAACACGAACATTAATCTCACAAGATGCCAGCAAACAACCCTATTCAAGCCAAGACTCAGGCATGGAAACGACACTGGCCTCCAGTAGCATCAGATGGAGACATTCATCTTCAGGACCTACAAGATGTTGCTACCGATGGTATGCCAGATGGTGGAGGCAGATCAGAAATTCACTGTGCAGGTATGGCTGGTGGAGCCAATCCAGAAGATCACCGTGAGCAGGCTCTCGTGAACAACATGGTCGAGGGCAGCGAGGATGGATATGACGGAGATAAAGAAGGTGCCAATTGATATGAACAACTCATAGGCAGGATTATGCAGGGGATCTGGGGAGATGATGGATGAGAGATATTGAAGCGCCTTACAATAGTTCTTGGAGTTGCAAGATGGCATCCGTGTTGGAGATTTGTAGGAAAAGCTCGCGCCCTGGATTGACCAATTTTGAAGAGTGTTTCGCTCAAGTACCATCGTTTATCAATACACAAAAGAGGACCCGTCTACTGGGTGGCCTTTGAAATTTGCCACTCCATGAATGTGCTCTGCTTTCTCACGTGTTTGATGATTCTAAGTTGTGACTGAGTAAACATTTGAACATGCTCTTTAACAAAAGGCAACGAAAAAATTGGGTTACAATGGTACTTTGACTGTTTGATATAATACCACATCAATATATCAACCATCGGGCGTTCACAGCCACCATAGTTCATTTGCTACAGAAACCCCTTCTTACACACACATGGAGTGTCAATTTACAACAATTGTGTAGTCCGGCAATTTGATCCAACGATCAATCATAATACCTACGTAATATTTTTCAAGTATATGGTGAGGTTCATTCCTGCGTCTGTTATGTATTATGATTTATTGGGCATCTAGTATTCTTGACTGGTGTTCGCCACGGTATTATACGAAACAATGATTCAATTGATTTGCTAATCACCTTGATATTTATGAATTACCGTGGTTGAGTTATTTGCTCGTTAGATTATTGGCTAATAAACTACTGTGTAGTATAATTGCAAACTGTGCCATGCCGCCAACGACGAGAGAATTACTCAAAATATATCAGTGCTCTAAGTTCAATGCTTATTCTTGGTGCCGCCGCCTTGCTAGTCAAAGGGTTGAAGAAGCTTGCGTGTGGTGTCCCTTGTTTATTCATTAGCGGCCGATATTTGTAAAGGCGACCTTGAATAAGACTTACCTCCACCGCCTTCAAGCTCTGAATCGAATTGGTGAAACAAAATCACCTCATCATCTTGCAAGTCTTGGAAGTAATACCATTCATGGCGAGGATTGTGATAGAGTCTTGCGTGCTCTGTAAACCCAGATTTAAATACTAAATCTTCGCCCACAATATCCATGTCATAATCCACAGTGCGTCTGTCGCAAAAGGCAAGCGGCCAGTCATTGCCTGGGCCTTGAATAGATTTCCATAAACTGAGACGGATTAGACATTAAAGGTATATACACTGTAGACAGGATTATTCTTACTTGACCATGAGGAGTCGTGGATATTGTTCCGCCGATGCTTTAAAGATTCTGTGACTGAAATCGAATGCTGAGTTCTCTGTATAATCTGCTACCATGTTAGGTTAAATATCCCCCACAAAGAAAGACGCTGTGCATACCGATATGGACAATATTTGCGGGTGCCAGACCGCCAGTCGCGTTACGGGCTTTATGGTCACGCCTACGAATCTAATAAAGAAAGAGTCATATTAGCAGTGGCCAAGCATTGTGGTGCGCATTAGGGAAAAGAAGGGGTAACATTTGCAATCGTACCCCATGCTCTAATATTTCGATCTTTGCGGCTTCGGGAAATGTATTGTTAAGCAATTTCTTGACTTCGGGATAGAACCACTCCTCAACTTTTACCGAATCCTCAAAATCGCGACGACTTAGTTGAGACTGAAGTGTTTTCACACTGAAGCCGAATTTTTCAAGGCTGCCAGGGGTCTGAATAGTTCTGAAGTTTTTGATGAAGATGGGCTGTGTGTCATGGGAGGTGTTTGTCCAAGGGAAGAGGCCCCCAGTATTATAGTTGACGCGATATGGTTTCTCATATCTGTGCTTGGGATCAATCTTGAGATAGGAGACTTCACTCGTAATGACCTCGTCTTCTTGAGAGGAAACAACATGATTAATCGATGCCATGATGTAAGTCACGGTTGTAAGGCTGGATTTTTTTCAAAGGTATAGTGATGATGATGATTGTTTTTGCTTCTATCATGACTGAAGCGATTCTCGATTCTTGTAGTCGCCTAATAGAGGCAATCAATTCTATAACTATCCATACACCTCATAGTTACATCGCTGGTGAAATAGAAAACATGAAGCTCCCGCGGACGACGTATCCGTGCCTAGTTGCACCGCCCAAAGCGCCCGGTCAGGTTACATTTACGACTACTACGTCGCAGGTTATAAATTGAAGAAGGAGAACGATGATGCACAGCCTGTTGCTCCCTCCGCCATTTACTACAATAACCAGAGAAAACTGCAAAGGAAAGCATGATTATGAAACGAGAACGGAGGCTCCGTCTCCAGAGTCATGTCGAAAGTGAAGCTATCGTATGAGTTCCTAGTCTTTAGTTTCGTGCTTGCAAGCATGCGCCCCCGGACGATGGGGATCCCGAAGAATTCTAGCGTCCATTCAAGCTTCCAGGCGGCGCGGCTACTGGTCGCCCCGACCCCCTAACAGCACAGCCAGACACCAAATTGCTACTTGTTGTATTCCGTACACATCTACCTAACATCAACAGGAACTGAATTTTCTACACGGTCGATTTGAATCTTGAGATTGATGTTGTAACCAACGTTGTATGCAGTCTCGTGGAGCACCCGGCAACGTTTCTAGGAAAGAGGTGCGACCCACCTAGCACCGCTATTCATGGTTGGTAGGTCGTGGTATGTCACCATACAAGATCCTGTCGTATCAAATCCAAAGGTGGTGCGGATGGATGCATTCAGGAAATCGAATTTCTCTGCATACGAAGACATGACCATTGTCACAGCGAAAAACGGCACATGGTTTCTTACTTCCCACGAACGACACTCATTATGAGAAAGAAGTCGAAAATTTTTCGGGTTGCCAATATTGCGGCAGGGCTGAGTTTGATCCCACAAAGCCCGGGAAAAAAAAATTACTTCGGCGACCTCGATATGTACAAGATCACGGTACAAGATGGCGGCTCGCTGCATGCCAAATTGCTTGCATATGCGGCCTAGCTAACTTACCTTACTTGGAGTAGAAAATGGACCGACGAAGCAAGTTATCATCTATGGGCACTTGAAGATAGGGGGCGAACCACAGGAAGCTTGAATGTTTAAACAAGGGAAAATATTGGAAATTTATCTGCTCCAATGCATTCGCTTTATTCACCAATGCCTAGTCAAGCAGTTTGCCATCATAAGCTGGTGGTGGCTCGTCCCGCTCGCCAACTGGCTTCAACACGACGCAGAACCCTTTCTGGTGGAAGATACCATAGCAATGGCTTGTCCACGGCTTATGCGGGTTCGCAATGGTAACGTCAAAATTGCGCAACAACTCAAAAATCACCTTTGGTATCTCCATCATGGCCATGCCCATCCCGAGACACTTTGTCGCACCATGTCCAAAGATCAATGAATGGCATGCATGCATCTCTCTCAACCTGTCCTCATCCGCGGCAATCCACCTCTCGGGCCTGAAGAGCTTAGCGTCATCACCATAAACTTCAGTATTCAGCTGCGTGCCCCATCCGTTGAAGCCGACGAACGTGCCGGCGGGGAGATGAAAGCCACCCAACGTGTCTCCACCGGCGGGAACAACGCGCTCGCGCAGCTGGGACAGGGGAGGGTGTTTGCGCAGGCCCTCCAGGACGACGGCCTGTAGATAGACCAGCTGCTTTGCCTCGGCGTCCCGGATCGGTGTCGATATCTTTCCTTCTTGGAGCGCGGTGCGGATTTCCGATCGCAGGGCGGCGTAGACCTGGGGGTTACTGGCAATGCAGAGCAGCGTGCTCTGTACACTTGTCGACGTCGTGTCGGATCCGCCTGCCAGCGTGACAATGACCTCGGAGTCGATCTGCTCAGTCGGCATGCCGCGGCCGATGAGCGCGCTCACCAGGTCGTCTCTCTTGTCCTCTGACCGGCCTGCGGCAACTTTGTGGACAAGGCCCATTACCCGCCCGACACCGTGAGAGTCGGTCACTTTGGGGAATATGGCCCTCTTCAGGAATGGGATTCGCGACAGAGAAAATAGCAACGTGCAGAGTTCGGTGAACACAGAGAAATATTGTGCAACCTGATTCCCTATTTCGATAGTTTCGAGAAGTCCAAACATGTCTTGATCATTTCGAACGCAGCCGACGGCATCGCCGAGGCAAACGCGTGTAATAATATCCACGGTGAGGAATTGGATCTTTTGACCAATGTCGATTACCTGGGAGGAGGAACGGCGGAGGGAATCGATCCATACAAGAACTTGCTCGTCCATCATGGGCTCAATTGTCGCCAGTGAACGACCGGCAAACTTGAGATGTTCAGGTCAGTGTTCGCAAAAACAAATCTATCGAAATCTGGAAGGAAAAAGGGAAATGAAACGTACACTAGGCGCCAATTTGGCTCTTGTCGAGGAGTGTTTCTTCCCATCCTTCTCACTGACAATATTCGAAATCTCAGGATCCATTCTTAGCGAGTCAAAGGCCGAGCTGCGACTATACCCGCTCCGTGCGGCCAGGACACGCCGCGTGATGGATGGGTCATCAGTCACGACATGGTTCGGGCCTATACGAGCCATGCGCCCGTATCTGTTGTTCGTCTCGGTCCAGATCTCGTGACTTCGGCCGGTCGAGATGGCTTTGGCAATCCAGAGACGCGACCATTTGGCGAATCGTGGACCGGGAATCCGGGATAGTGAGGACCTTTGTACTCGAATCACTCGCGCCCATATGTGCACCTGGAGGATAACGACAAAGACAAAGATGCAGTACGAAAAGATACAGTGGCCCATGAAGCTAGATAGGACATTTGAGACCGCCATGGCTGGCGCTTCTGGAGGCAAAATTGTACTTCTCGCTCCGATATCAGCATAATGACTATATTCGGCGTCTCTGGGCTACTTATACAAGTAGTTCGATACACTCGGAAGGTACCTTGGAAAGACTGCGTAGTCCTCCCATTGATAAAAGTGAGCCATGATATGACAGGCGGACACGCGATACCATTTGCCTGATGCCTACCACATCAGCTTACGCCGTAAATCCTTTTGCGAGACCGAAATCACGCATGTAAAGAAGTCGGTGCACGCCTACGCTGACAACATTGCCTCGTAACTTGTTCTCGACCCTTTTCAAAGTCTAGAAATCACGGGAATAGTTTTATTGTCATTCTCTGCAGTCTTACACGGCCTCGCTTTAAAGGAACTATATGATGTGAGATACATGACTAGTATTGAGTGGAAACGTTATCGTGATTTTGGCACGCCTGGAAATCTGGATCCGCTTCTGGTTGACCTGAAAAGATTAAAGTCCGGTGAAGAGTGTGATTGAGATACATGACGGATAACGAATCCATCAATTGCGGCACACTTACTATTTAAAGGGCGTTGTCCTGTCAGCACAACATGTTTACCTGCATGCCCACAGTCCTCCAACGGCAGCTCTTAGGTGAGCATGCCATATCTGAACGTGTGCCATCCCACCAAAACGTGATGCTCCCCTACTCATTAGTGCGGAGAGTTTGCAACAGAGGAGCGATCCCGATACCGAATCTGTATAAATCCATGGAAATGTGCGATATTATCGAAGTTGAAAAGGCGCATTACCTAAATAGTCCTGGCTTTGGCCTGTGAATCCTCTAGGACGGGGTGTGGTTCATGGCACGTGGCAATCATGCAATCAATCTAGCTCCCAGGATTCCCACCCCCCACAACGAAAGACGACTCGAGCGACAAAGCGATAAGGGATGGCCGGCACAAGGGATAAGTCCACAGACTCGGGAGCAAAGCAGCCAGATGGAATGTACGTGAACCCTTGCAGATTGACAGTCTCCCGTAATCTGATCAACTTTGCATACGCACAACCCGAAAGCATATTGGTCAGTGGAATCGCCGAGCTCATCATGTCTGCATTAATGTGCTTTAGCATAACGAAGCTATTTACGTCTCAAGATTCACACAGACCTAAACAACCCTGGATGTCCCGGGTCCGGAGCCTGAGTCTGCGGGGTGGGGGGCCCGGTCGTATGGTAGTAGTGAGTGATAAGGTACTACTGTGGACTGGCCTTGTAGGTGTCGAAGTGAAATTTACTCGGCCGGCTCAAATACACCAATTTTCTATGCGATACGTACCTGGGTACAATACATTACATATCCTATGTTTGACAGCTCAATTTTAGTCTAAAAGGGACCCGTGCATTGACGGGTCGGCCCAGAGGTCTTACATGCCCAGGTGCCATGATGTTAATGACCATTGATTGATCAGAGGGCCGAGGCAACTCTCTGCAGTTGGGGATATTCACCTAAAACGGCGACAATTTTGTGGATTCGAGCCCCAAATTCGGCCGGCCACTCAGACTAAAGCCGCGCTGCTTGACAACACCTTACAATGATTGTTGTTTTTCACAACGCAGAGCCCGCATGTTATGCATGATACATATTCCAAACGCCGGTGTTGAGACACATTACTAATAGAAATCCTTGCCAAGGCCTTTCTCCCAAGTCTCGTTGGAACGTAGCACAAATTATTGTGCAGTACAGTCCAGTGTGTGAGGCTCGGTGCCAATTTTCCGAATAGAGGAGAGGGGTTGCTGAACTGTCCAGACGGAAAGGCGCACTGCAGACAGACAACAGTGAGTTTTTGGTTCGAGATAGCGTCTGTTTACTCTACCATGAGCCACCAAAAATTCGAATCCACAGTATCACTAGCGCTCACAGGGGGCTTAGTATATGCTTTCATCGCACCTTTCGCAAGAAGTAACCTGCCTGGATTAAACAAGAATATCCGTCCCATCACCCACCAATTGCCCCGCCATGACTAAACCACTGCCAATTCGTCAGCGTGCATACGCACCAAAAACCCGCGCAGGTACGTTGGCTGGCACTGCCTACCTACTTTGAGGGGCTCCAATCACTTGAGATCTTTCCTTGGAGACTGATCAGCGACACAAACAGGTTGTGTCGGGTGCAAGACCCGGAGACGGAAATGCGACGAAGCCAAGCCACAATGCGAGGGCTGCCGCCGTCGCCGCCTGGTCTGTGTCTACGGGCCGAGCCGGGCTCAGCTTAGAGACACGACGAAGCAGCTAGTCAACATTCAGCCAATGCCAACCAGAGAGCTACAACTGTACCACGAGCCCTCGCGATCTGTCTTTGCAAAGCTTTCATCTGCCGAAGTCCCATATCTTGACTACTTTGTCCGTAAACTCGTACATCGCCTATCTTTCCCCGGTCTGGGCAATACCGGCCTCGTCCAATTCTTATCTCAAACCGCGCTACAGCAGTGTGAGCATAATGAGCATATTCTCCACGCTGTGGTGGGCATAGGTGCTCTGGCCTACTTCCGACAATCCAAGTCTACCAATGTGCCCCTATACCAACATCGCCTATCGGGGTGTCTGGAGAACGAACACTATCGCCGTGCCGTGAAGCACTACGGCCAAGCCATCGCCAGCACGCGCAGCTTGATGCAAGATGATGCCAGCAGACAGCCCTGGCTGGTACTAATTACATGCGTTCTTTTCGTCCTATTTGAGCAGCTGCAGGACAATACTGATGCCATCGACAAGCTGACGGCATCCGTGATCAAATTCCTCAATTCTCCCACCCGGGGAAGTCTCGCCAGCGGCGACCTGCTAGCAGCCGCTGTAGATGATACGGGCGTTGCAGAAGCCGAGCATTTCATTTGCAACAATGTGGTCAATAATAGCATGTTCTCCCCCATGTATCCACAGTGCCGCAAACACCTTCATGACCTGTCCATCCTGTCCCCGCAAATGGCTGCCATAGTAGGTCCCGAGAAGAGTGTAGCCGAATTTGTTTCCGGGTGGTTCAGGGTTGGGACCGTCATGGTTTCACCATCCTTATCATTTGCCCAAGATCTCACCATGCCCCGCGAAACGGTGATTGCCATCATGAGCGCATGGGAACAAGAGACTCAGAGGCGACTGTTATCGGATCCGAAACCTACCGGCCACTCGGCATTCCTGCTCCGCTACGTTGGTATTGCCTGCAAAGCCGTGACCCAGAGCCCACCAAGGGGGCCCGCAGACCGAGATTTGTCTGTCGGTGGGCACGAAATCATGGAAATGATGCAACTAATCGAGGACGAATTTGAAGCAAATCGTCCAACCTTGACCCTGGAGGATTCCGAACTCATTGGCGAAGGATCCTACGATGTCACCCTCCCGGGTTTGTTTATTGCCGCGCGAGACATGTCATCGTATCCTGTGCGTCTTAGGGCATTGAATATCTGCCGGCGGATACTGCGGCCTTCGTCTTCTTGGAGCAACAAGGCTATTTACCTTGGCCTTTGTGCCTTGGTCGAAATAGAAGGGGCAGGGCAGACACAAGAAGGGGCAACCGAATCTCAGTTGGGGGAACAATATAATTGGACTGAAGGCTATTGGAACGAGGACTATACCAAGCTGCATGTTGTACTCCAAGCCGTGACACCACCAGGGGATCTCGGCCACACACCCAGACGCAGACACCTGATTGTTTCGCCTCAAGCCTATGGTCTGGCTTGACGATGTGCCACTTTGTATCTGGTCAAGTGCGGCTACTAGTGGGACGAGATTCTTGTTTGTACAGGAATGACTTTCGTTCCTCTCAGTGTGCATGCTAGCTTTTGCATTGGGAAAGATATATTTAGTACTTCCACTTCCTCAACGCAGTCGAATCATGAGATGAGCTTTGAAGAATATGGCTTGCAGGCAGCGACGCCACTACTGAAGGTAAGTAAGTCTTGGTCAACATGTCTCACGAATATCTGGAGCTTGGGAAGGCCGCGGGAATAGTAATCAAACGAAGGAAAAAAAAAATTAAAGGTTGAACAGATGAGTAATATCACGACATGAATATTGTAGAAGCAGTTTCGTATTTATAACTCAACAAAGTCCGAACAGCTTTGATCCAGTGGAGCGAATGAGTGCGAGCTTGGCCATAGTCGGAACGAGGATATTTCAATCATGCGATTTAGGCGACAGAGGACACTTGGGCCAAGAGCTCCAGCGTACGGTCTACCAATGAGAGGTAGCTTGAAGAGTAGTGAACTATCAGGTGCTCCATCCCATTACGTATACAACAACCCGTCCAATAACAATGAGTCGGAGATATTTTGCGTTTCCGGGGTTTGATTCGGGGTCGACATGGACGACACGGCGTATAGCCAGCCAATCAGCGGAAAGCAAGCCCGATGTGACAGTGTGGAGGTGTTGCGATTCCATGGTTTCGTCAGCTCTTGAGGTCTGTGTTCAACACGAAACGGAACATTTCTATACATTTTCTCCTTATCTATGCACATTTCTGTTTTCAACTATCCTGAGTTCATCATTTTTTTTCCTTTCCTCTACGAAACCCTTTGCATTTCATGCGTGCCTGCCAATGAATACTTAGCTGCAGAATTGCATCATCGCATGATCGCACTTTTGTATGTACGCTTGGTTTTCCAGTCTTAGATATTCCGAGCATGCATATAACATTGTGACGCCGATATATATATATATATATATATATATATGGGAAATGCATGCGGGTATCCCGAATGACTGAATGTGTATAGTCCGACTCGCTTAGCATGGTAGGTTTTGATGATTGTCCCTTGCAATGGACCCGCCCGCCATTAATTGGTCCGCCTTACGCCTCCAGTCAACCCCCTGGCTCCCGATTGCAACCTTGAATATGTATGTTCCGACCAAGGAAAAAAGAAGATAATGACTGCACGTGGGTGCGGGAATACACGTGCTGGGATCCCCGCCTACCTTTTGGGTTACACCTGCTTGAAGTTCAATCCCTGGCATGTAACGTATCCGTAATAGCAAATCGTGGTCGGGGCTTTACTTCCTTACCCGTCATGATAGCTTTCGGGCTTTGCAAAGAAGTCTAGCAACATACTTGCATTTTTCAAAGTATTCAAGGTATGACAGCCAAAACATCAAAGAAGTTCAGAGATGCTCTACATAAGCCGGTTTGACGGAGTTACTGGTTAGGTAGGAAGTGCTTTACTGTCTTATTGAATATAAAGATGTATTGAATCACCAGACAGATAGTGATTATATTTGTGCTCGCCATTCAATCACTACAAATTCAATTCATATTCTGTCATCGGAGCCCTTCCGTTTTCACAAACGCACATATAGTCATATATACAAGTGCAGCTTGCCATTGTCACCATGCGTTTCACTAGTACTGGTATGTAACTTGCCCATGAACACACATATCTCCTGACCGTCAGCTAACCCGACTATCCCCTTGCCCATAGTCAGCTCCTTGCTGCCTTTACCCCTGCTTACCCTTGCCGTGCCACACAAGGAAAGCCAACCAGATCGTTTAGCCCGGAGTCGTTCGCCTAGGGGCCATTGGGAATCTGGGATGCTGCGGCGGGTACAACATTGATCGGAGCTGTGGTGGCCACAGCAAGTCCTCCAATGAAAAATATTTGGGTTATCAAAATATCTATCAGTTCGCCAAATTATCAGGCAAAGGGGCTAGAAAAGATGAATCGCCAGTATTTTATTATCATCTGAATATGGCAATCACGGACGGGAAAATATCATTCACAAGGACGGGGGGGGGGGGGGGGGGGGTAAGTGGAGCTTTGATACTCCAAAATGACACAGACTTTACTGCCCTTTAAAATCAATAAGTGACTATGGGCCCGTGATCACATCGCGTGATGGATGCCGGGTATGGAGAGCCAAGCAGTCCCGGGAATGACCAGGTTGGCCCGGAACCGGACTGCACCATCACGGACCCCCCCACAAGAACTCATCGGGACCTGCTACGCCTGTGCAGATGTCTCCGGTGATACGGCCCAGTTTGATGACGGAGACGGCCGTGTGCGTATTTGTTTCAGTGCCCCGGCCATAACGCTAGGCTGTGCCGCACAATGTAGAAATCTGACTGCATAATCGCTCACCCCTCGTAAGCAATCACGCAATTTTCGAACCAACGAGAGCATTCGCAGTCTTGTTTACTAGTGGAAAACATCACATAAAACCCATCATTGGCTAAAGTGACCCACATGTACCAGTTTGTCGCTTGAATGACGGTGCATTTCAGATCAGGACTATTGGGATAATTGCTCGGCTGGTGCACGATTCTTTGAAATTTTCTCCTCCGCTCCTATCGTTGCATGCAATATTGCAAAGCTCTTCATTAGCCATCACCTTAGTATGACCTCCTCAGCGCTCCCCTCAAACGGCGAGCTCGTCAATATTGGCACGCATTCTTTGGCGCTTTACACTCATGGCCCAGCTCCAACCAGCCCAAATGATCCCGTCGCGATATTTATATCAGGCGTCGCTAGCGATGCTCTAAACTGGCAAGCGGTGGTTCGCCTTCTCGGTACATCGGTACGAAACTACACCTACGACCGCTCTGGGTTTCGCAATTCAGACGCCTCGCCGCTCGCCCCCTCGGCGGAAAATGTGGCTTTGGAGCTCTCTCTTCTCATTGAAAAGGCCCCCATTCCGAACCCTTTGATCCTGGTCGGGCACTCGTGGGCCGGCGTGCTCATACACGAGTACATTGCCCTCAAGGGCACAGACCAAATCGCCGGTCTTGTGCTCGTGGACGCCAACCATGAGACGTCGCCACTGGTCATGAACGTAAATGATCCGATTCTCTGGAATGTCATCGCCGCAAATGTGGACCCCTACATTGGCTGGGGCTTGGAGACAAATCACAAGTTTACGCAGGCAGAGTGGGATGCGTTCAAGGTTGTGAAAACAAAGGATAAACACAAGCTGGCTGTCCAAAAAGAGGATGAGAACTACATGCCAAGTTTCGAGAAACTGCGGGAAAAGCAACTGAGTAAGAAGCAGCCGCTTCTCGGAAACAAACCAGTCTACGTGATTGGGGGTACGCGAAGCAGAGATTGGAGTGGTTTGTATAACGCGGGTGTAGCAATTGAAAACGGAACCGAGGAGGAGAGGAGCTATGTAAGAGAGCTGATCAAGACGATCGATGCGAAGAATGAGGGTATCATGAAGGAGTTCTTAAAACTCTCCACAAGGAGTGAGCTTGTCTTTGCTACTGAGAGTGGCCACTTTGTGCAAATCACTCAGCCGGAAATCGTCGTTGGTGGGATAGAATGGGCCATCGGTAACCTTTCATAATATTGTGTTATAATCTGGTCCCGTCCAACCGCTATCAATATTTAGCATCGTATATACTACATTTAACTGATATTGATGACAGATTCTGTTAGAGAGATTACGTTGTCTATGACGGATGAACCCGATTGTTGCTTTTCAACCAGATTATGTGCGTGTATAAAGATAATGTACACAACTCTGAAAGAACATGACTAGGCGGACATCCTGGCTGAGTTTTTGTTTCGCACGACTTGAGCTGACTTCTCAACAATAGTTACACAGTAAAATGCGATCGAGGCTACGAGTTTTTGATTATAAATTACGCTAACCTGGTCGATTCATGTGTTGGAGCATTCGAATTTATACCAATTCCAAAATCTTCAATGTCACGTTATATTGTATTTATCAAACTTCTAGTTGTCGTTGTCGCTATTCGTAGTGTCGTTGGGATCTGCTGTCACTATGGAATCGTTCACGCTTGTCATCGTAGCATCGCTGATGTAGCATTCCCAAGCTCAGTTGAAAGATCTCTCAAGGGTAGGTAATCTGCAATCTTGGCTGTAGACGCCGCTAATCAGACATTTGTTCAAGTTCCTGGTTGCGAGACACGAAGGCAAATAGGCCCGGCTTCATATCTGTCGAATTGATTTTTTCAACCAAGTTTGCCTTGTGGACGAGAATCGACTATTGTCTGGCATTGTTGCACTGTGCAATTGATGCATTGGGGACGACAATGTAGACTTTGGCGTGCAGGGTCGCCTTTAGCGGTCACTTCAGGTGCTGCGCTCTGCGGCCCCGCAGTGCTGCAGTGGCTACCAGAAGATGATTGCGGAACCCTTGGCAATCTTATGGACCTGTGGACACGAACATGTCAACGCGGGGCAACCCTCCCAAGATGCCGACACATGATAGCTATATCAAACATGAACGTCTCCAGAACAGGCCGGATCTGGGCCATTGAAAATAAATTTGTTCTGCCAGACGAAAACGCTCAGATCGCTCAACTGCATGGTGACCACAGTACGAAGTAGAGGAAGATATCCAGCGTCCTGCATTCGATCCGATTCGCTAGTATGCAGCGCGTAAGGGTGAGAGTGAGCGCGTATCGGTCGGTCAGCACGGTACTTGTAGCATTAAATCGCCCGGCTTGCGTGTCCAGCTTGACCTCATCCAATAGATGGTGCCGCTGACATAAATGCGGCATTGCTCCGCCGACAGGACCAGCCATCCTTCGCCTCCAAGTCCGCCACACCTTCTGGACCCTCACCTGCCCTCTCTCCATTACAACATGCGCAACTAGGCCCATGTTCTGTCGACGTAGACTGACATGGCCGACCAGAGCCAGTCTGTGGTCCCAAAAACGGGACCTCGCCGCCTGCAGCACGATGATTACACTGTCGCCATCATATGCCCCATGGGCGTCGAGCTCGCTCCCATACGTGCCTTGCTTGACGAGGAACACGAAAGTTTAAGCACCAGTCGCGACCAGAACGCCTACAAGCTCGGGATGATGGGCCTGCACAACGTCATCGTTGCTGTGATGCCAGAGATTGGGAACAATGCCGCTGCAATGGTGATCACTCAGTTGCTCAACGACTTCAAGTGTGTGCGCTTTGGACTGCTGGTTGGGATTGGCGGCGGGGTCCCTGATGAAGACTACGACGATGACGAACTGGAAGATATCCGTCTCGGTGACGTTGTCGTTAGCGAGTCCAAGGGGCCTTACGGGGGAGTAGTCCAATTTGACCGAGGGAAAAGCATGTCTAGCGGCTTTGTCAGGACAGGACATCCTAACAAGCCGCCACATCTACTCGCCAGCAGCGTTGAGATACTGAAGACTGAGCATGACCTCCACGGAATTAGCATATCCCGGTACCTCGAGGAAATGTACAATAGGTATCCGCAAATGCAAGCCAAGTATGGGCATCCAGGCTCAGATCGAGATCGTCTCTACCAAGCCACCTATCCACACCAGGGTGGAACAACCTGCAAGAAGTGCGACCTTGCGCAGACAATTGTGCGGGAGGACCGAAAGGATCCTGGACCGCTCATTCATTACGGAACGATTGGTTCCTCGAATATGGTCATCAAGGACGCCCAGAAACGAGACGAATTGCGCGACATCATGGAGATCCTATGTGTTGATATGGAGGCTGCTGGACTGATGGACGTGTTCCCCTGCCTGGTTGTCCGTGGCATTTGCGACTACGCCGATTCCCACAAAACAAAGAAATGGCAGCCTTATGCCGCGTCCACCGCAGCCGCTTATACCAAAGAGCTCCTATCGCATATTCCTCCCGAGGCAGTAATGAAGACACAGGCCGTTACCCTAGAGCATTTGTCTATCAAGATTGACGAACTCACCCAAAGCACGCAACAAGCCTCAAGCCGGTTTCAGTGTACGTAGTAATTGGATTGTTTTCTACGGCATCGACCTGACAAATGCATAGCTGCTGAAGAACAAGAGATTCTCGAGTGGCTCTCTCCAAAAGACATAGACTTCTCCAGCCCATACAATCAATCGCGACAAGTCCATACGCCCGGCACTGGGCAATGGTTGCTTGACGATGAACGTTATCGAGACTGGCGGGATTTCTCACCCGGTCTACTATGGCTACGCGGTGCTGGTTAGTCATTTACCTGTCTCTACGAAGCAGAGCTAATTGGTATCAGCTGGTTGCGGAAAGACAATAATCTGGTAAGATTTCCAGAGAGTTCATTATGGTTACTTGCTAACTTTCTTCAGCTCCACTGCGATACATGACCTTCAAACCTTGACTAAAGAAAGTCGCACAAGTAGCTTAGCCTACTGGTACTTCCGCTTCGATAACACCGGCTCACAAAACGTTTCCATCATGTTGCGATCCATTATTAGACAGCTCAGTCCTTCACCGCTCTCTGCTGGAGTCCGAGCTCTTCGAGACAGGCATAAACAGGCTGGAAGCAATCCTTCACTAGACGAGCTCATTGCGACTCTTCATCACACCCTCCACGACGCAATCGGGGATGTCTATGTTGTTCTTGATGCGCTGGATGAATGTCCAAGTACGGGAAAGCTAGGCCAAAGAGGAAAACTGCTGCAATATATCGAAAACTTGTTCTGTCAACCACGTTTCAACCTACACCTGCTCATCACAAGTCGGCCAGAACCAGACATCTGGACTAAAATGGGTCCCGTATCGCGCTATTCTGTCGATATCGAAGAACTTCTGAAAGCAGATGTCGAGAGATACGTCGATGCCGTACTGATGAACTCCAACTTAGGAAGTTGGGCTCACGCTAAGGAGAAGATCAGAGATAAGCTCCTTTCGTTCGGCGAAAGGTAAGTTCATTTGTTCCCCTCACTCATCAGTTTGCTCACATATTACCGCTAGACGATTTCGTTGGGCTGAACTGCAAATGAGGCGATTCACTCAATGTCCCACGGATAAGGATCTGGAAGATGCCTTGAAGAGCATCCCTCGAAGCTTGGAGGAATCATACCAAAAAGCTTTCGAATCAATACCTAACCGAAGCAGGGTGTATGTAAGGAAGATCATGATGTGGCTTGCTGTATCTTTGCTACCACTCACTACCGAAGAGGTCGCCGCTGTGGTTGGTTTTCGAACCACCGACTTTCTTATCCATATCTGTACTACCCTTCTCGTTACGATCATAGATAAGTTCGATTCAGATATCATCAAGTTAGCTCATTTCTCAGTCAAGGAATTCCTTGTCGCTCAGCTACAAGAAGATGAAAGTTGGCAATGGTACCGTTTCTCCACCAATATGGCACATGAACACGTCGCATATACTGCACTCCAGGCATTAGTCGAGCCACGGGGTGAGCTGAGGCCCATCATCTTCTATGCCGCGGACTTTTGGCATCGTCATGCAAGGGAGGGTCTGAAATCAAGATCGGCAAGTTTGCTTCAAAATCAAATAAACCGGTTTTTCGACCCAAATCATACGAATCAATTTCTTGGCTGGCTGGAAATATTAAAACGGCTGAGATCAAGGGTATACTCGGAGGATAATTTGCAACCATTATACTACGCATCACTCTTGGGTTTCGAGGCAACCGTGCGTGAGTTATGGTTCGACGAGTCCCAGCTCTCCAGAAGTCGAAGGCACCACCAAAATGCCCTCGAAGCAGCGGCTATCAAAGGCAATGTGAGCATCCTAAAATGGATCCTGAACAAATGCGAATTTCCAGAAAGGTATCTATCATTCCGAAAAGTTGCGGGAAGAGTCGAAGCGAACGAAATAGAAGTGATTGCCGAGTTGTGTAATAAGATGCCGCAATCTGAGCTTGATCAGAGCGTGTTTGAGGCTGCTGCGAGCAACACCAAAAATGGGCAACTGGTGATGAAACAGCTTCTCGAAAAGAAAGGAGACCAGATCCATATTAGCGAGGGCATGATGAAAGCCGCTGCGGGGAATTGGCGCTACGGCCATAAGATGGTGGAGCTGCTCCTCGAGAAAAACAGAAGTCAGGTACAAATTACCGGGGACGTCGTTATGGCTGCTGCAAACAACGGAGATCAGGGACAGGAGGTAATGGAGCTACTTCTGGAAGAGAGAGGAGAAGACGTTCATATCGCCGAGGCTGTTATTGAGATGATAGTAGGAAACTTCAATGTACGTGCAGTTGAGCTTCTGTTCGAGAAGAAAGGAGATCAAATCCGCATCACGGAGAGCATGGCTAAGGCTGCTGTGGGCAGAAACGGCCCTGGCGGGTTGTTCGGGATGATCCTAGGGAGGCATTCCCCGAATAAGCAAACTGCGCAGCAGGTAATGCAACTCCTTCTCGACAAAGATGAACATGTCCAGATCACGGAAGGCATTCTCAAGGCTGCTGTGCAGAACGCCACAGGTGGATACAATGTGATGAAGCTGCTTTTGCAGAAGAAGGGTCATCAAATGCAAATCACGGAGAGCGTGATCTGCGCTGCCGCACTGTACGGGAGCTACGAGGTAATTGAGTTGCTTCTCGAACAGCATATTGAGATAACGCAGGGCCTTGTCGAGGCTGCCGCAGGGAACTGGCAGAACGGCGATAAGGTAATGAAGCTGCTGCTGACGAGAACGGGTTGCTCCAGCCTGATCACTGAGAACGCAATCAGGGCCGCTGCTCAGAATGAATGGTGTGGAAAAGATCTGATCGAACTCTTTCTTGAAGAGCTGGGCCACCAGATCCAGATCACAGAAGGTATATTAAAGGCTGCGTCAAGGAATCAACGTTGCGGTGCACAAGTTATGAGATTTCTTTTTGAGAAAGGAGGAGATCAGGTTCAGATTCCGAGAAAGGTAGTCCTAGCTGCCGCAGAGGCCAGAGACTCTACAATGATGCAGCTTCTCCTGGAGAAAGGCGCCGACCCAACCGTCGCAGACAATAATGGCTTCACACCACTCAACACGGCTGCATACTACGGACGCATCGAAACAGTTCGATTGCTCCTGGAGAAAGGTGTCGATTCAACGTCCACAGAATATGGGAGTTTGACAGTACTAGAATGGGCTTTAAAAGGCGGACATATCGAAGTGGTCAAACTGCTCTTGAAGGAAGAGGCAAATCAACTGACGCGCAGGATGACGGCTGCACATCACCCAATATGGCTTCATGCAACGGATACATCGAAATAGTCAGACTGCTCCTGGAGAACGGCGACTCGTTTCTGACCATGTCCCTGGTGTGAGTGGACATTACCACTGGACGGGAGACACATGCTCTAGGAGCAAGCACGACCAATGCGAAGGAGAAGCGGAAAATGGCAAGTTCACAACATTCTACAGTACATAATCAGCAATGCAGTAGGAACTGGGTTTGAGCTTTGCCTTGCGCGTTCCATATCCTTTTTCTTTTCCTTTTTTCTTTTCCCTTTTTCTCTCCCTTTATTTTGCAAGGAGCAAGGCTCAGTCAGATCAATGCTTTGTACCTTGAGTTTCAAAATATAAACTGTCATGTAGGTCAACAGTGGATGAAGTGTGACTGCCATAATGATACGTATTCGTCGCATATATGAGAAAATCAAAAGGCAGTTTCCCCATCATTGATCGCTCTGCTGCCGATTGCAAGTCGGGATTTTATGCGTATCCTAAAGCCGAGATATCTGCCACGAATTTCCTTGGGTCTACCTAGGAGCGATTCGGGCTCGGGCATCCCGAAACTGTTTCCGAAATAGAATGACTTGGATATCGATGTCGACATCGGTGATCTGAAAGAACGTATTCAAAATGTTCTGGGCCAGAATTGCGTAATGTCTGTGCACCAACATCCTTGATTCGGGTAAGGGAACAGCAAATGCCGGAGAACGGCATGTTCGGGAATGCGAGTACGCTCAAGGTGCATCTAAGCAATGCGTACTTCCTAAAGGCACTGCAATTTAGTGTTGCCAAGTGGGCGGTCAAGGCGTTCGAAAGTTTTACTCGTCGTTTAAATGCTAGTGAGGCACCGGTTTTTGCTAGCCCAAAAGGAAGTCTCGATAACTAGGAATGATTCAGCTATGTGTTCAATCAAGGCAAGACCTTCTATTGAAGGAGATGGAGCCTGTATGATTCAAGTTTGAATGTGAATTGAGTGATGTATCACTTCTGGTTGCCCACATTCTGATTTTGCAACCTGCAGAGTTATCCGGATGATCTTCGGCTTCTATCAGGCTTTGCTTGTACAACAGTGGTATGATCGGATACTCAGGACATATTACGCTGAAATTAAAAACAATCTCGCGGCCACTCGAATTGAGATAAAACAAAGTCTATTTGCATGCGGTGTTGCTAGAAAGTGAAATACGGGGGTCTATCCACCTAGGGATTCATGCTCACTAACTCATGCATATGGGCAAGGCGGTAGGTATTTAGCCATTTACATGCCCCAGCTCGACCAATGACATGATCTCAATCGCCTGTCAACTACCTAATAGTAACGTCGACTCCTCAATCAACCCGAGCGATCTTGAAGCCACCTGGTACTCTGCGCTGGAAAAAGCCGTTTGGGTCGTACTTGTGCGCAACCTGTCTAATGTGCTCGACGTTGGCTGCGCCATAGCTCCCGATTGGATCCTGCCTTGCGTCTGCGTAGGGGAGATAGACGAACTCCTGGCTGCTTCCAATCGACTTTGCGAATGCAACGATTCTTTCGTTGACGGCCGTCACCTTTTGCAAGACCAGCGGATATTGTTCTCTACTTTCAGTAGCCAACAAGCTCACACCCAATGCAATAACAGCCTTGTTGCGCGAGTCTCGCTCGAGCCCGAGCATGTTTCCTCCCTTTTCTATGCTAATGTTTGCAAAGTATGAAGGAAATGGCTGGACATCCAAGATCGTGGAGAAGCTTTGGGGCCCAATGGAGGACTTCAAGTCCTCCACAATGCTAGCATGCTCCTCAAAGCAATAGCGCAGAACTCGTGGATCATTAACGATCGTCAAAGATCCAGTTGCGGCGTTCCTAGCGGTGGAGTGTCAGTCATTTTAAAGTTGTCTAAATAGGAGTATTTTGTTGTTAAACGTACAATGTAGCCCCAGACACCGTATTGCCCAGGCCGCTAGATTCGACAAGACTCAATGATAGCTTGGTACCCGGAGTCGACGTTGGGATGCTGTTAAAGGCGTGGAATGCTGTGCTGTTTGCAACATTCATTGTGTTGATGTGCGTGACTGTAAAGCTAGAGTTACCAGTCTCCGGATTGTAGTTCAAGACTGTAAGCATCGCATCATCCTCGAATGACTGATCCAGATCCGTGAATCCAGCAAAGGCGTCAGCAATCTCGTCGGCGTACTCTTCGGCAAAGACTCTAGTTTCGAGCGACAGATTCTTGGTCGGAAATGCTTCAACATCGAACCTGGTGACGATTCCAAAATTGCTGCCGCCTCCTTTTAGCGCCCTCCACAGGTCAGAGTTGGCCGACGCATTCGCGTTAACGATTTCGCCGCTCGCGAGCACGACTTCGTAATTGACGACGCTGTCACAGGCAAACCCCGTTCGCGCCGTATACCACGAGATGCCGCCGCCAAGCAAGAGTCCGCCCACACCCACTATACCCTGTCGTCCTCCCGTTACGGTAACCCCGTCTTTCTCCAGCTCCTCATATACAGACAGCCAACGTGCGCCGGTCCCAAGGCTTGCAACGTTTGTTGCCGCGTCGTAAGTCGTGGCATTCAACTGGGTCAAGTCGATTGTTACACCTGTTGCGATATTGTTCGAGTTGTCAGTCCCGTGCCCACCGCTGCGAATGGCTACATGCCAGTCTCCGGCGCCGCCACCAGCGTCTCGAAGAGCGGTGATGGTTTCAGAAACCTCGACAGCGGTGCTCGGGAGGACGAAGCAGTAGGGCTGCTTGCGCGTATCGATGCCCCAAGAGCCGTTCGCGACGAGGGATGGGTAGAGTGAGGAGGACGGGAGATGCACAGCGTGAGATAGATTGGCGGCAATGAGAGCGTCACACTGGAGGCAAGGTTAGAAGGACTAGACGTGTACTTGGCAAGGGGCTGAGAGAGAGGAGGCTACGTACTGGCTGGAACCCAGTGAGACCTTGGGTATTGTTGCCTGCTGTGGGAGCTCGTCCTTGAGCAAGATCGACTAAAAGCATCGACAATAGCGTCGTAGCGGTTGAGCATGTTGGTTTGGGAAACCGCGGAAATTGCATTGTTATGGATTAGAAAATGGGACCAAATGTGAGACTTTATCGGAATGAAAAGCTTTCCGGCAGTGATTTGCGGTTGATTGAAAAGAATATTTGGAACATCACGACCCGACCGACCTCTTTATTTATGTCTCTCTGGAATCTGCGAATCAAGCCAACATCTGTACTGCAACATCCTTTCTGGCGAAGATTGTCGTGAGGATTCATCTCAGAATAGTCTTGAGGTTTGCGTGCACTGCCACCGATCAAGTTGAGATCTGCGCTCATGTCTGGTAGGCTCGCAAAGCTATACGAACGTGTTCCTGCCACAGTCTACACTTGTGTACTATAATGAGGCGCCCAGTCCTGACGGCCTGTAATCCTGGACGGTCAGCCAGAGGCATCCGGACTTGCCATGCCAGCTGTTGAGTCAATAATAATTCTTCCTTTCCCTGGTGTGGCTAGCTACGTACTCGCGCCAAGGTACGTAACAATAAAATGTTTGTCTATCAGTGGGTATCCTGTTTTAGTAGTGCTTACATATAGCAAGGGCTTGGCTTCGGTCATCCTCGAAGTGCCAACCCATGTAGTAGCGTCCTCCGCTTCGTACTTCGAAAATTCGTTCATCTGATTGGCTCGTCTTTTCCGAGCTTCGTAACTATCACAACTTGTCGCGAGGCAGCTTCGGATCAAGGACGGATTCACGCCACAGTCAAACAAATCCCACAATCGTTCGATCAGTGCTCAAAGGAATCGATTTATAGTATTTCAAAAGCAGAATTTGGCAGTCTCTGCTGTTGTAGGATTCAGACCCCAAATCGTGTCAATTACTGGCAATATTAAGGCGGTTGGGGTGATGGTATTTTCGCATCACGTCCTCGTATTGCCTCGCAAACGACGCCAATTGGTTACTACTCTGTCCAGCAGACTAAAGTGCCACTACCCTGACGGTCAAGTACGTTGTCATGGGTAGCATTAAATTCTTGATGATATTTGGGCTATTTGTCGGCGCGATTTCCCCATGAATATCTTCTAATTATAGCAATGCTGAACTACCAAATTTGACATGAATCTTAATCTCATTCGAGACACAGTCCTCCGTTCAACAACACTTTCTGAAGACGAGGTTGTGCCACAATCAGCATTTTACAATCATGTATACCTTCCAGTCAAAGCGCATATATATCAGTTATTTAGGGAGTGGTTCAAAAAGAATGATTTCGAAGCATCACAGATACTCGCTAAATGGAGATGGAAACTGGTGCAGCTGGGATTGGCACGGAGTCGAATTTTCGTGGTCCGATATCGGGTCGCTTCTTGAGCTGTCCCTCATCCTCCCCGTCCCGAAGACGTTTAATCAGGTCCTCGGGATCCAAATCTACACCGATGGGGTTTTCGGCAAAGGCAGAACTCGCAAAGAAAGTAGACTCTTCATCCACGGTTTCAAACGCGTCGACTTGCAGCTCGATTTTGTTTCCGTCGGGATCCTGATAGTACATACTGACAGTCGGGCCATGGTTGACGCACCAGAAAGGCACAATTCCCCGAGTTTTGCGCTGTTGATAGGCGAGCATGAGATCGTGAAGTGTGTTAAAGGTGAAGGCCAGATGGTCTAGGCCGGCAGAGTTTGAGTCCTTGGGCTTGGTCTCGGGAATGCCAATGATGGCCACTCGATGGTGCTCTTCATCGTAGGTCAGAAAAGACAGTGTGCCGTTCTCGTATGACGCGTGGGCACCTAGAAATGTTTTGTAGAAGGCAACCATCGATTTGAAGTTTGCGGTTCGTAGCACCACGTGTGCCAACTTGGCAGGTGAGAGGATCTTCTCAGTGCCTGTATTCTGAGGCTGTGATTCCATAGTCGATTCTCTTTTCTCTTGAGTTTCTTCTTGATTCTCTATTTGATTCCAGGATGCTGCGTAGTAAAACTCTTCGTCGCAAGTTGGTTGATAGATCAACAACTAAAGCTTATGGTTGGGAAAGATATTTGTATATGCAGAGTTGACATGTACTGGAGAAGCAAATATAAATCTTCATAAACCTGTCAGGGAAACTAATATGATGTCATAACCTTACCATCAATAGTAAATATGTATGTAATGTTCAATGCATTTCGATGATCGAAGATTTAGGGTTTCATGCACAGCACACTTGCATGCAGTCTCCATTGAAAGAATGATGCATTTCAAATCAAACAGTAATCAACTACTTGCCTTGCTTACGGATTTAATGCCGTGCTTGTCGCAATACATACCTCGGCGCAAGATTCGCGTTGCCGAGATACTTTTTGGTGATTATTATTGACTTTCGCTACTCGCGCGCGGCCATGACTGAACTGTAAATTAGCAGTGCACTATCGCTCACGCGCGGTTATGACTCAGCTGCAGCTTACAGGGATTCACCATTTTATACCTGCATGAGGGGAGCACTCGGGCATGCACGGCCAAAACTAGTCCAAGTTGATTATGTTGACATTGCCATTATTGCCTGACTTCTGTAACACGTTGGCTGCGCTGAAAACATCTGCACAAAGGCGGAAAGAAATATAAATGCAACCTAGCCATAGTGTATGACTACTCAGAATTTCTGATTTGATTTGACATCATAGCAGCACAGCTACAGATGTATGATTTCTTCTTATTTCTTAACACCTGACTTCTGCTGGAGCGCATCAAACACCGGCTAACAACAGGTTGGGAGAGAATGATATGATGAGATATGCATATTTATTTGGTACATTAAGCAGAAACATATGGACCCAATGACGCTACTTTGACTATCCGCACCTGCTGCGCCAGCAACCCTGTAGATACCATACCCCTCCCGAGCACACTGGATATTATAGGCAACTTTTCGAAGTTGTAACGTGGAATAACAAAGTGATCCTCTCTTCATCTCAATGAAGTGAGTCTTGAGACACGGGGTAAAAAAGGATCAGATCATAGTCAAGTTTGTGCGGATCTCTCCATAACCATGTGCCTCAGCGCTAGGCTCTGCGCCTCAGTTTTCACTCACCTTAGTCCCCTTGACTGCGAAGCCCTGTAATACCCGTAATCTTCCTGGCCACAAAGACTTCCGTCTCATTGAGATATTAAGAGTGCCCCTTTTCGAAGTGTCTTGATCAGAGAGTTATGCGGAAACAACATAGGTTTGACCTCGAACCTTCGCAAGCGTCGAGTCAATCAAGCTTGTAACCTCAGGGTGCACAGATGTCAGAGTTTGAGAAAGCACCTCTGTTACATTCAACCGTTGCAAGATTGCTTCTGCGAGCAATGGTGATTGGCGACGGTTAAGCATACGAAACCGCAGTATATGTCCTGTTCTTTTTGGGTGAATGTGACTATCGACCAGGCAGATCACGTCATCGCCCTCTGAGATCCGAATGAGGATCACATGCACGTACAGCAAGGTTGTTTTAAATAAGAACTTCTCGCCAAAGTTAGAGTACTTCTCTGGAAAGAGTCCCACAATCTGCATCCCCCTTGGAACTTTTAGATACAACCTGTATATGTCTGTGTACCAATGAGCCAAGTTTGGAAAGCTCAACGTGTTGATTTGGCATCTGGTGTGGGCCAACGACTGTGGCTTTTGCCAATTTGCGACTGATAGTGAGAGCAAATTTTGCTTCGTGCGGACATATATGCCAGGGCCGATCATATCCAGCTCCACAAAGACGAGATGAATGTCGAAAGGACGGCCATAAATATTTCTGAAATCATCAAAACTTTGTCTCGTCGAAGTATCGATGCTTCCAATCCACCACAGAGTTTTGAAAACTCCCCCAATCCACGTCTGGTAGATTTCATCGTAAACCTCCAATCCTTTGGAGGTCAGAGTCCATTGGGGTGATTCCTCATTCCATGCTAGCTTGATTTGGCCACTGTTGGCAAATACAGATGGGGAAGAGGCAAAGACATCGCAAAACTCGGCGGTGATATTCTGGTCAGAGGATTCCCAAGCAAGTAGAGTAAGGTCGCTAGTTTTTTTGATGAGTTCTTCTTGTAGTCTCAAGAATGCCCTTTCTCGTTCTCCGTACAACAAAGGCATATTGATACCGAAGATACCCAGTAGGCAGTAAGCTGTATCCTCGATCCGCGTAGTCTGTCGCTGGGAGGCCCATGACATGCGTTGTGCAATGCTATATGTGGATACAGCATGAGGATCTAGAAGAACCCTCTGCGGGATGGAGGTTATGTTGGCGATGAGACTCGAGAGTAAAGACTTGTCTCCCATTTTGTTCCATCTCTTATCGTAGAACCAAAAGCAATCTGGACCAGGTGCGATAAGTTCCTTTTGAGCAAAGCATAATTAGTCTCCTTCAATGAGGTTGATTGTAGCAATAGGCAAAAAGTGCTTCATGCGTAGCATCAGGGAGTGATATTTCGACCGAAATCGCTCTAAGAGACGAAGGACTGTAAAACACTGACCTGCAACGTCCAGCCTCTACGAAACCATTCCGAAGCCCGCAACTGCTCTTCAAACGGCACGGTGGTTGAGCTTAAGTCACAATCATCAAGGAATGCGTAGCATTCTGTTGCTTCCAAATACCAATGCCACATGGAGTTGATGGCCTCTGAGAGCTCAGCACTGCTTGACTTGTCGATGCAGCATGAGTCTACCCAGGCGTACTTGAGGCCATGTGAGCGGGCCTTTTCGCATGTCATGCGAATCTTTGGCCAGCTAGCCTTGGTCTTGGCTTGATCGAGATTACCCATATCGGCGAACATGACTTCATCGTCCCTCCAGCGGTGCGTCAAAATGGCATATCGTGGTCGGTTATGCTCAAAGAATTCAACAGGATGTAGTTGCTGCGTCTCGGTATCGAGGAGCCACATTTTGAGTGTCGGCAGCTATGCTTTCATGCAGATGGATATGGATATAGAACATGTCAAGACTGAGCTTTTTCTGCTCGCAGCCGCGCGGAAACGATTCGAACTCCACGTAAGCAAGCAGCATTGCGGCTGAGTTATCCGCACCAACCACAGGCGGGGCTGAGCCACTCCCGGTGGCCACAGATTGTTGTGGGTGTATTAGTACTGGCACTCTGTAATGACAGAAGGGGTCGCGCGGACAACAACCGACTACTATGTGTGCATTGAACCACCTGAAATGATTATAATGGTCAAGAACCCGCCGACAATTTCATTGCATATAACCCATTCAACCCCTTCGTTATCATATCGGGTTTCGCCAACTAGACTTACGCATAGCACATACGTGTAGATATGGTTTAGTCATTGTGCCTGTATAACTTCAAAAGGCTGGGGCAAGTGGCAGGGGTACGCATCAGTATTGGGGTTAGGGGACACCACAAATTACCCTGACAAACAGAGACCCTCCACTAAGCCCCTGCAACTAGCGGGCTACTTCCAGCTTGTCTCCGCGCTACCAAATCCCACCTAGGTAGATTTACACTAGCACTACGTCCTGGAGTTCCGTACCGTCTCCGTGGACCGCCTCACCATACATAATTCCATCCTGATAGCAATGCGAAATGAGCTCATACTCATCTGTTTCTCGCACAGACCCTCCTCTCTTCAGTGGACGTAGCACAAATGGCAGGCTCAAGCCAGCGATTATTGCGACCCTGTCACCCTCGCGGACCGCGCCGGCCGCGATGAAATCCGGTGCGCAGCCGAACCGGCCCGTCTCTGTCGTGAAAAATGCCTGGCGGCGCGCAAATCGCAGGATCGCCAAATGTAATTGCAGCACGGGCTCCATGGCCGGATACGTCACATTTTGCATCCCGACGTGCCCAAGCATACCAACCGCGAAGCTCTTGGAGCTCCTCTCGCGCTCCTCGAACGCATTACTCATTTGTGCTTTCCAGGATTTCTATACATATTCAAATAAGCTTTGGCTCAGTTGATCCGTCATTCGAGCTCTAGGCGCCCATGAATAGGATAGAACAGAGGAGCTCAGACCGCCATGGCTTGAAATGGGATAAGAAGACGGACTTACCAACTGTTTCAAGACTGATGAACCCTGATACTCTGCAACCTTGGCTAGCTTCGCCTTGGACATCTCCTTCCCATTTTTCATGATACTTGAGCGCATCAGCTCCACATCATCCTTCTCTAGAACGGAGAACCACTTGTCAAAGCGGTCCTCTTCTTCAGCGTGGTTGACGCACGACTTTTCGTCGTGGAGTAGGACCTTGAGGAACGACATCACCATGTCCTTTCTGGACGGGTAACTCGCAGCATGACCTCGGACGGCTTCGGCCCACTCCCTCAAGAGTGTAAGAGCCTTGTGTAATTGAGCCAGGCTTGCTTGACTTGTCGACGGCTTTTCTAGGTTATCTTCATGACCCTGCAAGGACTTCACATGCACATCGAATGAAGGAAAACTCTTGGTTACCGTCTCAACGAGTTTCACACAGACCCGCAGACGATGAGAGGGCAAAAATTCCCATGCTGGCGGCAAAGAGCTTCCGGCCGTAAAGCGTTTGACATCCTCAGTACAGTTCCGGGGATCCATATTTCCAAAGCCGTGGTCCATGAGGTCCGGCACCCAAGACGGCAGGTTTTCTCTCCGCGTCTTGGTTACGGCGAGATAAATAACATCCAGTGCCTTTTCACTCGAGATTGAGGCAACTGCTGCGTCGTGGAAAACGTCCTCTGTTGGCTTGCGGTAATCTGGTGCAGACATCGGTATGCCGAGCTCTTGGAACACGCCGTACAGCGCAAAAACCTTGTCGGCTGGTACCGTGACCCTTTTTCTGCGCGCACCATCGAGGATGGCCGAGAGCTTGATCTTGGACGTTCTGTTTCCGTCTCCCTGGTTGTACATGTGTAAAATATGGCTGAAGTTTGTCCTTGTGAAGTTCTGGTAACCCTGCTTCACCGCATCCGAATTCTGATCTCCATCCATGCCATCCAGTCTCCTCCTAGCCAGCGCATCAGTGAGTTCTAGTTGTAATTTCATGCTGCTTTGGATTCCGACTTTTGTGAATTTGGCCACCTCGATCTGTGTTGCCACAAACCGTAGTGTTGGAAACGACGCTTTTAAATCACCGCACTGAAACGTAACATCACCTTGTGCTGGCAGGACCACCTCTTGAACTGTCCACATTCTGTGAAACCACGATCGATTGAGTAGCGGTCGTAAAGGATTTTCTGACTCCGGATTATACTGCTCTTTAGATTGCAGTGCTTAGCAGATACTTCTTATTCCGATAGTTTGGGGGGGGGGGGGGGGGGGGGGGGTCGATTCACCTTTGGACATTCGCTGCAAATTTTGAAGCATCTCTCTCAGACTTTCATGTAGCTCTATGTCCTCGGCAAGAGGGACTTGAGCGCTTGTGGGTTCCGACGCCCTCTGTCTCGATACCATATTCTCCATGGCTCCCCCTATATCTAACATGAATCGAAATGCACGCTCTGCTGCCTCATCCTTGTTGCCTAACCAGACAATGACACCGCGACATGCCCCGTAGAGCTCGCCCATCATCGCAACTTGAACACCCTTCTCGTCGATATCAGCTTGGTTGATACAGATTCCATCGATCCACAGAAGTCGTCGGCCGGACTGCCGCCTCAGGGCGCGTAGGGCGTCGACGCAATTCTGCGTTACTAGAATGGTGCTGAATGGAGTAGAGGGAAAATCATTGAGGTTTTCCACAGTTCGGCAGCTTATGGGGCATTCCGGAGTCTGGCCGTCCCAGGTATAGGAAAGGGCTTCGAAATCGAGTACATAATCTAGGCTCGCCTTGTGCAGACCGCACTGGATGTCGCTGGAAGGATCGGAAGCAGGCTCAAGCACGATTATACGGATTGACCTAGGATCGAGAGGGAAATGTTGGTACAAGCTGTCCATATTGACTGATTGATGAGACTTCCTAATGCGACTTGTTGTTCAGTAGTGGGTTGTTCTAGATTAGTCTGATAATGGTATTACGTTCCAAACGGTTTTTGCGGCCGGAATACTCTGCGCTAGCAGCTGCTTTATTTTCGCAAGGACTCTCTAGAATAATTGATCAAGAACAGTTTTCGGAGCCTGACTTTACCCCGCGATTATATCACGTGAATGTGGCTCCTCTACATGGGATCTGGATGTCTGTATTCAGACAGCCTTACGCTGATCGCAGACTTATGACAGGAGAAGCATGGCCCAGAAAGTCGCGGCAGGTGTGGATGCCGTTTCTCTCTGAAGCCAAAGCAGAACTCGGAATAAGTATGTGTACGTGCTCACAACACGCCAACTGAAGTAAGAGCAAACTACATGTAGGGTCGCGAGCCTCCCAGCAAATATTCCGCCGTACCAGCGGCAGATCCACAATGCTCAAAATTGGTGAGCTCCCTGATGATCGGAGGCGATAGCGAAAAGAATGCGGACGAGAAGGACAACGGTCAGTATCAGCGGTTTCCCGTACTATCATATTTGTTTCTGATATATTCATGCTTGATAAACTACAGTATGAAACCCTTGTATAATATGACGGCCGACCCGAATACAGCAGAGTCCAGACCAGGCTATTGAGCTTATTAGAGCAAGAGCCCAGCTATTTTCAAAGATCATTCAGATAAATGATCTTTCTTGATGCACCACAGGAGTGGCTGCATCATTCAGCAAACGCAATTGCGAGCCAATTATATCATCCTTTCGTCGTAGATCTCTCATGCCGCCTTTTCACGTAATCTAAAAGGTATACAATCATGATTCAGAGATATCAAGCAGCAGCTACCACACAGGCAATATGTCTTGACGAATTGACCGATTTCCCGAGCAATTACTTATGTTGCACAGATTCTAGCTTCTGTATGATATTTCAATGTTGTGACTCGGGGCGGATTGAACTCAATTCCGATCAACAGCTTGCCCCAAGGCCATGGGATAGTACCCAGATAGAATGAATCAATAATCTTAGGTTATAGTCTCATTGGCCCCAAGGTTCAAGCCACCATGCCTCCTCAATGCTCAAAATTTGTGTTGTTGCCGTCGAACCGTACTCACAGCGTCACATAACGTTGCATGGGCTATGCTTTGTGTGTTGAGATGAACGAGGTTATGGTAAGTGAAGTGATTAATTAGTTGGTTGAGTATCTGTACGTATTTATGGGAGTAAAGAGTGTAGCCAGGCGCATGGCCTGTACGGATTGGGGCCTTCTCAGGCGCCAAGGTCTTGCTCCTGATAAGAAGCAATTATCAACTTGAGTTGGCGAAAGCTTGTGGATAGTGTAGATACCTGGTTTTGGGCGATGAACCAGTTTTCAAAGGATATGGCCGCGCTCCACAAATGCAACTGGGGTGGATACCACGTGCAGTGCCCTAAGATATATACCTAGGTATGCATAGGGTATTTGCATACCTGAGCAGGTTTTCATTCATACACGTTACTATTGATTATGCCCGTGTCATATAAGAACAGGAAACTTTTCGTCTTCCGGTCCGGCAAAGGTTTATGCCTCTGTTACCATTGGAATGACGACGTCCTATCTCGGGTCGTTTCATTTCCAATATGCAGCACCTATCAGCCGTCTGGATGTGGAGGGTCTGTGATCATGACCACCTCCCGAGCTCCTGCTCACTTCATCGTAAGACTGGGAGCCCTGTGCCGGTCTGTCATAACTCACATGGACAGATTCTTACAAGCTATGGCCGACATGTCTATTTTTGCAGTTCACAATCAAAATAAACAAGATTTTTGGGATCCTTCTATATCTCTGCATACGACTTATTTGACAATGACATATTAGCAGATACGGTCTAGGAAAAGCAGAGAGACATGATGCTTGAAACTACAGATGTACTTGTTTACCGTTGTTTAGAACAAGATATCAACTTTACAATGCAAACAGCAATAGAAACTGACAAGCTCTTTGAAATTCTGATGCTATTTCCAAGAAAACAATCAGTTCGGGCTCACGATCTCACCATCGGTTACTTCAAATTATTTTGAAGTCCCGTCTCTGCCATTTCCGATGCCATTTCTGCCTCTTGTTCAAGGGAACCAATACAATGCCCACACGTTGATAGACCTGCTCACCGTCGTGATCAATCGGCCTGAGAATCAACAAAACAGATGCAAGCTCCGGGTCCAGAAACGCCTTGTAAAGATGCGCGTGCTGGCCGATTTGAACGGCCACGAAGTCATCCACTTTATCGTTATTTGCCCATTTTTCCCCCCAACCATCTGGCTCACGGTCCAGCAAGAGCCATGGGCAGTGATAGCCATGAGGTCCGTCGAAACGCCATTCAAAGAAGCCTTCCCGCTCGTCAAGGCGTAGCCTAGCATCATCGTCATCATCACCGAGTCGGGAGTTGTCACCCAATGTTGAGTTTTGGCGCACCAGAATTCGTCGACAATGTGCGCGAATGACGATCCAACCGTTGGTGATTCTCCCATGCTGATCTGAAGTATCGTACTGAAAATGGTAGTCAATCAATCGTGGGTTGTATTGTTGTTCCCAACGTTCGCTTGGACGCAATGCGGGCTCAGCATCCGCCCATATCCAGTCGTCGAAGAGATGCACTCTTCCTTGGCCAGCCATATAGCTCCACGACGGCGCTATATAGCATCCATACTTTTGCACAGGGATTTTATGCCTGTTAGTGTATGTCCAACCTAACCCGCGAAAAATATCCGCTTCCCAAAGCCCTGCAAGATATTGACCAAACTCGGGGATGAGTAGGCCGTGGCTAAGCCCTGACAGCGCCGGGAGCTTATCCCGAGGATTCGTTAGATCACGATGTGTATAACCCGAAAGAATATTATACCATTGACATAAAGCTCCTTGTTGATCCCGTTTTAATCCGCCTAGATCTACGTCTGGTGATTTGACGCCCAGGAATTTGTGAGCGTAGCGCTTGATAGATGGACTATCGTCTACCGGACCATCCACTGGAGTCGTGCCCCTGGACTCTGAGAATGCGCTAGTGAGGCAGCTCCAGCCCATTTCATTCTTTCGAAAGTGCAAAATCCTCTTCGCCATGACTTTTTCTTGATAAGACCAAGCTCTACGATCAAGGGGCTCCTCATCGGCACTGGTAGACGGGAATATGGCTGGTGACTGCCATAGAAGACTACCATTAGGGCCAAACCTGTGTGATGTGAAGCATTTTCGCGGCTTAAAAATGCCGACGGAACTGTCTGTCGCTGCAGTTGCCGAGATCATTAGTGTCGCATTGTAATAGACCTGTGTCATTGCCGCAGATTCTCGGGCCCAGTCCTCTAAATTGCCTTGGATAATGCAGAGCGCGTCGATCCACAAGTACTTAAAACCGAGCTCCCAAGTTAAGGTAACAGCGTCTCGGAAAGACTGGGGTAGAAGCTCGACCTTGAATCCTTTTATCAGGCTGTCGATATTATCGGAAGTAGTCCTAAAAGGTAGCTCTTTGCCCCAACAGTGACTAAGGCTAACATATTTGCCGCGCCAATTTTCTTTAGTAACACATAAGCGCAGGGGTAGTTCCAGATCGCCGGTCAATTCGACGAGTCTCGTAGGAAGTGGTGTGTCTTTTTGTGCGTCGCAAGAATCATGTCGAGAACAGCAGTCCAGCCATAGCCGAGCAAGTTCAAATACCTCGGGGGTGTTGGTATCCGGTGATAACGGTCTCCTAGGCCCTGCGTCAAGATTGGGATAATCAAAAGAAGTTTCTAACGAAGGTCAGTCGATCTTATATGCACTGAATAGTCTCATGGAGCTTGTGTATGGCACTCACGATCGGCTGCGCATAGGTCGACGGTGATATACTTGCTAGCACTCATAAAATCGGAGTTGAGCAAAAAACGGCCACTCCCATCGACGACGATGCGGATGGGTTTGGCTTCCTGCACGAAAACTGAAAACCCCTCAGAATCATTTGACATCAAGTAATCTTCAATAGTAGCAAGAAAGAATTGGCATCCTTTACAGCCGTTAGAGGCAGACTCTTGCATATTGATCGAGTTCTTCAGTTCCCAGCCGACATCGGACCGGATAGTGTCAATGTCTATGGTTGCGCATCGTGTGCAAAGCGCCATTATACAGAATATGACCCAGAGTGTCAGTGCCGAGCTTGGCCGAGATCGTGCGGAATGCCGTCCCAAGATGACAATGTAAATAGACGCCGTTCGTAGTTCCAGGAACAGAACTCATTCTTAAATAGTACCTGTGCAGTGCGCAAGGAATTGCCATATTAGGTTTAGGAACTGCAAGTATGTGCAATCCGCAAAGTAAATAAGCGGATTACAGGTCACACCCAAACTCGTAATTCAACACGTTGAACTCTATGGATTCATGAAGTGGCGGGTCAGGGCTTGCAGGGCGTCACTGATTGGATCAGGGCGATGAAGCCGAATAAGCGAATAGTGAATTGTATCCACATTCCACTATACAATACCGGGTAGGCACACAACGCCATGAACCAACTCTTTTATCCCTCTACATAATTATTGAACAAGGTATTGCTTTCCTATTCGAATTGATAAATGTCGACGTCCCTAAGTCCCTGCCGTCCAGGGTACTATTTAACTGTTCTTTTGCATGTTCGAATCGGTAGTCTTGGCATAGGACAGAAGCGTAAAAATAAATTGAATTGTAGTAGGGTTATAGCGGGTGCTGCCGAGTTTAGCTCTTTTAGGCATAAATCTGGCTGTCTGGTATGTGGCCACGATCTTTTTTAACAAAGAAGCAGAGTTTGGGCAACGAAAAGACTGGTTGCGACATGCAAATCGAGTCGTGCTAACCGTTTGGAAGTGGGGATGGGCGGTTAATGCTGTCCACCGGTTGCTCTCGCTAGCAAATGCATTCCAGCTGAATGCAGTGCGATGGGGCATAAGTCATAGCAGTGCAGATGCAACATCGGTGAGCAATAGCCAGTGGCTAGAGAAGCTCTCCGTGTGACACACCGAAGGAAACGTGCGCTTGACACGTGCCTAAGATTTACCATCTCCCCTTCTATTAACTATATGGACACGTACCTAAAGCGCATCTCTAGCATCGCTGCGGGTCTGAGAACCCTCGTCGCATTCTTGCTTGCACTGGATCTTGCGGTTTTTAATATGTATAATCCAGGCGTGCTTCGTGGCATTGCATCGTGACCTAGCTCCACCAGCGGCCACTCCGAGCTACTTCCGATAATAACCTACGGTAACGGTGCGTTCGTTCACCAGCGGACCCGTCACGCAGTAGAGAAGACACTGTGATTCGACACTAGCCCATGTTGCCCGCCCGCACCCTGTGACAATAGTTTTGTGATACAAAGTTATATGACCGGTTCCTATTTTTGGATCTGCTACCTAGCATGCTTACCTCCATTCTTGGCGCCGAAAACCTTAATTTCTCAACGACTCCATGCCCAGTAGACTACTTTTGTATGCAAAACACTACATTGTGAGAGCAATATGACTGAGCCAGCCCGTAGATGAGGTAAAACCTACAGGTCAATCAAATGACTGGATGTCCATTGAAAGATGAGTCGGTGTAACTTTAGTTTGAGTTTTATCGAGGGGGGTTTTTTAATCCCTCTTGATGAGAGGATCAACGGGTTGAATGATTCCTGAGTAGACAAACTCACTCGAGCAAGCGCTATCGACAATCCAACGTGGAGAGGGGAAAGTGGTACTGTATGATCAACACATGCCGGGAGTCACAAAATATTCAATTCTCGAAGGCCCGGACTGTGTTTTAGACTTGCGGATGAACGACAGCTACGGCAATTGACAAAATAGTTCTTCAACAACCCCCAAAGGCAAGTTACTTCCTTCAGCTAATGGCTGCCATGTTTCGCGTGGTTCTCAGCACGCTACAGAAACTATAATCACACTAAATTCGCTTCAAACACCAATGAATATGCGACGACAACTGAATACTGACGTTCAATTAAGTTTTGGAGATTAGGCTTTCGTGCAATGAATTCCAATGATGTCGTTAATCTTGTCATTTATTGCAGCATATACTTTCTTGTTTTTACTAGTTATGGCTAGGCTCATGGTCTACGGCCGAATGTCATTCAGCCATGACTGCTGACATGTATAGCCTCACAGCTAGCTACCTGCTGAACAGAAGGTTCTGAAGGGGGCTATGTCCTTTCTAGAAGTGGCTCAAATGAGTACTGCCAATTGCATCAGCGTGATTCTAGAGAAAGCTTGCACTACCCCGCGGCAAGGGAAGTTCCATTGCAAAATCAACTACCGTAAACTAAGAATATATTGGGACTACTGTTTCACTGTGGCTGGGGATAAGGTTGGACCTAGAGCAGTAGATTTCATGGTGTTGTGCGGCTGAATGGTCTTCCGTGGGTCTGTTACAACTGATTGACGTGACTCGGCGCTTCAAGTTGACATCTGATGAAAGAGGCCCCTGCAAATATAACTTCTTGCTCCGCACGACGGATAAGTCTTATGGGAAATTGCAAATGACCACCATCCTCAAAACCTACTGAAGATTATTTCCCCCACTGCACAATATCATACCAAATGGCCGCAGTTCATGATACAATTGTCGCCGGCGCTTTCCAGGGTTGGACGCCTGGGTTCTACGACAAGAACGATAGATACTACGTTCCCTCCAAGGATGTCGACGTCTCAAAATTCAAAGATTTTAGTCTGAGAAGCCATGACCCCATGCTGGGGATGACAGTCTACGACCAGGGAGCACTCAACTCGTGTGTGGCCAACGCAAATGCCTTGGCGTACTGGTATGAACTCCGCAAAGCCACCAACAAAACCTTGGAGGTTGATGGCCCCTCACGATTCTTCCTGTGGTGGAATGCTCTGGAAGGCGATCTCACGGACGGATACGCAAAACGTGGGCCTCTCCAGAACACGGGTACTTGGAACCGCCACGCGATGAAAATTCTCAACAGGATTGGTGTCTGCTCTGACGCAATGCAACACTATCCGCCTTCTCCAGCACAAACAAAAATGACTAAAGACCAGTACAGCAAGTTCATCCAAGACACACTTGCCCAGAAGCCCGAGGACAAATGTTATGATCAAGCCGAGACACACAAAATTGGAGCCTACTTTCGATTGGACGCTGATCGCGCCATTGACACGGGGCGCCAATCAAGGTCTGTGGATGAAATGAACGCGGTCGGCGAGATCTGCTTGGACAATGTCAAGCGGTGTTTGCTCGACGAGCATCCCGTGGTTCTCGCGTTCCGATTTTACTGGGAGAGCATTCCATGGGACAAGAGCACAGGCGAAATCTGGTCCTTGCCGAATCTTTGGGCTGGAAAGGATGGTCAGCCTCCGCTGGTGCAATCCAGACACACTCCGCCGGCCCAGAACCATGGAGGCCATGCCGTCATCGCGATTGGTTACGACGACAAGATCCAGAGAATCCTTTGCCAGAATTCCTGGGGTTCTGGCACAAGAAGTTTTCCGAGCAAGGGAGGACTCTTCTGGATGCCATACGACTGGGTCAAGGACTTTGCTGCGACCAACGACTTTTGGACCTGTCGGCTGGAGGACTCGGACAACTTCAAAAGTATGAGTGAAGAGGAAATCAATCAGCGTGTACAGAACAAGATCAAGGAAATGACAGGACATTAAACAAGGAAATTTGTGTTTTGTTGGCGGTATTCCAGGATGGCACCACAAGATTGAACATGGGCAAAGCCATCAGGATGCAACCAAAAATGTATCACTTGTCTTATAGGCCACTTTCCATATCAACATTCATTGATAAATGCTAAAAGTTTTTCAATATCGGCATAGTTTTATCGTAAATGGATGTCATGAAAACAGTGATGGGGTCCTCGACTTTGGCAAAAGTGATTTTCCAATAAAGGTAATGTCAATTGTGTCAACTTAGTCATGTATGAATAAATTCAATCACATGTACACATCAAACTATAACATGTCTGGACTTTTTGCAGGTTGATTTGAAATTTTTTCCAACTTACGGCAAAGTTGAATTTTACTGTATATATCTTTGAATCAATCTCGTTCGTTGCCGAAACCAATGGCCGTCGAAGCATGTTTACTGTCATGGCTACCTGCGGCAATATCCACTTGCGCGATACTGGTGAGCGACTGAGGGCCTACACTTTACTAATGAGAAGAACAGCGTCCAAACTCAAGTTTTCAATTAGAATTGATCTACATTTACAAGAATCATTTGTGAACGCACATACTTGATGGCCCTTCCCGTTATGTTGTCCAGAAGTTGCCACACTCCACAGCCACTCTGTGGCGCATCAGGTTGTTGTTTCCCGTATAACCTTGGGTGCCACGTCAGCTTGGGTAAGAAAACATCAGCCCCCTACGCAAAGTGTTGCCCTGAAGTAGGCAGTACCCACAGCAGATCACATTCTCAGGTATATCAGATCATCTGCTTGGATATATTAAATAGCTTTTCGTCACCGCTTTTTGCTAGTTCTGTAAGAGCAACGCAGACATCCTTTTTACATTCCCTCGATCCTATCTTCCCCTCTATTGGCCTAGTTGAAACAAGATTACGTATCATACTGCGACTCAAGGACCATTCAGGATTCATCCGTCGTGTCAACGTCCTCAGAGGCATTGTTGTTATAGTCATTTGGAGCGACCGTCAGTTGTCAGCGTGCTATCTTTCGCCGCCGCCACCATGTCTACAAATGAATCCAGTTCCCAAGGCCAAGGTCAGTGGCAGCCGGCAGGCATAGATGTCTTACAGCCGAATTCCGAAGGTTTTGGAGCTGCAACTACGCGATGGAATGCTTACGGCGCCCCGGTTTTTGCCAAGGCTACCGTTCCAGGTAGTGCTGCTGAGGTGGCAGAAATTGTAAGCCATAACGTCTAGAAAAGATTTCCTCGGTGACCATAAGTGTCAGCAAGGTCACATGACGTGCTGCTCATCACGAGAACAGGTCAAAGCTGCCAGAGCTTCGGAAATTCCATTCCTTGCTATGGGTGGGCGCCATGGCTATGGCCATACATTCAGCCAACTACAGGGCGGACTGGCTATCGATCTACGTCATCTGAACAGCGTCGCAATTGACAAGACTCAAGAGACCGTGACCATTGGAGGCGGGGCAAAGATACGCGATGTCATCAATCCTGTGGCAGATGCAGGATTTCAGATCGGTAGGATATCGAGCCGTGTTCTGGCAAAATGCGAGAAATATTAACCTATATTCAATTAGCTTCGGGCGCCTGTAATGGAGCAGGCTATGTCGGAACTACTCTTGGTGCCGGCATCGGATTTCTGCAGGGGACCTTTGGTCTAGCTCTGGATGCCCTCGTCTCCGCGGACCTAGTTACCGCAAGCGGAGAGCAGATCGTTGTGTCGGAAAGTTCAAACCAGGATTTGTTTTGGGCTATTCGGGCGCCGGAGCAAACTTTGGCATCGTAACGTCTGCGACCTACAAGCTCTCCAAGCAGATCAACGGGGGCCAGGTATTCTACGCCGAGCTAGTATACTCGGCAGAGCAGCAATCGGCGTACTTTGAGATGATGGAGGCATATCAAGACCAACGGCCAGCACAGCTTGGGTGTTCCAGCTGCATATTTTGGAACCCAGCGACAAATTCAGTGAGCTCCCCACATTTCATATCAAAGTTTCTTCGTGCTATATCCGTACTCAATGACTGGGTTGCTAACAATCAACCCACAAGACCTGCGTCCTATCCACGTTCATATACGTGGGCACTGAGGAAGCGGCTCGAAGCGAGTTGCAGCCATTCTTCGATCTAAACCCCGTCATTGCTGCTGCCGAAGATATTCCCTTCCAGCGCGTTCCCAATGTCATCCTGACTGGCTTTGCTGAGGTTACTTGCAACACGACCGAGGGCATCCACAGTATCCACACTGTCAATGTCCGGAAATTCACAGCCGCCACCTTTAGCTCCGTATTCACACAGTTTGATGCCTTTTTGAAGCAATACGAGGATGCCAGGAGCGCCAACTCGGCAATTGTTATCGACAATTTCGGAACTGCCGGTCCAACCTCGATATCAGACGATTCCACAGCATATCCTTGGAGGGACGCGGCATGTAATGTGTAAGTCCCCAGGCCCCCCAGCATTTCTCTGTGCAATACCCTTATATTCTGCCTGTGGGCGACAAGTCCAACATTCCTCCATTTGGTTGGAACAGGATTGAGTGGCGCTGACCAGTGGATATCATAGCATGTTGCAAATGCGTTGGACCGGTTTGGATAATCCGCTTGGTGAGACGGCAAACACCCTTGCCAAGAAACTGCGTGACGAGTTGGCTGCGAAGTCGGGCTATGATGGTCTATCTGCATATGTCAATTATGCCTGGGGTGACGAGACTCTTGAGCAAATCTATCGCAAAGACAAGCTGGAGCGTTTGGTGGCACTCAAAAAGCAATGGGACCCAGCCAACGTCTTTGGGTACTCCAATGGCATCCCCCCAAACTACAAGACGCAATAGCTCGGTAGCTCTCGGAGTTGGTTTTGCATCGCAAAATATCTTTACCATGAGATAAGCTCGCCATACTTGGCAAATATTCTTCTGGGGGGTACCTAGTAATCTATTCTGTATTCAGCTTGGTATAAGCCTTGGGATTGTAAAACACGCCAGGTGCGTATTGCGGCAGTGTCGCAAACTCGCAGCGAAGCCAGCCTCTGAGCAGAATGACGGCTTCCTTCTTGGCCTGCTCTGCATCGCATCGTCCTATCGCCTTGTTCCCTTCCCATGTGATGCTTTCGATCTTTGCACTCCCGCCATCGTGGTCGTCTGATGCTGGAACAAGATGGATTATCCAGCACTCCTCTCGACACCAGGTCCGAATAATGTGGATCGACGTGTTGCCATTCTTGTCCGGGTCCTCGACGAGAAAGTCCCATTTGTGGTCCATGCTTTGAGACTTGAAACCAGTCTTGAGCTTTGCCACATCTGCATTGCTGACAAGCAGACCCCAAGGTGCTGTGAGAGCCTTCTTCATGGGCCTTTTCGAGTAAAATTTAGGCTTGTACGTCGGCACAAGCCAATTATCCAACTCCTCATCGTCTATCTCGCTGTCCGCATCGTCCGCGACTGATGCATCATCTCCCCTTGAAGGCGCGGACGCAGGTTGCTCTTGTTCCGCACTGCTGTGTGAGGTCATTCTGCAATTGGTTTCACAGATTGATGGTAATGAAAACACGGAGTTTGATGACTGTGCGGTTTGTCCACTCCTTTTGCTAGACGGTCACGGATGGCATTTGGTGGTGAATAGTGGGTACGTCGATTGACTGAGGTGGGTGGTTGAGGAGTTGTTTGAGTCGAAGTTGTGTTTGGAGAAGAAAGTTGAAGCCCGTCACTGGATTGGCGATGTTTGGAATATATAGAGGCCCATTGGCAGTCGTGATATGAAGGGTGACAAGAAAGCAAATGTCTGCCTGATAATCATAACATCAAATTGGCTAGGCAGTAATTTGTGGCTTAATCACAATATTACAGGCTAAGACGTCGAGTGCTGGCTGTTGTGAATAGGCCAATAGTTATGAGGCAGAAGACACAGGTGGCGCAGCTGTACAATCTCCAGTGTATCTGTGGCTTCAGTGGGCTGTTATTCGCTTTTTGATAGGTGGGCAGTGCCTAGAACAGTGTACGCACTTTAGCTTAGGTCCCTCCCTATGATTTACCGAGTACATGATGCGAACCACAATCTTATTGCCAACCTGGTCGCAAACATGATATTATCATGATAGCAAAACAGTACGCACGCTCAGTTCTGTGCCACTCCAAGACACGTCGGCCCACAATGTTCCTTTCTTGTTCATTTCAGCGAACTGATTCTCCGCGGCTTGCTCATGCCACCACAACCATGAGGTTTGGTTACTTGAAACGGCGAATCCCATGCACTTGAGTCAATTCTGAAGCCCTACAATGCATTTGGTCATGATGTTTGAGTGCCATGCAGAAAGTCCTCAACTGAGCCGAAGCATGCTGCGTTTGGTTCTCTTGTATCAGATTTATTGGAAGTCGTCCAGGCTGTAGTTGCAAAGCGATCTTCAATAACTTCTCAAGCATGTATGTTAGCGGTAGCCACAGCCAATCAGATTCCCGAGATTTCGGTCTCTTACCCAGCAGAATCCTATGAACGGGCATAACGGTTATGCCCAGCTCCAAGTCACCTGGCATCTCGGCGATTGAGGACAACCGAGTTGAACCACGTGACGAGCACAGCACATTCTTGGCTGATTCTGGTTAAATTGAGCATTGCAAAGGCATAATTTGTTTCAGAATCAGAATGCCTGGAGTGTGGGGGAAAAAAATAGAAAGAAGTGGAGCGCCTCGGCATTTATTGTGTATATTCGGCCATACAACCTCTGCTTGATATGAACAACTCAACCAATACAACAACTACTGCACTACATCTACCACGGCTTTTAATTGATTGGAGTTATGGTTTACTTGAAGCCGCAAAGGTCTTCATTACAATAGCGCGGAGAAAATATTGGAGGAACTGCCCTCAATGATGTTCATCCAAGGCGACGCTTACCACTTCCTCACGGTAGTGAGTCGGTGATCTGTGGCTGCCCTCACTACCGATGTACGCTGGTTGAAGTCCAAATAAATCACAATATTAACGTACATTAAATTGACCAAACTTCGCAGGTTGCCATATATATTACTTATCAGACTTTTCTACATCCTCTGAGCAAGTATCCAGGCCCGTTCATTGCAAAGTTGTCCAGCGCATACAATGGCTTCTTTGCATACAAAAAATCTCTACATCTTGTAAATTGGCATAATCAGTTGAAGTACGTTGGGTTTTCTCTAATAAGCAGTCGCAGTAATCAAAAAAAAAAAAAAGAAAGAAAGAAATTCTAACTATGTCTTGTTCATTATCAGGTCCGGTGGTCCGACAGGGTCCCAACAAGCTGGTGTTTAGTTCTATTGCTGCTCTAAGAGGTAAAGCGAACACTGCCAAGTCTTGTTACAACTAGGAGGATGCTGAGTCGTCAACTATCAGACATTTACAAAAATGAACGAGTCACCAAACCAAAAGACTACCTGGCTCTGGGGCCAAATCTGATTAGCTTTACCGTCATCACCGCCACGCATTGACACCTTTACCGGAAACGTCGGCAGCTCATTGGTCAGGTTCTTTCTCATCGCTCCTTGAGAACATTTGAACCTACCATGCTGGAACAGATTGATCTGTATCTACTCAAAGTACTTCGCTGCCTCTCGAACCTCGACGCCAGTTGAAATGACCAAGTACGCGAGACAACTGGGGTTTAACATTGCAGGTCTTTTGGGTTTCGGCTATGATCTAGGTCTTCAAACCGAGAAGACTAATCGGTCCATGCTCACAATGCTGGACGCGGGAACTGCATGGAGCAATATGTCTCTACAGTACCCCAGCCTTCCAGGATTCAGAGCAGCCTTGATCTTGATCAAGACCTTTCGCAAGTTCCACTGGCCGTATCTTGCCATTATTGAAAAGATGATTCGCCTCCGCACGGGCATGGCAAAAGGTGCCAAGCATGATCTCTATTCAGTCGTGGCAAATAGTTTCAACGATCAATCCGACAGCGGCATCAGGGATAGCAAGCTCTGGGGCTGAGGCTAATCTTTTTCTTACTGCAGGCAAGTCGAAATCACAAAGCCCGCAAAGACTTCAGCTCCGCGGTGAAATGCTAACGTACTGTGCACAGCTGGCGACACGACAAAGACTCGAAAAGCGCCACGTTCTTCTACTTGACACGCAATCCGGACTGTTACAAGAAGCTCGCTGACGAGATTCGTACCCGATTGACAGATGTGAGCGAGATGACCGGCGCAGCACTTTCAAGCTGCCAGTATCTTCGCGCCTGTATAGATGAATCGACGCGCATTTCCCCGCCGGCTTCCGGGACACTGTGGCGTGAACTCAGCGCCGACAGCGGTGATTGGCCGTTCATTGTGAACGGGCACGTGATTCCTCCGGGCACCATGGTGGGTGTCAACACGTACACGCTTCACCATAGGGAATAATATTTTCCGGACCCATTCGCATTCCGGCCTGAACGATGGCTCGACGATACGACGGCTCCCGAGGTGAAGAAGATTATGAGAAAAGTTTTTGTACCATTCTCCATTGGTTCGAGAGCTTGCGCCGGCAAGACCATGGCCTACATGGAGATTGGATTGACTATCGCAAAGACGCTGTAGTATTTTGATTTCGAGGCCGCGCCGGGCAAACTTGGTCAAATTGGAGCCGGTAATTCGGCCTTAGACACTGGAAGACAGCGACCAGAGGAGTTTCAGATATACGACGTGTTGTCGGCGATCCACGAGGGCCCATACCTGGTATTTAAGCCTCGTAAAGGAGACTTTTGCAAAGACTTGGAGATGATGCAGGCATGCCAGGCTGAGAGCCGTCATGTTTAGGAACATCACTGGTTATAGGTATACAAAAGTTTGAAATAAAGTTGTCTCGAGACTAGATCACGCGTACCTCTTTTGCTATAGACAATCCTCATGAGGCTTTGAAATTATTCTAATCGCTGTTCAGTTATTAGTCCTCCTTCGTACCAATCTTTACCTTCCCGTTATTTGCAGGTTTTCCGGGCTCTCTGTCCTCTTGAGACATGCGAAGCTACAGCCGCCAGTCGGTTAGTATAGTAGGAGCACGAGAGCGCTGAACCGATTCGACTTACATATACTTCCGGACCTAGCACATGAAGAGCGAGTGATATCCATGCGCTCATTGGATAACCAAGATTGAATGCAGAAACAAGTTGCATCAGATCTGTTTTAGCATTCATGAGGTTGGCGTCAACGACTACATGCTGATCGAGCTTCTCGCCCGTATAGAATGGAGCGCAACCTGGATACCGGCTCAGTGTGTTGTTTCGACCGTAGAGGACATGATCAATCTTGTCGCACGGCTGCGCTATGTAATAACCTCCAGCCATGGATATCAGAATTGCAGAAAGGACCATGACAATGCGCACCGTGATGATACCACCAGCCTGAAAGTTGCTGTCAGCGATGAATTCTCTGGGCCTACATGTTCCATCCTTTTCGGGCAAGAAAGGAAAAGATACAAAATGGTGACACATGATTTACACATGTTGCTAATACGTACATAACACCATGACCGTAGCATCCAAGCCCGGTGATCTTGGACTCGATGCTGCTTAATACTCTGATAGCCCTTGATACTGCTCATAACAAATAGACCAACAAGTGTGATGTTGGCCAATTGCGCAGCTGGGTCGCCCCCAAATGCACGTCTAATATTCGGAATGACAGCTACAGCTCCCACGATTCCAAGAGCCAAGCAGACACGGCCATTGACTCGATGTACTCCCAGGCCCCTGCGCCGGATCGAGGGTACAAATTGTGCCCAAACCAAAATGCTAGCGGGAATGACGCAGTACAAATGCACCAACATGCCAATTTCCTCTAAGCTTGTTCGAAGAAAATAAAAACATTCTCCGGGCAATGCATTCTTCTTTTCACGATTGCAAAAGGTGCCATAAAAGTCGAGATATTTGAGGCGCGTGATGGCAAATAGAAAGAGGGTACCGCCAAAGACTAGCCAGCATATCGCGCGGCCGTTGCTGCTAAAGCCCAGGCGTGTGGATATGGTCGACAGCATGATGGACGGCCGATGTGCTGCTAGCTTGGGGGAAAGAAGAAGAAAAAAGGCCACGCGCCAATCAATGCTATGCAATGTGATCCAAAAGAGCTGGCTGATAAGAGTAAAGATAATTATCCGGTTTAGGGTGCAAAGGGGCAGATTTCTAATCGTCCCAGCCACCCTTCGGTGTGTACGTTGACTGCACTGGCATAATTGGGTTGAGATTGGATAACCATGTAGGATGTTACCTCTGAGCTCGAGGGTCGATAGGGAGAGCTTTGAAGAATGAGACACATGGTGATTGAAAGGGAGACACCTGCTCATGCAATCAATACCTTGGCGGTTATTAGGCGTTATGGTGCACCCTGTCTTTTTCTGCGACCTTGTGCGGACTTGAGCAAATCATGTCCAGTCAGCGGCCTGGGTACAAAGAAGACCGTGGGCCCTGCTACCGGGTAGTGGAGCTCGGTGGAAGTTAGCGCGGACCCCTGTGGTTCCATGCTGTGGTCTCAGTAACTGAGAGTGTCGACAGCCGCCTATGCAGTTTTTTGCAGTGGATCGAGTTCCCTATGACCGCCTAACGATTCCGCAGCCAACAAATACAAAGTATATCTATTATAATCGCTTGAACATCTTGAACATCTTTGAATCACTGTTCCCTTTTCTTTTGAGCGAAACTTGATTCCAACCCAATATATTCTCATCATTCATTAGTGTCCACACCTCCGAGTACTGTCGGAATATTCGAAAGGTCGGTCAAGCTGATGGTAGCATAGCGATCAGGTCAAGGTGCGAGCCACGGTGGTTTGGTCCGCGTGCCGCTTTCGACGAATCATTTGAAGCTTGGTTAAGCGGGCTCTGAGAGTATAGGCAAGTTTTAGTCAGTGGTGATTGCGCTAGATGGTTGTCGCATTTCGAGAACTTGTGAGAATTTCAGTTATATGGTAGCGCAGCTGATTGGCGATGATGCATTGCTAGAGAATCGCCTTCAAATTCCATTTTTGGGCCATGATTTTAAAATTGGGGGTGGTTTATGAATAATAACCTAAGACAATTTGCTCCAGTTAAGCGGCCTTTTAGCTCGTTGAATTGCCTCCCGTTAAGCTTAATTTTGACAGTGACCTAAGCTTACAACTATGCTCGTCCCGCATAGGGCAACATGTCGTATGCACCATCATCGGGTTGTCAGGGCACCAGTTGCCAATAATTTCAATCAATTGGATCTGGAAAAGCTCAGCTCAGTCAGACTGGCCCCCAATCAGTCCTGTTGAACTCACGATGTGGAGAACTCTGCCGGGTACATACGACGAACCTTGTCTAGCCCATAGGGGGCGCTGAGCCTGCCCTACTGCTGTACTGGTGTAAGCATGATATGAGAGTGAAATCCTAGCAGCTGCTGACAAGCTGTAAATAAAATCTCTACTCCACCTTGCGAACAAAATTGTCTGCAGCCTGACTTTATCTTTTCACACAATGGTAGAGTCAAAATAGCTGCAGCCTACCGGAGTTCGTGCTACCAGTGCATATACTTGACAATGTCCGAGGTGGCAGCTCTACGTGACTACCAATTTGTCTGTTTCTAAGATGAATTCTATTACCGTGCGCTACTCTCCACTGCACCCCCTTTCTTGGTTTCGTCGCTTTAGGCCATGGGAGGTGGTGCGCAAAAGAGAAGTGGCTCTTGTGGGCATCCTGGGGCTTTTGGGAATTGGCTGTACGTTCCACCAGAGAGCTTATTGCTTGAACCCTTTACTCGGACCAAACAGACACGGACTGACATTTTCTTCAGTGGGAAAGTCTGTCAGCTCATATACTCGGGAGAGCACTCAGACCGCCAGTCAGTCGGGCGATGTGGACGTATACTCGTCGCATTGGACTGCCCTGGGCGACTCGTACTCGGCTGGACCCGGGGCAGGCGACGACTATGACAATTTCGAGTATGGAGGGGAGCCTTGTTATCGCAGCAAAGGTGCCTACGGGTCACAGCTTGATGCCTTGGACATCGACGCCGCAGGGCATTTTCAGTTCCTATCGTGCACTGGCCACAAAACCACCAACGTGACAAAATATCAGCAGCCTGACATTCTCTGGGGAGACTTGGAGTCAGACATGCGTGTGACCTTGTCAGTAGGCATTAGCGACCTTTTCTTCTCGGAATATGTCAAGGCTTGTTTAATCGGCTTTGGTTGGATGAACTGCTCCGAGACCCTCGACAAGATTGATAACTTGATTGACAACAGCGATGGGCAAAATACCTTTAGAGACGGCCTTTATTCAGTTTGGAAAGGAATTGTTAATGAAGACTGGAGCAGCAACCCTTATAGGAAACGGCATGTTCCTTCGATTCTACATACTCTATATCCAACAATGTTCAACTCGTCAACCGATCATTGCAACGACGAAGGACTATTTGATTTCAGTGCCAAGTTCACGCATGAGCTGCGAAATCAAACAAACGATTTGGTGACAAGAGCCAATGACATGATTGGCATACATGCAGAGACATTCATGAGAGATAACTGGGAATGGACTGGCAGCATTGACATTCTCGATTACAACAACGAATTTGATGGCCACCGATTATGCGAGGAGTTTGTGACGGAAGAGGGCGCAGGTTTTGACAACGACGAAGTCTGGTTCCTCGACATGCTGGGATCAGACACCTCGGGAGCGGGTGATGAGACTGTTGACATTGACACCTGCGATCCAGACTCGGGTGATCTCGGCGAGGCTATCAGCTGCGAGGTGGCCAGGTACAAGGCACAATATCCGGGTGAAGACTTTGATGGGTTGGAAAACACTCCCAAGAAACAGATTGCCAAAGCATTTCATCCAAATAGCGCCGGATTCCAGGTGGTAAGAGATCGAATCAATGAGGTCTGGCTCAAAACTCGCCCGCAGCTCCGCGTCCTGCCCCTGGGCGACTCCATAACGAATGGATTTCAGAGCACCAATGGAGCAGGATACAGGGATACGTTCTATGATCTTGCCACCATGCATAACGAGTATACGGTGGACATGATCGGGTCTGTACAGGCGGGCGACATGTCCGACAATGATAATGAGGGCCACAGCGGCGCAACCATCTCAGAGATATCTGACTTTGCTGACCTTTCGCTCGGCCAACGCCCCAACGTGGTTCTCCTGCATGCCGGGACCAACGACATGGCCAGTGATGACTCGGCAAATGGCGCGATAGATCGCCTAGCCGACTTGATCGACAAGATCCTAGAGCAGTGTTCCGACGCCACTGTCCTTGTCGCCAGGATTGTGGCATCGTCCAACTCGGCGACGCAAGAACGCATCGACGCGTTCAACGCCGGGGTCGAGGCTGCTGTCGATTCGCGTGCCACTGCCGGCAAACATGTACACTCATTGCCGATGGACGACGCAGTGACTGCCGATTACCTTTTCGATGGTATACATCCGAATGATGAAGGGTACGCCAGGATGGGCACGCTCTGGTTCGGTGGTGTGAAGTATGCATTCAACAAGGGCTGGCTCGAGGATCCTGGTCAGTATTTCGATTTTCCTCGTCATGAGACGGCATCGAGACAAAGAACCAAAGCTGACATTTATTTACTCACTAGTGGCTGGCGATGCGCCAGCGGATTCAAATTCAACCTGTTCGACTGTGCCTACATGGCTCCCACAAGGCACTATCGCTTCCGGGGGCGGCCTCGGGGCTGGTCGAATCCCGGGGCGCAACTGCACAGGAACGGATACGTGCATTTGCACGTATACGGATGATACAGAAGAAACAGTAGATAATTCTTCCGATGACGCGTGTAGCGCTCTTGATCGGGTTGATACCAGCGCTGTTATTATGGCTGATATTGACGGTATGTCAACAAGGCACAGACTCACCCTCTCGTTTCCTGTGTAAAATGCAAACACCGGAACAGTCACTAATTGTAATCACCTTCAGGGGACGGTCGGGACGACTACTTGTACACTGACAAAAAGGGCAAAGTTACCATGTACTGGAATACCGGCCGCGCACCCGATGACGGCCCAAATGCAGGCAAGGTGCAATGGATGTCGATGGGAGTCATCGCCGACGGGGTTGGAGCCCGGGGAGATCAGATCCGCTTCGCCGATCTTGACGGAGATGGTCGTGCAGAATACATTTGGTACACTTTCTTCTCATATATCGTGGTAATCGACGATGGAGTCTTGCTAATAATTCTTCTTTCCAGGGTCAAGGATTCGGGCGCTGCAACGGTTTGGTGGAACAAGGGATTCAACGCAAGTGCCTCGACCAAGGTCATATGGGGCTCAGCCACAGGCGAAGAGGTTGCGACTGGCATCGGCGATGGCCAGGGTACGTAGCAAGAAACCGAGAAAGGGAAGGAAAGCAAGAGCTGACTCACTTATACAGGCGTGGTCTTTGCCGATATGAACGGAGATGGAAAAGCCGACTTTATCCATCTCGCTTCCAACGGCGCAGCGACTCTCTATATCAACCAGGGACGCCGGGATAGCGGCGGCTGGGGATGGTGGAACTGGGGCGAGATTGCGTCGGGCGTAGGCAGCAGCCGCGAAAATATTCGATTTGCCGACTTCAACGGCGACGGGCAGGATGACTATGTCGTTGTAGACCCAGAGAGTGGCGGGCTCGACGTCTGGTACAACCGGGGCACAAAGTCGGGTGACTGGGCCTCTGTATCGTCAATCGTTTGGTGGAATCCAGGCGAGCCCATCGCATCGGGGGTAAGCTATCTCCCAAATTGGTCAAACTCAATGATGGTCACGTTTGGGGACCTGAACAAGGACGGCAGAGACGACTATCTCTATGTTGGACTCACGGATGCAAGTATATACGCATTCATCAATGGATGCTGAGCTCTTGAGTTATGGCGTGGTATGTTATGTGGCATAGAAGTTGGCAACTCAAGTCTATAATAGGACGAACAGTGTAAAGATTTGTTTCGATCCGAAATGGACGCATGCGATGGAGTTAAAGAACAACTTCTGGTTTCAGGAAAGACAGACTGCAACCAAGAGATAGATATCGTAAGATGAATTCTACATGAAACAGAATCACTGAACGAAGAAATCTTCCACGCGCCGGTGAGCAAGACAAGCTACCAATTCTGACTCTTCTGTTAATGCATGTATTATCGCGGGTCCAACCAATTTGTAGTACACCGTGCCCTCTTTGTTCCGTTGTGCCTGTTGATTCTGCGATTCGTCTCTGGCCGCATTTGCATCGCTAGTCTCGACCTTTCGAAGAACCAGTGGACCACTCTGCTGACGATGCTGATCTATAGGAGCAACGATAATGTCCCCGGTTTGTAAGGCTTCGAATCCTACGCCCACCAATTCTGGTATTCCCTCGACTCCAAATACTGTTTCGTCAGCAGTTCTAGGACCAGTTTCGTCTATAAAATTGTGGAATAAGTCTATCAGGCGTTGCTCATCTGTTTCGGTAGAGAAGGTCTCTACCTGCGCTGCACGATGTAACAGCTTCTCGATCATGTCATCGATGGAGAATTCGCCGGATGGCCCTAGTGGAAAAGCCATCTCGAACCCTGTGCGAAAGTCTTGAAGGGTGGGCACGTCCTCAAGCTCCATGACCCAGTAAGCCCGTCTGATCGTGAGGAATAATGCATTCAGTGAGGTTGAATAGTCCATGGAACGCCAGGCTCCAAACATACCATACAACATGGAAGTGTTCGCTCTTCTGTCTTCTCCAAAGGTGTCTAACCTTTCGCACGTCCCTATATACCGACCAGCTATGCGCAAGGTGGGCTTATCTCCCAAAAGGACGTGCATGAACGACTCTGGTTGATAAAATATATGACCAGCTGAGACTTCTCGTGAAACATCTGTCGCTTCCTCAAGATGTTCCTTGACACCAGGAAGTAGGACAAGCTCAGCACCTGTCGCATAAGATGCTGTATGACAACCTTCCTGCCCTTTTGATAGTACCAAATCCATCACTTTCCAGTCGAGAAAGTCCGCTGGCACTAATGTGGACATGGGCTCCAGGGGATTCCGCACACCGACGCCAGGAACTCCAATTATCACAGCGGTGTCTCGCTCTCGTGTCGAAGGCATAGGGTCATCAATTGATCGTCGCTGCAACCTTTCCGCACATCTAAAAATAGAGGGGGCCCGACGGAGTCTGACATTGTAATCAGGAACCCAAGATGGCAATGCCGTCTCCAAAAATCTGTTTGGACGCATTCGAAATAGTCCGAGAGTAGCCACGAAGGCAGCCTCGTACATAATGCTATAAACAGTAGCCTCAAGAAGCGCTCTATATGGAGAATGATAGCGAGGGTTGTATTCTGCTGGGTAGACCTTACGAAGCCCCGAACACAGTCCATGCAAGGCGTAAATCCGGTCTCGGGGGTCGCTGCTTGCACGGCCGGCAGTGTACAGAAGGTGGGACCACAGATATGTCTCTTTACCGCCTTCACGTGCCATTTGGACACCTCGAGCAATCGTTCTGCTTACTTGATAACTCATCAAGGATTCCAGTCCAGAAAGGACCGGTATTGCGGATTCGATACGTGATAAATGCATTTCGCATTCGAAGAGTGTCGAAAGAGGACAGCGATAATCACCATAGACACAAATAGGATCATTGATTGGGAGTACCATCTCCTGGTAGGTCCACATGCGCTGCCAATATGACAGCTTGAAGAGTTCGATATACCCTAAGTAGACCGTCTCGCTGCCTTGTCGTCTGGATTGAGTGGCTGTTGAAGAAGTTCCATCATCGGTTGATTTCTGTGACGGTGTAGAATTGATCCATTGGAAAAACGCTTCGATGCGATTGTTCCCCTCCTCACCAAGGCAAATTATCGTGTGCTGACATTTCGTATACAGTTGCGACATGAAGGGAACCTGGTGGTTCTTCTCGTTAGTGTCCTTTTGGTTGATGCACAAGGCATCTACCCACAGCACCCTGGGCGAGGGGCCTCGCAATCGCCGGAGCGCGGCCTCTAGGTTTTTCGTGACATTGGCCGTCTTGCCATCGACACTGATCTCCCGCGTGTCTTTCTCGTCGCCCCATACGTAGGAGAGTGCTTCATACGTCGGTTCATCGTCCAGGGAGACCGTCCGCAGAATGACAAAGACTTTATCACCTAATGTATCGGACGCTGGCAACAACGTGATCAATCGAACTTGCCTTGAAGATAAATTTAAAGGCTGATATTCAATGTCCATCGTCATTGCCATTGCAGCAGAATCGAAATTGACGGAAAGCTGCTCAGGTGGGGCAAAAAGAAAGAGGGAGAGAGGGAAACACGAAAGGTGGGGGTCCGCCCGGTTGCTTTCAGTAATATATGGTGCGAGGGCTTAAGCAAGGCTGTGGTAATGAGGATAGAGGTCGCACTGCCATACTGCCGACCTAGGGAGCAGCTGAATACCAAGGACCTAATTATTCGACTCTATATCTGCATCCCGCCCTAGACCTACTGCAATCTGGAAAAATAAGATTCCCTGAGAAGTGGCTGACGGCATATGACATTTCAGCTGAGTGATAAGCTAACCTAGTTGGTGTATGAAGAGGCGCAGCAGTCACCGAATTGGGCTTTTCTCCATCTTCGGAATATGACCGAGGTTGTGAAAACACTCCATGCTTCGCCCCAGAGCCGCGACCTGAATTCTGTATTCGTGCTCAAATCGCGATTTCTTAGGTACCTCATCTAGAGCAGAGCGAACAGGAGGCCGAGTTCTGCGGCAACTGTGATGATATATAGTGGCTTCAACTTGCAAATGTCCGTCATGGTATCAATTTATCTAAGCAGCCTCAAATGGAGAACCTCTTTTGTACTACCTATACGCTCTACCTCGGGCCATATCTTCACCATTACGCACGTCTTGCACGCTAAACTAGCCAAATGGACAACCTCCCATGCCCTTGGACTTCATCCTCTCATAGTCTCTCTTCATCTCTTCCTCACCCTTGCCCATACGAGTTACAGGACCAAGGTCTACAAATCTGTAGCCTTCGGGTAGGTGCTCCTTGGGGTGGTCTCCGGGGAGTGTGCCTCCGTACATCCAAACGGCCCAAGCCTTTGGACCCCAGCGGTTCCAGAGCGTCGGCTTGATGTAGAAGGGATAGTTGCCATAAGACCAGTTGAGCAGCAACGGCTCGTCCACCGAGTCGGTCGACTCGTTGTGACGCTTGAGTGCAGTAAAACGCGGCAGGGCGAAATGCCGAAGGAAGAAGCTACGGGCCCAAAGAGACGTGTATATGAAAGCCGCGGCGCTGACGCCAGGTTCAGGAAGCCTGAAGCAGAAAAATTAGTTCCCTGCGTGATACTATACGGAGAAGACAGCGGGGCGAATAATAACTTACATGAAGGCCTCCCTGACACGATCGCCCAGCAGGACGTGAACACACTCGTGAGCGAAGCTCAGCATTGGGCGGGGGAGCCAGTACGTGATCATGGGGATCAGGGCCTTGGCGGGCTTGTTGCTGGTCTCGCTAGGAACAAAGGCCGTGACCTCATAGCTCTTGGCCCACTGAGCAATGTCGAGAGCAAAGTCGAGACCGTCGGTCCACTCCGTCTTGGCCAAGTAGCCCTCGTACTGAATGCCCATGGCGTCGCCGATAGACTTCCAAAAGGTGCCGTACGCGCAGTATTCCATTTCGTTAAGGGCGCGCCACTCGTACAGCCGCATGAAGCGCTCCGGCTCTGTAATGAAGACGGATAGCGTGTAGAGCAGGTCTTCGTTGGAGATTTGACCAGACTTTATGTATTTGCTGTGCAGCCAGTTCATGCGGGCCACCGAGGTCGTCGCCCGCACCGAATTGGGCGGATTTGCCATGAATTCGCCAATGATGACAGCTGTGTCTTCATATCTTCATTTGTCCATATTAGTAAATGATGCAACGTGGTAGTCCGAGAAAAAGACTTCAAATACCTCTTCAAGCTATTGATGGGATCAGTGAGATTTCTGGTGGCCAATAATAGCCTACTGATTGACTCCACGCCATATGTCTATAGCCAGTTAGTTTATACTCAGCTTACATACATCATGGCATGACATACCTTGAATAGTGCAAATTGCAGACTCGTCTCATTGGAAAAGGGAAACTCCAAGCTCGACAACTCCTTGATGATCTTCTGGGCGTCTTCCACCGTCATCTTCTGAAGGCTGGCGCGGTCCGGGAAGCCATAGCGTTTACGCATACTCTTTTCGCGCTGGAACCGCAGTGCCTTCACGAGCACGAGGTAGCCCACGCCAATAGAAATGGCGGTAGTCTTCCACGAGCCATCGCCCGCCGCCGTCGTGATTTTGGACATCAGGGTACTGATGCCCGTCTGCACGGAGCTCGGAAAGTGGGCTAGCAAGGCTGCCGGCGTAGGAAGCGAAGGTATGTTGGAAGTAATATTGGAAGCCATGATTGTTGCAACGGATGTGAGTGCGTGTGACTTGACCACTTCAAGTGCGAGAGATGATGTGAAGGCTCATAAAACGTACGGAAAGCCTTGCATTTATTACAGTAAAAGGGGGAATACCTGCTCGTACGGGATATGCTAGTAGGGGATACTCGAGAGGCTAGTGACGAGACGAGTATGTTATTACTAAAAGTATACGAGCTTAGGTAGGCATAAACTCAAATAATAGGGATAGCAAGACCACGAGGCGAGACAAGAACCCGTTGAGAAGCGGGGGTAGTATGGGGTAATTCAAAATGATCGTCTGATAACAAAGACCAAATCCCCGGATCGACAAGAATGCCAAACTTGGCGGTGGTGAGGGGGTTCAAGTTGGAATGAGTTGGGGCGGATATCGCGAAGAGAGAGAGACTGGAGCCAGAACGAACAGACAAATAAGAACAAAGCGAATGGAAAAGCCAAAGTTCTCGGAAGGTCTGAGAAATGTCCCGGGAATATGGGGCGATGGGGAAGACAACTCTGACTGGGGATGATCTGATATATTCCCTGATTGCTCCGCAGGTGTTCATTCGTCGCTAGGTGATACCCTTGGGGTTTTTCGACATGCCAAGGTCCGTCTGTGGAGGGAAAGAATGTAGGTGGGTGGAGCAGATGAAAGTGAAAAAGGCTATAACACCTGCATCTCAGGGATGGTCCACCGTAGTTTGTGGTAGGTAGGTACGGAATAATATCAAAGAATCAGGCGCCCTGCTTCGGCTTGCTGTAAGCTAGACACAACGAATGTCATCGGTCATGTCTAGCGTGAGACCATGGCGGCGTTGGCGTACAAGACATCCAACAGATCCAACAGATCAGGCAAGTCCGCGCCACCTGGCTTCAGAACGCGGATAGATCTAATGTTGTGAAATGCGACCGTCCCAACGCCGATAGACTGTCGCTGTAATCTGGCATGTACAGCTTATTATTAGGGGACCCGGCGCTGAAGGTATTACACAGTACTATTCCAGGGGTGTTGGTCTCCAAGGTTGCATTGGCATGTGGACTGGTCATCTCGCTGAGTGCGGCCGAGTCCCACAGAAAGAGGGAACCTCGGCCGATTTACACACAGGCGGGGCCGGGTGTGCTTAGAGTCCGATCGGGTGGCTGCCGGAAATGGAGCACTCGTCGGTAGTTGTTATAGACTTGTCGAATATACTACTATCGCCTTGTAATGACAATAGCTAAAGTATTCAAGTTCCACACCAATGAGCCACTCACTAGCCGGTTCCTTGCTATTCTACAGCATCTCCAACACCAACAAACACGTTGTGTGATGTTGGAATCAGGAGAGTTGTCACGTTTGTCCGAGTCATCCGCCCACGTGTACCAACGCGCATACGAGTTATCTTGCAGGTAATGGCAAAACGCGCTTTCTACAACTCATTCATACTTGTATCTTTCAAGTTTAGGTCTTCACTATTTAGATACTACATGGACTTGGCTTTTTGCCTACGCCTGTTTCTCCAGGCCTTAAACTCATTTAGCAAACCCATGACGAGGGGCACGCCTACTGGACCCAATAGCGGCAGGTAGACTGCAACCTTATGTTCATCTGGGAAATAGAGCTGACCAACCATGCTCTTCTCAAAGAACGCGCGTTCTGCCTCTGCCTCGGCAATGCGTGCGTGCTCCAGGCCTTTTGGGTTCCCAAGACTCGCGCAAGCCAGCTCTAGGTGATGCATGGACTTGGCAACACCATCTGCAACCCGAGATGGAATGGATATGCTGGGCAGGGCGAGCGACAAGCGTGCTAATGACCCCAAAGAGGACGAAGCGCGCAGTAATAGGTCGGCTGACCTGACCCGATTCAAAGTTGACAGACGCAGGGGTAATGAACTTGATTGCGGGGTACCGAGGAGCGAAAGCAAGTGCGAGGTAAAGGTCAAGATCGGCTGCTTCAAAGTCTCCGTAGACACGTGGGGGGTCGAGGGGGGAGAAAGCAGATAGACCGTGCCCCATTGGGGAATCAACCACGACTGTGATGTCTCCGACGCTTCCGTTCCTATTGTCTGGTTTCCAATGTATACAACAAAGTTGAGTGTAGGCGCTCCACCAATGGACGGTGACAGTGGCCACTCTGCTGCATTAATGAAGGATGACAAGTCCTCTTTGCTAAGTACCTGAGACTGTACGCCAGGTGCAGCATATAGCTGAACTTGGGTGTCAATGGTGAAATTGTGTATAGGAGCCAACATATCAAGCACTGGCTTCATATATTCGTCGATTGCTGCCTCAATCTCCCAGCTGCTTGGCGCAGGACCACTTGTGAACAAAGAGAAAGTGAGATGATACGTCCTCGAGTACTTCATCGATCTCGTCATGCGCTTGGACAGAGAGTCTGCCACTTCCTGAGAAAGGGCCTTGGGCTGCTGCTCCGTATGTACCGACGATGTCTCGAGCAAGTACGATATGATGTTCTGTTCCTCGGAAAACGTGGACCGTAGCTGTGTAGCCAGGTATGTCGCTAAGCCCGAGGACGGCGAGTTGGCTGTCGGAATCGAGTTCGGCGGATAAGATACATCGAGGATCGGGTAGTGCGGGTGAAGCGAGGATGTTGCTGTATGTGTTGACTCTGCAGGCGTGAGTCTTATGGTGAGAGCGACATCAGAATCTTGCTGGGCCTCCTTGGAAGCCAATTGCAGTCTCAAGTGATGTGCTGAGAAGTCATTAAGGTCGTCGAGCGCATGTTGTGTGAGACGCAACAGGTTCTCTGCTTCCTGTTCTTGTAGACTGCCAGGGTCAATCGAGATACGGAGCGGGAATACAGGTCGACAAGCCTGAAAGAGGTAACATGATTAGCCAGACTGATGGTATAGAGTAGTAGAGTGCCAACACACACCTTGCCATCAGACCACTCCAACATCTGTTCCACAGGTAGATTTGCCCGGTATATGCTAGTTGTTTGCCACCATATTGGCAGGCCGAGAAAGATTACGATGGCCCAAAACGAAGCCACAACCCAGGAGCGTCGTCGCGTATCGGAGGCCTTCTCAGGGGGCGGCTCCTTTTTGGACACAGTCGTAGGTTCCTCGGGAGATGGAGGAACGACAGCTCCAGTCGGTGCTGCAGACTTTCTAAAGGTCAAGTCGGAGCTGGCGCCATTTTCAACGGCAGACGACATGTCGATTGTGGTTGACAATGCCAGAAAGTAGCATTGTCGAGCTGCTTAGATGAGTTTCAATGTTTGAGGCACAGCGACCACTTCGCGACAACTAGTAGCGACGTACCTATCAATGGTGAGTTGGCAGCTTTCCCCAGTGATGTAAACGCGATAGGTTAGCATTCACGTGGTGATAAGACGGTGCAGAAGTCCACTGAGTGTGCACTGTCAGGTCCAGATGTCTTCCTGGTTAGTGCAAGAAAATGCTTAAATTAGCGGGCACTTGGTTCACCTACGGCAGACGCAGTCGCGGCGCAGTAGCAGGAGAACCCATCTGCTCGGGTTCTGCCGCCCTACCTAGCATGTTTCTAGAAACGGTGAAATGGACAACCAGTGCCTTGCATTTCTACTCCTACCAAGTACTAGGCAGGTACCACAATGATTCCAATACCAGACAACTGAATTTGAGTCTCTAACACCAACTTTGGAAAAAAAAAAAAAAAAAAAAAAAAACCTACAATTGTCTGCCTTTCCCCCACCACATCACGAAGCAGAAGTCAAAAGGCAGTCTTGGGGCGATTTATTCAAAGATCCGGGGTTCAAACGCAGAGGCGAGACAGGAATAATGGCATTACGTATTCGGATATATAGCAACAGAGCTTATAGATGTCTTTGCCACCACATACCGTCTGATCAAAGCACACCAAAGATTGAACGGTGCAACGGAAAAGCAGCCTCAAACCCTCTGGGAAAGGCTTGGGGGCGGCGATCTCAACTCATAATACCGAGCAGTTATGGAAAGCCATATATGCAAGTAGCTACGTAATCAACAAGCCTGGAGCGTCTGCAGGCTTTCGGGAAGATATGGGTGTTGGTCATGAGGGAAAAGCGCTCTTACAGACAATCGCCGGCCTACCCTTACCATTCAAGTAGCCCATGTCGGAGAATGTCGCAGTGCCTCGTCCATTTCCCAGCCGACTTGGGCACTTACGGCCCCAGGGATTCTTCCAGTCTAGCAGGCTATATAGCCAGTAGCTTTGTTGCTTTCAACGGAACCATGTGCAACTCAACGAGTTGATTGGTTAAGGCTCACATCACCACTCGCTTTTCATCTGTACATAACATGTGATATGTCTTATCTGCAAGATTCTCTATTATTCCTCTTCCCCGAGCGGCTCAAAATGGAGGGATGGAGAACCCCGTGACAGTTCGACCTATGGCCCAACATCGTCGCTACACGATAGCGAATCGGTTGAGGTGCAGGAGGCTTGGTCCTTTTCAGCAATATTGGCCTCGTCCAGGCCGTCAGAATTCTGTGTATTGCGATCGCCTTCGTTAATATAGCACATGCCCGAACCTCCGTCGTCGAAGAGCGCCGACATGCAGTATTTGTCCTGGTTGCATTCGTCGATGCATGTCAGATAATTGCCTGTCTCTACGGAGAACGCGAAAGGGAACGGGTTGGCTGAGACTCCGCAAGCCACACGAAAGGAACACCCGCAGCCGTCGCCTCCCTTGCGATTTCATATCTGGTCAGCATGGGGATAAAAAATATCTATTTTCTCGAGCACCATTCTAGGACCTCATTGTCTTCTCTGTCACGCATGTGTATGAAGAATGATGCAAACAAGACTCACCGGCGCAGCCCCAGTGTACCCCTCACCGTCAGCAACAGTACTTGTGGCAATAGCTACTGATGTGGTCGTAGCCGTTTCAGTACTCGTGGACGTTGTGGTCGTGATTGTTGTGTCAAAGGACGTTGTAGTCTCATACTCGGTCGTTGTACTTAATGGTCCCGTCGTCGTGCTCGTCACTGTTGTCGTGGTAGTATCCATAGAGACGTCGGCCGTGTCCGTCTCAGTGCTCGTGATTATTTCTGTCGAGGTAGGGCCAGTCTCTGTCGCGGTCTCGGTGATTGTCGATGCAATGCAACTGCATATAATTGAGTCCAAGGTTGGTTCATTAGAGTTAGTTCCAGTGTTGTCAGACCCAGTGCCGGTAGACCTGGTGCTGGTAGACTCGGTGCTGGTAGACTCGGTGCTGGTAGACTCGGTGCTGGGAGACTCGGTGTTGGTAGACCCAGTGCTGATGGGATTGGTCGTCCACTGGAATGTTGGCTCGTTTGTAGCCGTACCAGTATTGGTAGACTCAAAAGTCCCCGTAGTCGCGGTGCTATACCATGGTTCGTAAGAGGTTAGGCCACCAGCGTCAGTGTATGAAGAGTCATAGTCAGGCTCCTGCCTATCATCTCCATAGTATGAAGTCTGGCCAGGGACCTGGCCTTTGCTATTTCCGCCACCATAGTTCGAGCGGCTACCATCACCACCATAGCCGCCGATGCCATAGTCCCCATCGCTATCACCACTATAGCCCCCATCGCCATCGTTGTCGCCAGTGCCACTATAGATGCCTTTATTGTTGTGGCCATTATAACCGTTACTGCTGCCGCCACTGCCGCCGTGGTAGCTGCCGTCTCCATTGTTACTGTCGACGCCGTGATAGCCAGCATTGCTGCCGTGACTACTATCATCGCTATAGCCGCCATTTCCATCGTCGTTGTATTCACCACTCGAGCCTCCATATACACCACGATCCGGGCCAGAGCCACTGCGATAAGAACCGTGGTCTAGTCCATGGCCCCCACCATATGCAGGCTGGCCACCATGACCGAATGGTTCACGACCACCGCCATTGCCGTACGAAGGATAAGAACCAGGACCAGCGCCTTGACCGTACGCGGTCGCTCCTAACCGAGATGGGCGATTGCCCGAAGCCGCGCCGCCATTACAATCAGGATTGCCGTCGAGGTGTCGCTTCTTCCGGGCAGGTTGTGTAGGCTGTCCCAGGCGACAGACAGTTGTTGTGGACGCGCTTGTTACGGTTGATGTCGATGTCGTCGTCGTTTGGTCAATCTCCACATCCTGTTTCATGGAGTAGAAGTTAGTATTCTTGGCCACGTTTTCTGAGCACATATACAACGAAGCTCAGCGCTTGTTGACGGCTTTGTCAGTCCTTTTTGTCTCAGAGCACTATGGATTTGCTTGTATGTTTCACGCTCATGGAAGGCGGTCTCGGAAGGGCCAGATTGATAATGCCAGTCGCTTACCGTCTCAAGGTAGACAGTTGTAGTCGAAGTCTCAGTGGTAGTCCCACCGTCGTCGGTCATGAAGGTGGTGGTCTCATCTAATAGTACTCAGACCAATTAGCATATGTAGTTAGAGAATACGAAAATTACCATATATCTAGATTGTGAACGCGACAGTCCAGACACAGAGGGGCGAGTACTAACCGGTAGTAATGACCACAGGCGTAGTCGTCGTTGTCGTAGTCGTAGTTACAGTAATGGTAGCCGTAGCTCTAGGAACAATGGCTAGATAATTCTAAATGTCGGCATTTGTATGATTTATAGATGGTGATGATAGAACACAAATATTCAACGGCATTGCCTACTGGTTGTCGTAGTTGGTGCACTAAAGTCGAATTGCTGGGTACACAAATACTGGGAAATAGGATCTGTGGCGATCAAGGAGCTGAGGCTCGAGTAATAAGGAAGGGTGCATGGATTAATAGTTGTGACAGTCGTGAACTCAGTCGGACTTGGCTCAAAACTGGCCAGAGCCGCCATCTTGACCAGGCACAGGAAAGAGAAAATGAGTGAGAGCTGGTCCAACGAACGAATGGAAGAGACGATGAATGGAACACATGCATTCGAGTCAGACTATGGACAACCATATGTATCGTAGAATACCACGAGCTAAAAATTTCTACGTGAGCACGTTCGGGCTTGCGCGTCGCGGTACAAGTGTATGACAATTTCCCACCCGTTCTTTACAAGCCATATATGTGAATAATATACAGCCGAACCCTTTTTGAGACCAACCAAACTACGGAGTAGAGACTAGACGGCTGGTCGGCTTCTGGCCTCATCTTGAGGCGGGATTACAAAGAAAATAGTATTAATAGTAGAAGTCGTAGGAGTAGTAGCTTCGGAAGAAGCAACGGTGCGGTTCGCTGCTTTTATGACCAGGAGCCGATAAATTTGATTCTTGTCCGTGAGTCAAAACGGGGGGAAAATGTCGATGAGATTAGTAACTGGGTGGGGTATAGGACAAGGGCTGTAGGTCCCGTACATGACTTTGTCGTGCCCCGTGCCTGAACGCCACGTTGCCTCGACCCCAGTCGCAATGATGAGATGCGATTGGCGCCGTTTCCACATCTTAGGCTACTTGGACTGGGAGCTACCTAGAGGTCCATCAAACATCACTCAAATCTAGCTTCAAGGCGCTACGAAATCCGTGTCATCAAACGAATGTCCCGAGGAATGACATTCTTCAATACTGGCAACGTCGGACCATAACAACGTGATGTGCGGATAGGAATCTCACGACAGGCCAAGATCATTTTGCAGAAGCTCTAGAGCCGCCAAGTCACACAACATGTCGTGCTGAAAAAAGTGCGCAGACCGAGCTGAACTGTCGGCATTTGAGCTAGCTCCGAGAGCAGAACTTCCCAGAAGAATTACCTATCCTTGACTGTATATGGCTGTTCCCTTCCGCTCTAGTCAATTAGGTAGGTAGCTCGCAGTTCCTCGTGCTGGCTACTATGTACAGCCTGCTCATGCCAGCCGAGGCACAATTGCGACGCCAATGCCCCCTCCCGACTGAGCGTCGCACCTCATCAGAGCCAGCCAGAGTTCACTGATACCACGCTAATTCACTATCAATGTATGATGATGGAGGGGGACATTTGTAACCTCGACGCGGTTACGCCTTTTGTCGTACCTCGTTTCCATGTCCCAAAGAGGACCATTACTTTGGTTTCGAGAATTGTTGGTCTTCAGGGATGAGCCCCGCAAACCTTGACCAAAGTTACAAGGTCTCTTCCACCAGCATGACCAGGGCCGACGGACATCATAACCCACCGACGATCCGTCCATCGTCTCCATCATTCACATCCTGTCACTAATAGTCCGCCGATTTTTGGGTGCTGGGCTCTAGCCTTTGGCGTGCTTCCTTTTTTTTTTCTTCGATGTACTGTTCATTGTAGCAAAATTCTCTTCACACATTACGCATTAGTTCCCTTGTATAACTTCACCAACCGCCATCCAGACATTTTCAAAACTGCCTCTTATCGGGGAACCTTACTGTTATACAAGCCGTCTCACACTGCTACTGCCCTGAGCACCGTGGGATTATACTGCAAGCCTTGACACCTACCTACCTAGCCTATAGCAGCCTCGCCCACCTAGTCCACGTCGCACGGCTGGGATGCCAGGTTAGTTGTCTGATCTTATATTTTGATAAGATTGATATATAGACACCACTGTTTCTGTTGCTAACGACCTTCACTGAGGTCAGGCCCTCTTGCGTTGGCCGTACCGGCAGTTGCCGCAGGCCTCGCATATCTCAATGCAAAGTCTGGGCTATGGTACGATTACACCCTCTTTCGCGGCGCCCTGCTGGCCGGATCGCACAGCTCCCAACGTGAAAAGCACGACACGGTCAACACTTTTTACGTACTAGAGGATCGAGCCACCAGCAAGGCAACAGCTGATCGGATCTATCTCATGTTTGAAGATAGAACATGGACATATGCCCAATCCTACGAAATGGTTCTCAGATATGGTAATTGGTTCAAGACAAAATACGGTGTCAAGAAAGGGGATGTCGTGGCTATGAATTTTCAGAACTCAGACCACTATATTCTGATTTGCTTCGGACTATGGTCAATTGGAGCGAAGCCTGCTTTCATCAATTACAACTTGACTGGCAAAGCATTGACGCATTGCGTGAAGGCTGTAGATGCTGTTCTACTTCTAGTCGACCCTGAACTAGAACGGAACCTGGACGAAGACGTTCGTGCATCACTGGCGGGGCTTCCTATCGACTTTTTGACAGAGCAAGTCATTGCCGAGGTTCATGCAACAAGCGCTGAGCGTCCCCCTGATTCTCTGCGCTGCGGCGAGGCTCACCGAGATACCGCCGTTCTGATCTTCACTTCCGGCACAACTGGTTTACCCAAGGCTGCCATTGTTTCGTGGCTGAAGCTCATAGTAGCTGGGAGCTTTGCTACGGGCTGGCTAGCTACAAAGCCACAAGACATTTTCTATACCTGCATGCCGCTGTACCACAGCTCAGCGTTCATTATGGGGGCCATGCACATCCTCGAGGCTGGGGCTACAATCGCCCTGGGAAAGAAGTTTTCGACCAAGACTTTTTGGAAAGACGTACGGCGCTTTGATGCGACGATAATCCAGTACGTTGGCGAATCTATGCGATACCTTCTAGCTGCTCCTCCCCAAGTAGACCCAGTCACAGGAGAGAATTTGGACAAGAAGCACAGAGTCCAATTGGCATTCGGCAATGGGCTGAGGCCTGATGTCTGGGAAAGGGCACGTGAGCGCTTTGGTCTTAGGAGGATTGCCGAGTTCTACAGCGCCACTGAAGGCTTCTATGCAACTTGGAACGCTACATGGAATAGCTTTTCCGCAGGTGCCATTGGCCGAAACGGATGGCTCTTTGAGAAGGTCATCAAATCACGAGTCGCCATCATCGACGTTGATCCCGATACAGCAACTGTGAGGAGGGACGAGAAAACTGGGCTGGGTCGAGAGGTTCGACGCGGAGAAGTTGGTGAACTGGTCGTGTTCATTCAAGATATGAAGGATTATGAAGCACAATTCCAGGGATACTATAACAACAAGAAAGCCACGGAGAGCAAGATTATTCGTGATGTGCTCAAGAAGGGGGATGGATTCTTCCGGACTGGCGATCTCGTCAGCTGGGACAAGGACGGGCGGATGTACTTCCATGACCGGATTGGCGACACGTTCCGGTGGAAGAGCGAAAACGTAGCTACGACGGAAGTGTCGCAGATGTTGGGCCTACACCCGAGCGTGCAAGAGGCTAATGTCTATGGCGTACAACTGCCCAATCACGATGGTCGGGCTGGATGCGTGGCACTTGTGCTGAAGGACCAGCCAAGCGAAGTTGTCATGAGAAGCCTTGCACAGCATGGCAAGAAGATGCTGCCCAAATACGCAGTTCCCATATTCCTTAGAGTGGTCAAGGATGGTGGACTCGTGGTCACGGGTACCAACAAGCATCAAAAGCAGGAACTCAGACAACAAGGAGTGGAGCCTAGCAAGATGGGTGACGATGAGTTGTGGTGGTTGAAGGGCGACACCTATGTCCGCTTCGGTCAACAGGACTGGCAAGAGTTGAATGGAGGAAGAGTCAAACTATAGGCTTTCGTACATAGCGCGTTTCCGCATAGCATTTGATCTCTACATATTAATCGAGAAGGGTTCAAAGTCATTGTCTAGGTAGAAACACTGAAGACTGCTAGGATATGTTGTTACAAGCTGCTCTCCGAGTAGTCTCTGACCATGAAGCAAAGGCACAGACACAACACAACGGTTAGAGTGAGTTGAGCAGTGGAAACAGCAAAATACACATAATTCGCATTGGTAAATGTGCAGGCAATAATTGGATCTGTATTACCCCCAAGAATCTGCCCCAGCTTTCAAAGCATGAATGCGTGGCTTCATATCAATCAAGGAGGTACTGAAAGCCATGCTGACGTTCTGGTTATAAACCATTCGCTGCATGTGTGACTAGCATGTCTTGCAGCAGCCCCACAGGTGCCAGCCCATACCATGGTCCCCTAACCAGACAATCGTTCGACGTCAAAAATTCTCTGCCCCGCCCCCACCATCATTTGCAATTGCCCCTCCAAAAAAGTTCCCATCGATGCGCTGAGAATTTCAAATTGGGTTTTCTTGTGAATTTCTTAGTTTCCTTTGCGCGCACCTGAAGGAACACGACACTGAAATATTCTAGCCGAGAGTCGGTTCTTTAGATTGTGTCGCCCTTTAGTCTTGGGCCCTCAAGTCTGCTAGCCATGGCGTCCGACCTGACTTCTGCGCCCGTCCTCTCGACGCCCGCGGAGCACACCTTTTCCGACGATCCCACGCCGAATGCTGTCTTGGATGCTGCAAGATCCAAGAGAAGCGACGATGAGCTCCGACGCGTCTACGAAATCGAACGAACTGTCTCCGAGATTGCCCAAAAAGGATGGCGACGCGTGGCGTTGCAGTTTCCAGACGCTATGTTGAGGGACGCCGGATGGGTCGTCGAAGCATTGAGTCAAGAGTTGAGGAGGGTTCCCTTGAGCCCACCGTCTGCTGAAATAAAGAATGGCTCGAGCGACTTGGAAACCGACATGAATGCTTCGAACACGGCTACGAATGGCGAGACGGCAGAAATTGCACAACCAAACGGACAAGACGCGGAGAAGAGCATACCAAGGTTATACGTCTTGGCCGATACATCGTATAGTTCGTGCTGCGTAGACGAGATCGCTGCTGAACATGCGGACGCAGAAGCAGTGGTACATTATGGTCGGGCATGTTTGAGTCCAACTGCGAGGTTACCTGTTTTACACATCTTTACAAAGCAGGAACTGGACTATGATGCTGTATGCGACGCCTTTGAGAAGGAATTTGACAACAAGAAGGATGAAAAGGTGGTGATCATGGCAGATGTCATGTTCCAGGATCATGTCAAGCCAATTTGTGCCAAGTTGACCGACAAGGGCTGGACAAATGTCAAAGCAACGGAAATCGTCCGAGATCCAAGTGCGACGATACCGAATCGAAAGCTCGTCGAGTCTGAAGATAACTCGTCAGATTCAGCATCTACAATCACTGACCTGAAAGACCACCACATGTTTCATATTTCAACGCCACCGACGGCCCTGCTTCTCACGCTTTCCTCCCGACTCTCGTCTTTGCGTATATATGACACCCCAGTGTCGCCATACACGACGGCAACAGACTCGAAACCTGATCCATCCATCACGGCAAATATGCTCAGCCGAAGGTACGGCCTTGTGATTAGACTGGCTACGGCCTCCATTTTTGGAATTCTAGTCAATACGCTCTCGGTAGCCAATTATCTGCCTACTATTACCAAGCTCAAGGAGCAAATTGCTGCGGCTGGCAAGAAGAGCTACACGATCGTAGTCGGCAAATTGAACGCTGCAAAGCTGGCCAATTTCGCAGAGGTTGACGGGTGGGTTGTGGTTGGCTGCTGGGAAAGTGGTCTAGTAGAGCAGGATGGCATGTGGAAGCCCGTTCTGACCCCATTCGAGTTGGAACTGGCCCTGGCAGGTGACGACAAACGAATTTGGGATGGAAGCTGGTGGGGTGGAATTGAGGGAGTTGGAAAGGATTCTGAGGAGGACGTCGAGGACGAAAACAATGAAGAAACGGAGGAAAGCAACACTTTTGCACAAGATGTGGATGGCGGGGTGGATGATGAGGAATCAGAGCCTCCCGAGTTTGACCTTCGTACTGGAAAGCTCATCAGCAACAGCCGTCCCATGCGCATGGCAATCCGGAGTCAGCAAGCCGCCAAGAATGACTCGGCGTCGACACAGACATCGGCAACCAAAGCCAAGGACCCCTCAAATGCCCTGGTCCAACACAAGTTTGGTGAACTAGCCATGGTCAATGGAGTTGTCAGTCCTGGTGCCCAATATCTGCGGTCTCAAAGGACGTGGCAAGGCCTTGGAAGCGACTTCAGAGATGTTGACGACGACGAGAAAGAGTATGAGGACAGCACTCTGGTGCAAGAAGGACGCAGTGGAGTGGCACGTGGATATACAGTCGGAGAAGACAGCGAGAGAAACTGAGCATGCCTCTACGGGGCAAACCATATTTGAGTCTATATTGCTTGGCACGGTCAGCAGCTGACTAGACATCTACCAAGCACACGCTGTCAAGCGAACCAAAGCCTGCCGCGACTCCACCCTCTTCGCTCTGGTCACTCTTGGTTCGCAAAAGGTAGCCTGCCTCGTCATTCTTCAGCACTTCGATTCCCTGGTCTGTCCTTCTCCATAGGACCGTTCCCCAGACTCCAAGTTCACAAATCACACCACCGGACTGCAGTTCTCCATCTCTGAGGATTGCATTTCGTTGAGCTGGAGGCTCAATCATCTCCATCAGCACGTATCCTGGCCACTGGCTCTCAGGAACGTTCTGTAAGAATGCGGGGATGGCGCCGCGGTAAATATTGTTTCCACCGGCCTCTCGCTGTGGTTTAAGAACGAATCTCTTGGCGATTTCTGGATTGGTTGCCATCTCGCGACCCTTCAGACCGTCTAGGGACATGTCCATGGGGTACATGGGTGCAAATGTAGCTCGGACACGCTCGCACTCTCGTTCTGCCGCTAGGAAACGAGCCAAGTGTGGTGAGTCTGGCGTTGCAAGAATCTGCTGGACCTTTTTGAAGCCCGCCAGATGAAGCAGCACAGATGGGCACTTGATTGCCCGGGATCGTTCAAGATGGGTGCGCGCCTCCCATGTCACTTCATTGTACTCATCAGGCGATTGACCGGCACGAAAGTATACGGTCGAAACCTCGTAGATACGATCGGGAAAAGCAGGTGGCGAGTAAAGCAGCCTGCGCTCCGTGTCAAGTCGAGTATGTTGGAGGACCTGTGTGAAGGGAAGTCGAAAAACATTGGCCTTTGTCTCAGAAAAGAGGGAGAGTTCAAGGTGTTTTTGGTCAAACACATTGCGCTCGATATCTTGGACGATGAGGACGATGCATAGTGGATGGTTAGATGGCGACGGACCATAGGCAGCATGAGTTGCCGCAAGACCAGCTACGATGCGTTCAGTGGACGGGTTTGGCGGAAGGCTGCCAGCACGAATCGTGGATGAAGCTGACTCTGGGTATGCGTTCACGGAATTCAGGTAGCGATGAAGAGAAGTGACTTGCGGGGCCAGTCCGCCAAATGCTGCAGAGTTGACATTGATTTCGACCTGTTTGATAGTTGGTCGTTCCTGAGTCTCGGGGTAGTGGACCATGTAGTCTGAGCGAAAGAGGCCAAACGAAAGATCCTAAGTCGCCAAGGTGTTAGACTGAATGACGGTACTCTTTACATCATGCCATGATGCGTACCTGGACGTAGCCTTCCGCCTTGACGGTTTCATGAATCTCCCATAGCTTAGCAATGAATGAATCTATGGGAGCCAATCTAAAGCCGTTGTTAGCAATCCAATATCACTGATACCGACAGAACATGTGTGAGGGCTCTCTTTTACTTACTCTTGCACCACCCGTCCTAGCCATTCTTCGTCGCTAGCCACGGCCGCATAAAGCCTGTTGTACGCAGTCTGGATTTCCAATGCTTCAAGGAAACAATCCGCAGGAAACCGACTGGGAAACAAGGTGATTGGGATCGTACCCGCATGACTTGTCTCTGAATCCTCAGCGGCCCCATTGGCGGAGCGCAAACGCACCACCAGACCATTGGTAATGGTCCATTCGTGAACAGTAGTGGCCAGATATTCTTGCTGCTCTGGCGTCAACTGCGGAGGGTAGGAAGACTGGTAGAGTGATGTAGCAGCCATGGTTTGTGTGCTTTGGGGCTAATCTTGCCAAAGAAGATCTCGTGCGGAAAGTGGTGCCAACAGAGGAAGGGCAGCCGGCTTACCGGAAGACGGCGTGGGTTTCACCCCAATGTTATATACTTGCTTCTTGTCTTTCTCCCATGGCAACTGGAACCCGGTGAGACCTCTTTTCCACGGCTAAAAATAGCTGTGATCAAGCGGTCAGGCCTCTTCCATCCCATGGTCATACGGGCGTTAATGGTTGGAGCCTGCAGGAGTTGAAAACCTATCCTGTTCGGAAATAATTATCAAAGTATGGGCGATGATGTCTATCCCTCCTCATACGCACATTACTCCGGATCATGAGGTTGACCTGGCAGTAGGTTCACACGCTGTGTGAGGCAAAAGCAGCAATCGGATCCTCTCTTGTGATAGCAAAGCTTTGGTGGCTTTTGCACCGTTTGAGAATTTGAGCAAGTTTATGCTTGCGGCACATTTATTCACTGGTTCAATATTGGCACTACAAAAACTAAGATGAACAAGATTTTATCGGCTACTTCATTTCACCAATCTGTAGAAGCATACACACGCCTCCACTTTCAATTTCCCAAGAATTGCTATAGGTTTCTACTCATTCATAAAATACCAAACATCGCACCTCGATGCTCTGCCGAGCAGGCGCATCCTTGGGCGCATTGGGGTCATGGAACGCGCTATGGGGAGTCCGCACCGCCAACCCCGGGATGCCGCCCGGCTCCCCTTCGCCAAACGAGTCGTAGCACTTGAGCAGCAGGACTTCGTCTGGGTTCATGTCCTTTTGGAAATAGAACCGGTGATTTGGATTTGGGGCCACCTGGATATGCTCCCCACGGGGCTCGTATCCTTCGACGGAGCCAGTTGTCAAGGGATCAGGAAGCTTCTCCTTGCCACGGTCATCGTCGTCGTCATCATCGACCTCGCAGTCGCCGAGGCCCGAGTCGGCGCGGCGCTTGGGGTACATGAGGTCCACGGCGACAAAGTCACGGGCCTCGGTGGTGCGCCAGTCGACCACGGCCAGCGGGAAGTCGAGGGCGGCGTGCTCAATGGGACGCCACGCGTTGATGATGGCGTAGCGGCCGCGGAGCAGCTCGTCGGCTTCCGCGGCGGGCAGGTGGCGCCGGACGCGCGCCTCGGCCGCCGCGGCCGTCTGGTCGACGTGGACCTGCTGCACGGGCTGGCGCGGCGCGTCGGCCTGGCGCCGGCGCACCGTGTGGTCAAAAATGTGCACCTTTCTGATGGGAGTACCGCCAGCGGGCAAGACGCGGCGCAGCAGCGCCTCGACCTCGGCGTAGTAGGCCCCGCGCACGGCGTCGTTGCTCGCAAAGAGCTTCTCCTGGGCGGGCGCGTGCACAACGGCAAAGCCGCTGTTGTCCGTGGTGAACTCGTGCTCGCGCCCACGGAGGTTGTGGACGTTCCATTCGTGACCTTGGTCGCGGTAGGACTTGTCCGGGCCATCGGCCTTGGACCACGGTTTGCCCGTGAAGGAGTCTGGGACAATGTGATGAAAGACTCCCGTCGTCATTTTCGGAACTTGATGATAGTGGTAGCAGAGACAAGGTAAGGATAGAAGTGAGCTGAGGAATTGTCGAGAAGGACTGGAGGGTTCGCGAGGAAATTATTACGCGTCGTTGTTATGGCCGAGGACAATGGACCTAGTAAGAGGCGAAGCGAGACGCATAGGCGCCGCCATCGCGGGATACAGTGAGACATGTACATCGGTGAAGAAGTTAGGCGAGTATAACCATTATGATGTATGACTATACGACGATCTTTTCTTGGCACATTGAAAGACTCTGCTTGCGGTGAGGGAGGTGGCATTTGGGTTGAGATCTCGCACCCGTGGACGGGCCGCAAAGCTGCGAGATTAAACGCATCTCATGTCGTACGAACATCATGCATTGTGCTTAGGCGATGCCGCAAGGTGGGAAATTCAGAATTCAAAAATTGGCGCTGGCGGTGTCGTGATATGTGCTTGGTGTAGTCAACAAATCATTGCTATGGTTACATCCGGGTTTGTGACGCTTCTACGCCCTGGACCGCAGCAGGAAAGAGAATCACGAAAACAGTGCATTTTTTGGTGGCTTGGAGATCCAGTGGTGGCGCTCTATAATGATGCTTTGACTCTATGTAGCTTTCTTGAACCGCAACTGTGTTACACTGCTTCGTCTGCGGTGACTGTGCAGCAACCATTGCAAGGTTCATTGATTAGTTATTAGGTAATACAATCTCGTGCAGACGGTAAAATCCGTCTCGTGAAAACCCCTGCTTGTGTATAGTCCCCAAGCCTCAGGTTTGTAGGATGGTCACTTCGGAAAGTTTATTTTTCGTGGTTTACTCATCATACGATTCTGTGCAAGCGAATTACTTGTCCTGTGGCGACCCTTGTTTGTGTATACCAACCTGCCTGCGTCCGCCATTCCTCTCGGGGGTTCTAATTTGGTAGAACATTAGATCGTCCTATTGAGGCTGCCAAGCTGCGCAGACTAAGCATTGCGCAATTCGTTCGACCAATTGGCGTCGCTCAATGGCTCATTTTGCGTCCTACTCCTCGATGTTGTATACAAGCCTCTGTTTACACTCTGGGAACCGCTTAACTCGGCCACGGAGAAGTGACATATCACCAACATGTCACAATAAGATTGCACTTGATGTCACTACTTCCTGCAAAATGTGATCGCAGAGTAATGATAGATTCGTATAGAAAGTACTATGGAAATGAGAGGAATCACCTATGGAGTAGTACCAGGTGTAAGCGGCAACGAAGCCATATTGCTGTCAAACTCTGTTGCCAATGTATGGCTACGGTCAAGGAAATTCATCGCTCGGTCGGGATGGTAGTACTTGTGCATATTGTGGGTCTTTCCCTCCAGACCGGCAACAACAGCATCTGCAATAACCGGTGACTGGGCAAAGCCACCAGTATTATGTCCTCCTGTGATGATGAATCTGCCCCCAATAGCGGTAGACCGCATCTCGAACAAACCTAGACCGTTCGATGTCCAGGGGCGCACGCAATACTTGAGGCTGGCTGCCAGGGTCCCAGTGGCGTCGCTTGCTTCATACGACCGCGGGAAGAATTTTTGGGCCGTATCAATCAAGCCATCGTAGATCTTCTGCAGTAGAACTTCGTCCACATTGAAAGGATCGACGCCTGTGTAACCGTATCCAGAACCGAGGATCAAGATCGGCGCGCCGTTGAGATCGGTTGTGACCGTCACGTTGGCGTCTTCTGTCACATGTCCCTTCCTGGCAAGCTTCAAGGAATGCTCAAGTTGAGGTTCAAGGTTTGGGAGCCGCAGCCAAGCGCCCAGGACACCATGAATCCGTGCCTCGCATCGTGTGCCCTCGAGAAGGTTGCGGCCGTACGCGCCAGGAGAAATGACATAGTTCTCCGCCTGGACGACTTGATCCGCACAGACCAAACCTTCAACATTTCCACTCTGGTCAAACAATATACGATCAAAGCGGGTGTCCCACTCAAAAGTCACACCTTGCGCCACCATGCGGCCTATCAGCTGAAGCATGAATTTGTGGGCGTTGACGGTGAACCCAAGGACAATGATGCCTCCAGCAATGGCTCCGGAAAGAACGGCATCGCTCAGAGCTGGCTCGTAAGTGCAGATCTCCTGAGGCGAAAGTACCCGTATCGTGGCGCCAATACGGTTTTGGCGCTCAATGGCTTCGCGTAGGTGCTGAGGATCAGAGTATAGCCGCAGAATGTCTCGGCGCGTCTCGCAAGCGGAGAATAAGTCGGGTTCGCGTTCTTGCCACTGTTCCCAGCTCACCCTGCTATCCCGGCTTAGCGAGAAGATATCCTCGTTGTAGCGATTGGCAAGCCACGGAGGTACAACTTCGTAGTCCGATATCCAGGACTGCTCCTCTGGCGTCAGTGAATCCAGCTTGCAAGCTCTCCAGCCCAGGGAAGCGACATCGCTGTTAAACCAGCCATTCATCGTAGTAGAGAGTGTGCGGTCGTTGTAGTTATCCATCTCTGACAGCGTAAACATTCGTGCAGCGTCGCCGCCATGACTGCACCCGAAAGACATCCACGGAGCTTGAGACGACGGATCAGGAGCAGCGTCCACAACACGAACTTTCCAGCCCTGCTCAGTGAGCCAGTAAGCTGTAACAAGGTTGACCATGCCGGCGCCGACCACAAGCACTTCACGCTGGAGTGCCAGCCCCAATGGGCGGTAAAACCCAGTGTTTAGAGCGAGTTGATCTACTGACAATCGCTCCAAAACCTCAAGGGCGGAAACATAGGCCTTGAGCTGATTCGAGGCAGTAATAGATGCGACAATAAACCCATCCCCAAGGCTTTCGGTAAAGGTCTGTGGCTGACTGGGGTCCGAAGAAACGCGGACATGGACCATGTACTTGGTCAGTCCCGACCTCCACTGTGAGAAATGATTTCGATTGAATTCCGTGCTGGATATGAGAGCATCAGAGGAAGATCTTTGCAGGACACCAAGGACAACCGATGGACTGCGTAGCTTCATATCAGGCCTGTACACGATGTTGTCCGAAACGACGCCCGACAAAACGTCGTCAGACAAGAAATCAACGATTGTAATTTTCATGTTGAACAAAGTATACGTGGTTTGAGAAAGACTGGTAGCGTATTCGGGTTCTTGACTGTTTCTCGTCGATATGAAAGGAGTATTGACTACTTTTATGGTCAGCTGACCTTGGGAGCAATACCAAATCCTGTAAACTTTTGTTTGTTTCCTGACGTGCCGATTGCAGTAAAATGAACATATTCCCTGCAATCGTTCGATATTTTCAAGATACAGAAACGATTCGTGTTGCTCTTCTAGCCGATCACCTCTTGAGGCCAAACGTGGGTAGTACTGCATGCCTTATTGGCGCCAGGACTACGCCACTAATAAAAAGGTGTATGACGACAATAAGGTACGAAATAGTCGGGTAAAGTCTCAGTCACACGGATCTTCCAATTTCGACATACGGCGCATCGTAGTTTCAAGAAGTCTGTTTCACCGCTTCTTTCTCCTCGGCCGATATAACCTCGTGCGTCAATCTGCCAAGCCATGTTTGTCACTGAAGATACGTACCAGAGAATATACTCTTCGGATCACCATAAAGCTTACACAAACTTTGCCTTCTATCTCTTCAAAGCAGATTCGAGCAACTGATCACGCCAAGTCGGTGTGGAGAAAGCACAGACATGTCGAATTTCCGCGCATTGCTAGAAGCCGTAGACCCTGGACGGCTGGCACCCATGCCCGAGGTCTCTGTTGTCATTGTGGGAGCAGGTCAGCGTGGTCTATCCACCCTTGAACGGCTCTGCGCTCTCTACCCAGCGTACAGTGATGCCCCAAGGCTTCGAGTCCACATCGTTGACCCAGGGCTGCCCGGGCAAGGCTCCCACAGCGAGACGCAACCATCTCACCTTCTGACCAACACCTCGACGGCCCAAATCACTATTTTTGTCGACTCTTCGGTGCAGGGCGCTGGTCCGACCAGGTCAGGGCCGAGTTATGCGGAATGGCTATGGCTGTCAGGTTATCGCTGGAAGGACGGCATCGTGCGTGGTGATGGCGATCCCATCCCTGACGACACGTTTACGTCGCGAGCACTTCTGGGGCACTATCTGCGATGGTGCTTCGATCACATTCGCGATAGTGCTCCAGTGGGCATCACCGTACAAGAGCACTGCACCGAGGCTGTCGGTATAGAACGCCGAGGCGAAGGCTTCGTGGTCGGTCTGCACGATGAGGATCATGTTTTTGCCGATTACATCTTTGTGACAACAGGGCACATGAGCGGCCGCGTATCTGTGGCAGACGAGCTAGCCTTAGTCAATATCGAGAGACACAAGTCCCACAATCCGCACATTGACTTCTTCCCGTCTGCGGCAGCCTTTTCGAGACTAGACACGATTGAGCCTGAAGCCAAGGTGCTGATCTGTGGGACGGGTCTGTCCGCAGCTGATGCCGTGTCGATGCTGACGGCAGGGAGAGGTGGTCGCTTTGAAGCTTCGGGCCACCAGCGCTTTCGCTATGTCCCGAGTGGGCGGGAACCTAAGGTTACCTTATACTCTCGGCAGGGCCTTCCCGCCGGTGCCAAAGGTGTCAATCAGAGAGCCCTTGGCGAAGACTACGAACCAAGCTATTTTACCAACGGCTTCATCCACGCAAAAAGACGGGAGAGCGGCCAACTGAATTGGAATCAGGACATTCTTCCATGTCTCATCCGTGAAATTGAAACTTGCTGGGCGTCTACTGCCAGGAAAGAGGCTGGCCCCGGTGCTTTGGGGTTTGATGCTCAGCAAGTTTGCGACATTGTCCATAAGTTGTTGTATCCATGGGACGGCGAAGTGATAAACTCCCCCGAGGAACACCGCAGCTTTGTGCTGTCCCATATCGCGAACGACATTGATTCCGCATTTTGCGGAAACGTGCGTCATCCGGCAAAAGCTGTGGCTGAAATGCTCCGGGATCTGAATGATGTCGTGAGAGACGCGGTAAACTATGGCGGTCTCGACGAGCAGTCGCATCGCAGCTTCATACGTGACTGGGCGTCGATCAACAACAGGCTAGCAGCCGGTCCGCCAAAAGAACGCAGCATGCAGCTACTAGCCCTGGTAGAGGCTGGAGTTGTCGAGATCTTTGAGCCAGACCCCAAAGTCGTGCTTGATGAGGAGCAAGCTTGCTACACGATCTCCACCAACCGTTTCGGGTATCTCCACAAAGAACGCTTTGATGTCCTGGTGCGGGCAAGGGTCGCCCCATTCAACCTGGACTTGTCGCCGAGTCCCCTCTTCTCATCAGGAAAGCAGAATGGTATCTTTGTGCCTTTTCGCAACGGATCCTTCGGACCTGGAGGTATCGCGATAGACCGGTCGCTGAATGTCCTGGGTGCGCAAGGAACACCAATCAAGACCATGTGGGCAATGGGGTATGTCGTCGAAGGGGCCAATTATTACACCAATGTACTGCCTTGCCCGTTGTCAAACTCGGTGTCCCTTCGGGATGCGGCCACAGCTGCCCAGGGAATGTTGGCCCATCTCTCTTCCAAAGTTGGCGCCATCATGAAGGAGAAAGAGATCATTGTGGAAAAGGACATTGCCGTCGCAAGCATTAGTCTCAAGGTGCGTAATTGAGTCATTGTACGACGCAAGGATATACAAGATCAGTGCAAAGGTCAGTCCATTTTATAAAGTTTGTGAAGAGGGAAGAAGGAGAAGGTGTAAGAAGCTCTGCTACAAGTGGCTTATCTTCAATGTTCCGTTAGCGGCTGCTACAGAGTACTAGGTACCTAGGTGGGAGTGGGGGCGCGGGGGGCACCTTCTCTAGCAGGGAACTCGGGAATTATCTTCAGGCATGATTATTAAAACTTAAAACTTCGCAACCTCCATCAAGACCATCGCATCGTATTACCCTCAGTGTGCTCCCTTCAATCGTCTTTTTATTCATCATAATGACAATAGCGTTTCTTAGTCTGACGATGGTGCTCTCGCCTTCAGCATGACGGGAACGCTTCCATCCTCAGCATCTCCGTCCACGTTCCAAGTAACATTCCAGAGCCCAGTGGTCGAGGTGTTCGTCGCCCAGAACTGGTATAGATACGTATCGCCAGACGCAAACATGATATCAGAGCCATAGAGCACGAAACCGACTGTCGCGGCGCCATCTGGAGCCGTGTCGTTGATGGTGAAGCCCGCCTGAACGTAGCCATCACCATCTGGCACAATGTAGAAACTCGCATCGTCTTCGGTAGAATTGAGGGAGACATTCCAGGCCGATGCACCAGTGGTATCGATGGTCCCTAGGATGAGAAGAACTGGTCAGACCACTTCAAAGAGAAATCAAGTGTGTCAAATTCGAAGACTTACATTTCACGTCAAACAATGCCGAGGTGTCGGTATAGTTGGCAGCAATAACCGCAAGTCCTGAAATACTTTAGCTGTCAAAGGCTAAAGAGGTTTGGGTTCAAGTTCAATACCATTCTCATCCGAGTACACGGGATACCCTTCTATGCCGTTCATACCATAAGCGTAGATGGTCTTGTTGTATTTGGTGCTGCGTTGCTCGTGCAGCGTCGCAAGTCCGCCTACAGCAAGGGCTGCAAAGGCGAATAGATGGCTTTGTCTGACCATCTTGACCGAGGGTAAAGACAAATTGAGCAGATTGAGTGCCGTAAAAACTCAGTGTTGGAGTCGTCGAAACATGAAACGAAACAATTATGGCTGCTCAAATAATACGACATGGCATCGGCTGGGTGGCCTTCTCATAATATGGTAGGATCTCCTCGGCGATCGACGATATAGAGGATACACGGACTGACCTCAACTCCCGAAATGGAATAATTCGCCTTCTAAGTCGTTATATGCGGACTTACGCGTCCTCTCCAATAAGATGGTGGATACCGACCGGGCACCAACCCCGGTTGCATGGACGGATGTGGTATTCTTAGCATGCATGGGTCGGCGGAGGCTCGGGACTCGGAGCTGTCGATATACCACCACGGTCGAGTCGAAACAGAAGTGGACCCCAGTCGCTGTTTATGGAGTGCAAGGCTTGATTGCCTTATGCATACCTAGGTGTAGAGGAGATTCCCCTGACTAGGCACATTGAAAGGTAAGCTTACGTATATTCGAGCTTATACTTAAGCGCTAAGCGACGGATAATGTTCCGAAATGGGCGTCATGAGGCTCAAGGACCCCCGCCTAGTCAAGCAATAAACTGCCTTCGACTCGTATAGACTTGCGTAAGGTCAGCTCAAGCTTTCATCTGCCCAATCACCGACATCTCCGAGCTTCTTTCGCTCAAGATAGGAGTACGCATATGGTCATTGACGCTTGGGAACTCGAGCCTTGGTAGAAAAGCTTGGCAAAAAGTCTAAGTCCAACAATAATCCAACAATAATCGCCAACGGTACGGATCCGAAAGAAGTGCTCCACCTTTTCCCGAATCATCACCTGAGGCTTATCATTCGTGGCTAATGCAGGCACAACACCTCCTCCACATCACTTTCGGGAATCTTATTCGCGATGATACTCTGTGACGCATGCACCATGGTCAAGAATTACGAAAGCGAGCGACCATGAGATCCATCTGACAGGTCCTGTCCTCATTTCATCCCCAGAGGACCGAGCGCATTGAGCCTCGTAACTCCGAATATCCATCATGGGCGCTTCGAATCTCAACAACACTGGTGCAACAGCGTCCTTGTAGTTCTCACGATGCTAGTGAAAGAGACGCGTGTCGATATACCAAAGATAGCAGAGGTGGCTTACTGTCAGTGCAGTTTGTATTCAAGACTATTGGGCAATATTGATGCAAGAGCGGCTTACATCCATTTTTGATCCTACGATGATCAGGTGAAGCCAAGAATAGTGGTTCCTGATGCTCAAGAGCATGGTCAACATCACGATGTTCGCCTATGCTTCTTGGCTCTTTGACGATAGTAAATCCACCCCATGAACAACGTTCCAGCTTCGTATACATTATAAAGATGGCTCAAGTTTTGCTTCAAACCATGATCAACAACTCCTCATCCAGCCCTTCATTGCAGCTCGGGAGACTACTGGGTTTTGCTATAATCTACCTCTGTCATTCGTTCGTTCAATCTCTAACTGACTGCAATGTTTCTCAAAAGTCTTATTTGTTCCCTGCTCGTAGCTACCAAGGTAGCAGCAGCACCGCAGTCATCTGCTCCTTCATTGTCCAAGAGATGTACAAACTCTGCCGAGGATCGCAGCTGCTGGGGTGATTATGATATCTCTACCAACTACTACGATGAGGCCCCTGATACCGGCGTCGTTCGTGAATACTGGTTCAACATTGTGAACACAACTGCCGCCCCAGATGGCGTTGAGCGAGTGGTTCTCAGTGTCAATGGCTCAATTCCTGGCCCAACCATTATCGCAGACTGGGGTGATACTGTTGGTGAGTACAGGCAGCATCAAAACAAGAGTCATCTTCAAGCACTAACCATCTCAAAGTTGTTCATGTAACCAATTCCATGGAGAACAATGGCTCGAGCATCCATTTCCACGGAATCCGACAGAACTACACCAACCAGAACGATGGAGTGCCAAGTGTCACCCAGTGCCCCATTGCACCGGGTGATTCGTATACATACACATGGAAAGCTTCGCAGTACGGATCCAGTTGGTAGTAAGTGAACCCCGAGACTAAACGAACGAGTACTCTTCATTAACCATGTATGCAACACAGCCACTCGCACTTCTATCTTCAAGCTTGGGACGGCATCTTCGGTGGCATTGTCATCAACGGCCCAGCTACTGCAAACTATGATGAAGATCTTGGTAACCTCTTCCTGAATGATTGGTCCCATCTGACCGCGGACGTGGAGGCTTTGGCCGCCCTGGCCACTGGACCCCCTACGCTTGACAATGGACTCATCAACGGTACCAACGTTTATGAAGACGGCGGCTCACGATACGAAACTACCTTTGAAGCTGGAAAGCGCTACTTGCTTCGTCTTGTCAACGGTGCCGCGGACACTGTCTTTCATTTCTCTATTGACAACCACACGTTGGAAGTTATTGCTGCCGATTTCGTGCCCATTGTTCCCTATACAACGGACTTTGTATCCATCACCATGGGCCAACGTTACGACGTCATCGTCACTGCCGACGCGGTAGCAGACAACTACTGGATGCGCGCCCTAATTCAGACGGCCTGCAGTGACAATGCCAACCCCGACAACGTACGGGGCATCATTCGCTACGACAGCACATCTACCGACGACCCGACCTCGACGGCCTGGGCCGACGCCACCACGGACGGGACATGCTACGATGAGGACATGTCGCAGCTTGTTCCCTACGTGCCCATTACCGCCTCCAGCGATCCCGACTTTACCGACGACTTTAATGTCAAGATCGTCATTGGAGACAATGGCGTGCTCTGGGAGATGGGCTCCTCGTCCTTTGTGAGCCAGTGGGACAACCCGACGCTACTCCAGGTCGAGGAGGGCAATGATACCTTCTCCGACGCCCAACAGGTCTATGCTTTCCCCGATGCGAATCAGTGGGTTTACTGGGTGATCCAGACCACCAACAATGCAGTGCACCCTATGCATCTACGTGAGTCGACATGATTCTTCCCCATGCATCTCTTGATCTGCTAACACTAAATTCGCAGACGGCCATGACTTCTGGATTCTCGGCCAAGGACTTGGAACTTACGATGCGGAGACCGCCAACCTGACCTATGCCAACCCGCCTCGAAGAGACGTGGTCCAGCTCCCTGGAGCCGGCTACGTGGTCATCGCCTTTTACACTGACAACCCTGGAGTAAGTAGACACTTCCAAAGACGCTTTGCATCAAGACGGCAGCTAATCAATATTGAATAGGTCTGGCTCATGCACTGCCACATTGCCTGGCACACCTCTGAAGGTCTCGCGGTACAGGTTCTAGAGCGAGAGTCGGAGATCGGTGCCTTGATCGACGCAGACGTGATGAGTTCGACGTGCTCTGCCTGGGATGACTATACTTCAGAGGACGATGTCATTCAGGACGATTCCGGAATATAATGGATTTACTTGAACGGCTTGAACACTAGGGAGGGGTAAAGGAGGAGAATATGCTTACAGCAATCTAGAAATGTGTAATATCTTAGTATATATAATTGAGACGACAGACATGACCGAAGTTTGAAAATTTCATTTGTCCACTACTACTCCATCTTTTGTTCCATACTTTGTATAACCACTGTCACCAATGTTTACCTAGTGATTAATACCGAGGCCAACGCCAGGTATGAATATGAGCCCATATCATCCTCTTGGCTTGCGTAATCATGTATCGAGACGTCGCTGCACTCTGTGGCAACCTCGGGATTGCGCAGTCCTTAGGCGCGCCCGAGACCGCGGAAAAATACCAAGGTACAGACCAAGCTCAGGGCCGCCATGCCAACATTGGTCCACTGCGCAGCCTGAATGCCACGAAGCAGAGACGCAACAGTCCCAGGATTCGAGGACGAACACGCGACGACCTGCGCAGCCGTGGCCAGGGCTATTCCTAGGCCCCGACCGACATGGTTGGCCGCCTGCAGAATGGCGCCCGCAAGGGACTGGTCGGACTCGGTGACATTACGGGCAACGTATAGACCGATAACCGGCCATACAATCTCGGGGCTGATGCACAGACACATGGCGGGGAATCCCCTTGCCCAGTAGGAGTAGGATGTGGCTTCTGGAGACATTGGCAAAGCAAAGAGGAGCGGCGAGATGATACCGCAAATGAGGCCAAAGATTAGCATGTGGAAACCGCGGAAAATGGATAGTGCTGGTGCCACAGTGAAGCAAGCAAGGCCTATAGATATTGTGAGCTTAGTTCAGCCATTGTGCAGTCAAAGATGTTGAGAATTACCTCCAATGATGCCGCCGGGTAAGAAACGCAGCGTCGTCTGGAGCATGTCGAGTTTTAGGATATCTTGGAAGCTAGGAAAGACGTTAGCCATTTCTTGCAATGATAGAAAGTATCCTTTTGTGGCAGGTACTCACAACATGGAAACAAATACGAGGAAGCTGTTGAACGACCCAAAGAAACATGCGACCACTACAAAAGCAGCCGAGAAGCCCACGTTTCTAAACATTGAAAGCCTCACCAGAGGAAACTGATCATTCCTCTCCATGCGCAGTTGTAAGACCACAAAGATATAGCCTATAAAGACCGAAGCGACAACGAGCCCGGGGACATAAGGGTTGGCCCAGCCGTCGACATTCCCTTGCGATAGACCAATCTGGAGAAGGGCCAAACTGGCAGAAATCAGGAACCCACCAAAATAATCTACAGATTGGGTCGATTGGAGCTTTTTGTTGTTGCAGTCGCTATTATCCTCATGGTTGTCCTCTGCCTCAGAATCAGAATGCTGCAGCGAGAACACGGCGGGCTTGGCCGGATACAAGACCCAAGCCGCAGCCGCGACAATGGCGGCCAAGGCAGCAGAGATCCAAAACACCCATTCCCACGAGAGCAATCCGCCAATGGCACCACCAGCAATATTCCCCAGTACGGAGCCCAAGCTCGTCGAGGCGCTGGCAGCGACAAAGGCGACATTTCTCTCGCGGCCCGGCGGGAACGTCGAGGCCAGGATGCCGATACCAGACGGCACCGTCGCGGCGCTGCTAAAGCCCTGCAGCGCCTGCAAAAGGTACAGAAACGTTTCCGACCGGGCAAAGGGGAGGAGCAAGGCAAAGAGGGAAAAGGTCGTGGCCCCGGCCAGAAACACGCCCCAGCGGCCCCGGACGTCGGCTAGGCGGCCCATGAGCAGCATGGACGAGCCCGAGGCCACGCTGTACATGGAGATGATCATCTGCTGACGGCTGGTGGGGATCGAAAACGCCTTGCCGATTGAGGGCAGCATGATGACAGTAGCCTGTACCGAGTATCTCTGGATGTCATGTGTAGTTAGAAACCTGAAAGTTGGAATAGCTAACCAGAATGCTTGAGGGAAAGAAATAGCAGCTCACATTCAGCAGTCCAGCACTCGCCATGGTAGCTATCAAGAGCACACGTCGTGCCGTTGACATCCGCAGTGCTTTGGGCTCAACGGGTGTATCTGCAGCGGCTGCAAGCAGAGGGCTGGTTTCCGTGGCTGACATCTTGACTACCTTGTCCTCGTGAGGAATGGAAATGGACGATGACGATGATGATGGTAATGACGACGATGACGAGAATGAATCCGGAGGCTCCATATCTCGTCGGATCGGTTCAATTTCGTTTTCATGGATTGCTGACATTGTCACTTTTGCCCGAGAGAAACCAAAAGTTTCGATTTAACAAGTGAGTATAGTTCAGGATTGATTTGGGTCTGGTCTTAGTTTTCATGGCACTAGAAGTGAGAGAAAACAGTCTGACACGGCTCTTTCAACTTGCACTACCCTGGTGTCGGACTTCGGTGATTCAATTGCACGAGATCCGTAAACAGCTGCAATAAGATAAATTGCCTGAATCTTGATGTCATACGTTGCCGTTCAGCGTCGGACTGCAACGGTTCAATAAGAATCTCACAGCCTGTCATTGTGGCCTCTCGACGTAAAACATAGTTTCGGGCTTTTTAATGATCTGCATTGATTCGTCTTCCTATAAGCCTCTGTTGTAAGGATTCGGATATGATCCCCACGGTAAACATATGCAAGCAACAGCGCCCTTTTCACATCGAGGCACGCTGCACGTCTCGACAGAACCATTTTGCGGTGACAAAAGTACTGCCATCACACTGGTTGGTTGTACAATGGCTACCTTGAGGATAGAACTGATGAGTCGGATAGTTGTCACGTCTGTAGAACTCTTGTCATCCCAGTGGAAGGCTTTGAATTGGTCTTTGAGAGCCAATGAAGGATAGTGGCGTATATGTAGCTGCAGTCGCTTATAGGACGGACCTAACGATTTTGCTGCAATTAGGTTTGGTCCAGCTGCTGCCGCAAGATTGTTAATCAACGCATTGATGCCAGTAGTAGTGATTTTTTGCTTGTAAGTGAATTGATATTAGTAATGATATTTATCCCTCTCTTACTACTAATGCACTTTTTTCTGTTTCGAGATTAGTTGTCTCAGCCAGATCGGCAAATGTATTGTTATGACTGGATACCAATGCGTGATTGTGCGACGAGTTTGCACCCGAGTGGTGGCGCCAAGCTCAAGCCGCTTCGCTTGCACTCGTGGACTAGAAAATTCAAAGTTGCAGCTCTATAAGTTCTATGCAATGCAGCAGAATCCTGTGCTACAATGACGGTGTGTTACAATCATGCATCCATTTGCTGAAGCAAACAATGTTGGCGCGTAAGCAATGCATAGCAGTGAGCCACAAGCAGGCCTCAGAGCAACCCCACTGCTCGGCACGTGTTCCGAGCTGCGAACGCATGTCGAGTCTTGGCAGGATCATGATTCTGCAAACGATCTAAGAGAACGGATCCAGCTGTGGATCATATTGCAGATGGTGTTTAGTATAATACGTGGGAAACAAATGGAGCCTAAAGATGAACATAAGGTAACTGATCATTTCCATCAATGAAGCATTCAAAATAGTCTGGCCAATACGGCATGTACGGCATGTTTGGTTTTAGCTAAGCCAATGGAAATGCAAAAGTTAGAAACTCAACGAGCCGGAAGAACTTTGCACTGTCAAGAGGATAGAAGTACCACCTTGCGGACCCGGGGTCTAAATGTGCTGTACAAGTGTGTTACGGGAAAACGGGAATTGTGATAATCAGTCCAATGAAGTCAGCAGGTTGTTGACATTACAAAACCTTTTGCCTATATGGCTATGTACTTTGTTCTGTAATATTCACATATGAGATTAAGGAGTGGAGATTACACAGCTTTGATCGGGTCCTTGCAGACACTGAGATCGTTGTGCTGCTCATCTCGGTGAGATACACCACAGCAAGTATCAAACACAAAAGTGACCAGCAGAAGAGGATTGTTGTTATCAAATGTGCAACCCCCAATCGACCTACAGATAAATTCTGGGCATTCTTGATACACCTTCCAGCCTCTTGCCAACTCACCATGTGGCAAAATGGGGGAGACAGCCGGTTGGTGGTGCCTGTCCAACATTATTTTGGAGGGGTTGAGAGCCGTCCTAACCTTGTGTAATAGACAAGGTGAAATGATAGGCATCTTTTCCTTTAATATTTCGAGGTGGTGTTGCTATGAAAATAAATGCAAAGTGGGCGACCTATGCCTGCAAGACTCTTGCGGAACCACGAGGAAAATGAGGTCAAAATTCATTATGCCTTGTGTAACACACTTAAAGGGCGAGCGCATCCTCAGCTTGAGGCTGTATTTCCCCGCTCCAATGGTTTATATACGTTCAACGTATCACGTTCCTGATGAGGCTAATTATCATTGGCTGTCATTGTCATCACTGGCCATGGTACGGATCTTTTCAACCACCAATGCTTGATTGAATCCATCTGTGACGAGCGTTGCGGCGATTCTTGTTGGTATCGTTGATCTCAACGAGCCATAGTGTTCTAGTCTCTATGGTCCAAATTCCCTACATGAAAATGCTGCAAAGCTTTGTGAGTTATAACCATGATCATATACATGATCCTGTCACTCGAGCCCGAGATGACAAATTCTTGCACACATCGTGTCTCTAGAGCAGTGCGGTATGCATTTGGGAACGTTTTCTTACGTATTTGGAGCATGTGTTTCAGCGATTATTGTTATTTATTCATTAATAAATTTTATCGTCCAAAATAATTGGCACGGAAATGAGAGGTTTTGCTTTACATTTCGTGTTTGTATATCATGAGAAATTTGCATCCTACTCTATTTCAGTGCCGTAGCATAAAATTCGATGAAAGCTACTGTTTTCACCTTGACCTGGATTGTCATCTCCAACTTTAGGACTGAATACCAAATGTTCCAGGAACAAACTGCGGTCCAAAACCTCCCCTGCCTCGATTATTGAAGTTAAATGCAAATCGGTGACCGTAAAACGAAATATAGAGCCATGCCGCTAGGATTGAGAGGACCTTAATCAGGCCAAAAATCACGTCGAATCGACTTGAACACCCGGTGATTAGGCACCGAGTGAGTACAGTGACTGAAGCTTCACGGAGTATTTGATTAGTTCTGAAGACACAATATCATGTTTCAGATGGGTATGTCAAAAAGGGATTGTTTGAAATGATAGAGAGGATCGACTTACCTGTCGTGAGGGGTTCCAAGCCGACACTCTTGAGAATCAATGGCAGGATGACTGAGAACAACATGGTTGTATCGGTTATGTTGCTCAAATGTTTTAAGGGTAATAGAAGAGCGAGATATTTTGAATTGTTGTGAAGCGATATTGAATAGTATTGTATACCAGAAAATTCAAAGGACGGGTGAATTGGGCTTGTTATATGGGGAGGACTACAAGAAAGCGCCGTTCTGAAATGCCTCCTCTCAAGCTGCATGTTTCGTACTCGAAGCTGATGACCTGAGGATATCCCTAGCCCTTCTAGAACAACCTCACTTGGTCTCAATTTGACACCTTGGTTCCATGCTTTGCTGATTTCTTTGTCTGAAATGATCCCTTCTAGCAACACGGCTGTGCGATTTGCATTTCTACAAGCTCTTGAAACTTGAACAAAGCATGAAACTCTTCAACACTGGTGCTAGCGCACCGTCACGAATTGTCTAGCAGACAAGTGCGCTTCGCAATTCTCAAATCATTCAATGCCGGAGACTGTCTTCTGGGCGCTATGATTCAGAAGGCCGATAAGACTCTGCAAGCTGGTCCGATACCCACTGAGCTTGCATACCTTGTATCTGACTAGCAAAATCTGCATACGCTTCGCGCTTTGCAGACATGTAAGACTGACCTTTTGGTCTTGACTCTTTTTGGGGCGGCTGGGTACCGAGGACCGAAATGTACGCGAGCTTTTTGGGGTCTGGAATCTGGACAATCTGGCATTCAAACCGTGTCTGGTAGGCCATGGCAGGGAATCTCGACAGTGTCCACTGACTCGCTGCGCCCGCAAGAGCGTCAGCTCGGCAGTTGCCCTCGACGCTCGTGTGCGAAGGGACCCAGTGGAAGTCCAGTGGGACATTGAGCTCTTGCATTCGGGTGATGGGAAGCATTAATCGGTCAAAGGTGTCCCGTGAGAACATGGACGGGATGGTTCCCTTCCAGATATAGTCGTGAATGTAGTACATTGCAGCATGCGAGTCGGTCATTACCATGATCGGGGTCGGCGGACTGTCCTTGCATATTTCTTCCACCTCGGTGGCTGCAATCTCCAACGCCAGGCCGACGGCATATAGCTCAGATTTGTCGGGTCGGTTTGTCCCAACGATACCGTATGATGAATCGATCCAGTCCGATACATCATCTCCTAGAATGCGCTTGTAGGTAACGCCGGCACCCGCAATACTTGGGTCGTTTCCAGACCCACTGATGGCTGCCATGTCGGTGTAAAAGACCAGGCGGCGTTGCCCGGGCCTCCAGCTAGGATTCCCGGCCTCGGCGGCAAAGAAGGTTGCCTCAAGGTGGTCCTCTATAATGACCCGAGGATTCGCTCCAGGAAGTGATACCTGTGGACAGATTTGGAACTGCCCACGCCTAGCACATACCCAGCATGAGTTCTCATGATCACGGCCTCGCGATTCGAGCGTCGTATGCAGCTCGCCGCTCGCCCTTGCGCTGACGAGTTGGTCTCGTAACCATTCCCGCTTTTGTCGGCGAAGTGCGTATTTATTTAGGTAAACTCCATCCCTCGCCTCTTCGCTAGGAAGTGGATGAGTCGGGGATGGTGGCCTTTGGGAGCAGAGCTCTTTCTTTGGCTCCTCATTCTGCGTCTCAGCGTCCTCTACTGGACGCTGTACCTTGATCTCAGCATTTACGAGGCCAGCGATGGTAAGACTCGCCAACTGTTCCGAGAGTCTGTTGGAGGATTTACTTGTCTGTTGAGATCCGTCGATAGGCATTTCTCCACCTGGCAATGATGGGTCTGTGATGGTTGCATACCTGTAGAAGTAAGATCTGTTGTAACGTAATCTGATCAAGGGTTTACAGAGCTGGAAATGAACCGGTGCAGTGTACCGACATCCAGCCGTGTGTAAGGGAATCAGCTAAATAAGAGCACGGATGAAGGGAAAGTTGAGCGATTAATCAAGATATCATGCCTGTGATCAAGAGATCCTGAAGGTGATGTTCATCTAAAATCACTGGCATTCTGAACCGACAAAACTCAGTGAGTGGCCTTTGCTAGGGCGAATACTTTTATCTCGCAACCCCAGCCCCATATGGCTTTTTAGCATTGACGCTCGAGTCGTCCAAGGTTCTGAGCTAAGATCTAGGCTGCACTGTCCTGCTACCTTAAGAGTTGGCCTGTACAACTTGAAATGCCCCAGTGTCACCCAGGTTACATTCCTTGATATACGAGTTAAGCAACCTCAATTCACCCTTTTGCCAACCTCGTGGCACCCTCGCAGCGGCACCATTCCATCCACCTGCCATGAGCCAGACATCGCGGCTCTTTACTGCGCTGATACGGACGCACCACATCACGTCACGCAAGAAGCTTCAGCGCGTAAAGAAGGCTGCCGCGCTCCGCGATATCCCCTTCGTTTTGGTCCGGTGTAAGTACACAACAGTCAGTCTTTTACTTCCCCCACCCAAGACACAAATAGAATAACGGATAAAGTCGAGATATAATCCGAATCTACATATGTTTTTTCTTTAATGTACGTGTGAAAAGGAAATTAACTTGTTCTGACCAACAGACGGTGGATCTCCGGGAATAATGTACGCCGAGGCACTGGACCAGACCTCACTGGGGGACTGGGTCAGTGCCGTGCATGACCTCCGCTACAAAGACTTTCAGTGCGTACAGAAGCCCGTCGTGGCTCAAGACGTCATCAGCCGCACTGGAAGCGGAGGAAGCGCGATGCCGTCGTCGCCATTTAACGAGGTCGATTCCGTCGCCGATTTTGGTGCGATTATGGAACGAAAGGGCCTTACAAAGTGGTAGGTTGAAATTATTCACAATGCATACTTTCCTCGCCATGGCCACTTTGATGCTTGGACAGAACGGATCTGATTTTCTGAAATGCACAGGTTTGAGATTGGCATGGGATATCAGAGTTCGGATTGAACAGGACCATGTTTTTGAAGCCAAGTCTAGGCAAATCACACCATGCAAGCGCACCTGTCTCATTCATGGCATACTTGAGAAGAAACGGGGTTTTGCATGATAGGCTTGCTGGTATAGACTCCGATTGATTGGTTAAAACGGTGAGTACCTATGTATCTCTATCATTCATCATTCCCAGGCCAAACGCCACGCTTGATACCATGATATTCCGACTGACAGCTTCCTAGCATATTGAAGCTTATCTTCGAGTCGGAGCATACCCATTCTCGTAGCCGCATTCCTATAGCTTCTATTCGTGTGCTTGTATAGTAGTGTATATGTCGGCGGACATTGTAAAGTGGACGGAGGCAGACTGTCAAAAGAGAATGCTTCTAACCAGTGAGCATCTCGTTGCTCCAGCCAGTTGAGTTCAGACAGTTCTCGCAGACATAATTCTCAACGTTGAGAGACTCGTGTGTGTAATCTGGGCAGTCTGTGGGGCTGGCAAAGTTCTGCTCCCGTGCCACGGGACAGGAGATCTCGAGGTGTTGCTGAGTGTCGACCTGTTTGCAGCCCTGACAAACCGTCTTGACTTCCTTTGAAGGACACATTGTTGTTTATGGATTTTGGTGGGGGAATGGCCCAAGTGCTGAAACGCCTGTCGCTATGCGGTATATGCAAGAAGGTTTGTCCGAGTATTGGGATATCTCAAAAATGAAAATAAGAAATGAATAGATCGATCTATCTCGTGATCTATGAGCTATACTCTGAGTCGCTACGGATATGCATAAGAACAACAAGAAATCCAGCCCCTGACGTCCTAGTATGCTGAATATATATATATATATATATATATGCTAAGAAGGAGAGTCTCACAATATTGCTCAACTCCACGTATGATCGTGGGTGGATCGGGAGCACGTATCTGCGCTACATTGGCACGAACAGCGGAGTTCACGTCCGGAGCCTTGCGTTCATGAATCCATACCTCCTTGGACCTGATATCTTAATTGATGACAGAGTTCCCCATAGAAAAGGGAGTTTTCTGGCGAATGTTTCCTTACTATCAGGACCTTGATGTCAAGGTGCAGATCGGTATTGTGGGGGCTCTGGACTGTGGACTCCCGCTCAATGGTCTGGATCGATCGCATCGTGATTTGACGAGCATCGTCGCATCTAGGAACGTTCTTTTCCATGGCGTAGTAGTAGTTTGCTATCGTGCTTAGGCCGAGTCAAACGGTGTGGCCCAGACATACAATTTCAGTCAAAGCTCATATATCATATTGAGAATGGCATCAAGAATGGTAAAGCCTTTCCAGCAACGCTCTTGAGTCTTGACCATGTCTTGCATGCCAATGTTGATCGACGGCGCAGCATGCACCCGCTTGTGTCCTACCATGAGTCGTCCCTCGCATCAAAGCTGTGCGCATTGCATGCTGCCAACCACAATCAGAGCTCATATCTCTTCGTTGCTCGTCACTGATGTTCTCAGCAAAAAAAGTGGATGCCCAGAAGCGTGAAATAATGATCACATGACGTCATGCCGGTCGGTGGCTTTCGTCCGTCTTTCCACCAGCGCGGGAATGCTCTAGCAAATGACTTCATCCTAGCCCCCAGCTCCAGTCAGGACAAAAGTCTAGACTTTGGATAGGCAAAATAGAGTTGTTTCTGAAGGGGACACAAGTTGATTGGTGGTTGCGGTAATATGCCGCGCTCGAAAGCTGAATGGAGCTCGGCCCCATGAAACAACAAATCACAAGCTGCTTCACCAGCTGCCAGGTTTTGTGATTCCGCAGTATTCAGCCGCTGCACCAATGTCTATCGTGCATTTCAGCTGCTTTGCACTATAAACACAGCTTGTGCTTGAGCTGTGCGATGCAATGGACCTTGAGCCAATTATTTGACGCCGAAAGTACCATGATATATGTTTGGGGCGCCTGGAGGCTTGAGGGCTGTCATGTATAGTTGCGCCATGGTTGGCGGTGAGATACGAATGACGGAAACCGTGCCGGTCATATCAGTCTGTTTTTCCCTTTTTGTTCTGTGCAAGTGTCGGTAGGTGTCAAATGCAGGCGCGCATGCCCATATGTCGGGTGCCGGTGCCTGAAACAGGCAATGAGGGAAACAATGTCTCAACTCGTGAGGCTGATGCCGATTCCGAAAGGTCATTCAGTCATCCATCCGGCCAGCAAAACAAGCTGGGGAATTAATTGAATGGTTCCGCACAATCAGCTGTGCAAAAGCTGTGCTGCAACTCATGCTAAGAATAGAATTTGGAATTGGGGACGCGGCCGATTGGACCGAGTTTGAGTAGCCGCTCTAGTGATACCAAAGCGATCTTTGGTGATTGATATCCAGTCTACTTACCGTACTACCTACCATTCACCATAACTGTCATGCTGTCTGGTCTCTTTGTGGCAAAGGCTCTAAAGATGTTTTAGGCATCACCAACAGGACGATTTTTTCAAAGTCATCCCGGATGCTTGCAGGCAGCGTGCACACATGGAGCAAGCACGAAATAGCAAGTGTTGGCACTGGATGCTGTCAAGCTGTGGCGGTGTTTTGACCCTTACGCTGGACTGAGCCACTCAGGATTGCCGGAAGAGCCGACCGAATAGCTGGGGGCCAACAATAACGCTAGGTCAATCCTTCGCTGCAGGATTCTACTAGGTAAGGTAGCTTAAATGGATCTCGCGCTAACAGAGCTGGCAAGCCCTGTGCTGCCGCATCCGCCCGACTGGGCAGATGTGGTTTTGCCCCTCCAAGGTGACGACGACTGTCAGCAATGCAGCCACTTGTTGCTTGCATAGCGGCCACGGAGTACGTAAGGCAATATAGCCTAGGTATCAAGAGCCGAACATGGTGTGCACAATTGAAGATGCCTTGTTTGTTCCAACAGATACACAAACCGGCCAGCAGCAGGCAGGTATTGTATCAATGATGCCAAGTGCAGCCATAGCGCCACGCTCCGGCATCCATGGGACTTTCAAAACCGGTTGCGGGGGCAGCTTTCAAGCACTAGCCCAAGGTACCCGTCTGGGGGAGCGAGGCCAAGAGGAGGCGAGGACGAGACCTCATTATTCCGTACGTTATGATGGGATCAAGCTGCACTGCTGTATGTACGGGCGTCCTCAGCTGGGCTGCAATTTGGGAATGGCTGTGCCCTGGCTCCTTCTAGCTTCTGCATACTGGATAACGTATGTTCAAGGTGGGCATTGATTGGTGAGACTTGTTAATTGATCGTCAGAGGTCAATGGGAAGTCTTTTCAATGCCCTTTAAAAGAGTGTTTTGAGTGGTCGCAGACTGGGGGCGACTAGGGGGCCAAAGTGCGCTACACTGAACTTGTCTCGCGCTTGCGACAGCTCCGCCACAAAGCACTGAAAAGATCCGTTGTCATCGGCTTCTTCCCTGGCCAACGGGGGTCGAAAGTCACAAAGGCGCATCTCATCTCCTGTTTGTGTACCTTTCCTACTCTGTACTGTATTTGCCTTGCATCTCCACCTGTCAAGCCATTCAACTCCCGAGTCCCAACTAATAATTAATGGTTTTTCTTGGCAACTTTGTTTCTCTCCTTCTTTCCCAGCTGGTCTGCATACTATTTGAGCTTTTCAGTTTCGCATATTGCTCAACCTTATGAGGAGTCTGAGCCATTCTCGCCAATATTAATTCCCTTGGGTGCCCTCTGCCCTTGCACCTTCTACATTCTTCAGACCACCGCATCTTGGCATTGGACGGTGCCGTCGCGAGTTGATTAGGATCGCCGACCCATCTCAAGACTCTACAGTCGACGACCACTACCAACTCTCAACAACAAATATTCTCTGCATAGTACGATTTGCATCGCCAGTCTCATCCGTCGTCTCCATCACACGCACCCCTCTGTACAACGGGCCGTTTGCGCCATAATCCGAGAACTTTATTTCTTTTTTCTTCCCGAGTGCCACCATGAAGTCCGTCGCTACCGTGGCGACCGGCTCACTGCTGGCTGCTGTTGCGCAAGCACAGGTGGTCCAATGGGACATTCAGAAGCGGGCCACCAAGCACAAGGATGGAATCCTGAGGCGTGACGCATCGACCATCACCGAAGTCATCACAAACGAAGAAGCTAGGGGAGGATACTTTGCCTCCGTGTCAATTGGAACGCCGCGCCAGAACTTGACCTTGCAACTCGACACCGGCAGTAGCGATATCTGGGTCCCATCGAGTAGCGCATCTGTTTGTTCAACCTCTTCCTCTGGCAGTCGAGGCGGATCAAGTAGCAGCAGCGACGGCTGCACGTTCGGTTCCTGTAAGTCCAAATTCCCAGCAGCGCATCTTCATTTCTCCCGTCATATTAACAAACTATTGCGCAGTCAATTCGGATGATTCGAGCACCTATACTGTTGTCGGCCAGGATGAATTCAGTATTTCCTACGTCGATGGAAGTTCTTCCAAGGGCGACTACTTCACCGACGACTTTGAAATTGGTGGTACCAGTCTTAGCAACGTGACAATGGGTCTTGGTGAGGAAACTGATATTGCATACGGTCTGGTCGGAGTCGGTTATGCCATCAACGAAGCCATCGTCGGTACCGAGCAGTCCTATTCGGCCGCATACGATAACCTGCCTGTTCAGATGCAAAAGGAGGGTCTCATTGCCACCAACGCTTACAGTCTGTGGTTGAACGATCTTGATGCAAGCACTGGCAGCATTCTATTTGGTGGAATTGACACAGACAAGTACGAGGGTGACCTGAGCCGTATCGACGTCATCCCGGACTCCAGTTCTGGTCGTTACACCTCGTTTGAGGTGTACCTGACATCAGTCACTGCCAACTCTTCTTCCGGTAGCGACAGCCTGTCTTCGAGCGAATATCCCATTCCTGTTGTGCTGGACTCTGGCACCACTCTGAGCTACCTCCCCACCGACCTTGCTTCCCAAATGTGGGAGGAAGTCGGTGCTATCTACTCTAGCGATCTCCAGTCTGCCATTCTGCCGTGCTCCATGGCTAGCAGCTCTGGTCAGTTCCTCTTCCAGTTTGCAGGCAGCGAAGGCCCCCAAATCGCTGTCGGCATGGATGAACTTGTCCTCTCGCTCGTCACATCGGGCTCCAACCCCACCTTCTCCTCTGGTGAATACCAAGGACAAGAAGCCTGCCAATTCGGTGTCCAGAACTTCAGCAGCGATCCGTTCCTTCTCGGCGACACCTTTTTGAGATCAGCCTATGTTGTCTACGATCTGGTGAACAACCAAATCGGAATCGCCAAGACTGACTTCAACGCCACCACTTCCAACGTTGTCGCATTTGCCAGCGAAGGTGCTGAGATTCCGAGCGCCACCGCTGTTGCCAACCAAGTCACCAGCTCTGCCGGCAGTGGTTCAGTCACGACTCCCACGTATGGCGCAAGTGCTGGCTTCGGAACAAAGAGTGCCGCTTCATCAGTCCCTGCTTTTGATTGGGCCAAGGTCGGTGTCATGGGCGCAGCCACTCTGTTCATGTTTGTGGGCAGTGGCTTCTTCCTTCTATAGTAGTTGCAACTTGCATTATTTCATTAGCATCTGGAGTTGGGTCGGCTCAGCTATTTGTATTTCGCTAAATATTGTGTTCACTCTTGCCCCTACTTTCAGGTAGTGGCCTACATGGAAAGAGCTTGGCTTTGCTCGTGGATTGTTTTACGAGCTTCTTGATACCCGAAATAAGTCACTCTTCTTGAGGCATCAAGCAAATAGGAAATGACACTACATATCGAAACAATCGGAGCCGATACATTGTAACGCAGCTTATTCCGTTGGTGTTTACTATTTTGTGTGAATGCGTATGAGCTGCGACGTCGTAGAGCAGAGATAAGATATGATCTTGCCAAGACGGCAAATGATGTGATACTAGAGCCGCATCCTAGGACCCATGTATTACCCCGGATTGATCTGCGGCCCAGCAAGAGCATCGAGATTGACGAAAATGGAACACACAAGATTTCGTTCTAGTGTTGCTGACAACACATGACCTGATTGGCCGTCAAGGCTGTCGAGCTCTCAATAGGCGTCTGCCTCGGAGGGAACGATTTGCCAGACTACTCGGCAGACATGTAAAAAAGAGACTTTCGATCTTTTCGTCGGAAAGAACATGCTGACCCTCGCAAAAGCTACCGCATTGGCGGCAGTACCCTACCATCCCTGCGTGACTTTTCCCTTTTCCAATTGCAAAGACTTCCATGAAATTGTCAACAAGCATGGCTTCTATCACATGGTGAGCCAAAGCTCAATATGGAGTGAAGCTGTTCTAAAAAGTAAATTACTGACGTGAGAATAGAATGGGGCCACCTTTCGACTTGATTAATCTCAGCCAGATACTTACACCGATTTCATTACTGCTAGTGGCTCAGAAGAATACGCTATAAGCAATTACTCATCTGTTTTGGATCGCGACATAGAAGATGTTGAGTCATCATGTGTCTTGATGCAACATTATCCGGCAGAAACGATTGGAGTCCGAACTATATTTCATTCAACATTTCCAGGAGAATGCCCACTCTCAACGATATAGTAAAACTTCATCCGTTCCGAATTCGACGATTTGCTTTCCAGGCATGCCGGTACCAGCGGCGCACTGATCTTTGAAGAAACCAGAGTAAACACCATCCGCTTCGACAATCAGGGACTGGGAGCAAAGGCGAGTTTTGATTAAGCCTAGCAAATTCCCTCAACCGACCGCCCAGTAGCCGCCACTTGGTTTTCCAAGGACGGACGCTCTGGGGCAAATCACCTTTGACTACCTTGTAGACGCCAGCGGTAGGAGCGGCATCTCGAGTTTCGAGTACCTGAAAAGCCGAGAGTTCAATCAAAGCTTCAAGAATGTTGCCAATTTAGCATGTTAGAAGTCTGACAATGTGTACGGTCCCGGGACGCACATGGAGGGTTCGGTCTATTTTGAGGTTTGCAAAGTCAGTGTCCAAGAACTTACCGAGCCTCGAAGTCATGATTTGGACTGACCCGGGAATCAATGCTAAATGGAAGCGGTTGGGCATGGTCCATGCCCTTGCACGATGTAATTCGATCAGTTGACGTGGTGCAGGACTAGAAGCTGGCCACGCAAAGAAAGCGAGAGCTCGGAAGCCCACCAACTCGTGAATTCTACACGGACTCGCTCAAGCTCGCGACCCGGACCCATGGCACGAAAGGAGATTTCCGACGTGCTCGGCTTTTCCTTCAAAGCCTTCACCTACGTAACTCCCGACCAGAAGGAAGCGCTCTTTGCATAACTGGATCAACTCGACATCAAACTTGCGGAACACGATGCCACGCAGAGATCGTTGGACGCTGTCAAGCAACACTGGCCGCCTGAAGAATGCCATATTGTGGACATACTACGCAGTCGACGCATGATTCACAAAGATCCCTTTGATGTGGACAGCTTCACGTCGGACACGATTGACGGATTGGCGCCAAATCAGGAGTGCGGCAAGCTCGGTCTCGTCAGGACCAAGAGCTCGAAACTTGATGCACACCACTTCTACTCGCCGTCGTTCTTGGATAGAAAGGTTCCTAGTGTCAGAGACAGGAGCAGCCGCCAGCAGTATTGGCAGACGGTAGAATAGAACTTGACTCTCAGAGCCACCTGGTGGTGAGTAGTAGCATGGTAACAACACAACGTCGGTATTGTCTCATCATATGAGTGTTTTACAAACATTGCGTGATGCGAGCGAGCTCCCCGGAGCTCCGCGGCCCACTTGTATACCCTCCTACTATATCACCCCGCTTGTCGATCGTCCTAGTAGCACTGCCTAACGGTAAGAATAAGACCTTGCACGGGTTTTGTGGTCAAAGACGGAGCACCATCCGCGATGGTTTCAAATCGACTAATGTATGATTGGAGACGGTCCGTACCGATATGTGTAGCCGCATTTTATTTTACGAGATCTTGACCTAATAGACCGCGTAATAGATTGTAGACAATTGATTCCCGCAGTCACGCCAAGATCTTGGAAAGGCTCAGAAGCGACTAGCTGGGCTGCACATTCGACTGGGGGAGGCTTGCACCCAACCAGGTTTATAGATAAGACATGCATATTGCACAATTACAATCACATCTCGGCGCTCGCGTCGGAATCCTTTTTCACATGTAGTCCAACCTCTATCGTTAGAGGACACATTTTCTGCCATGGCGATATTTCTACATAGGTAGTTCATGAAGATTCGAGTTGGGACGGGGACGCCGGGCGGGCGACTCATGTCGAGCTCATACCCGCGGAGAATACATTTGGCTCGACCGGTTGACTTGCAGCACACTAACTAACATGGAGTTTTAGAATCATATGAGAACATGTAAATGGCAGCACACACATCCGAATTCGGGCACATCTCAAGTCTTCCTCCAGTCCCTAATCTTGGCAGCTCTAACCGGGACGCCTAATCTAGCCAGTTCCGTCCAGAGAGTCAGGAACTGCATCCAGCTCCCGCTTCTCGGTGAGCACACAAGCGGCATTCGACACCGCCAAAACCATTAACCGCCGTGGAAGCCAAGCAAAACCAAGGCTTGGGACATGACAAGACACAGAGTATATACTTTTTTTGGTCCAAAGATGTGAGCTACTAGGTGGATAGTGCGGTCGGGGAGCCGGCACCGGCCGACGCTACTGATGCAGCCATCGCAAGGATAGGATAGCAGGCGTCGGTGGTCACAAGCGATCGTTCACCGGGTACAGTCTTGGTCTGCGGGGTGTTTTTTGCAAACCCTGGCTGAAAAATCGCTCGCGGATTGCCCATTTCGAATACCCCGATCGCACCCTGCTGAACTCTAATTTTCCATTTTACCTTTTTTGCCCTGATCGTATTGTGGTATTTCATATTATTGGTGTTATCCTATATACTGGCATACCCAAAATCATGGAATTTTCGTGCCCTTTCTAACATTTTCCGGATCAAAACCAAACATCGGTATTCATGGATGACGAGTTGTTAGTCGTGCTACACTTGGGACGACCTGAGCCATGGAAGCGGAAAAGAAAGAGGGGTTGGCCCGGCTGGGCATTATCCAGGTCCTGGTATCTGGCGGCGACGACGACGACAACAACGACAATGCCGCCGATAATAATGAAAAAGGAGACGAACATTTGACCAAGGCGGTAGATTTGACCAAATTACCCTTTACACGCGCTCTGCTGATGGCGACGCTGTACGTGGCATTATACTTGCCCACGCTCAACCAAACCGTCGTCTCCAATGCGCTGCCAAAGATTTTGTCGGATATCAACAAGTTTGGCTCCGATATTGGCTACACGTGGGTCGGCTCGGCGTATGCGCTGGCCCAGGCCATGGCGCTGCCGCTGTTTGGGCAACTGGGTCGCACGCCCAGTCGCAAATGGGCTCTCCTCGTGGCCATGGTTGTCTTTATGATTGGAAGCATCCTCTGCGGCACGGCCGTCAACATTGAGATGTTGCTCGCCGCCCGGACCGTGCAAGGCCTCGGGGCCGGAGGCATCAGCGGGGTCTTGTTTGTCCTGCTCGGAGACATGATTCGCGTTAGGTGATTAGATGCATGAATCTTGGCGGTTGAAGGGCACTGTCGCTAACTTGGCCAACAGGGGCGCTGGAAAGTATAATGAACTTTACGGAGCTGTCTGCGCAGTTGTCACTGCGATAGGTATGTAAAAATGCATGCTGGTGCCATACCATGGGTATTCTTGCTAAAGCTCTCAACCTTAGGTCCTCTCATTGGAGGTACGCTTGCTGATAGAGCGAGCTGGCGTTGGGTAAGTCTAATCATATTTATGGTGGCAAAATCTTGACTAACCAATATCCAGTGCTTCTTTTTAAATCTGCCAGTCTGTGTAGTTTGCACAGCGGTAATATGGCTCCTGCTGCCAAACACTGACACAACGGCCACCGTTAGCCGTGCTGTAAGACTGTTTGACTTGTGGGGAGTCACCGCGATTGGTATCGGCAAAGTCTTGATCACGCTGGCCATTCAGTGGGCCATCTCCAACAGCTCTTGGCAGTCGCCTCAGGTGCTGACGACGCTGCTCGCCGGCGCTGCCGCCGTGATTGCCTTCTTTCCCGCGGAAGCGACAGCAGAATCTCCAGTCGTGCCGCTGCGCTTCTTCAAGCATCGGACCCGCGTCGGCGCCTACATTGCCGTCTTCTTTCACTCTGTTTCGTTCTCCGGACTAAACTACTGGCTGCCAATGTACTTTCAGGCCGTACGCCAGCAGAAGTCATCCGAGAGCGGTCTCAGTATGCTACCATGGACGCTATCTTTTGCAATCATGAGCGCCGCCACTGGCATCGTGGTCGTGAAGAGTAGAAGGTGAGCTCGTGCTCTTGCTACATGAGTGGCACCCGAAAGTTACTCGGATCGGGCTAACTCGTTATAGATATCAAGTCTTTATCTGGTCTGGGTTTCTCATCGCGACCATCGCGTTTGCGTGTCTCACGCTGCTCTTTCCAGTATGTTTGATACATGAAACGTGGCACAACTAGGACTAACTTGAGCAACAGACTACGTCAACAGCCGTAACATCGGTGATGCTTGTTATCGGCGGACTTGGTGTCGGGCCAAACTTCAACGCACCTTTATTCCCGATCCATGCATCCTTTGATACGAGCGACAGCGACTACGTATCCATCTTGTCCCACTCGACGTCGGCATATGCCTTTATGAGGTCGCTGGGATCCAGTATTGGTATTACAGCCAGTGGCCTGGTCTTTTTTGAGGACTTGTCAAAGCACCAACTGCCTAGCCTGTCCGTCTTCAACTTGACGCAGGCCATCGAGTACTCGGACCTGCTCACCGAGATGGAGGAGCAGGCCAATGTCGAGGTTCTGCAGACGGCCATGCAGCACGTCTTTATCCAGGTTTGCATCACCATGTGTTGCGGTCTCTTGCTCAGTCTCCTCATCCGGCGGCATCAGTTCAATAATGACGAGCAGGAAGAAGATGAGGATGAGGTAATACCGCGGGGCGTTCCGCGCGTGGATTCATTTGGCACGGAAGACGGCTGAATAATCATTATAACCTTACGTAGCGTTTAAACGAAATGACAAGAACAACTCAAAAAAAAAAAAAACATTATGATTTACTAAATACTGCTTCTCATTTCTGTCTCTGGCATAACTTTATCAGTCCACTTTATTATCACTTTGACCCTTCTTTGCTGACAACTGGCTCCGTAGCGATGCTACGATGGATAGCTGGCGGAAGCGTGTCATTCACGACTATGTTTCCGACGCGCGCAGAGCAATCATTTAGGCTACCAACGACAGCTGGTCGTTATTTGACGTTGTAGAGATCACTGGCAACGATAACTATGACGAACACGTTCCTGGAGAGCTCCTTTTCCCTCGATTCTACAACGAGTAATGACAGCTCGGGCGTATTTCACCCGCAACCTTCAATTCTATATTACGCTCAATGCAAGACACCGGAGTAAAGTACAAGACAAAATTCGATACTCCCAGAACAAATATATCGTCAGATGGCTACTAGATCTCCAGCTCGGAGATGCCGCCCTGGATGCCAAGTTTCTGGGCACAGTCATAGAAAGCTCTTGGAAGACTTCTTGATGTTTCACGTCAAGAGTGCGCAATAAAGTTAGCATCCTGCGATTCGCAAACACATTCGACAACATAAACCATACCATAAGACGGACTGAGGCTATTAGACTAGATTGGTTCAATAAATAGGTCACATTGGTTGGGACGCACGTATCCCTCACGCTTTGCCTTGATTTTGACGCAGTGAACCCATCTCGGCCGTTATTGAAATCCTCCTGCTTTATGGTAAAGCAGGGAAGAAATCTGCTGGCTCCGAGATCTACATCTCTTGAGATATATCGCTAGCCAGATGTTCTGCCATGGCATACAGTGTAGCCTGTGGGTGGCCACCTAGAGGGATAGGCACGACACTTGCATCGGCAACCCTCAAGCCTTTCACACCAAGTACTCTCCCGCTCACATCTACCACCTTCCCCATAGCAGCAGTTCCGCCAGAATGAAAGTGTTGCATTCCAGTGCGTCGGATCCGATCTTCAATAACTTCGTCGCTGGCATCAGCTGTCAGTGATTCCAAACCTTCGAGACCTGGCGCTGATGGCGGGGTTTCGCTGTCGACTATGGAGCTCATCCGAGTTGTGAGCATGACCTTTAGAGTCTGGCGAACGGCATGGACCAGTGTATCATGGTCTAGAGGTGTAGAAAAGAAGTTTGGCTGGATGACTGGGGAATCAGTCGCATCAGTGGACCGAATCGAGACATGGCCGCGCGAGTTTGGAAGCAGCAACATTGTGGAAGTCGCTAGGTGAGTGCCATCGACTGGAATGCCTGGTATGCCTGGAGGGACGTAGAGAGTGATTACCTCATACAGGTTGCGTGCCTTCGTTGCCTCCTCACTTGTATATCTGGCAAGGACTTCGGCTGGAAGAGGCTGGCTGACAACCCAATCCCAAGGTAGACCTTGAAATAGAGCGGGATTGTGCTGCCACGACGGACTCCCAAGGGCGTAGCCAGCGGAAGGGTCCTTTAGACGGAATGCTAAGTAGGTTGCAAAATGATCGTGAAGATTCTGGCCAACATGGGGAGACTCATATATGACAGGTATTCCATGTTGTTTAAGAGTGTCCAACGGGCCGACACCAGAACGTATTAGAATTGTAGGGGTGCGATAGGCTCCAGCACAGAGAATGACTTCCTTCCGGGCAGATATCTTGCGACCGTCAGCCAACTGGATTCCAGTAGCAGTGTTTCCAGTACCATCCTGGTCAGCAAATGTGACCTTGTCCACCAGGCAATCCGTGATGACTTGGACCTGCGCCAATGAGTAGGCCATTTGAGATGGCTGTCGCATGCCTTCTCGAGAGTTTTCGTAAAATTCAGTCAAACCTCCAATTGAACCATTGCCTTTAGCTGGCGATACTCCGAGTTCGAGCCAGGCCTCTCTGACCTCTTCACGGAGTGGATATTTGCGCTCTCCGGATGCGGCAGCTGAGATAGAAGTGATATGCATAGGTCCTGAGACCCCAAGCTCACCACTGCGAGAATCATTATGGGCATCTTGAAGGCATTCTACCTTATGGAACCATGGCTTGAATCCCTCGTAGCCCCATCGCTTATCTCCAACGAGTTTTGCCCATTCGTCATAGTCGGCAGCATCTGCCCGCAGCCAGCCGCCGTAGTTCAGGATGCTGCCTCCACCTAGAGCCCTGCCGGAGCTCAGGGTATGGATACGGTTGGCTGTGGCCGGAACAGGTTCGCTGGCATCGGCATAGTCGAATTTCCCACCTGCGAGGGAAAGGCCGCTTAGGAAGCCGGCGGCAGCGGGTTCGCTTGATGGATCCGACCCGGCCTCTATCAGAATGACTTTTGGCTTGACAGGGCTCTGTGCGAGCCGTGAAGCTACAACGCACCCGGTCACACCGGCTCCAACAACAATATAATCAGCAATGAGGTCGGACATTGATCAAGATAGATGCTCTCGAGCAGTTTTACACAGATTCAGGAAATGACTTCAATGGGAAAAAAAAAGGGGGGGGGGAGGGATGGAGAACCGTATTTGGGGTCTCGATTCTCAAGACAAAGTCCAGAAGAAACATCCAGGTCAGGAACCAGATGCAGATACCTAGGTAGACAGGAGCGTGCATTGGTGGTACCAATCAGCAGCCAACCGTCGCAGCCCGGGGAGGGTTTGTCTCACCGTGAGACAGTCACTGTGAATAAATATTGGTTCATTGTCCAATGTAACTTGGGATACTTTCATGATTGTTACCACAAGAAAGCCGAAAGCTCCTGTATGAGGTAGGGCTGTACTTCCCCACCACCTACAGGTCCGAAGATCGTACCCAGTTCTGTTGCCCATCAAGCTGGCTCAGCAGTAAGGGGGTACGAGCTACTCCACTACAACTTGACCGGGGGGCGCTGTAGGTGTCTGCCAATGCGCTGTGCTGCCCGCGAATCGAGTGACCTACAGGGATGTCCTTAGTGACCTTCAGCGACTATCTGAGTACTTGTTCGCTACCTCATGGATACGTGTCGCTGGAATACACGAGTACATGGCAAATGCGTAGACTTTGGAAGGGGCCGGCCGTCTTGAACGGCGTAGTGATCTGTTCCCCCTTCTTATATACCTACCTTATACTTATGCAAGTCTGTATTGTTTGTGCTTGTCCGACAGTCCATCTCACCAATCCTTTATACCTAGTTTTACAAATTCAAATGATGGCGATCATCGAGGAGAAGGACAATGCGCCAGTCTGGAAGTTGCATAATGTTGATGCCACTTATTGGGACGAGTATATCTCTACACGACCCATTTATGATCACAAAATCTTTGACCGTGTCATTGACTATCAATCATCTCATTCCGCCAGCCATTCGGCCGCGCTGGACATAGGCACAGGCTCAGGTTCGGCTTTGGGGCCCCTGACCAAGAGTTTTGACCATGTTGTCGCAACCGACAACGACCCCACGAGCCTGGAATTCGCAAAATCCAGACACTCCAGCATACCTACTGAGCACCTTTCTTACACTCTTTCATCGGGCGAAGACCTCCTTCAGCACCATTCTCCCGGCTCATTTGACTTGATCACTTGTGCAGAGACATTTCCCCTGATGGACACACAAATAGCGCTGTCCAACATCTTCTCACTGCTGCGTCCGGGTGGTACACTTGCCGTTTGGTTCTACGGGCCACCTTTCTTCACTGAAGAAGAATATTCAACCACTTGCCAGCCGATCCTCGACGCTCTCATGGATTGCAAATTCCGTCCTGTTGTAAGTGGTGGGGATGAAGCTCGCATGAAAAGTTGGAAACGTGCAGCGGACGGGAAATTCAGTTGGTTAGATTACATTCCATTTGATGCAAAGCTGTGGACCGACGTGCGCCGTCACAAGTGGAACACGCAGGCAAGACTCTCGTTCTTCACTCGCGAAGCCTGCGATTTCCCCGTGGAATGCGTTCGCAGCGTGGGACCGGACGAGGCACTCAGTGAAGAACAGGATCCTACCTTTTGGGGCGTCAAGTGGAACTTCACCAAACTTAGAAGTTTCGTCAATGCAAGTTTTCCAACACCAAACGGATTGGTCGGGGAGCAGGATAAGATGGAGACACTCTTTGAGCAGCTTGCAAGTTGTATGGGGGGCCAGGAGGCCGAGAGGACCTTCTCGTGGCCTGCTGTGCTCCTTACTGCAGCGAAGAAGGTAGAAAGTTAGGTTTATTCGTTCGCGGTCGGGACAGAGCTAGGCGGACGATGGCTGTGATCGATTTGGATCCATGAGTATCCATACCGTAGTAGCATTTAGAAGACATGAAACAAGACGCAAACATCATGAACGAGGCATCATCTCCAACGAAAGGTGGTGCCATTTTGTTTTCTTCTGCGCCTTGGCTCTCTTTGATTTCTTCAAAAAAGAGATTCACGATAGAGGTACCAGAATGATACAGTAACTGTGCGCGAGCTTTAAGAACAAGTCGCATGTCTATTCAAGCACCGATGACCGTTGGCCATGTTTACCATTCAATAAAACCTCGATCCTCATCGATGGACGGAAATTTCCCCGAGGTCTGCTCCCGTGTAGCCTTCAATATCTGTACAACGTCAGTATCGTTGAGTGCGAAAACATATTCAATCAGGGAAACTGACCTCGCCAAATACAAAGTCAGCAGCGGCGTCAACGGGGACAAAGGCTTGCTCATAACCGAAGTGACGCGCCCCTGTGTTGCCCATATCGGTTTGCATGAAACTTGTGAGCTGCGTGTTAGTGAGTTCAGATCGAGTGTTGTGCTCAAGCGTCGTCTTACCCGGGGTCAACAGCGAAGGAAGTCAGTTTTGGGCTCTCGCAATGAATTTTCCTCGTGAGGTAATGGGCTGAAGCCTTGCTGGCGCCGTATGCAAACATTGGGAAAGGCATCTTTTCCATGGCTGCGATACTGGCAATTGGCGTACCGATCAGAACGAATCGAGGATTGTCACCGCTCTCCAGCAGTGACCTTACCGCCTGAAATAGACGAAGCGGTCCTGACAATGTGTGCATTAGTCCAGAGATTGCTGTAGTAAACTCGAAAGGCTCTCTAACCGATTGTGTTGATTTCAAACAAGTCCCGAACCTCACTAGGCTGGACCTGGGACAGATCTCCATATACTGTCCCATATCCTGCGTTAGCCACGACGATATCTAGCTTCTTGATTCCATGTTCATTTTGAAGCAGTTGTATGGCCTCAAGCGCATCTGTATCTGACGTGGACTCGATTTTGACGGTGACGAGCTTGCTGTCTTCACCCCGTGGAAGTTCGGACAATGAGTGCGTTGTCTGGTCTTCGAGGCGGCGCACGCCAGCGATGACTGTTGTGTTGGATCTAAGCAAGAATCTACTAGTAAGAGCTCTCCCTAGACCTACACCACCAATACAAAGTCAACAATGAATTTGAGATGAGGTCGCAATAAATGAGAGGCAGGCTATCTCACCTCGGTTGGCACCCGTGACTAGTACGATTGTATGGGAATCAGTTGCTGCGGCCATTATGTCGAGATTTCTCCTTCTCTACCAGTGTAGATGGTGTCTAGGTGGGTAGTCTAGGGAATGTGCAGAAAACGAAATGTCAGATCATGTTTGTTCTGGACCTAGCCACCAAAATTGAATGTCTTGCATTTGCCGATATCTAATCAGCTTATTCCAATATTACTACACACTTATTTACTTATTCATTAAGCCATAGATATGGCACATATCTGTATCACTTATGGTACTGGACATGTAACTTAGCCCTACGAACAAGTACCTAGCTACCCCACAGCGCTTACCGGCAAGGTCTCAACTAGGTACCTAGGCACCCGAACCCGACAGCCCCGCCAGCCCACCAACCGTCCAACATTCAATATTGAGGCTACTTACCTACCTAGGTACATATATACCATACTTTTGATTGAATGGGTACCAACATTTGTCAGTGATGATCCTGCATTGTAACACTCTCTGTAAGCACCAACGTACCAATGATGCCAACTCATGACTGCATTGCGGCAATCATGCAAACTGCAGACGCCCGTAAGCCGTTGGTACAGTGCTGGAAACTGGGGGGCATGTAGGCGCTGATTGTGGCGGCGGGAGGTGGCCAAAAGTTCCTTCGCTTGATCCCGAATCGAACGAGGTATGTACCTACCTGCGAGTAGGTACCTAGGTACCACGGTCATGCATGAGGCAAGTTGAGAGAACTCTGAGAGAAGAATCCATGAAATTGATCAGGCCCGCCGGTTCAGCAGCTTCCCATCGCTCTGTGACCCCATGTCGTATTCTTGGTTGAGATGGCCTCACAGCATCGCTATAGTCCCGTTGCCTCGACTGAAAGGAACAGCAACGATCTACAAGAGCTTGATTTTGACGATAAAGATACATCGAGACATTCGCAAAGGCGACAGACACTCTATCATTGCCTCGTTGTGTTGCTAATCGTATCCAACATCGGTTTCGCCAGTCTTTGGCTTCTCTACCCACGAGTCAAATCATGGCAGGATTCTTCAGATTGCGCTAGGCCTCAACTCATCTATTGTAGGTTCACAGCAACGCGTCTGAGCTTTCACATGGTTTTGCTGATAGGAGTGTCTGTAACAAAGCGCCAGCGACAAGCGCACTTCGGTATGAAAAGAAACGATTGTGGCGGGACATTGATGGTCCTAATCCTTACACTGGGAAGCCTCGTCCTGAGCATGACGAGGCGTGGCGGGAGCTCATTTCTCGTAAGTGCGATGTCTCACACCAACTGGCGCCTGTCTTGACCCTCTGCAGCAATTACAATCAAAGTATCTGCCGATGAGCTGTCACGCTTCAGTGGAGGCGACAGCACCATAGAGTTTGCCGATGGTTCTGGTTATATCGCAGAGATGGGAGTATACCACGAGCTGCATTGCATCGTAAGTAATAAGTTCGTCCGAATCACAAGCTTCATCCGCAACTCACATTTTCGGTTGGTACAGAAACGCGTGAGGCGATATCTGCATCTAAGCCACTATTATCCAAACATGACAGAAGCAGACCGGGTGCGAGAGGACGCACATATTGGTATGTCCAAATCTCAAAGAAATTAGCATAACCATTTTAACTTACTATCCAGACCATTGCCTGGAGTATTGGAGAGAGTCCGCGATGTGTCGGGGGGACGTGACATTGGGAACTTTTTTCTGGAGAGATGGTTATCCTACATCCAGAGTTTATACTGATAATGAGTGCATCGATTGGCACGCCCTGGACACATGGGCTAGAAGGCGAATGGTGGATATGAATGATCGGTCGATTTTCGTTGGCTATGAATAGATTCTGTCACGGGATACCATGGATGGGTGGATGTTCAATTGTGCATCTACATGATTATTATATTCAAGACGGACCTCTTTCAGCAAGAAAAGTTGATCGTGAATTCTTCGTCAAGGTATTTAAGTGACTATCCCAGTGTCTGTAGAATTGGCATATCGCTCAGCCCAAGTGAACACATCTTCGTAGCTCCTGCATTGTTTCGGTTGTCCCCATCCATTAGTCAAGTGTGTTTCTGGATCCAACTCTTCGAGATTTGTATCTGCAGCGCACATAAGAGCCTGCCTAATGTAATCGTAGCAGTGTCGTATATGGAAGACAGCTATACGCGTCTCTGTGACATTCTCAAAGTCAGGTACGTCGGTCAAGTTTGCCACGGCTGGGCTTTCGAGGGCCTCGTAATAAGCGATCAACATAGCATGCTGGGCATTCTTTGGTCAATAAAAAGTAATATCCATGACTGACAGTGGCAAAACTAACCAAACAATGCAGCTGATGGAAAACAGCTATGTTTGAAATGAAGGGTGCGAGTTCATCGTGGTGTACAAAGCCTCGTCCGGTGGGTATGATCGATGCCCATGCCGCTTCCGATTCGAGGTCTGGCTTTTGTGTGAAAGTGAGGTTATGTTGCCATGTTGTTTGAAATGAGCCTGGAGGCACTAAAGAAGAGCTCAGCAATGAGAATCAATAGAGAGTACCACTTGTCTTACTCGGCAGGCCGAATTGTACTCTGTCCACATATTTAATCTTGCTCATGCCAACCAGATACCCAACAATCAAGGAGACCAACACAGCAATTGGTAAGCAAAGCCAATTCCACTTTGAACCTTGGAAATATGTATGCTGGTTTAATTCGATCTCATCTTCGCTTGAGCTCCTTTGTGACGACCAAAGAAGCTCATCTCCTTCATCCTCATTGAGTGTCTTAGGCATCTTGACGGAAAGTTGAAGATGTGGAGGCCCAGGTGTAGGGGATCACGAATCTAGTCACGATTTCCGTTGTTCACATTGATAACTACAGAACGTGGGGTCTGTGGAGCCTGTTCGAGTAGAAGACAGTGCGTAAGACACTCCTCACTCGTGACATACCTACCGTTCTAGGTCCTATTGAGCTGGCGGACCCGCATATGCAAGCACTTCTGTCTTGCTGATCGTTGGGTGGTGGTACATAGATAACGATTGGGGGAGATTTTCCAGATTGGAAGATATGACGGTTCAGTACGTTGACTCCTCTCCAAAGTTACATTCTAGCTTGTTTGTTGTTGGTTTGCCTGTGCTCAACTTGCATGAGATCAGAAGGTGTGGTAAGTCTGCTCTAGGGTGCTTATTCGAACGGCTTCCAACGAGGCCCTGTGTGCATATAAACCATCACCAACGCCCATGCTACTTGCAATCTGCTCAAAAATATCAACTTGATCAAAACACCCACCACCGACGTATTCAAGCAATCAACATGCAGCTTACTCATATCATGATCTTCTTGGGGGCGGCTCTGGCCGTTCCTGTTCCAGGTATGTCCTCTGATTCCTGTCTAGTGTCTATACGCATTGTGCCGCGAGTAGTGTTCCAACAGTCACGCTAGGGAGCAACCGTCCTAATGGACTCAGACGTTCTGCGGATGCAGACGAACTGGTCCGCAACTCCTGGTCAGCGAGAGACATCGTCGTAAAGGATGAAACAAGTGACGCGGACGACCTCGTAAAGAATTCGTGGTCGGCCCGAGATATTACAATTCGAGATACTGCAAATGATGCGGATGATCTTGTTAAGAATTCATGGTCGGCGAGAACCTGAGTCGCATTTGTTGGGTAGGGGAGAGATGGAGGAAGAGTGTAATACATCTGTAGCCACTGGTCGGCACGTCTCGTTTCAACTAGGGAAGTGCTCGTAGCAAAGACAGCACGTCCAATACATTCGCTCATATTACTGGCAAATTCTTTATTTCAAATAAATGCTGACCCATTACATCTTGCATATACTTGACTGATTTCGGATGTGTTTGTGCAAAAATGGGAAGGCGGCCAAAAGCTTAACTTCGTGCAACTCGCTCGGGTTCTTGAATGAATTTCGAGGTATATGCTACCTCGCATGCATACATGAGGAGCAGAATGCATGTCATCATCTGCAGCTTACCCAGTTTGTAGGTCTGTAAAATGAACCAAGGCCTTGTGTAAGTTCCTTTGGAAGGCTACCAAAGGTACCTCGCCTGTCCACATAGTCCTATGCAAAGTCCCATGACCCCGTCCCCCCTGAACCCACCAAGCGCGTCTTCCGTTGTTCCCGCCAAGTTCCGACCCTAGTGGGAACCTCAGCGTCATGTCCAATAATACCGTCCGTTGGCATTTCTTACCGCCGCAGGATCAATGCAGTCCTTAAGGATGGTGCCACTGGATGGTTCGGCATTACAATCGCAAGGGTGAATATTTAGAAAGAAACCCAAATAATTTGGCCCGGCTGGCCCTACGGCCTCGACCATTCTGACCACGGCACGCATTCGTTAATATCATCAACTGATGCAAGTCCCTGTTAGATGGCTCCCGTGAATACTGACAGATTTGCTCAACAAATCTGTGTGCAACAAGCACTCGCATCTTACGCTTCCGAAAGCGAAGAAGCAAACAATCACTATGCAACAATCATACTCAAAAGACCTAATGATAGGTCTCGCCATTGCATTCATAATAATACCCTCAATTTTTGTTGGCCTCCGAATCTGGGCTCGAAGAATTAACCGTCGCCAACTACACCCTGATGACTACTTGTGCGTTGGAGCACTTGTCATTGGCATCGTCTGCTCCGCTCTCCAATTATATGGTGAGTTGCTTGAACTCGAGTCAGAAATTGGCAGCACCGATGACTAAATTTCCATGGCTAGCTGCGATCGATGGTCAACTGGGTCAACATCAAATTGTAGGACCAGACGGCCAGCCCATCCTCGATGATCCTCGCTTTGTGGTCTATGAAAAGGTAGGCGACCACGAAATTATGAAGTTGTCACTAATAGAGACCACTCTCGAGACTGAAGGCAACATGTGAGCTGACCTGGAATCTCGAATCAGACAAAGTTTGCCGTCAATATTCTCAGCGTCTTTGGGTTAGGACTAGTCAAATGCTCAATCCTCCTTTTGTACAAGAGCATCTTCAACAACGTTCGCAACTTTCGATGGGCAGTCTATGTGATGCTCGGAGTGGTTGTGGCATGGACCGTATCATATTTCTTCGCCAATCTCTTCACCTGCTTTCCAGTGACAGTCTTCATAGAAGAGTTTTACGGCAACAAATGCATCGACACCATTCCGATGTGGCTCTCTGTTGTGGCCACGGACTTGGTCGTTGACGTTGGGATCCTCATTCTACCAATACCAATGGTGCTGCGACTGCACTTACCCTGGAAACAGAGGATTGGAGTGCTCGGAATGTTCATGTTGGGCGCAAGGTGAGCAAAAGCAATCGCTGTTCTTTTGGGACTGGAACTTCATCGCTGACGATGCATCCATACGCAGTGTCTGTGCAATCAGTATCACTCGCCTTGCGACATTGGTACAACTTTCTGCCGAATTCATCTACCATTACAACGATGAGACATGTGAGCCCCCGAGAATCCGGAAATCTTGAACCTAGCTAATGTGGAGCTGGTAGACTATACATCTCCAGTCTTTTACTGGACCAACATAGAAATGGCAATGGCTATTGTCTCAGCCTGTCTGCCAACATTGCGGCCAATCTGGAGTTTTCTGAGCACGGAGAAGCGGAATACAAGCCAACATTCAGAATACAGCTTGCGAAAGCCAGACGGATATGGAATGGTTCCTGATTCAACTCCTCTACAACCTTTGAGTCGGCAATCAGTCTAGGGTAGCAGGCCTCTGTGGGAAATTTTCAGCTCAATTTGGTACCCCGAGCCCGATGGATGGTGGGTGGGTAGGATGCTGTAAGACCACAATCCTGGCCATTTCCGGTGGACAGGTCAGACCGTCAGCAGTGAGATATCCCAATTGAGATTAGCGGGACACACTGTACTGTGCCTCTATAGAGGAGGAAAGTGACACGAAATAAGACCACAATAATTTGCTCCCTGCAGCAAGGTACGTCACGCTCGTAAGGCTGTGGCTTCTTGGGACTCGCGTCTTCTCATTATGGGACGGAATGCTACCTTTCCGCCCATGTACACACAAGGGTCGGCGTCCCGCGGTCGCGTCGACCTTTCAGCTTTGGCGAGATGGGAGGGAGTGCCACTGGCTCATGAATAAATACCTGCAATGCAGCAGCCATGTAGTTGAACTCTACATGCATTACTTGTTGTTTTGTCTGCCTAAACGTGCAATGAAGATTGTCTCACTTCTTCGCATCATTTCTGCTTCCTGCAGTGTCCTTGCTTCACCTGGGCTGGCCAATTATACCAGCCTGACAGTGAAGCAGGTGAGCGCTGAGTTGGGCCCTCTGCTTTCCACACAGAATCTCATCACTTCGGAGGTTCCGGCCCGATGGAGTGACTTCGATCCCCCGCATCCATTGGTCGTGGTCAATGTCGAGACTGAGCTTGATGTTGCAGTTACGGTATGCACTCCCCTCTCCGTGCCCTATTGGGGGCCTTTTCCTTACTGGCCATGGTAGGTTGTGCTTGCAACGACTGACTTTTCCATCTCAAGGTCAAATACTGCGTTGACAAAAAGGTTCATGTCCTGGCACAGAATGGGGGAGCCGGTTGGGCAACGTTCGATCAGAGCGAACAAGTTGTGCTGATTAATATGGCTCGCCTCAACGGGGTCACATTCAACTCGAACAAAACCCAAGTGTCCATTGGAGGTGGATCCACCATTAACAACACAATCGCGCATGCATATGCCGCTGGAGCTCTTGTAGAGACTGGCAACTGCAACTGTGTTGGTACATTAGGTGCTATTCTCGGTGGCGGTTATGGTAACCTGATGGGTTTGTATGGCTTTGGGGTTGATAACGTCCTCTCTTTGACCGTTGTTACTGCTGATGGGCAACTACGAAATGTAACGCCCTCGTCCGCGCCAGATCTCTTTTGGGGTTTGCGCGGCGCAGGACCAAATTTTGGCATTGTTACATCCGCCGTGGTCAAGTCCTATCCAGCCTCACAGGATGATATGCAAGCTTGGAGTGGTGGCCTGGTTTTCGATTCCGATGATTTGGAAGAGGTTGTACAGGCCATCCAAGATCTTGACCTGCAGCCCGAGATGAACGTTTTCCTGTACTACATCTCAGATGGCTCAGAATCTAATACGCCGATAGTCCTTGCTACAGTTTTTCTGTACAAGGGCAACGCAACATCTGGTCGTGATGCATTTGCCAGCCTGTATGCCATTGGTCCATTACTGGATAGTACCGCTGTCCTTCCATACAACCAATGGAATGCTGGGGGTGATCAATTCTGCAATTTTGGGGCACGGAAACCATCTTACGGTGCCGGCTTTCAAAATATGGTCCCATCCACTTGGCGTCAGATTTGGGACGAGTACGTCGCATTCCAACAGCAACCCGGAGCGCAGAATAGCGTCGTACTGCTTGAGGCTTACTCTCTTGAGAAAGCCAGATCGGTAGACGCTGGGACGTCCGCTTTTCCATACCGCAACATCAATTTTAACGCTGTTGCAATTCCTTGGTATGAGGATGCCGCCTTGGATTCCCAGGCTCAGGCTTTTGGCAGCATGACCCGGGACCTTTGGAGGTCGACCGATGGCCTGGCCAAAAATTCAACGTACGTACTCTCTGGCATCTGCTTCAAAACATTATCTGCTTCAATTGATTGACTTTGGCCAGCTATATCAATTTTGCGCACGGTGATGAGGACTTGGACGTTGTGTATGGAGAAAGCCTTCCAAGGTTGCAGTCCATCAAGCACCACTTTGATCCCACAAATTACTTTAATCAATGGTATGATATCCGGTAAATGCGGAACGCATGTAGCATGGAAGTCTTTCGGTAGGTGTGTTGAGGTTGATGCCAATCAAATCTCGAGTAAATTACGCATTACAGGTGGACCAGGATTATGGTAAATGGGTGGTCAGCTGGCCTTGGCTGTCTGCGAAGTTGCGTGATGATCTAGCCACTACCAGCTCGCGCAAAGGAATTAGACGGACTTGTGCCATTTGTAAACATTAAATGCAATATTTCTGGCCGAAAAGCCTGGATTTTGAGTAACCAAGGCATTCAATTATCCGTGATGTTTGTACTGGGAGCATTCGTGGCTGCATCCTCGGGCCCGATATCGACATAACTGATAGGATGTCTCAGAAAGGGGAAAAAGTAGTGAATCATTCATAGCTCAATTTGGTAACATTGCTTATAGGTGGCGTTATTCTTGCATATATTTGCAGAGGACTTCTCACGCACCTCTTGATACACGACAAGCACATAGAGTGCCTCGATCTGCAGTACATGTATTCCTGCGGGCACGTATTTTATCGAGCACGACATAATAATCCATTCGGAGAAGGCATGCAGGATTGGATACCTGGTCCGGATTTTAGAATTTGGAGTACTTGTACAGAGCACGGGCAGCCCCATAGTAAAGTCGCGCAACATCAGCTCTGTCGAATGCATGCGGCGTTGCACCCTGAACCACAGCTAGTCGGATCTAAGAATTTCCGCTCTCTCGTTATGGTCTTTGCCCCTCTCGCGCTGTTGGTGTTGTTGTAGTACAGCCAGAGGATCGTTCAGCATGTTCCATTAGAGCAAATTGGCCGCCTGTGTACGTTGCAGTGCATGACCCATGCACCTGCTCACAAGGATGTGCACTTGTGTACTGCAATTTGAACCTTTCACAAACACCAACATCAAGAATCTTGGAGCTTCGACCGCAAGGCTGCCCCAACTCCATCGATGGGTAGGTATACAGTGCAACGCACGGGGAAGAGCTGCATTAGGAAGCGCGGCTCGAGACGGATGATATTTGCAGCACCATCTCGGTTGGCGGGGCTTACCCGTAATCCTTGGCTCAACGGAAACCCAATCACTATGAAGTCCTGTTTGTAGTCTCGGCATGCAGCGACGCTGCAAGGGACTTACCGTCCCCACCAGCCCGTCCCTCCCCAGCTCATGCGTCTTATCCCAGCTGCCTTGAACATCCTTTCATCAACAACATTGCCGTTGCGCGCCATCTCTTGATTCGGGCCGCGCCTTGACATTAGCGATCACGAATACATGCAATATACGCTGCCATCAGACCAGCGGCAGCATCGTGACGAGCCATCGACAGGCAATTATGCTTCGCTTTGGAAATTTGCCCTGGGCAGAAAGCTCTCGTGTCGAGTAGAGGATGTGTCTCATCGTCGACGTTTGCGGCTTGGAAATGACTTTTGATAGTCATGTTCCACAGGGCGCTTGCGAAATGCGGAGCCCGTTGCGCGGCTCGCTGAGCTCGAGTTCAAGATGAGTACCTACATTAGGTGAAGGAAGGGTTGGAAGTAGTAAACATTTCAAATGGGTCAGGAACTGTCAGGTAGCACCTCCACGGTGGCCCACGATTACGCCCGCACTCCCTTACAAAGCTCATAGTGTGGGGAGAGTTGGCCGGATAAAAAGCTATGCAGCAGCGACGGCTGCCGTCAAAGCGTTTTCTAGAAAACAAGCCTTGGCCCCTTAGCGATGACACAATTAAATTAAGCTTCCTTCTGATTTAGGTCATAGAGGTTCGCTTGTACGAACGGCTCATAAAAACGTGTGAGCTCTGAAGCACCCAACCTAGAGAGTATCGCTTACTCATTATGTGAACACACTTGGACCACACATAGCGCTAGGCGAAAGTGAAGATAGATACCTAGGTATTGTCGAATTCAGCACTAGTGAAAACTACATGTTGACCTCAAACATTCCCCGATCCATCTCGTCCCTCCTGTAACTATCAATATCCGCTTGTCAGCACTTAGATTGAAGCTGCGATTAGGTTCAAAAGAGTGAGGAAAAGTCATGGTCATAAATGCATATCACTCATTAGTGCTAGCGGGCACAACGACACACGCTACATTCCCGTAACCCGCATTAGCACAGCCTCACAACAGCTGACAGATGACGGCCTGTTCATCTTGGCTAGCCCTCGCTCGCTCCTTCACAAAATATACCTTCAAGTTGCTCACTGCGATCTAGTCAAGATGCGCACAGTAAAACAGCATCAGGACGATAAGGACGCGACGCTGCAGGAGCTGGCTGAAGCCTACGGCATGCCAATCGTCGACCTCCTCCTGGTAATCCAAAAAAGCCAAGTCTGGCGAGGAAAAGACGTTGTGTGATCCGGAATCGAGAGGTCCCCTTCCCGTCCTGCAATCGCAAACGGAAGCAAGGGTATTATTCCGAAAGCATTTTCAGAAGACATCGTGGCATTACGCTGCTACAGCAAGAGGGTGGTATCAACGCCCATAAGGATAGCAACTACGTGGCCGTCTCCTGAGCTTGGCAACTGTATGCCAACGACAATATCCGGGTCAACGGCCGTGCGTATAAGATGCAAACCAGAGATGGGGCTGATCGCTGGCCTTCGCCGATACGAAACGGCGTCCTCAACCGTGCGCTAAGTTACATAAATCACAAAAACGTCCCTTGGCTTTAGATAGACAGGCACTTCATTCCGCAGAAGGTAAAATGTAAAGGTTGGCGTCACTGCGATCACAATACTTGTGTCAAGAAGAAGGAGAGCCTTCAGGCCATGGACCTTGTGTTCAAATACAATAACCATCCACTGGGCTTAATCGAGATGCAAATCAAAAGTCGAAAAGACCTGGCACACCTCGCTCTAGTGATAAATCAGAAGCTAGTCGATGAATTCGAATTTGGAGGCAACGTTTGTCCCTTGGATGGCGCGGGGCTGGCAGCGGCCAAAGGAGCACTCCGTCTGGTGCATCGGATCAATAAGGACATATGATGGCGTCGGGCTTGGATTTACCAAGAAGACTACCGGGCTGGGACGGGCATAACCCTGTTAATAGGGCATAGTCACTCTCTCGAGAAAGCAAAACGATCTTACGACATCTTTGGCCACTTGCATAGGGAGCTGTGTCTCAACTATGTGGATTTCTCTCATCAGGTAACCAAGGTGTGCCTGGCGATACAAAATTCGGAGAATATAACAAAGGAGGAAAGGGAAATCATCCGAAATATTCTGAGCGCAGCTGGAAAATATACCATCCTGCTTCCTAGGTCCTGATCCATGTTAGCCAGCATCATTGCAGATATTGAGCGGAGAAATGTAGAGACCGATGGGACTGTCTCGCAATCACGGCGAACTGCTGCCGGTATCCCAAACTCTTAAATAACGACGAGCTCAAGAAGCGAGAATAAAATCCCAGCCTAGCTATTCTACCCATATACTTGCTAAATGGCGAGATCCTCGATAATTCTAACCGGCCTTTTAACCCAAAATACGGATTAGGTTCGAGTATAACAGTATCTCCGTTTCTTATAGCAAGGTCTTTCGGTGGTTCCTTCGCGCCTAGTGATAAATAAAGTCTTTCTTTTAATAAAGGCTGTCGTTTTGTAGAAGTGAATTTCACGCCAGATAGAATCCTTACCAAAGGATATATCTAGGAGCTTGGAGAGCTCATTCAGACCACCAACTTTTCCAAGCACCTTCGGTGGACCAGTACACGTTGTAATGGCTTTCAGTCTCGTGAGCGGAAGAGACTTGCCTAGCTCACTACTGAGCTTACCGCTTATTATAATTGTATAAGCGTATCTTTTATTTTAAATCGCTTATGTTAGAAACATTATTGAGCGGGTAAAGTTTTAAATACTCGGCAACCCGGCGCCGAAATTATAAATCGTAATAAAAGGAAATGTAATTTTATTAATTTCCTGCTTGTTAGTATTCGAGGCACTGCACCACATTTATTCCAGGCTTTAGGTCCGGGGTAAGGCGAAGTCGCGTCCTCGCGGATTGCCACCGATGCTGAGAAGAAAGATCCACATTCCATCAGCCCAAGCCAGCGCAGCAAAAGAGAGTGAATTCAAATCGTTGTAGCCAAGATACATGGCGCTCGGTCCTTAGGACTATTTCATACCGGAACATCCAACCTTGCACCTGATCAGAAATGTAACATATAGAAACAAGGCTTTGAGAAGCTCCAGAACGGTCCCTTGCCCAAATGCACCGACGAGTCTTCCAATCAACCATAATCGCTTCGAGTAGGTGCGTACCTCACGCGACCAAGCTTCAAGTGTCTTCTTGCCCTCCCAGACGGGCCCCAAGCATAGGCAGTGGAAAGCCGCCTGCTCCGCTGCAGATCCCGTATGAGGGCGTAGCGTGGTGAGAGCATCACCGACAAGGATGCCATGGCCTTCGAAGAACGTTGGTTGGGTACAGATCGAGTCGTTGACCTTTGTCACATAAGGAGTCTTCACTTTATATAACAATTCCACAAACGGAGCGGCAAGACGCGGTTTGAAAGCGTCCCGGACTCGTTCCCACTCCTCCGACTTCACAAGACCATGCGGTACAGTATTCCGATGGCGCACGCCATGAATATCAGTGAAGATACGGTTGAACTCTTCGGAGTCTTCTTTGACATTGTAGTACCACACAATATTCATGAGGCGTTCACCGGGCGCAAAGCTTCCTGAGTCGGTCGGGATGACATAACTAGAGACGAAAAGAAAATTTCAGTCGGCAAGACAAGCACATCGAGATGACGTGACCTTACCACATCATATACGAATGTCTGAATTGATTTACTGAAACGGCATCGGAGAAGTATTCGGCACTCTCTTTAGAAAGCAAGCTCTCTGGGACTGTAGCTCTCCATGAGACATAGCCTGCATATTCCTTTTTCATTGGTAAGTGAAGGAGATCTCGCACCGTTGAGTGAATTCCATCGGCGCCGATGACAAAGTCTGCGTCGATGCGTGATTCCAGACCGGTTTCAGAGTCAGTGTAGCGGACTGTCACTATGCCATCGGCGTACTGCAGCTCAGTCACCCGGCTGCCGATCAAGTACCGCCCTTCACCATCAGTCTCTCTCTGCGCTGGTGGCGTTGGGCATGAGTCCGAAGTGAAGCCATCGAAGTTGGCGCGTAGAATGCGATACAAGTGTCCCCAGCTGGTGACTCTCAAGTTAGACCCAGTGACGAGTGCTTTGGGCCTCTTGAAGAGCGCAAATTGAGAAGCCGAAGAAGGGATGGCTGCTGTGACTCCAGAGACATCATATTGCTTCAGAAAGGTTTCTACATTAACCCTGAAGCCTACACCAGCATGGGCGCTCTCTCTCTCTGCAGAGCCATCCTTCTCGAGGATCGTGACCTTGCAGCCTAGTCGCTTCAGCTGTACTCCACATATAAGTCCGCTCAGAGAGCCGCCGACCTGAACAAGTGGAATCGGTCAGTTTATCTGGTGTTATATACATAGGACATTCCACACGTACAATGACCACCGTCTTATTCATATTTGCACTTATTCAAAAATGTAGCGGGGCGGTGTGACTTGGTTTGCCTCACAGATTCTCAATCGCGACGAGACCGACAGTATGGAGGTGTTCGTGTCATTTGAAGAAAGAAAAGAAGACAGAAATTTAAGTAACTCATTTCAGTCCAAAGTAACAACATTCCGATAGATGAATATGTCACTGTATCATAGACAAAACTTTAGGCACCACATCTAAGCAAATGAGCAAGGCAATCGAGGGTCCTACTGTATACAGTGACTTAGGTAGTAAGACCACCTTACGTATTATACTGGGCATAACGCTTACTTATACCCATAGCCGAGTAATCCTTGTACTACGTACATTGCTTGCACACAACCAACCAACACCAACTCCTGCGGCGCAATTGTCAGGTCAGGCTTGGGACTTTTGAAATCTTAATATTGACACCCCTTGTGAAATGAAAAAGGGCTTATCTGCAGGGTGTGCTGTGGCCTTGGATCCTTGTAGAAATTGTTGCCCTGGAGTGGAGTCCATGCCACCCTTACCAGGTCTATACCAAGATTAGATCATAAGAATACATGTGCAGGGAAAACAGGTACATATGGCCACCAGGACTATTGATCATCAATATAAAATTTATTCAGAGACAACCAACTGTTGCCTTGGCAAGAGTAACCAAGGGAGTGCTGCCAGAGTTCGAGCTGCAAGATAACAGAAATTCAATGCTGGATCTGCTCTCAGAGATTAATTAAGAGACACGTAGTGACCTGGAATTTCCAAGAGACTGAATCTGGCGTCCAAACATTCTGAAGATAGAAACAGTGGTCTATCGTTTGCGATTCGAGAGAACGTCGGACATTGCAATAGTCGGACTATCGTTCCAGATCCCTGGGGCAGACTCTTTTGAAGCCTTTTGGGATCTCATGATGTTTAGGAAGAATGTCGCAAGACAGTTCCCTGCAGATCGTATTTCCAACTCCAAGTACGACGCGACTAATGAATCTTTGAAGGGAACAGTGAGTCTTGTTATTCTATTAGCGTCATGGCGCTTTGCTATTCGTGAGCTAACGATTAAATCGACACTTGTAGATCAGCCCCATAATGCCTGTTTCCTAGAACGAAATGTTACTGCTTTTGATGCTGAATTTTTCGGGATGAGTTCAGATGAAGATTTGGGAGCGGACCCACAACAACGTGTTCTCCTTGAGGTAACCTATCGTGCTCTTGAGGATGGTACGTCCTCATCTCGGCCCAGTCAAATGGTGAGACTAACAGTGTGACCAAACCAGCTGGTATAACTCTCAATGATATCGATGGCTCTGATACCTCTGTCTTTACTGGATGCTTCTCTGTAGATTATATGTCATGTTGTGGAAAGATCCTTAATCTCAACCAGAATATGTCGCCACGGGCGTAGCGGCAAGCATGCTATCTAACCGGATCAGCACGTTCTTCAATCTCACTAGACCCAGTGCCACAGTTGACACGGCATGTTTAAGTAGCTTGGTTGCCTTGGATATGGCTTGCTAATCAGTCAAACGGGGAGAATCATCCGTGGCATGTTACTTGGGTATCTCAGCTATTGCATTTGCTCACAATAGTTCAGGCAATCGTTGCTGGCTGTGACATCCTCCTTTCGCCGGATTGCTTTATCGCATTGTCTGCTTTGGGGTTCCTTTCTCCAGATGGGGTCTGCCAGAGTTTTGATAGCAGGGCAAATGGGTACGGGCGTGGCGAAGGATTCGGCGTACTGATTATCAAATCAGTCGATGATGCAGTCCGTGACGGAGACACCATTCGTGCCATTATTCGTGCTACAGGCACCAACCAGAACGGACGTACTACACTTGCTCACCCAAGCAAGGAAATGCAAGCGCAATTGATACAGTCATTGTATGATAAGGCTCAGCTCAATCCACTCGACACGCAATTCTTCGAAGCTCATGGCACAGGAACAGCGATAGGTGACCCTTTAGAGGCAATGGCAATTGGGAAGGTTTTTGGCCGTGGCAGAAGTCTTGATCAACCATTAATTATGTAAGTGTTGAGTCGATCAGAAATTCAATGTCAGTGCGGTACATCGTGAGACAGTCTAACAAACGAAATCACCAGTGGAGCTTTGAAAGCCAACATCGGCCATCTCGAGGGGTGTACAGGAATCGCTGGAGTACTCCAGACCATCTTAGTGCTGGAGCACGGCACGATCCCTTCAACCATTCCAAGTCTTACCGGGACGAACCTCGCATCAGCCGAAACACACGGCTAGAGCTTTATCCGTATAATAGATATATTGGCAGTCCTATGCCCGATTGGAACCCTCTGTTTCCGCGATGACGGAACACTATAATTACATCATCGATACCATGTACTGAAGAGCATAAGGTACGTAACACATCACCAAACGTCGACCAATTTTCTAATAAGACAGATCAATGCCCAGTAGCTGGCATGTGCGTTATGGCCATGGAGGCATTCAGACAAATAACAACACTCCAAGAGATATCTGGCTTCGAGATCCGAGATTTTTCTAGTCGATCTGCTTTGAGAATACCTCCTGAGGATGTTGGTGTGGAGGTTAAACTTTGTCTCGGACTCTCTCCAGATGCTTCTGACAAGACTAACAGTTGTGCCGAATTTTCCCTGATGACACGTTGCGGGACTATTACGATGAATACAATAAACAAGCCGAGTTTTTCAATCCTTTGGCTCGTTATCTGGATGGTCTGGCTCACAAGAACCGGGCATGAAAGTTATGGAGGTTGGAACGGGTACAGGTTTTACTACCAAGTACATTCTCGATGCTCTGAGCGTGCAGGCCCCCATGGGACTGTCTAGTCGATTTAGCCAGTATGACTTCACGGACATCTCACGAGCCTTTTTGGAGAAAGCACGACTCGACTTTGGCAAAACACCCAAACTGAACTTTTGCCTCTTTGATATTGAATGCGATCCACTAACTCAGAATTTCGAGCGGCATTCCTATGACCTCATAAGGCTACTGGGACTGAGGCGGCCTCTAGATAGCGTGCTCTGCGCTACGAAGCGCAGACATACAAAGACGATGAAAACGATACCGCACATCGAAGTGCATGCAATGACGTTGGCCACGACATTGCCATCGGGGTGCGCCAACATGTAGGCCACCTGTTCGTCCGTAGGCACAGTCGGCATGGTGTTGAGCTGGAGGCTCTTGGCTAAGCGCAAAGTGGGACAAGTTTGACCTTGAAATGAACAAGGCAGAAAGAGAAGAGCAAAAGATCAGTCCGGGAATTTTGGGCACTATATAAGCCATCAGCACAGTCCCGGAGTCAGGGTGGAAGTTACAACGTCCGGGATGTTGACCGTGCATAATCCTTCCAAGCAGACTTGCGTATATGTGCGGCACAGTCCGTTTAGCATAACATACTACCTACCTTGCCTCCACTGCATACCGCAGACGATTTGGAAAGCCATTTCCTGAAGCGGCATCGTGCCATTTTGCTAAGCTCGCATCACTTGTGTACTCTTGGGATGCATGTGCCGCTAATTGTAGTTGTTGGTCCTGCGGTGACAAAGTGCGGTGGATGTTGGGTGTGCAACCTATCTTCTTCCCCCACGCTGGGACTTGCGTTGCCGTCGTATAACATGGCTTTATCCTCGCATAGTCAAGTCCAAACAGGTTGGGATGAAGAACATTCTCCCTTCCCCCTTGGCCTTTCCTTCATTGCATCTAGCGTAGTAGGAGGAATATTGCAAACATCATGCCTCCTCAACCGAAGAGCGTCGGAGACGCACCCAGTCGACCACTCGGCAATCTGGAAGGCTTCTTCAAGATGCTAGCCGACGGTGGCAAACTTCTCAATCGCGAACACTGGACAATCCATACCGCGTTGCGGCTTGCATTCCACCCCTCGGTGACGGATCCAGCTCCTCTCCTCCGCCGCTCCTGGGAGATACTCTGGCGTCAGCACCCGGCGTTGGGAGCTACTATCACTGCAGCCAATGGTGAGGGCCCGCGACTGACAGCTGCGCAAGACACCCACGAATCTGCCAATAGTACTTTCAAGATTTGCTCTGAAATCGCAGATTCCTCGGAGCTTTTCTCAAGTCTTTGCTCTACCCCCACTGCAACATGCTATTTCATCCAACGGTCGTCAGAGGTCGTCATTCGCTCGTCGCACTGGCGTACAGATGGCCTCGGCATGGCAATTCTCTGTCATGACTTTATGAAGGCGCTGGCCTCTGTTATCAAGGCCAGCGGGGACAGGCATGGCTCATCGGAACCCCCCTCGTTGCTTCACGCAGAGTCTTCCCTGGCACCAACCCTGGAACAACTCGCGCGCGCTCAATCTCGACTAGACATTCCAAGCGAGAGCACAAAGGTGCCGGTTCTGGAAGCTGGCGCTGATGCCTTGGTGGCTCAATTCCTGCGTGGCGTGCCCAGTATCGGCTTGCCCACCAAGGCAGAATCTGCCGATGCCGTCCCCGGTTCCAGTGGCCGCTCCGTCATGCGACTCGGCGCAAAGACCACTGCTGAGCTCGCCGCAGCCTGCCGGGACCATCGTATCAAGATGACGAGTGCTATACATGCGGCGATTGTGCGTGTCGCCGCCAGCTTCCCTCAGCATCCGCTCTGCAAATCCTATGCAGCATTCGTCCCCGTGGATCTGCGAAGGGCGCTAGAAGCTACTGCAACTGACGAGACCCGCAACGTCTCAAAGGTAGTCGGCTTGTACTTTTCCGGTCTGCCCGTCTGCGTGGAGCAGGTGGTCTCGGAGGGCGACAGAGCTAGCACGATAGGCTTTGACACCATTGCTCGGAGCCTGGATGCTACGTACTCGCGCGACCTGGTCAACTTTTGGGAGTCGCCGGATGGGCAGACCGTGGGCCTGCTGGATCTTGCACAGCCTTACCTGGAGCGCACTACGCAACTCTTCGGCGCTCCGGTCCCAGAGGGTCTACCACCTGTCCAGACACCAGACCTGAGCAGTCTTGGAAAGATCGACAGCTTTCTGCAGACAGAGTACGGGACGGCCGACGAGGGAAAGGCTGAAGTAATGGACTTCTGGATTGGAACTGAAATGTTGAATAGAAGTGTTCAATTCCACACCTGGAGCTGGAAGGGCGAATTCGTTCTTGGTGCGTGCTTCAATCAAAGTTTCTACGGCAAGGACTTTGTCGATGGCGTTTTGAATAAGGTGGTTCATGAGCTACAGGCTGGACTCAATGTTGTCACCAGTGAATGAAAGATGAAGAATCTCAAGTCTAAATCGCAGTTAGGGGCAACTATTTGCGATATGTGTGTAATATATTCTTTTAATGCAGAACGATTTCCCCTTTATTTATCCCGTACAATAAAACGAATTGGAAAACGTCCATCACTTTATGTGTTAAATAGTGGAGCATGTGATTTGTGGTTTCGATCTCACTTAATGGGTGCAGTGTATAAATATGAACAAATAAGTAAAAGCAGTTTTATATCGTATCAATAAAATAAAGGTGCTCAAATTTATATACCCATCCAGGAGCTTCATGGAACTTAGCTAATTTAGTTAATAAATCCGATTATCCACTGTTAATTTTTGAACTATTAATCCGTTACGCCCTAAGATATTATAGCACCCTTTTAAGCTTTTCAAATAAAACGAGTTGAAAAAGGAAAATAAGCTTTTCGACTAATTATTGCGGCGAGGTTTTATCTAAGAAAGTCCCAGGACTCAGCCCGAGAGGATTGTCACCGTCTTCATCCAAGTTATTGACATTTCTTTTCCGCTTACCTATACTGGGCTCCAAAGGTACTCCCGTCTCTACCATCTTGGTCTTATACGACGAATTGGGATACAGTATAGTCGCTGCGTTCACAGACTGTCGCGACCCATGCGGCACGATGCGCCGGGTCGGGACAAACACGGCCCTGACCTTTCCCTTGCAGTCGCGCAGGAATACCTCGGCCGCGATCCCTCGCATCTTGGCCCGGACCTTTTCAGCAATGAACCGCTTCCCGTCCATGGGCGCCCAGAGCCGATCGTCGTCGGGGCTCCCGCTGTCAGCCGTGCCGTCGCGCGCCATGACGTCGATTCGGTGGAGTAGTGTCTTGACGGTCTGATATACGTGCAGTCCGCATGAGTGCGAGTCCCGTTGGTGCGACCCCGTGATGTCGCGACGGCAGCGCTTGGTCGCAAACGTGAATCCTTTGGGCTTCAGGATACGTCTCAACTGCTTTTCCACCCTTGGGGCCGAATCGGCATCGCGCGCCGGGTCAATCACCGTTACATGTCTTACCTTGGTATAGCCATCTTTCTTTCCATCCTCATCTCTTTGGAGACATAGGAGGACTGCCTCCCAGTGGTTCCCCGTGTTGATTGGCATAATGGTGTAGGGGCAGCGGCGGATGGCATCAAAAAAGTCGGGCCCTAGCTGTGTCGCGCGGGCGTGGCGGCGTAGCTTTTCAAGATGCTTTTGTGCCATGGTACGACCAGATGCATGGAATAGTCCCTCGAGCCATGTAGTTTCAAGGTTGATCAATCTCTGAGCCTTGGCGTGAAGGAAACCAAATTCGTACTCGAGGCACACATCGATTGCATATCCGCTGACGCCAGTGTTGTAAGAAGTCGAGAGATTCTGGTAGGCCCAATATGCATCGGGGACGATGTTTTTCATGTCTATTCTCGTGTCCAGATCGAAGGTTCTGGGCAGAAAGCCGTTATCAAGGACAATCATCGGCGTGGGCCGGAAGCCCGACGGTGGACATGCCTCCTTGATAGGAGGGCGCATACTATCTCGTTACTTACCTTGTAGACCTCCAGTGGAATTTCGAAGATATGGGTTTGCATTCAGCAGTACCCAATATTTAACGCTGCAAACACAATATAAGTAGGCGCCGATTGTCCGAGTACGATAAAGGTATTGTTAGACAAGAACAATGAAATTCCTTCAAAGAGGTAACACGTGCAACGCCTTGGCTCAATGGAATTGTGTCGATGATATTTAATAATGGATGCGGTAATTCCTCGAATGGTACGGTCTGGTCGATCACCGGGAAGCTCCATGAAGCCCAAGGAACATGCCAGTAGATGCTATATTGATCCTAGTTGACGATCAAAACTTGTGTTTAGATATCAGACAACTCGTCATGATCCATCCCCCTTCTTTGCTCTTCTACGATGCAAGAACAAAGAGAGCGACAGCAACAAAGCAGCTATGAGCATCGTGGTTCCAGAGTAGGCAATAATGTCTCTCCATTCCCTTTCGCTTCCATTACCCAGAATGGCGCCACCAATAGGCGTACCGACCAAGACTGATATACCAGAGAGTAGAAACGACATGCCCATCCTGGTTCCCAATCGGCCTAAATCCGGACAATACGGCACAATTGCGCTAGGTGTAACACTTACAACTCCGCCACTAAATGCGCCGTATACTAATAGCAAGACTCATTGTTAGTAACGATTGCTTGGTAATCTTTAAGTGTAAATGTGCTTGGTCCGGCTAGACAAATATCGATGACTAGCAGTGGGAAAGAAAAATTGCTTACATGCTGCAAAAACAATGAGGCCAGCAGAGCTTGTGATAGCCATCCAGGCATAAGCCAAAATCGCCGCGGCAAGGGCCAACATTATCAAAATGTTGATTGAACCAAAATGGTCCGCCAGATAATTTGGCACAAGTCGGCCAATAACACTCCCCGCATTCAGAATCGTGACCAGGTACGGCGAAAACTCCGTGGAAGATATCCCATGCTGGATAGCGTAAAGTTGTATGTAGAAAAACGGAACATACAAGCCAATAAAGGCGAAAAAGAGTCCCACTATGTAGACCAAAAAGGGCACATCGGTAGCCACAGAGGCATCAAGAAATGCGCGCTTGTGCGACGCCGGGGGAACTCTCGTCTTCATGAAGACCAGGGGAATGACACTCAGAGCCAGCATCATAAAGGCAATAACCCTCGTAGCCCAGCCGAATCCAATCTGGGGCTGCAGGTGCCCAAACATGATTGGTATCACGATGCCGGCAATGGGACTCCCCGCCGACTGCACGCCCAAGGCCAAGGCTCTCCGCTTGGCGAACCACTGCGACAAGACGGCGGCGCTGGGCAGGAAGAGCACGGCGCAGCCAAGGCCCACACAGACGCCCTGGGCGAGGAGGACCTGCCAGTACCTTGTACACAGGCTCGTCATGAACATTCCCAGGACAATGAGGAAATTACCGACAATCAAGAGATGGCGGAAATGACCCGCGTCGTACAGGGGGCCGACGAATATGCCACCCATCATGAGAAGGGCGCCCTGGATGGACCCGATCCAAGAAATGGCAGATGATGAGCTCGTCGTGAGCAGCTCGGTCTCATAGTACGTCTGGAAGACGCCAAAGGAGTTGACGATACCCCAGGTATGGAACAGCGCCACCATGGAGCCGGCGACCACGAGCCATGCTTCGCGACCTCCGTCTGGGACTTTGGGTTGAGCCTGTGATAGTTGTCCGACGCTGACTGGGTCTTGGGCCGATGTTTGATTTGTTGACTCTGAATCTGATATGTCCGGTGCCGTCACGGGCCTTGATTTTTCTTCCGTTGATGCCATGACGATATTTGGTTTCTTGGGGTAAAGAGCTGAATTAGTAATTGGCTCTTCCAGGTAAGGACCTTATCGATGTTTTCGACCGGCGAATCAAAAGCCTCTACTCAATCTCTCCTGCACTTGTATAAGACAAAAACTATCATTCTTCCAGTCAAGAAGTTTTGTTGATCATCCTCGAACCCCTTCTCTCCAACATTGTGAACGAAAAAAAAAGTAGCAGGGGAGCAATGGGCTTTGCGGCACAGGTCCCTTGCCGACGCCGCCTATTCATAACCTAGCACTATTTTGAGCCACCCGCACCGGATACTAGCAGGCGACGGGAATAATAACCGGCAACCGAGGTCCCGCCCCATATTTTCCCCGGCCGGGGGATAGTCGCGTTGATCAGATTGGTCATTTTTGGAGATTTTTGTTTGTCCCAAAGCTCCAGCGGCGAGGGTGCGTCTCATGGTCACATTTTTCACATAATGTCGTCATATTCCGTGCGCAGTATTAAACATTCAAGGTGGTTAAGTGGTGTATTCCTTTCAGACATCGTA